CGCAAAAGGAATTCAACACAGTTTTCAGGCCAAGGAAGGGGTCGCCGTGAGTAGTGAAGTGTTACAAGTAATCCACCTTGTTTTGTGTATCGATTTTATAGCGTTCTAGCGAAGAGCATACAATATGTATTATTTGAATATCATGAGTATGAAGTGACCCTGCAGGATACCGCCTGATCCTTTCATAACATCTACCACACACCCAACCAGACATCTACACCTATTCCGCCCGCTTCCTCTGCATACCCACCTTGCGCTTACCCAGCACATCCCTCCCTTCCTCGATACTCAATAGCGCCTCCCGCTTCTTCTCCGTAACAGGCTTGAGCGCATCCCTTACAACCCGTCCTTCTACACTAACACCCTCTTCCTCAAACTCCTCCATCTTCTTGCCCACACGCGTTTCGATCGCGAGGATGAGCTCCACATCCCTCTGGCCAATCAACGTGATGCTCGTTCCCACACGGCCCGCACGCGCCGTACGACCAACACGATGGATGTAATCATCTGGGTCACGGGGCACGTCGAAGTTGATAACGAGGGCTACCTCTGGGATATCCAGACCACGGGCTGCAACGTCGGTAGCGACTAGTATCCTAGCGGCTTGTGCGCGGAACCTAGCGAGGTTGCCTACACGGTCGTTTTGCTTGAGACCTGAGTGGAGTGCTGTGACGCGGTGGTCGAGGAGACGCAGCATGTATTCTAGCAGCGTAGCTGTTTTGGTTCGATTGCAAAAGATGATGACGCTTTTCTTGCTGTTTTCAGGTGTGTTCAACAAGACGTGCAGATAGCATTCTTTATGCGTGACAGGCGTTTGGAGGTACTTTTGCTGCAGCTTGGGCGGAATCGCCAGATCCTCTGTATCGACTTCAGACACGAAAATGGGCAGACGGCCCGGTGCACGCGGTTGGGACTTCAGCGCCAGAACCTCTGGGGTTACGGTCGCGGTGAATAAGAGGGTTTGTCGCGTTTCCTTAGGGGGTAGCGCGGAGAGGCAGGTCTCGAGATCGGGTAGCATGGAGCCTTTTCCTGGGGCGAGTAGGCGGTCGGCTTCGTCGAATACGACGAAGCGGACACGGCGGAGGCCGCAGATGGTGTCTTCGCCTGAGGTGCGGATGTGCTCAGCTAGACGGCCTGGTGTCGCGATTACGACGTTGGGGCGCGAGGCGAGAGCGATGGCTTGGGACCGCTGGTCTGAGCCTCCCGTGATTAGAATGGGTTTCATGGATTGCGGCGCTGAAATTGCTTTCACTTGTTCGTAGATCTGGATTGCAAGCTCGCGGGTGGGTCTACATGGCGATTAGCTGCTGTGATGTCGAAGATTTGGGTTATGGGCAGGCTGGGAGGTGTTCAATGAGTTTTGTACGCTCTTTCTCTCGTACAAAAACCACTGATGACCTCCGCGCTACCTCGTCGGCCACCCACACGTCAGCAATGGTTCGTACTCACGTGACAATGACGGCGAAGATACCGCTTGGGTCCTCCGCCCATTTCTGCATTATCGGTACCGAAAACGCTACAGTTTTACCCGTACCGGTCCTCGATCCACCAATACAGTCCTTCCCCTTGAGGATCTCAGGGATACAAGAAGCCTGAATGCCCGTTGGGCGCTTGATGCCCATGCTGGCCAAAGAGGTGCAAAGCCATGGTGCTACATTGAGCGTTGCGAAATCCAATTTCGAGTTGAGTTTTGGTGCGGAACTGGTGCTATTCGTCGACTTGTCTTGCTGTTTCGCTTTGATGCGCGAAATCGTTGTTTGTGCTGCTACTGGCAGCGGCTTCTCAGCTTCAGCCTCGGAAGCAGAACTCTCGGGCTCAGTCGGTGATAGTCTCCTTCTCTTTCTGGCCCCAGACTGCGCCTCAAGTATCTCCTGGTCTGATGCGCCGGATTCACTGTAATCTGACGTCGCCATGGTTGTTGTTGCTGTTTGGTATGTACGCTGATAGTTCAGGTTCGAGTGCCTCCGAAATTTTATGCAGGGGTCTGTCGCGCTAGTCTTATCGATACTGCAACACGCGCCTCCGACGCCTGGGCACACTCTCACCTTTTTACGCCTATTTGCACGAAAACAGCGTTTCCTGAGGATCGAACTTATCAAGTACGCAAAAACTTCGCAATGTTCTATCGTGTATGCTTAAAATACAGCGAGTCGCTTCCAACAATGTTATCTCATCCTTCCATCTCTCCGATACCTGCAACAACTCTCCCCACAAAGACAGCTTTTGTCTAGCCCAGCCCAATACTTGTCTCCGTAATCCAATGTAACTTCTTTTCCCGCATCTATTCCCTTACTGACCAGAACCACCCTCTGAGTATCTAGCCAAGTAAATGTAGAGCATTGCGCGTTCGGCTTACAGCTATGGTTGATAAAGCGTGTGAAATTTCCAGCTCTTCCTTGCCAAATCTGATAGCTGGCCAGGGGTGTTGAGCTATCCAACACATCGAGATGTCTAACACCGTTTGTGATCAGGCCAACCAGCTCGCCGATTGCTGTACCGCGGTCAAAGGAGGTCAATGCAGCCAGACCATTGTTCCTGCCATCGGAAGTCCGTAGAATCTGGACAGGTGGTGGCTTTCGCTTTACGCAACCGAACAAGCTTGGGAAGCAGAAACAGGAATTGTCTTGCGGCTTATCGGATTGTGGCTCGTTACATAAAGCGCAGATGTATGCCCCGCCTGGTCTTGTCACTGCGCTCGACTGTGGTGTCCAGCGTGGGTCTTCGCATCCCCAGACTGATTCATCGATGATTGACTCGTCGATGTGCTCGAAGGCAAAGTAAGGGTCTTGGAGCAGATAAGTTTGGCGCAGTGGCACAGGATCGGATCCGTCTTCGAAAACCACCCAGTCGTGCGGATGTCCAGGGTATTGAAGGGTTTGCGATTCGCCTACTATGGACAAAAGCTGGCGCCAGTGGGGATGCAGGGTATCGGCGGCGACTTCGAGACGCTTTCTCAGATTCCGTAGCCGGCGCATGGCATCCTTGTCGAACCCAACTCGATACTTGCAGAATCTGTATATGCCCATGCCAGCGAAGACAAGTGCAGCCCAGCCTGCTGAGTCTTTCACTTCCTTGTAGCCACGCCAAATGGCCATTTTATTGCGCAGTTCCTTTCTGCGATGGTACAGCGGTCAGCGAATGTGATCCAAAGTGCTTGCACTACGAGAAGTATCTTTACTTACTCCGACCAATCGAAATCCTGACACGCTTCCATGAACACAGCTTTCCTATGCTTTGTTGTTGACAGCTCTGGTCTCAACTGGCTCCGGTATTGCACCTGTTCCTCGAACAATTCGACCCAGCGGGCCTGTACGATCATTTCGATGGACCGGCAAACACGGCTCGCTTGTGTAACTTTGCGACAAAAGACGTTCATCTGACTGAAGGATTCCGATATTGGATTCGGAGCGTTATTGAGCACCGCCATAGCGGAAGGTGTTTCATCGGTATGCGCATGGCCGACCATGCCCATGCTCATGGAGGATCCATTGGGCGTTACTTGGAACTGTTCAAAGATTGCTTTCGGATCGAGGTTGAGCGTGCTATGTACTTGCTCCCAGATGCCAATGATAAGCTTGTCTAAAGTAGACGGTTGGAAGACGAACTTCTCCGATGCTACCTGTGGACGGTCAGCCAGATCAAGGTGAGTGCGCGTAAGCGCCGTTTATATTTCGTGCACCGAAAAGCGACCCACCAGTTCGTACTAAGACCCTGGCGGGTACCTGAGAGAACAAAATCGTCTAAGGGAATTGACCTACCTTCTTCCGCTTCGGGAAGCTGCGGCTATCGACCTGCATTTGCCGTTGGTGTTCGCTCAGATCTTCTTGAAACGATGACTGAGTGTGCGACACCCTCAGACCGCCAGTGCCTTTCCTGCGGGCCTCGCGGGGTTGTTGTACCGACGAGGACGACTCGTCCCGCGAATTAGACTCGTCCATTGACGAGGTCTCATCATAGTTCTGAAGATCCATGGCGGCTGGGCTTGCCGTGGGGGCTGGCGTCCTCATGCCCGCCAGATCGACGGTTCTCTGTGGACGCGTGAGCACACGCTACTGCATATTGGCAGTTGGAGTGCGGTGGGAACACCAACTTACCGATGCGATCCTTTCGGACTGTGCTCTTGCTGCATGGGTGGCATCGGCTTCCTCAAGAAAGGCCTCGACACGAAGTATGGGATGATCCAGGCTGTCGAGCTGCGGCCACGCAATGTTGATGTTGAATCTAGCAAGATGTTCCTGGATGGCCTTGCCGATGCATTCTGAAAGCCCGTCGACGTCCTGAAGAGCGTTCATCTTGAGGAAGTATATCGATAATACTCCGGTCGATTAATTAAGCCTGTGGAGTTGACACCGGACGCTAAGAAGCTTGAGCAGTGCGCGGGTAGGTGGGTGATATATTTAAAACCTACCACGATGCCCACTAGAAGTTTTACAGTGGAGGTATCTCCGTACCATAGAAATACCTCAGGGCGCGAAACAAAACTCGCTACAGACGTGAGGTAATGGAAAGGTCGGTGGACTGTTCATGGGCGGAACAAACTGTCCGAAGTCTAACCGGATCGAATGTCGCAATGTCGCGACACTGTTACCTCTTTCTATATGCTGCAATAGGAGCGCGCGGAAACGTGACGATGCTGATGGAAATTCTGCTCAAGCAGCTGTGAAAGATACCGGGTGAAATGGAAACGCTCTTGACCGCGTGCGGTATGGCGCTTGGCTTCAGTCATACGCTCGGCGAGCCGTGTACGTCATTTTGGTGTGGTACAGACGTCTGGACCAATTAGAAGTGATGTCGCAGCTGCACGTTGCCATGCAGACAATGGTCGTGGTTGCGGAGTTTGGGTTGTAACGTGCACGTTGACCCAGACCATCGAAGTTGCTGCTCGATGATGCCTGGGCAGACAGAAAAAAGCCGCAGGCGACAGGGCTGATGGCGACCTTCCTCAGCATGGCACGGGAACTAACGGCCGCGCTAACCACGTGCGCGAGGCCTCTACTCCGGCAGACGTCACCAAACAACCAAACATGGCCTCAACAATGAACATGCTTATCGTAAGCAACGACGACGGAATCTTGTCGGGAGGCGCAGAGGCTGTCGTTCAAGACGAACATTCGCAATTGTCTACTATCTTCGTACCACATATCGTCATCCATCTCCTTCGCGCCCGAGCAGTTCGCGCATCGATGGCAAAAACTCGATCTCCATAGATGCCAAGCGTAGCTATGACATTGGGGCCGTAGTGCGCCGGCTTCTGTAATTGGACTTGATTCCGCGTATATAGACTGGACGCTCAGGGTCCGGATCAAGCTATGTACACATTTATTGCGTCGATCGATTTCCTTCAACTTTAGTTTCTGTGGTTTCGCATCCATTGCGCGTTCGTAGTCCATTCAAATTGCACAGCCGTCATCATGGACTCGCCAGACGCGACGAATTCGAATAGCAAGGAGATACTAGAGAGAATTGCAACACACGAATCATACACCTTTCAAGGCGCGAGAGGATGGCGGAGATGGCGCATTCTCCAACCTGGTCGCGGCATGTATCACGATGTAAAGAGGAGACTACCTTACTACTGGAGCGACATAACCGATGCTCTCACTTATCGAGCTTTCGCCAGTACAGTCCGCATGTACTTTGTCAAGTAAGTCTATCTTAACATGGCTCAAATCTTATACTTACAAATGTAGCGTATTACCTGCCATCGCATTCACACTCGACATGTACCGTCGAACGGGCGGGTTCTTCGGCATCAACGAAGCCCTCTTTTCGTCTGCATTAGCAGCCATGGTGTTTAGTTTGCTCGCTTGCCAACCTCTTACCATTGTGGGAGTCACTGGTCTAATCGCACTTTTCAACTACACCATCTACGACATCGTCACCCAATATGACCCCTCGATTTATCCAGCATTCACCGCATGGGTCGGAATCTGGGCTGCCATCTTTCACTGGATCGTTGCCTTTGGAAACTTCAGTGACTACATGGCCTATGTCACTGACTTCTCGAGTGAGACATTCGGCATGTATGTCGGAATCATCTACTGTGGTATGTAACTCGTCATTGGTCATCCACAGATACAGTACTGACCTGCATACAGTCAAGGGTGTTGAAGAGCTGGTATATCTCTTCCAAGAATCTGGGTTTGACGGTGGCTACCTCTCCATCGTTATTGCCATATGTTACTTCGGCTCAGTCTACGGTCTCGAGAAGCTTGGTAACAGTACGGTGTTTACCCCAGGTATTCGAAGCATCCTCGCCGATTACTCCTTCGTCTTTCCTACCCTGTTCTGGGTAGGCTTCTCGCATATACCTGGACGTCTTGAGGAGACTGGACTATACCGAGTTCCTATCGGCAAGGCCTTTGCACCGACGCAGGACAGAAATTGGGTAATTGACTTCTGGAACCTTGACGTCAAGTGGGTATTCGTGGCTCTGCCATTTGGCTTCTTGATGATGCTGTTATTCTACTACGACCACGTAAGTCATACACGTCTTCCAGCACTGGCAAACGCTAACTCGTGGTAATAGAACGTGTCATCTCTCACAGCACAGGCCCGCCAATACCCCCTCAAGAAGCCCGCTGGTTTCCACTGGGACTTCTTCCTTCTCGGCTGCACATGCTTCGTTGGTGGCGTTATCGGCCTCCCACTTCCCAATGGCCTGGTACCGCAAGCACCCGTACATACAGATTCCTTGACCGTTTACGAGACCAGACTGGAGATCACCAAAACCGAAGACGGCGGTGAGATCCGTAAGCCATTCGTCAAGGCTACTGCCGTTGTCGAGCAGCGTATCAGTCATTTCTTAATGGGTATGGCCATCTGGGGTACCATGACCGGTCCCTTACTTATCGTACTACACACCATGCCCGCAGCAGTCTTTGCTGGCGTGTTCTTCGTCGTCGGTGTAAGTATCATCTCAGCTCCAAGCTCCCTCTGATATGCTAATCTTTCCGCAGTGGGGCTCCATAGAATCCAACGGCATTGTCAGCAAGTCGCTCTATCTCATGTCCGAGAAACGCTTCATCCAACCCGATAACCCGCTCAACCGTGTCTCACGAAGCAAGATCCGACTTTTCATCGGCCTTCAAATACTCGGTGTTGCATGCACAGTCGCCATTTCGCAGACTATCGCCGCTATCGGCTTCCCGGTTCTCATCATCGCGCTCATTCCGCTACGCACATTCTTGATGCCCAAATGGTTCACAGCACACGAGTTGGATGTTCTGGACGCCCTAACGGCAGACAACCCTTCCGTGTTGGTCAGCTTTGGCGGAACACCGAGTGGTATGAAGGCTGGTGGTCCTATGGAGGGCGGTGCTGGTGGTCCCCGAGACGAGGAGGCTCAAGCACACCCACATTCTGCCATGCGTCAACGAGCAGGAAGTCTTCACCGAGAAGAGTAGAAACCTTTGGTACGGCTACGGTATAGACAAAAATGTGGATTTAGCGAGGGGTTTTAGGGCGGTGGCGACGCTGGTTTGTTAGACTAATATTCATTTCGGGAAACAGGCTTCTTAGCCATTAAGAAGTATTTAATGTATTACAGTATTTAGTTTCACAATTCCTTGCGCAGCCTAGATCTCCGGCGTATCATGTCATGGTAGGAATAGTGTGCTGATGAACAACTTTCTCTTTTCTCCGTCGCACTTCTGCCCACGCTTTACTCACCATCGCCGCCTTCAAGTCCTACCCCGACCTCTCCGCTCCAATACGTCAACCCCCCAGTCGCACCCAGCATCTACAGCCTTCTCCAAATCTCTCATATCTGGCGTCGAAACCGACGGGAAGATCTTCATGACCTTATCATGCATTGCCGGTACGTCACTACCTTCGAACGCTCGGTTTACTCTTGCAGCGAACTCATCCGTTGCTTCCTCAGCCAGTGCACATAGTTTCGCATACAGCGCTGCGTAATCAACAGCCGTAGGATGCGTCAATGCGTGAACAGACTCATTAAGCCATGTGCCGTTTGGTGAGGAGGGGAAGAGATGGCCATGTTGGGGAAAAGCTTCTGTGTCAAACTCAATGGGTACCGTGTATTCAGGAGGGAGTATGGCGTCAGTGTGCGCTATCTCCTCGAAAGAAATCCAGGAAGTGCTGAACTGAGGATAGGAATCAGAGGATGAAAGCTCTGGCCTCGTCTCTGGGGTATCTACATGATCGCCGACCCATGAGGTTTGTTCTTGTGGAGGAGAGGGTTCGGGTGACGGTGAATGGCTGGGAGCGAGGGAGGGTAATAGTCGGTGTAGACAGGGGATGATCTCCCATGATATGAGCCGTTGGAAATTTGGGCGATCAGATTCTTCTAGAGAGTCGCAAAGCGCCTGCGAAAATCTTGATGTTGTATCTGGTGCTAGTGGCGCCCATATTGGTGCTGCATTCTGGCATCGAGAAGTCCATGTAAAGGCCGATGAAGGCCTAGGGAAGAACGACATCATTTTGACCTTCAATTCTTTATGGGAACTGGGTGGCTAAACTATCGCGTGATCGATTTGGTACTCCGTAAGCTCGTGTCTGAAGTGTTTGCGGGCTAGGTGAGTTGAGGAATTTAAGACTGCTCGTGAGTGTGCACTACAAAACTAAATGGCGATAAAGGAACCTGACGGTTAAGAGCATGGGCGTAACAGTGTATAAGAGATTCGGCATGTTTGTGTTTGTGTATATGACGTCACAGGCGATTCGTTTACTAAGTAGTGAATCGTAGAATGTGAGTGTTGTAAGCCAAAATCAGGATGTGAATGATCACAATACATGTAGGTATCCGCAAGAGGGAAGAATTGAAAGATTCGTCGACGATGGCGAATTACTATGAAAACATGCAGAGAAAGGTGTGCCAACCCGAGTACAGTGCCATACGGGCTGAAGGATTGGTACATACGATTGCAAGTAATCTTACTCTAGATCCAGTGGCAGACTCTCCCTGGCCCTATGATAGTTGCGCTTTACTTCACATGTGTCTAGGCTTCAGTGCAATAAATCTACGACGGAAAGCTGAGGAATGCAAAATAATATATAAACGTCGAAAAGCAAATGTTGAGGCTAATGTATCTTTCTTAAAATGCCTCGTGCTAATGAGTTAATCGACAGGAACTGTGAAGTTGTGTGCGCACCTCGCATGGATTGATAACTGTCGCGGAACTCTGGGTCAGCGCAATTCAATCAGTGTTCCGTTGTATCTAAATGATGGTGGTTGATAGACGTTGCTGTTAGTGACAAATCCTCGATTTCACTAGAACTGCATCAAGCCAAGACCGGTACGTGAGCAGAGTGGATGGTGTGAGCGGCTACCTTCACATGTCATTGTATCGCTACAGCTTCCTGTGAAGAACTGCTATGGTCATACTATGCGCGAACCTCGGCCGAGCGAGTCGTGTTGACTGTCGACACAACGCATGACATCTCCATCGGACCGAGAGTTCCAACACTTATTGTCGCACCGCTGCAATGAGACTAAATTTAGCATTCATACGTTGGTACGTAACGGAGACTTGCTTCACATATTAACATGAGTCTGATATGAAGATATAGTTTGAAAGTATGACAGAGAACCAAAGTGGACTTCAAGGTACGCGGCCCATACCTGAATGCGAGCGATGAAGTGCCCGACATAGTTCAATAGCGCCGAGACCTTCACAAAGAGTGCCCGGGATCAGCGAGAACCAGCATCGTTTTGGGCACTGCGAGATTGCGTGCAGTCATGCAAGGATGCCGAAGATTTACGTCGTACGAGATCCTTCATCGCATACTATAACGGGTGAAGACATGACGCAGAATGCTAGAGACGAACGAGATGTAATGAGACATAGCTTAAACCCAGCACATCAATAAAATGCCGTACGTAACAGCCGGCTAGAGGAAGTATGGCGCCATGCTGAATCGGTAGCAGAAGCAAGGGATGTAGTGTGGCGCAAACGGATATGACGGAAGTATGGAGATAGATGCAATCAAAGCTGATAGATTGAGAGTGTTTTTATTCCTTCTGAGAAGCAAGCGCATCGGGACAAAGCAACGTGTTGGATAATGCTACTCCTGCCAATATGTTTCCCCAAAGGAGCACAGCAACAACAAATACATCTTCATTTGTGTTTCCTGGAGATCATCTCCATGTTTGACGCTTCCAACACTACTCCGAGTATTGTCGGAGTCGACTGATGAAGCATCTGGACGAGGTCGCATTCCTTGATGCACCTGCCCACCTATCGGAGTCTTGATCCGCATACCAATCGTATCGCAAATACGGCCGCCCGTAATGTATTGCTTACTTCGTACTCGTTGGTATATTCCGTAATCTACGTTTGGCCCTCGTGAGTGTCTATGCTGTCCCAACATCTATGTTGTGCTTGCGGAGCTACTCTGAATTCGTACGATGTAGTCACCCTGGTCAGGTGAAGGTGATGCGTCTAGACGATCATTTTGCCACCTGTAGACTCGACAACAGAGGTCACGTCATCTTTGAGCTCCGGAATGGCGCTCGAGACGTGCAGGGCGAGTTGTTCTTGAAGCGCGCGGTATGCGTCGACGCGACCGTACAACATCTGGTTCATTCGCTGCACGGTCTCGACGAATTCGCGAGTGAAGATGTCCGGGTTCCTGGAATTCTCTACATAGGACATCACCTCTGGAGGGATGTTGATATTCACCGAAGGCGCCGTCCTCGACAGCTTGACCAGGTTCTGCACGAGCGACTGGCTGTGGTAAGGTTAGCCTCACCATCTAATCAGTACTCTGTAACTATCGCATACATCTCCCGCCTTATGGCCTCCTGCGTCTTGCTTCCATGGTGGTCATACGCTTGTACGATAAGGTTATAGAGGTTTTGCACGATGTCTTTCAGTTGGCCTTCCACGTCGATTATCGCCGCTATCGCAAATATTAGAACGAGCTGGAGAAGTACCGCACTACGTACATTCGGGACTTAGCGCTGCCATCTTGATTTTGAGAGTGAGCGGTGTTGTGAGTTCTGGTAATCAGAAGGTTGGTGCTGTGCGGTTACGGACGCGGCGCGCGTCACAGAGAAGGGAACGCGCCAAGGCTCGGCTAAACCTGACCATGGTTGACTTTCTGTCGTCATCGCTCCTTCACCAGTATCAACTCCACGACGACATTCATCTTGAACCGCGTCGCAGCGCGCTATCACGTGTCGAAATCTATACTCAGTGCTGGCAATGATGAGCATCGATTTGCAATGACAGAGAGTACAAATCGGGATCCCGACGTCCCTCTTGCGCAGCCACCAAGCTATCAGACCTCAGGACCGTCGACCCCGGGAGCCACGGGGACCAACGTGCAAAACCACTCCCGTGTGGCGGCTGCAACACGCTCAGCAGATACACAGAAGTCCCAGTTAGACACCACCTCGGATAAATCCACGGCAGCATTCATTCGACGCACTCTCTGCTCCCACAATGTGCTACTGGGAAATGGCGAGAAAGGACGCAGTACGCCGCGCCCTATTGAAGACGTGCTGCCACCCTTGACGAGCTCAAACGAGATCGACCTTCAACTATACGGCATCATCTCCGTTATCATCAAGGAGTTCGTACAGACGTGGTACTCAAAGATCACGCCCGATCAAGTATTTGTCAATGAAGTGATTCAGATCATCGCTCATTGTACGCGGGGTCTGGAGCAGCGCCTCAGGAAAGTCGATCTAGAATCACTATTGCTAGACGAAATACCTGAGCTACTCCAAGCCCACCTGATCTGTAGGTAATTCCAATTTGGACTGTCGCATGAAGTGGTCTAATTGTTCCCTGTCAGCATTCCGGATAGCGAAAACTCAAGCCGCCTCGTCAATTTCACTAGTATCAGATCCTCGTCTGATATATCATACGCTCCACCCACACCCTGCACTATCTCCTGTGCCAACCGATGATGTTCCGGCGACAGTCCTTGAACAGCGGGAGAGCGAGTCGGCGTGGCGCCAACTGCTTATCCACGGCGTGCTAGCCCTGTTGTTACCGACAGAAGACTTGAAAAACGGGTGTCTACGCGCCCTGGTAGGCGAAATATTTGCAGAGATGATCCTTGGAAATGGCATTAGCGGAAAAGCCTGCGAAGGCTGGGTGCTATGGGAGGGCATCACGAGAATAGCTGAGGTTTTACAGACCGATGCTGCGAAGGAAATGGTTCCCCAATCGGACGATGCCGATGCAGAGCAGTCGTTAACCCGTCTTGAGCGTTATGGGCTGTTGTCTCCGCATGAAGGGTCAGAAATTAGTCCAAAAGGGCCACCGGACGCCGGCCAGCGTCGTCATAAGACATCGGCCTTATACATCTCGGGTGTACTCTGGGCGATCATCCAATACGCTTTTTTGGCGTTTACTGCGGTGCGCGCGGTGGTCTTGAGTCTTGCGACATTATCTTCCCTTCCGTTGAGATCTGCCACAACCGAGCAGTCATCTGCTGAAGCAGCCAATCAACCGCAAGCACTGGAAGCGGAAAAGATGACTTCCAGGCGCCCGTTGGAGACCAAACGGCCTGTAGTAAGCATGAGCCTGTGGAGCTGCGTAGCGCAACTTGCCGAGTTGGATGTCCGCATGCCCTGGCTGTTGGGCTTCATCTCCATGCTCCATCGTGGAGCACTGCTCGGCCCAGGTAGGGTGGGTGAAACCAATGGTGTATTGGACAGGTAAGTTACGATAATATCTCTTTCTTCACTCGCATCCCCTGGTTGGCTAGCTGGTCAATTTCTGTGGCACCGTTCGACGCAGGATGAGATAGCTCCGCATACGATTAAAGTCACTTGACTTCGCTTCAGCGAATGCGACGGCCCGCACGCTCACACACCAGAACAACCCTGTCGTGGCGCACCGCTTTATGCAAGCCTCGGCACCCGTTCCGGGCGGCAACTCGACACGTTTCGGACAAGGAGGCTTGGCACATTCTAGGCTGTCGCTATTGTCAACACCATGAGCGACCACACGATGCCTGCATCAAGGTCGGGCCAATCCTGGTGCTCCGCCTCTCATCAGCAACCACAGAATACTGCGGGTCGTGCGAAGGGCTTTTGTTCCCTGAGCCGTCATATCGCGATGCTAGCTCTTGTGGAAGGGCCGCTTACGCGCCGGTTGATCTGCTCACACCGTCCGGCCGTCGTCCCTCTCGGGACTGGCCGTACAGAGTTCGGGCACGACATTGGCCACAAACTCTGGCCCTACCATGAGTCCCGCCACCAGCTGATTACGCCTCATTCTTCGGTTTTCATCGCTACCGTCATCCTGTTGAGGATCCTGCCGAGCACGTACTCCTCGGACTCCAATATGGTCTTAGTTTGTTTGAGCAGCGCATTGAAACAGTCAGCGAATGATACTGTTCCCCAAAGATTGGGAATGGCTTGTTCAGTCCATCACTACGACATCCTGCTTTAAGTTGCATAGTGGCATGACCATCAATCTCGCTTGCTATGGGCGTGCGCCTCACTTTGTGGGCCGCGTCAACAATTCGACTCGATTCTCGTCCGATGCTCCGGGCCTGCTACCGCAGACATCATCATTTACGGTCACCAGCTGAATGCCCCGCGGACTCGTTCATCTGTCCAACTCCTACCGCACGCGTTCTGCCTATCCCGCACCAGTCAATCTAGCCATTTGCAAGTCTCTTCTGCTAACCAGTCGCAACTGCAGATTCCTCGCTCATACTTTCCACACGCAGATCTTGAACCCCGCTTTCCTTCCCGTGGCGCTTCGGACTCTTCGTGCAACACTCTTCCCTAACAATGCGCTCGGGCCCCCACGTCAGACTCCAACGCATGAAGAGATCAAGGAGATCAAGCGCTGCTGTGCCGCCAGTCTACTTGACTTAGTACCACCGAAAGTGGCAGCCGCTTTCTTTGCAAACTACGAGCGCGATACGCAGGTTCGACAGATCGCAAACACACTAGACTGTCTCGATGACGCTTATCTCAACAAACACCTCGTCTTTCATATCGTTGAATTGATTGTTCTGCGCCTGTTTCCGGAGTTGGGAGAACAAGGCGTAAAGGATCTGCTGGAGGAGCGCATTAGCTGATGCTATTCTCATGCTTCTGAAAGTTAGAAGCCCATACATCACGAACTTTCACCGCCAGATACTCGAACGCTGCTGGGCACGGCCCGTCGCGCAGTCACCTTCGCGGTTCATAGCCCGTTCAACGAGGGTGAACTCCCATCCTTGTATCGCATACATATTTCCACCAAACCAGCATAGGAAAACTCACTAAAGCGGCGAAACTGCAGCTTGGTGCACTTCCACGTATACCAACTCATAGTGCGCTCGTAGCAAAGTGTGGTGGGAAAGGTACACCGCTGACCGTGAAAAGAGGGGTATTGACCAATCAAAAAATTCCCTAAGAAAATTGTTGAGGCACATGGCATCCAGACTCCCGGCTGGCTGCATGCCGTGGCGAGCACCTGACTATTCGGGATATTGCCGGACGGAAACTACAAAGAATGAACCACGAGGTGCCCCGCCGTGCACGTCTTCCACCAAGCCATCGCTTAGTTCGAGCTGCTTTGCCATGATTGCTGCAGCACTCAATCTTGGGAGTGTTGGTATGCGGCAGGGAAGTCACCACTCGCATACACCTCCTGCGAATGAGGACCTTGGACAACATGCATGTCGCTCGGTGGGCGCGACGGTCCGTGTCATCTGGACATCTGCGCGGGGATAAAATGCATACAACCGGGAGCCTTAAAGGCAGATATTGGATAACAAGCGACGTGCGTTGTCAGAGCGCCATGGTACATGAATTCAACTAGTCGAATACGAGATGACTACGTGCCCAGCTCTGCTGCAACTATGATGCGAGTTCACGATGCAGTACTATCGCACGATTCCGAAGAAAGTCAAGGACTCTAGACGACGTTGCATCTTCCTTGGTTATCTAACGCAGCGTTCCGAGCTTCAACACACCTTCACGCATCAAGATGAACTTGTCTAAGCCCTGCACCTTCATACAATCAAGCCCCGCCTAGCGAGATAACAAAGGTTTGAGTTCAGAACGCCTTGGAGCATCTCCCTGCGGATCACATTTACCGCCGCGTTCCTCTTCGGCTACTCCGCGCGAACCCTTGCTGCAAGGTCAAATATAACTCAGCCTCACTTAGGCGATGTATCAACCGTGGGGTTTCAGTGAGTGAACATCGCAGAAGCGAGGGTGGGCTGAGAAGTCTAAAGCGTCGAGAGAAGTTACCCCGCATGCGCCTTCAGCCCGTAGCCGTCTATCTCTTATCGCTTCCGCAAGGGTTGCGGTTCCTGGCAACACGTTCCTGAACAGCCTGCCGCTAACGTGTTTCAAAATTCGGTTGGGCAGCAACTGCGCGGAACATAACCACGATCGAGTCAGCCTTCTCTCTGCCTCTGCGGCACAGCTGTCCTGCATCTCGAATAATGGAACCTTCCTGATCCTATCGAATAACGCGCGCTTTGTGGGCGCGTGCGTAGGATTCAGGTCGCCGATTATGCCGGCCGAAGTGTCAAGACGTCAGTGTTGGTGATGCTGGCCCTTGCCTAACTCGGCGCGGATGACCGTTGAAACTTTAATTCTTCGAACTTCAGGGCGTAACAAGGGAACCCCTACAGGGACCTGTTCCGCGAAGCCGCGGGATGCGCAACGCGAAAAGTCATGATCCTAGTAATACTCGTCGTTCAGCATTTGACAAGATGCGACATCGCCTGTTCCTGAACCGCACGGGGTCCGGGGCAAGCGCATCAGGATCCTAGCGACAGTGCCCATGATCCCAGCACCGGCGATCCAGCATCTACCATGGTTTGGAGTCAAGCGAGTGCTCATCAGGGGCTGTCATGGGCATCAATGTTGCGAACATCGACCCATGTTTCAACGGTTAAAGAGCCCGGAACGTTAGTGCAGGTACGGCAGCGGGTGGGATTGACTCGAACATGCAAAACATCACCCGCAGTGGGCAATCACTTTATCCTACCAAACTATCGTCATCCTGCGCAAGGCATGAAGACTCAATAATGAGGCGTACGGCAGACTCAACTCAGCCACTCTGGAACAGTCGGCGTGCGCGGCTGCGGTTTGAGTCGTTCACTAATCCCGAATTTTCGGGATAGGGAAAACAGAGACGTCCGCTTGCTGCGCAACGCATGACAATGATCTTTGAATGACGCCGATTGACAATCATCATCAAGGCGGGCTGTATATTCCGCTTCGACTCTCACCTCATCCTGAGTCGTGATCCATTCGCCAACAAAGGTATTTGCGACACCAGTTCATGCGAAAACCCGTTGTTGGGAATCGAAGAACACTTCTGGAGCAACGGATGTGTGCGTCTGACAGGGAGTGCAAGATTGACGGGACGGGTACGCCAATGATGGGCGCGCGCGACGTACTGTCGCTTGTACACAGCGATGCGAAGGTGTATTTGATGTCCTATCGTGCAAACCAGCGTTGCTCAGACTTGTCAGCTGCGAAGTCAGAAAACGATACACAGGCCTCAGCCCATCAAACGGCACGTGACACAAGCCTTAAGGGTCGAACAAATGGTACGAACAACGGCGCGCAATGCCATGAATAGTTTCAGAAGTAACCTTGGAAGTACGCGTGCTCAGGCAACGTTGTTGGGAACACCTCACACGAAGGGATTCTGGTGGCCACTTCTGTACCTCGACATTCCTGCTCTCTTGCTTAGCCGGTTCCGTACCGTGTTACACAGCATCGAATATCAATCACGTGGACGATCTAATGCAGGGTACCGCATGACCTAGCACCGCGAACATCGTAATGAACTTTTCGATGCTTATCGCCAGCACATTGTGCATTAGATGCTAGGGCAAAAATTAAAGGTCACCGGAACACTCTCAGCCTTTTCACCATTGGCGGACTAGCCCAACATTATCTTCGAATTGCGATGGAGACAAGGGCGAGAGTTAGCAATCTAACGCGATAATTGACTTTCGGGTGTAGGTTTCCTAGCCTCTTGCGCTACAACCTGCCACCACTGCTTGACGTAGGCCCGAATACAAAGGTACTACGAACCTTTCGGACTCTTTCCTTGGATTTGCCAATGGTCAGGGGGCTGAAGAGACGGTAACGCAGACCTTCACCGATCGATGGGTGGCGATGCGATTGCGTGTTCGCGATTTGATGCTCACGACGGTCTAGCCATTGCGCGCAACACCGCGAGCTAACGATATGAGCGAGAAAAGGGCCGAATCAAGTCGGACTGCGACACCAAGTACAGATCTGCCCCATTGCGCGTCCCCTCATCTACTGTTACTACCTTTGCTTATTTACTTTGACAGCTACGTAACACGCGTTTTTAGCTGTCACCCAAAGGCCCCCTTGCTCCTTTTCTTTTCTTTGATAGAGCTGCACAATGTACAAGGCTGCTTACTGCAGCTTCAACCTGCGAAGGAAGTACACCCGGCATTTGACAACATGTGAGCCAGTCAACGGGCTCGGCTGCGGACCGAACCGGTACTGTACCGAACAGTAATGTGTCGCAGAAAAAAGAAGAAGCAAGCAGAAAACGAACAGGTCCATCTTCCCCGGGATAAGAAAACAGTAGAAGCAGAGTGTCACTGCAAGGGTGCCCAAGATATGGTGGTGGGGAACACCTACGACATTACCTTTCTTTGCTTCTTCTTGCGGCTAGAGACATGAACTAAAGTGGCGCTGGACTGCTCACCATTTTGCTTTTGTCGGCGCGCAACGCAGGGTGAAGTTAAACGGGCTGCATAATACCCGTAATGCAAAAGTAACGGCTTTGTGAAATAAGCAAATTGATTTCCAAAACACTGCCCAACTTTTGCTTCACCCGCGGGAGCGTGGATTGTACTCTATGTGCTACTACTGCCTTCGTCATGATTGAGCAAGGGGATTCGAAAACGAAGGAAGCTGTAACTGAACCAGTACGGAACAGAGAGAGTCCCAAGCACGACTCGCTTCAGGGTTGGGGGAAACTCGAGCTTCGCGCTACAGAGACGACTTTTGGGGTCCAAGCTCCATCCAGCCCAGCAGGGCAGCAAAAAGCTGAGTCCAGTGCGCGCGCCCCCGCGGCATGCCGAGCCCTAGGGCGCCTTACGTCGATTGCGCTGCCGAAACCACTTTACTGTGGAAAACGCCAGTACCAACGCCAATCCCTCGCTTCTCCAAGCTCGCGTTCGTCTCATCCCTGATCCAGATCGGGACAGCCCTTTGACACGAACCAAATGCGCAAACTTTCCAGCTGAGTATGGTGCGCGCACGGGGAGACGGGATACCAACTGTCTCACGCTTGCGGGCATCTAGATCAGGCTCAACAGTTTGAGAACGTGTTTTCCTCGTATACGAGCCTCGTCATCGATCGTTATGCATTGCGATCGCTTCAGGCGATGTACTTGTATATATGTACTTTTGTGATGTATCAAGGATGTGCAAGCTGCAGCAGGTCAAAAGGTGTCCGAGCTTCATGCAAAGGCGGGGAAGGGGATCAATTGGTGCCGACTGAACCTGCAAGTCTCACATGCAATTTGCGTTTTGGCCGTGGCCAGGATGCGGAAAGCCAGAACGAACGAATGCTGTTTTTCCTTGCGATCGGTAAGTCTGTCGGCAAGGTATTTTCCGAAGCTCAGTGTTGTTTTTCTGCGGACTGTGCCAAAGTTTGTTGCGCATCGTTGCTATAACGGTGTTGCAATGCGATGCCGAAAGCCCCGTCACGGGGGCTTAAAGCGGCAAGTACCAGCCGTTCATAAGCCAGACTTTTGCCGATCAGTGAAGTGTCAGTGGTGCTCCACCAAAACTAGGCAGCGCTTGATCATGATCAGATTGAGATCGGACGAAACTGACTAGTGACATCAGACGCTCAATCGTATGGTATGTTGTATTGAGCATTAATCGCATTTCAAGCGTGATTGACCCTTTCGTTAGGCCGGTCTCGCGGCAAGGGTCGGTAACTATATTAGAAGCTACATATAGGTGCACAGCAGTGCGTACGAGGCCCATCGCGCCGTTTCAGACTCAGTGCAACGTATGAGGGCCGCCAGGCAAATGTAAATAGAACGTTTGAAAGCAGCAAATAGAAGCGTACAGAATATTGGCCCGCGTGGGCGGTTACAGTCTTCCTTTTAGGCAAGGGGATAAAGTAGAAAACAGTCAGGCTACTGTGCGCTGCTAGAGGGGGGTATAGTGGTTCGTGGAGCAAGGGAATAGGGAGATGGAAAGTGAAAGTCAATGAAGGAGTAGTGAGAAATAGAAGCCATGCTAATGATGCTGATGCGAGAATGCGGCAAGATGCGGCAATGAAAGAAAATACAAACGGTGACTGTAATGTGGAATGCTAGCCGTGTGTGTATGTCCCTGATCCCGGTGTTCTAGACCGCAATTGTTGCACAGTCTTGCTACTCCAAACCCGAGCGATTCAGGAAGCTTGTTCCACAAAGGAAAGTGGTCGTCAGCGTTACGTGCTGTGACAGGCGTCACAGGGCTAGGGTTGCGTTGAGTGAATGACATGTCCGATTCGCTAATGGATCGCGTCGACGCTTTCAAGCTTGGTCGTTGTGAAGTTGGGCTCTGACACACGTCGCATCTCGGAAGGAAGGCTCTCAGAGCTGCGCTTGATTCGTAGCTTCTCCATCAGCTTGCCAATGGTGACATACTCCTGGGGCTCCACAACGAAACCGGCGTTCTGTGACTGGAAGAAGGTCATGACGAGTTCAAGAGCGCGTGCAGCTTCCTCTTGGGACGGTGTGATAGGCGAGGAGTCGACTGATGAGCCTTTGTCGTCGATGGTACCTGGGAGAGGAGGGGGCTGCATCGAATTGGGCATCTGGGTAGGCGAAAGCGACATTCCTTCCTCAATGACTGGCAGTGTACCAGGCATCTCGGTCATGGGCGAATCAAGTGCACCGCTACTGACGTACTTGGGGGTGATATCATCAGATGAGCCGGGTGGTGACATATACTGCTCAACACCGACAAGCATGGGGAAGGTCTGGCTTCGTGGCCTTTGGAAGTTGCTGGTCCCTGGCTGTCCATTCGCAGGCTGACGGTTTCCCATGAATGGACTCGGACCGCATGCTGAATCAGGCGTAAAGAAAGGCGAAGAAAGCGACGTGGGACTTGTGGCTGTATCTGTGAAGACGCTCGACAAAGAAGTACTGCTTTGTGAATGGAAGGGTCGGCGATGGTTCGAAAAGTCGTATGTGTCGGGGCTTTCTGTCTTGAGGTTTTCCTGACTCTTCTTCGCTGTCATGGTCGTTGTTGCTGGAGATACCCCGCCAGGTGAGGTAGGCGAGATGGCCCCCGGGGTATGCACATTGGATGGCGGATTCGAAGTCCCCTCCGACTCTTCTGCTATCGAAGTCTTGCGTGACCTTGCGCTACTGAGATGATTCTTTTGTTTGAACTTTTCCAACCAGCTCGCACTGTTTACCTTGAGGTGGCTCTCAGAGTTGCCGACGGTCTGAGCGAAGAAGCGGGCCTTCTCTCGGATCTGGGCATCCGACAGCTGTTGTCCCTGTTTCTGATGGTTTCGTGCCCAATTCGACAAGGCACGTTCGATATCCGGAAATTTGCCTTTCGACCTTTTTATGGGTGATCGGCTACCATCGTCCTGGTACAAGTACTTCTCCTTCTGGCGCAACACTTTCGAAACGGTACTACAAAACTGTCAGCACGGGAAGAGACATGCAGGGTATGCAGTGGTACCTTCGCTCTACGCCGAACATTGCTATGATACCGTCAGTAAAAGATCCATGTGAGCCTGGTGCGTGGTGCTGGCATACCTCCAATTTCCGTTTGCTTGACAGTGGGATTTTCTTCATGGTATTGGCACATGCGTCTGCGGTCCGAGTCTGTGAGAGTCTTCCGTGGTGTCGACGAAGTGCGGGAATGTGTTGAGCTCGCTGAGACTGGCGTTGCTGATGCCGGCGTTATCGGTGGTGGGGCTGAGGGGAACAGTGAAGCTTGGTAAGTCGACTGGCTGGTCAGCATGCTCGGCCATTGTGGCATCTGCGGCATGATCAGAGGCTGCAGCTGTGGATGCGTAGTCCTTGGTGTCGGATGCGTTTGGTGGGGTGGGTGCATGCCGTTCCCGTAGATGGGTTCCATCGGGAGCGGTGCAAAGCCGTTGAAGCCATTGTAGTCTTGGACTGGAGACTGATGGTGTGGGTTGTATCCATTATCGCCATGCCATCCAGAATGGTGATCCTCGAAAGGTTCCTGGTGGTGGTGATGGTGGTGGTCGTGATCCATTTGCAACTGGCTCATGTCGAATGGCAGTACGTATTGGAGTGGTGTATCCGTGCGAGTGTGGGAACGAGTGTCCGTGTTGGGTGCGGAGCAGAAGTAGGGTGCCAGACGGGCATATGCACCTGCACCGTGGTGTTGCTATACCTAGGCGGCGTGGGTGACCTCAGAGCGGCCGAGCGCATACATGCATGAGACGAGATTTTGGTTCCTGAGGCGAAACAGCGACAAGTCAATGTACCGCAGTAGCGGGGGTAGCGCTGACAAAAGGCGCTGGGTATGACAGAGGTCAAAACATATAGGTATAAAGCAGCGCGGCAAAGCAATGGCCTTAGATGGAGAATTGAAACTGCAGGGAAAGCCTGGCGCGGCGGGCCTGCAGCGCGTACTTGAGGATAAGTCTGGGGACACTGGTAACAGGCCCTGGCTGTGCGATGCGGGCGCGGCCTACTGCAGCTGGCGGGAGAGAAGCCCTGTTTGTTTCGAGCCCAAGCTTGCCGGCAAGCCTGGCGTGTGCACAGTGATCCTGGTCGCCATTCGGCCAAGCGACGAGCGACGACGTTGGGCTTAGCGTGTGCGGGTCTCTCATCGGGGATGCGCCCCTAGGACAGCGCGGGCCAGAATTATGCGGCCGCCTAGCTAGCTCGCCAGTGCATGCCTCGACGCCTGACTCCTAGCAAGGGCAAATGGGATGTCAAGGCAGCCGGGTGGGATCATCCCATCAGGGCCCTCGCACCGCTGAGCACGTCGCAGCCGGCTAATCTGACGCTTCCCGAACAAGACATGGTCTGAGTGGAAGCGCCATATTGGCTTCGCCTCGTGCGCCCAGCGAGGTACATCCTGGCCGTTGCCGTACGCTCGTGGCGCGAAACAGTGGCAGCCGATTCAATGCTGCTCAGGTACGCGAGCGTGTGGCGATTCCCACGGCAGGGGCAAGACGTCAATCATCGGCTGTGCATAAAGGAGGGACAGAAAGTGTCGACGGCTGAAACGCTTTCGGAAAGCTGCAATAATCGCGCCCATGGAAAATCGAGGTTTCGCCGACCAGCCACTCAGGTTTTCGGGAGCGATAATGATTTAGCGCCCGACTGACAGCGTGCCCTCTGAGTCGCCAGCACAACTAACCCCTGCTGATTTCTCCGAGTCGACCGCTGCGCCCGTTAGCAGACCAATAAGGAAAACCGACGCCTCAAAAATTGGGCCAGACAATGCTGATCTGAATCCATCAAATTCCGAAGCAAATATGGAATAAAAACAAATGCGACATGCTGACACCGTCCCAATAACTCCAGCGGCGCCATTACCACGAGGGTCCGTGACGGCAGTGTCTTGAATGACGCCTCCTCGGTAAGGGAAGCAAAGGCCTGTTATTGATAGCTCGCGGACGGTATCGGACCGCCACCAGCCAGTCGAGCATGGGCGATTGGCAGGTACGATCCGCGCCGTAAGCTGCGTTGCCCAGTACTAGTGTCGTCCTGATGTCGTCCGCGGTGCTACTGGAACGAGTCCTCGGCCAATCCAGGCCGCGAGATCGGCTCCAAGCCTCGCTCTCTTCGTCATCTTAATGCTGCGACCTAGTATTGGTATCGCAGTGAGACATGTTCAGCCATCCAGAAGGCCCTTCTGTTCTACTCACTATTTCGCAAGACCGGATCCATAACGCCCGTCGTATCTCGAAATCACAAGACCTTGTCTAGCGCTTGACAATGGTGACTGGCCGGTTCGTCAGCTCACGATATCCATTTAGAGGAATAATACTGGGATACGTACCGATATCCTCGTCGGCAAGCTCATGAGAAAGTCCCACACGTTGGGGCTGATGCTTGCATGATTTCCCGTAAACAATAGCGTGCTTGAAGTTGTCCACGATGGTCTTGTGAATGGAATTACACTACACTGCCGTTAGCGCGTCGCGTTTAAGATGAGGGGGAGACTTACGAAGTCTTCAATGGTACACGCTGTTGATCGCAATACCACTGGCGCCGAGTAATCCGGCATCCTGCCCTTGGGCTTGGTGTAAACCCGAACGAGATTCAGTTTCTCCCACATCTGCTCAAGGAGCTCATCGATGTTCCATCCTTGCTCGGAACTGATGGGACAAGCGTTCGGAATTCGGTAGAGCAGGTCGAGCTCTTCGATACTGATGGCATCAATCTTGTTTAAGGCGTAGATGACGGGGATATAGCTTCGTCCCTTGGCCTCGATAACATCGATCAAATCATCGACCGTGGCGTCGCATCGAATAGCTACGTCGGCGTTTGCCATTCGGTACTCGTTCAGCACAGCCTTGATTTCGCCATGGTCGATATGTGTAAGGGGAACCGTCGCGGTGATGTTGATGCCTCCCTTGTCCTTCTTCTTGAGTACAATGTTTGGCGGACTCTTGTTGATTCGAATACCGAAACCCTCCAGTTCGTTCTCGATAACGCGCTTGTCGGTGAGGGGTTTGTTGACGTCCAGAACGATGAAAATCAGATGGCAAGTCTTCGCGACGGCGATGACTTGTCGTCCACGACCTTTACCGTCCTTCGCACCTTGGATAATACCGGGAAGATCGAGAATCTGGATCTTGGCTCCGTTGTACATGACTTGACCAGGTACTGTAGTAAGCTGTACACTGTTAGTACTGATCGTGGCATCTGTTGTAGTCTACCCACCGTTGTGAACTCATATGCAGCGGCTTCAGAGTGCTGTCCGGTCAATTTACTCATGAGCGTACTCTTGCCCACGGAGGGGAATCCAATGAAACCAACACTGGCAACACCAGTCCTAGCAACATCGAATCCTACACCTCCACCCCCGCCGCCAGACGAAGGCTCGAGTAGCTCTCTCTTGAGCTTGGCGAGCTTTGCCTTCAGTTGCCCTATTCATGTATAAGCATACCAGTATACAGTATCCGTTGGTGGGGTCCTACCAAGATGAAAAGACGTCGCCTTGTTCTTCTGGGTCTTGGCCATCTACGTCTCGTGTAAGTCATCGTGTTACGGTCGCGTATTGGGGTGTGTCTCACTTCGGCCTCGATGTCTTTGATCTGCACTCCATGTTAGCATGTGCAATAGCGGTATGCTGCGACACTCAATACTTGCCTTGTCCACTGTAGTCGCCATCTTGAGTTATCGTGTATCCTGACTTGATCTGAGCAGGCGTGGAGAGGCGATGTTGTTGTTCAGAAATTTGATGCGACGCACGCCGCCAATGACGAAGCGGGGCACGGCTTCCCGGCAGTAATTTTCACCGCCACTCGATGCGGCTAGCGCCAAACGCAGCACCCTTCCATCTTGGCTTCCATGCATGCTTCCTCGCGGCCTTCATAAAGTCCAAAAGCCCGATAGAAGCCGCCTTCGGGCTCTTCACATCGGTGACTACACCCACCACCTTTGGCTGCAGCATACAAGGTGCATCACATGTCGCCGAACTGCTGACCGCCATGGATCCACATATCACAAGCTCAGAACGCGCGAATTGTTACATAATGAAGCAAGCCCAGTCCTGCACAAGCAGCATTGAAAGCAGGCAAACCAACGCTCTTACCCTCGACAAAGGCTGTGTGTATTTAAAGCCCGCGCTCCGAAGTCTCTTCGTCGGTACTCCGTCTGTAATACCATCATAATCAGCAACACACTCGCCACATTTTATATTCCGCAGACATCAATATCGTTATCATGATCGGCCGCAACACTGAGGAAGATAACTTCCACTCACTCGTGCAAGAGATCAACAAGGTGCTCGGTCCCAGCAACGGCATAGACTCGGATGACGTAGACGAGAACGAGCTGCAAGAGTTGATGAAGGCCTACGTCTCGGAAGAGTCGGAGTGGAAAAAGTATTTCTTTCCATCAGAGACATTACCGTACACACGGAATGTTGTCGACAAAGGCAACGGTAAGAGCAATTTGGTAAATACACCCCGATTCCCGGGTCAATGAAAGTGGTGCTGACTGAACAGCTCATATTGGTATGGGGACCTGAAAAGAAGAGCCCGATTCACGAGTAAGTTCTCACATGTTGCGACTGTTAACCCTAACATACGTTGCTTTGTCGCTGTCTTGTCGCCGCGTCTCCGAAACCATACCAGTACTCCATGGCTACAGTCTCCTGCACGATGAAGCGACCCCGTTCGCCGATCAGGTTTGATCGATGTGTCAGCAGGAGACACGCCGGTAAGACGACCTTTCGATAAAATCCACCACCTTCAAATACCCACCGTGGACATAGCTGGCACTCTCGAATGCGCAACTCGGCGTTGTCATACCCAAGACTAACATCATCCTAGCCACGCAAATGCCCACTGCATCATGAAAGTCCTCAAAGGCAGCCTAACAGAAACCCGTTTCGCAACCCCCACCGAAGACGACGCACAAAACCAGCGCCCCATGACCAAGACCCAAGAGACTACTTTCTCTGAAAACGAAGTCACGTACATGGCTGACACGCTTGGTGTGCATCGGATTTCCAATCCGCATCCCACAGAGTACGCAGTCTCGCTACATTGTAAGCATCAACTCTTCCATTTTACTTTGCACTTCACTGCGCCTTAGTCACTATCTTCCCTACTTCATAAGATCAAACCATCGATCGACTAACCAAACACAGTGTACACACCACCCAACGCAGCGACATACGGGTGCAACGTCTTTAAGGAAGACACATCTGGCGTCGTTCATAACACGACGTGCCATTTCTACTCCGAGTACGGCGTCAGGACGGGGAGGAAATAGGCTTCACCTCGTTCGCAGATTCGTTCCATCATCGATAGTATTGTTTGGCTATGGAACATGATTTGGAGACGGGTAACTGACCGCGTTCAACGACAAGGCGGTGGATTTGAAGTGGTCGCTGGGTAGGAGAGTAGTCTGTGGAAGATGGATGACACTGGCTTTTTATATGCGTACCTTAATAGTTCTCTTTTACGTCAAACAAAGATCATTCAACATGCAAGCCGGAGAGTCAATGGAATCTTATCGATCACAGCTTCACCCAGTCTTGTGTACACATCAACTAAACGTATGGACCGTCACATGCACAATCATCAGAACACGTTCAACAAAACAGCCATATATTCCAACTCCATCTATCCAACCCGAATTTTCTCCTTCACACCTTCCACATCACCACATCTCAGGCCCCTCCTACGGCCCCGCAAACCCAATCTCCTCCCTCTTATCATCCACAACCCGCCCATACTCCAAAAGCAACCTAAAGAACCAGACCTCAAAGTCTACATTCCTCAACACCCTATCATGCCACTCAGAGCTCCTCTTCGCAATTGTCCTTGCCTTCTTCTCCCCTTCACTCGCGCCATTCCCCCCCTTCTTCGTCCCATCAGCAGTAACTCTCTCAACAACCCCATCGCCATCGTCGTCGAAGACCTGTGTGCCGCTGAACCAGCGCACAAGATCAAGATGTTCGTCGCCGCGGAGGGAGAGGGGAATGTAGTGAACCCATGGTCGGAGCCACTCTGCATGCCATTCGCGGAATAGGGCCATTTTGTAGGTCAGACTGCGGCTTTTGAGAAAGCTGTAGAAGCGGCCCGAGAAGGCGTTGCCGTCCATGTCGAGGAGGTGCTTGTAGTACCATGCGTCTTGGCCGTCGACGCGTTCGGTTACGTCGAAGAACTCGTTTTGGGCGTCGCAGTCGCCAGGGTCGCATTGGCCGATGTGCGAGAAGTGGACGTCGATGAGTTCTTTTAGGGCTTTGCGCTCGATCGAGGTTACGGCGTAGGATGAGGTAGGGTTATTCGAGGTCGCTGGGTTGGAGACGGGCTCTAGGACTTTGGCGGTGTCGGGGGCATTCAGGCGTTGGACGACGTGTTGACGGTGTTGACGTCTCCAGCCGCCGTTGCGACTGAAACCTCCTGTTGTGGAGCCGCGCCAGTAGAGACTGTTCGTCTTGTTCTCCCAGGATGTGTCGCGCGTCTCGTCGTAGCCTACCTTGCCCATCCAGTACCATGGACTAGGGTATAGAATGTCCTGGAAGCTGGAGATTTTCGACTGTGAGAAGACGGGTGTCAGCTCGTGGATGATACTGAAGGCGTTGGGGCGCTCGAAAAATCCGAACGTTGACGAGAATGAGGGGGAGTTGCAGATATCGGAGAAGGCGGTTGTGTTGTAGATGAAGCCAAGGTCACTGACGGCATACGCTGTGAAGTTGTCGGCAGCGTAGTCTTCGAAGGTTTGGGCCTGAGTGCCAGAAGAACACGATAGCCGCGAATGCGTCCATGTCTGTTGGTGCGCAAAGCGATTGAACTTGGTCGTGCTAACTTCAGCAAATCGTGTACCATCACTCAAGTCTTCTGGTCGAGCTGAGAAGGTATTACGAGGTGCAGTGTTCTTCGCAGTGCGCGGTAGGATTTCGTCCCTCGCCTTTGCCACCATCGATGACAAGAGATTGTTGGGTACGACGACTCGAGGTTCATCGTGCAAGTTGAAACCTAGATCCATATCAGGTAGATACTGAACAAACTGTTTCATCATGCCAATGGTAGCCTGTTGTTGCCATTCATCGCCACCTTGAAAGTTCTCTACTGCGCCATGGCGTACTGCAATTGCAAGCATTGAGCTATCCTCATGACCTAATGCGTTCGCGATGCGCGATCGAATCGTCGATGGCTTGAGTGCCCAAAACGGTAGCAGCATCTCATTGATCGTGTCGTATTCATCTATCATCACAACGCCGTTGCGCGTCGCAAACTCGTACCATTTGTCGAAGTGTGGAGGTGGTGATATCCCGTTTCTGCGTCGGTATTCCCGAACAGCATCAGCAAGAGACTTGGATTGTCGGTTGAGGGTGCCTTGGAAGTCTGCCTCTGCAGCGTCAATCAATTGTGCAGCCGGATGACCCTTGGTCATATCGACTGACACTGGAGCAAGTGGCACCCTAGGCAGAGAAAGTGGTATGTCGGTAAGAGTACCATCCGCGATGTGTTGATAAGTTCGTGGTCCAGTGAAACGTCCAAAAAGTAGAGACCCCACCGCAAGAGCCATAACGATGAAGATAAAGCGACGCAGTCGCATAGAGCGCCGCGCATCCATGATTATGGGAGATCTGGATGACTCGAAAAAGTGTACAAGTGCCGCCCCGTCGTAAATGAGGGTAAACAAAACGGTGGATAAGGTTGGGGTGAAGTGTAGTTTCGCAGCAAGATGTGAGAATATGGCCAACAGAGAGGTATTTACAGCGCCATATTGAGAGATCTATTAGCAGTTAGCTTGGCGCTGTGACAGTGCGTTGAAAATGAAAGGTACGTCTCTAGTTCTGGAACCCGAAGCGTGGGTGAAAGACACAGCGACGGGTACGACAAGGTAGTAGGCCGGACCCATTTTGGTAATAAGATACGAGTACTCAGGTCGTGCAACAGTAAATTGGAAGAAAGTACGTACCAGAATGAAAAGAAGAACATCTACAATGGTGTGAACGGGTAGCATCCACAAGAAGCGCTGGAGGATGCGGAAATTGTGTACGTCCCTCCACTCCCGGTCGTACTCTCTGTATACAGGCTCCCAAGATATCGTGCTTGCAGTCAAGGACGACTCGGTGAGGATCGACGCAATTCCGCATACAACTGCTACGGCCACAGCGACATCTCTAAGCGCAGCCAGTCGTTGCGGCCTCGAGGCACCACTCACTGAGGCGCGCCGCAACGCACTCCCGTTTGCAGACTCAAGCCCTCGCCTACCGCCCTCGCCCTCTTCTGTCGCGGCTTGTATGGTGGACTCAAACAGGACGAGGCCGGTGGCAGCGAAGATGGCACTGCTGATACCGAGCGCGACCGTTGTAGGAACTGCATATGTGCCAAGAACAGCACTCGCAGAGACAACCAGAACCGCCAGTATCCCGTATGACTCTGTGTGAGGTCGTCGTTCCGAGGAAATCTTGGTCTCGGCTGCAGGGCCATCGAGAACGGTGTAGGTGGGTAGGGCGAGGTGTTTTGCGACCAATTGGTTCTCGGAGAACAGAACGGTAAAGAAGGGAATAAGGGCCTGAAGTACTGTTAGGAGGCTGTATGCCATTACTCTGTCCCGTCTCAAAGTACCTTGGTCGCCCAGATGCCCTGCTTATCGCATGCTGCGCGGTCGCATATCACAGACAGACCCAGCAGCGCGCCAGCCAGCCAGCTCGTCTTCCTCTTGACGCTGTCGCTATTTGAATATATCCCCACCCAAAACACAGTCGGCACCCATACTATCAGCCATGAGATCGTCGTTATGAGCAGCGAATGCTGAACCGGTGTGTGCACGTTTGCGACAGCCGCGAGGATGGTGTAAAGCAGCGGGGCGAGCAGGTGGTGGTATTTGACGACATTATCGGCAAGTATGGAGACGGCCGGGTGCATTGGGGCAGGAGGTGGGTCAGCGCTCGTCGGAGGGCATCGAGTTGTCTGGCATGTGTTGGGTCGCGGTGTTGCGAGCGCCGGAGAGCCGCAACCGTGCGGATCTGCAGGGTCGTGAGTGACGCCATGCCCGACAGGCCACATCTATTTACATGCTCGCAACAACCAAGCCATCTTCTTGGGATCTTATGAACTTGCAAATATCTCACTGAGACCTAATATCGAATATGTATCCCATAAAGATGCATTCCAATTGTCTAAGATGAAATTGAACGACACCCACTACTTATCGCCGGAAACTCATCATGCATGCGCATCCTGCAGGAACACGTCTACCATATCTTTGGATGACATGCTGCAATGATTCCCTTAGCTTGGAATTCTTTCTGTTTCCAGAAGGTTACACAGCGATGCGTGGTACAGCGCAAGCTTAGACGAGTCCAAAAGCCAGGTGGAGCTTTGATGGGCAACTCCAGCTACCTCACTTCGTATCGAGCCTCAAGCGATCCATTGATCTTTCGATATACCAAGTCAGGTATAGCTCTCTAGCCTTCAGTCATCTGCCGCCTGTCCACTTTACCATCTGCTTCATTCGACTTTCGGCATGCCTAGTCTCTCATGCCGCGGCTTGACTTATACCGATGCTTCAAATCCGGAAGGCACGATGCTCAGTGACCCATCAATCATGAAAACACTACAGGTGACCAGGCTCTTCAGCGCACAATCACTCAAGTATGGGTATCTTCATCGCCTCGGCCTAGCAAGATATGTCTACGATCAAACTTATATTCTTCCCCTGGTCTTCGTTCTGCGTCGCTGCCCTTTTCGCAAAGGGCTTAGGGCAAAGCTCGCGCACAGCAAAGACGAAGGCGCGCGTTTACGGAAGGCACCATGGCTGTCCTCGCGCAAACTTCACTCTCACCTTCTTCCGTCGATACTCTCGCAACCCAAACCACCGTAGCTGACGCATCGGCACACGTCAACGACAAGAGCAGCGATGAGGCCTCCACCAGACAGACAGTGTCACATCCTTCGCCTGCCGTAAGAGCTTCTCAAGCCTATTCTGACTGATGTGCGTGTGTTCAACCCAAATGCACTACTATGCTAACGCGTCACCTGCTGTTGAACCAGAACGATCAGCTCAGCATAGCGAAGACATGCGTGCATCTCTGGGAGCTAGCATACCCGATGGTGTATGATCGGATCATTTTCAACATAAGTTCGGCCATAGAAGACAAGGTCTGGAGTAATCTCGCTTCTGGAATTGGTCTTCGATATGTTCGGCATCTCGAGATTCACACTTCGATACAGTCAAACGCGTATGGATGGGTACCAGACCACATTGCAGACATGATTGTCGGAACCCTACTTGCAGGTCTGCGCAGGAACCAGCTGCTATCCTTTAGGTAAGAAGGCTGCACGTCGTACTAGATGCTGCTAACATTACAGCAGCCTGAAAACCTCTGCATGTGTATCGTTCACAATGTCTACAAAAAACGTCATCATACTATTGGAGACACAGCGGAAGCTTACACGAGTAAGCTTGCCCATCACGGGATTTAGCGATAGGAACGACGCCGTCGACTACCTTCAGGTGCCTCGACAGCTTCGCAACCTTCTTGGCATTATGTTCGAACTATCTACTAATATGAATACCAATTATGTATACAGTACCATGGCCCAGGCGTCACCCAATCTCAACAGCATCCATCTGCGTTTCACAATTCAAGAAAAGTACCCTTCTGACCACCGACCTACAGTACCGGAACGGTGACCATCTTCTCGGAGCGTCTTGTTCTCCTTGGCTACGAAACTCACAATCCACAACTATGATTTGCACGACATTGCAGTGTATGTGGGTAGATCCGCATTCCCTGCGCTTCGTGCCCTAGCCGTGGTCGACTGCAAGAACGATTTCTATTTCTTCCTTGGTGTCCGGCCGACGCGGTTTCCGAGGTGCAAGCATTCATGTACACAACTGTCAAGCACCCAATAGGAGATCGTCTTGCTCGCTTCATTCAAGGACTGAACCGTTTGCGTGAGCTTGTCATATTGGTGATGGAATCAGGCTTCCTCGATGGCACAAGTCTTCTTTCACACGCACAAACTCTTGAGCTTCTCTGTATGCCTCGAAGGAGATCTGGCTCGGTGTTCAAGACATTCGACGATCAATCTATGTGTCTCAGTACGGTGACGAGTCTGCGTCACCTGGGCATTTACATAGGGAGCTTGACTCGTCGCACGTCGAATGGAGGAACCACCTATAGCAAAGCAGAGCTTGCTAAAATTTCCGTAAGTCCAGAACTACATCTTCACCTCCGCCGTCTTGGCTAGTTCTACACTATAGGCAAATCTCACCGCTTGCGACAAAATGCAGACCCTGATTCTGCGAAGTTACATCCAACTTTCAGCTTAGCATCCGATCAAAGCAGACGAGCAGAAAGATCTACTAGCAGATAAGGCTCTGTCTGAAGAATTGGTCAGCGATGCCATTCTCTCTGTGTCGGAGGATGGCGGCTCTACGCTCGATAGCCATACACTTCTATACCTGGCTGTTGCCTTCCACAGCGGAGTATCTTCCCGGACTCTATCAGACCGGAATTCCAATGTTATCAAGAAAGGCCCAGGACAACCGAAAACAATCCTCACCCTCCAACCCAAGCAAGTCTCCCCGCCAGCAGACCTGGTTAAAGGGGAGATCATTGCGCGGTATGCTAAAGACAATTACTACTTCCTCGAGGCGTATGTCGATACTATAAGTGCAGAGAGTCGCATTAGCATTCAGAGCAGAAAATCAAATGGTCCTGTGTACCTATGATGGAATAGTTTCATGTCGGTGTAGGTCCAGGCGGGATCAGGAAGAGAGGTTCTGAAGGATATCTGAAGTAGTTCGTATGGACCATAATGACTCATGTACCGTTCCGTAAACAATTCATCTTCGATGCTTCATGATACCCCTCCATCCTCCATGGTCCCAAAACCATAGGTCATCTGTCGTCATACCTTCCTAAACCAACCCGCGGACCTCGCATCTCAGTCGCCAAACATCACGATACAAACCAAACCCACCCCTCCACCCACACCACCCACCGCGCCAAACCCACAACAAACCACGCGTCCTCGCATCCTGCCTCATCACGATACACGATACCCCACTTTCAGCCCTATCCCCCCACCAACCAACAAAGTCCTCACGCGCCCATCAACGATCGAAGATCATCATCTCCACAAGCACGCAACTTGAAACGCACTCACATTACCCATACAGGAAGTTGGCGATGCTGTTGACCCGCCTCACTCAGCACATTGAATGCTGAGGCGTCTCGCTTACAACGTAGGATTTGCGATCGTCGTCGATCCGCGCCTGATTAGATGTGTGTTGCGGGACGGGGGACGGAAGGGGAGGTTGGCATATTGGGGGTGTACGTCAGCTAATTTTCATGTAATACTACATAAGTGAGGTCCGAGGAACGATATCAACATGCTGTCATCTTGGTTTTTATTTTCTTGGTTTTCGCCAAGGTGTCACGATCACGATCACTTTTTGGCGTGATGTTGTTGTTATGCGTGGGGTAGCATGGCATGGCATAGCGGGGTATTGCACCCGTCCACTCAACCCAACCATTCGACTATTGACAGCCAGCATTCAGAGATCACTATGATATCCCGTCTACGTAACAGAAAACCACCATCGCGAACTCTAACGCCGTTCCTCGTCTTACCTTTCAGCCCGGAAGTAACCATCCTATCCTGCCATCCAGTCGGACCTCTCACAATAGCGAAGCTAGCCGTATCGTCTGGGTAACTAAAATGCTAAGGCTCACCCGACGCCCCGGATCTTGGAGTACCAAACTAAGCTATCAGCTGAGGAAGGTAAAGCACGATTCTTCCCAACCTCAACGGCCTTGGCCGCTTCTCATCAGCTCTCAGCTCCGTCTCAGCGCTTTATCTCGGCGACCCAACATTGGGTTGGGTTGTAAAAGGACCGGTTACCCCCGCCCGCCTCTCTTTCCCGTCTGTGTTGTTAATGTCGCGTCTCTCGTCAGCTTTGGGCTTTCATAAACGAACGGGTCCTGCTCAAAAGCATCTCAATTTCCTCACTCAAAGCAATAACTTTACACAGTGGGACTCTTCCTTTCGACTGAGATGTTTTATTTGGCATTTCAATCTTGATTCCTCTCATCCTCAAGGTTCGTTTCAAAAAAAGGTTTCCTTCACAGCCGAATATACAAGAAGATGGCTGGACCATACACACATTGGAAAGACCCCCCTCCTCTCCTCTTCTCACACCAAGGCCACGCTATCCAGCGTAGCCATGATGGCTCTCCTGTCGTCGTCATCGAAAGTATTTGTAAAGTTATATGGGTTTATGTCAAAATAGGCTGAAGTTTCTTGGTGAAGAGATGAAGATTGAACAAGTAAAAAAAAACAAGGGAAAGAAAAAAACTCCGGGATATTTGTTGCAGGTGCTAGGCTCTCGACGCAAAGGTGACAAAAGACGACAGGTTCGGATGATGACCTGTACTTTAACCTCAAGGGCGTCGTCGGGGGTGTGACGGCCCTCTCCTCGGTGTGCAGGCTGCGTCTTTCTCCTTCGCGGAGATAGATTGCTAAATGGCTGGTATTTGGTTTGTGGTACAGGGCCGGAAGTACGGTGAAATTGGAGGCGATGGAAAGAAACATGTCAAGAGATGTCGGGACGTCGTAAAGGCGTGTCGGGTGCAGAAGGCTCCTACTCCTCCATCCTTCCGAAGATCTCGTCATCGTCCTCGTCGATGCGGCCGCGGCTGCGTGAGTTGGAGTAGCGGTAGTCCTCTTCGTCGGCAAAGTGGTCGTCGTCCATGTCGACGTCCTTGCTCTCGCTGTGGTAGCGGTAGCTGTTACGCATACTCGACTGCTGCGCGGTAACGGTGGTGCTACCTGACAGGGTACGGGCATTCAGGTCAAAATACTTTGCAGGTAGTGGGGGCACAGGTGGCACATCTGGCGGAAGCGCGACGGGTCCCGTCTTGGGGGTGCCGTAAGAGCAGCTCAGCAAGCCGACGGCGGCGGCGAGGTCAGCATGGTCATTGCCATCGTCATGGTAGGAGCCGGCAACCGAGGTGCCTGACGTAGTGGGGCGGTCGGACACGTTGCTCCACTGGCGATAGTGGTGGCCATTACCGTTGTCGGAAAAGACGGTGGACTGGTAGGATTGGCTGTAGGCGGAGCTGTTGGCTGAGTAGCGCTTGAGGGAGCGGGTGCCAAAGTGCGAGTGAGGGTAGGATCCTACGGCATGGTCGTCGAGTTGCGGGGGCGGGGTAGTTTCAGTGGAGCTCAACTCCTCACGCAGGTCAGACGAACCCGAGGCGGGCGGGGACGAGCGGTCGCTGTTCTCGCCGTCGCTCTCCTTGTTCATGGCGACGAGGACCGAGGCGGCCTCGAGCAGCTGCACCTGCTGGTGCTTGGAGATGAGCAGCTTAGATGTGTACTGCCATTCAGGCGTGTGCTCCCAACTAGAAGAAAAGTCAACGCGGAACTATCAAGAAGCATGGCATTCTATGTGTGCGTGCGAGGGAGGAAAGGGCATTCGTCATGAGGCATGAAAGTATGTGGGAGGGCCATATTCGGCCAAGGGTTACTAACAGGTGCTTGGTCAGACAGCTGCTGTGCTTGTAGCCTTTCCCACATTTTTCACATCTCAGATCGCTACCACTTCGCTTGCCGTCGCCCTTGGACAGGCGAGAGCCCTCGCTCGCGCGACGGTTCCGCGACTTGGAGTTGGCCTTGTCCTGCTCCAACATGGTTGCGAGTGTCGGTCCGTCGGTGAGAGCCTCGCTTTTAGCCGCCGCGGCGCCATAACTGCTGGGCCCAAACTGCGAGCCATTGCCGGGCATACTCGACGCCATTGTGGAGTTGAGGGCCATGTTGGGGCCCCGGAACTGCGATGTCGGCTTGGACGAGCGGCGCAGGCCATTACTACTACCTCCCTCGAGCGGCGCCCCTGACATGCCCTTGGCCGCGGCAGCAATGGCCGCGACGTTGGTGGCAGGTGTCTGGCTCATGCTCTTCCTGCGTGTGACGCGATGCGCCGGGTTGAGGTTGGCGGCGGATATCGAGTGCGAGTGCGGGCGGTTCTTGGGGAGCGAGCCGGCCATGGTGCTAGACGAGTGTCGTTGCTGGCTGGCGGGTCGGACGTTGATGGGCTCCTGGCAGGCGGCACGGTCAGCGCAACTCGGGTTGGTCAATTGGCAGAGCGTGTATAGGTACCTTGTGGACAGTCATGCTTGCAATAAAAAAGTCGCCGGCCGCGGTGTTTGCTTTGTTGTCCGCTTCGTCAGCAAGGCAGCGGAATTGGTGCACAGCCTCCGAGGTGTCGGAGGTATAGAGCGAGATGCGGCTGAGAGACAATGCAGGGCAGTGCAGGCGTGGGCGGTAGAAATAATAATCCAGAATGTGTGCGAGAGGCGTCTGCTAGCTGGAGAGGCGCTGATTTCAAAAATAAAGCGTGTGGACAGGTCCCGGAATGCTATTCGACAAGTGGGGTGATGCCCGAGCTTCTGATATGGAGTTACTGTGTCCAACAGAGAGTCTCGATTCGCAGCCTCAGAAATGCGGCCAAATATCCCCGTTTCAGACCCGGTAGCGGCAATAAATCAAGGTTGGGGAAGTGAATGAGATGGGTGCAGCAGTGGCAGAGGCCAGGAACTTTTTATTATTTGGTCGCAAACATGGCACGCGGCATCTGGGGTCAGCCGGACGCTCACAGCCCACGCCCGACCAACGTGACTGATAACCAGACCCCGGCCGCCTCCTCCTCAAAAGGTACGCGGCAATGCCGTGGCTGAAGCGACAAACGAGGCCGCCCATGCTGCCGCTTCTATTAAAGACCGCACGGGTCCGTGGCGGGCAGGGAGCGCAGTCTCTCCCTCGCTCTCTGATTGCATGTTTCACCCATGCCATTGCTCCAGACACCTCTGACCCTCGCTGCCTCTGCTGCCTCTGCTGCGCATTCCCACGCACAAATCCAGGAACCCTTTGTGCGTGTTCCTGGCGCAACGCAGGTTCTCGAGGCCCCTCGTTAGTGCGCCATACCGTGTGAGCCCCTGCGGCTGTGATTCGAGCGTGATTTCATGTCAAGACACTTGGTCCCGCAATAGGGAACGCCGATCTCGAGCTACTTTGCCATGGCCGCTTGGGCCAGTCCGGTTCGGGCGGATCAAGGACACGGGGAACCGAGCGCTTGTCTGGAGTGCTGTGGCTAAGGCGAGACGATCGCTGCTGGGTCGGGCTGCGCGCGCTACACAAGAGATCATCGCCTGCCAACAGGTGTTTGCGCGACCCTCTCTTTTACTCATTGCAGAAAATGGACAGTTTGCATCATGGCGACTGATGGCGAAAAGACTTATCTGACTCCACAGGCAAACCGCTCGGATAGCGAGAAAGCGCTTGGCGTCATCGCGATCGGTCGCGCACACGGCGTCTGTGCTGCACATTATCGCGCAAGCCACCACCCTGTCGTCCTGCTGTGGGGTCGCTGGGCGTTGAGTGGTGCGGCACCTGCACCACACAGTCAAAGACACATGACAGCCTGCCAGCCTGCCAGCCTGCCAGCCGTACAATAAAACCGCTCGCTCCTGCGCTCCTGGCTGGACCACCGGTCGTCTTACCGCCGCTGCGATCGGCTAAGATCAACGGGTCGAGATCGTGGCCTGTCGCAGGGATGCATAGAGTGCCACAATGACGGATACTCACTGGCAATGGCATTGTTCGTTGTCTTCGGAGTCCGGGCAGAAGAATGCCATACACGCGTAGTATCCACTTGTCGGTGTAGCCTCTCACCACCAATAACCAACTACGGTAGAGCAGCCGTTTGGTAGCAAACTGAGCGGTCCGCAGCTTTGGAATTGGGTACGCTGGGCGTGTGTAAGACGTTCCGGTGGTGTCTATGCCCATGCAGCTGCTAGAGGGGTGCAATTCGCGCCTGCCGATTCGGGAGTCCCACGGCCTTGGAATAGCTTCATTGCCAGATTGCGCGCCGTAGTTGAGGGGTCGACGACGCCACAATCTGCATACCCTCACATCACTGTACTATGGTACAATAATTGCATGTTGCACATAACTGCGTCGAATAACAGATTCCGGTGTCTTAACGGCCCAAGTGAGGAGTCAGATCCACCGCGGACAAAACCTCCGCATCAACCAGGATCGAGCTTGTTGGTTGCACGTGTCAAGATTTAGTTCAAAAGTTACTTGGTTTGGGACGGAACTCGCCCACGGTCACGGTGAGAGTGGGCTGTGCGGATCTGTTCCAAGTATGTTTCACGTCAGCAATGTGACGTCAGTCATTACTTGATACAAAAAAAGTCAAGTTCCTGCATCGGAGTGGTAATATGCTCGGCATGCATCGTGGGCTGGCCAGATGCACACACAGTGACGTGTGTGCTATCGTGATTCTTTATACCGAGACACACCCGTCGACGTTTAATGCGGCCCTTGTCGGCTTTGCGGATGTCTGCGGAATGCACATCTGAAGCCGTGAACGGATGTGAAAATGGAAATTACTGTAAGATTCATGTGGAGACGGTGTAACAGACCGCCATGTACTCCTATGTCTGCATCTAGTGTCTTCTTACAAGCAGTGCGCCGACAAGAAGCAGAAGCCACCTGGACGATGCTTTGTAGGGACTCGTACAGCAGCTAAGAGCGACGTTCATTTCCACATCAGTTGTCTCCTGGCTGCGCCTCAAACTGCAAGTTCAACAAGCCTTGGTTACTGCACTCTTGCAAGGTCGACATGGCCAAAAGGTAATGTATCTGTAGTCAGGATGGGTCTCGGCGAGCAGTTGATGCTATACAGATCCTCCATTCTCGTCAGTGTAGAAAACTTGGAAAATGTGTCGCTCATTATGAGCCCTGACTACGTGTCCTGGACAGAAGCAAAGCATCGAACGCACAAATTCACTGAGGTAGTTGTATCGGAATGCCTTCGCACGCCAAGTGCTTTCCGATCTTAGTAAGGCCAGTCACGTGCTCGAAATCGTCACTCTCGGCGATCTCCAAGCACCTGCCTGCAACATCGCAACCGTTACCGCCCCGTCACGACGCAAACAACCGCTGTCCATCACTCTCCAGGTCTTGAGAACCTCAGTCGCCGTTTAATATCCCGCAAAAACCGCACCACAGCCCTATCACGACTTCACGATGGCGGACGCTTCCGCGCAACCCAAGCCCAGCAGCAGCGTCAAGCTCGTGCTGCTAGGAGAAGCAGCCGTTGGAAAGGTATGGAGTAGGAGGGCTTCATCGCGACTCTAAACTGACGTTTATCAAGTCATCTCTCGTTATGCGCTTTGTCAACAACGACTTCCAAGAGAACAAAGAGCCTACTATCGGAGGTACGTACACAGCCACCTACGGAGATGCTGCTCAACAACCACCCGCATTCCCATACTGCCGAACCACGACTAACGTACTATTTGCCAGCCGCATTCTTGACACAGAAATGTAACCTACCAACCCGAACCATCAAGTTTGAGATCTGGGATACTGCAGGCCAAGAACGCTTTGCCTCGCTCGCGCCCATGTACTACCGCAACGCCCAAGCCGCCCTCGTCGTCTATGACATCACAAAGCCCTCTTCCCTCACAAAAGCCCAGCACTGGGTCGCCGAACTGCACCGCCAAGCCTCCCCAGGCATCGTCATCGCGCTCGTAGGAAACAAGTTCGATCTGGCGACCGCCGCGGACGAAGAGAACCCAGAAGACGCAGATGCTGCCCCCGCAGCTGAGGGCGAGGACGAGCCAACAGAGGATGGAGCCGACTCAAGGAGAGTACCTAGCAAGACTGCAAAGGCATACGCAGACGAGGAGAGCCTGCTGTTCTTCGAGACGAGTGCCAAGACAGGGCATAACGTCGCCGAGGTCTTCACTGCCATCGCAAATGCTATTCCTGAGACGAGCTTGAAGGGGCCTCGTGGTGTGGGTGGACAGACAAGCTTGAACAGGCAAGAGGATGCGCGGGTAAACCTGGGCAGCGCGCGGACGGAGGGTCCCAAGGAGGGTTGCGCATGCTGAAGAGGTGCATGCGGAATATGGCGTCGCCTGGCTGTGGTTGTGTTACGTGCTGATGGTGGAGCTCAGTAGCTACGAAGACTTGCGGGCACAATTGATGTGTTCAACTCTGGATTATCAATATTAGGCGTTGGATGGAATGATATACTTTATATTACCGTCAACATAATGGCGTATACACTGCGTGAGACGTGCGACTGGGCTCTCTATTCCTGGCAGCTTGACTACACCTACAATGAGCTTTAAGTGAAGTGTTCAACCGGAAGCGATTTTACAAAGCCGTGTCTGTTGCGGCGATGTTCGTCGTTGCTTCCTTGTAACACGCGCTATGAGCTTCCACTTTTTCGCCACTAAAACAGCCCTTTCGTCGCTCAGTATACCCGAAATGGAGACGAGTCCGTGCGTTGGTCAACTATCGATATATGTTTCCGTGCAAACGGTTTTCCCTCGGACTAGGCACAATTCAAAGACGCCAAATGGAACGGCCAAGAGGGTCTTCCGGGGTGGACGTTGCTCAACAAACAAATGCTCCAAGAGTGTGTTCACAAGTTCCACAGGGAAGCCATCTTCTTCCAAAACAACTTTTTCTATACGTCGCTCTATCCCTCTGCAAAGCCCCTGGGCTCGTTTCGTCTCGACAAAGCGAGAATTGTACGGATCAATACTGAAACTAAATGCCATCCGGAAGGGTTGCACAGCCTGGAGGAGTATGAATACTCTGTCATCTGCCTAATACCACAGCACGAAGTGTGTACCAAGCAATTTGTATATCACCTGACGACCTTCTCGCCAGTATTGCAGATGCTCATTCCGAGCGTGTACGAATTCCACGGATGGACTCAATGCGACTCTTCCGTCTACGCATTTCGCTCGAATCTCACAGAATTGACTTGAAAAGTAGATCAATCCCTCTGGGAATTTCGCTCGAACATGACTTTGCTCGAACAACTACCCAAGCACCTGCAGAAGGTCACTTTTGAAGTGGTTACGGAGCACATGGAACTTCCACTCTATATCGAGGACACGATAGGTTCAATCTATGTATCATGTATGCAGCGTCTCAAAGATGAGCTGAGACGGATTGGAGAGATTCTTGTGGGCGGCGGTGGGGCATTGGCTACGGAGGAGGTGGTAGAATTGGTAACCCCCAACAGGTTCATTGGCAGACAATCATCGGAAACTTGACACTATTTGGGGTTTGAAAATAACGTCAGCTACCTATAGACGGGCGCGGCTGATGCAATGATCGGTTGGTGTGGTGCAAAAAGGGAGGGGAAGCAGATGCTTCGTACAGCAAAGCTGAGTACAGAGCTGACGGAAGAGTGGCGCTTTCATGTACGGAAAACTTCGGGAATGTTGGTTACATAGTGATGAAAGTCTGACCTTTATGATTGCCATCTATATCCCTTCAGGGTCTTCGCATCAATCCCAGTTGCTGAACTCCTCATGTTGTCCAAACCATTACCGTTATCAGCTGTCCGTTCTAGTCTGGACACCTTCAGAGTATGTACTCGCTTGTTAGGCATGTATTAGCACGAGAGGCATGACGAACGCCTTTGCAGCCCTCTCGGCTACAGTTGAGATTGTGTATAGAACTATGTCTCCCGAAAGCTGTTAGAAAATACATGTTCTATCTAGATAGGACGGGGTGTCCTCTGTGGCCGGGAAGCCTCGAGTCGCTACGATAGATACTACAAGCTATACGCAAAAAGTTCAAAACCCCACATGGTGCAATCACTCATGAGTCTTGATAGGGAGAGTTGCCAGAGAATTTGGCACTCATCTTCGTGAAGCAGTCGCGTTCGTCTCGTTGCATGTGTAGCGCATCCAATCATTGCGGGGTCGCCACACAAAAGTCGACCCGCACTAACCTTTTGCGCCTGCCTGACCCTACCAACTCCATCTTTCCCCAAAGCCAGCAATCTGACTCATTACGCATCATCTTCCTCATAACCGACTAGAAAAGGACTAAAGTCTTGCTGCCTTCTGATAGAAGCCTGATTCAACTCCTCCGCAAACATTTCACGACTATTCACAAGATCATTCAAAGCGATGGCACGAGGTGGTCGAGGCGGCGGTAATCGCAACCCGGCGAATCAATCGAGAGACGTGCAAGTGTCAAGGAAGATTAGTTGGTTATTACGACATGGTGCTAGTCAAGAGGGGTTGAAGCTGGGAAAGGGCGGGTATGTCAATGTGCAGGAGGCAGTAAGTTTGCTCCCCACTTTATATTTCGAGAAGTTAGATATATACGCACCAAGGAGACATGACTATTTGGAAACTTTCTTGCCCTCTTATGTTCGGATGGGGCAAGCCGCCACAACACATGGGAGACTGACACCCCCCAGCTCAACACCAAAACCCTCAAGGGCTTAAAAGTCACATTCCCTGAACTCCGGGACATAGTCGCCAACAATGACAAACAGCGCTACTCCATGATATTAGCATCCTCACTCGATCAAGAGTCATCTGACAGCACAGCACCGCAACAGGAGCAACCCGCACCAGACGCACTTGAAAGTATACCAGAATCCGACAACCCAGCCGACTACCTCATCCGCGCCAACCAGGGCCACTCCATCAAAGTCGATTCCGAAGGCCTCCTCACCCCCATCACCCAAGAAGCTGGAAATGTTCCCGAAACCGTTGTTCACGGCACCAACGAGAAGGCCTGGAACCTCATCCTCAAAGGCGGTGGTATGCGGCGCATGGGACGCAACCACATGCATTTCGCATCCGGACTCCCCGCTGGATTCAAAGTCCTCGACGCTTCTGCTGACTCCACTACCGAAGAAAAGGAAGCCGCACCCGTCATCTCAGGCATGCGCACAAATTCTACAATTCTCATATATATCGACATCAACGCTGCGCTTGCTGCTGGTATCAAGTTCTTCCTTTCTGAGAACGGGGTTATACTTACTGAGGGTAACGAGCAAGGATTACTTTCGTATGAGTTCTTCAAGAGGGTTGAGAGTAGGAAGAAGGATGGTGGCGTGTTGATGAGCGGGGGGAAGTTGCCCGAGGGTGTGGTTGTGGATGTTGAGGGGTGGGAGAAGGAGGTTGAGGATGGGCAGAGGGGGAAAAAGGGTGGGCGGGGTGGTAGAAGAGGAGGCAGAGGTGGTGGACGGAGTGGTGGTAGTGGTGGGAAGGAGATGGCAGTAGATGACGCTGGAGATGCGGCTGCTGATGCTTGAGTGTGATCAAGATTGCGAGGGAGTCGAAGAGAGGTATCTGTGCTAAGAGCGATTAATGATCAAACGACAGATCAGAAACTGGTTGTCGTAGGTGCTGGGTATGGCAAGCCATGTATTACTTACCCATTCTAATTCGGGCCGCAGAGTCGCTATCGGCAGCATATTATTGTAGTAGCCAGGCAGACATTTCACTCGAAAAATAGTACCACAAAGTTGAATCTTGAATCGTGATGTATTGAATCGGGATGTATGCATCGACCGTAGACGAAGTTATGAAAAGTGTGCAAAGGTATATAACAGGATGCCGCCCATGTACTCATGATTGAACGCCGACCGACCCATGACAAAGGAAAAAAAGGTAAACACAAGAAGGGTAAAAACATTAGAACTTAAAGGCGTCTTTGCGCTGTAAACTTTTTGGCTCAGACTCAGATCCACTGATGGTTTTGCTTCTCCACGTCGACATTTGCATCAGCGGGAGGCGTTGTTTGTTGCATAGCGAAGTAGTCCCTCGCGACAACACCCTCGCTTCGTAGCAGAGGGCTGCTGGGACGCGTTGTACTGACGTGGTGTGGTGGTTGCAGGCCAGGGGAATGGGCGTGCTCGGGCTCTGTGACGATGGCGTAAGAACCACCACCTGTCTCAACGCGTTCCATGGGTGAAACACCGCCGTCGTGGTCGTTGCCCTCATCTATGCTGGCACGTGTGCCGATGGTGCGCACCGTCATGCGTCGACCGAGACCGCACTCTGGGCTGGCTTGTTCTTCCTCAAGGCGGATGACGACCTCGACGGCCTTTTCGTCCTCGATAACCTTGGGATGACGCTTGGCGAAGTAGCGAGCGTACTTGTAGAGTGACCAGTAGCAGCTGGCGACGTTGATGCCAGTTAAGACCATCTTGTACGGTAGGTAGTACACGTACATGAGTACCCAGCCAACGCGTTCGCCCTTGCGGCGGAGATGGACTTCGTTGAAGAGGACGCTGTTAATGAGGTACATGACGACGGTGGCGGCGAGAAGGTAACCGCAGAACGAGGGGCGGACGTAGAACGAGATCGGTAGGATGAAGGGTGTGAGGAGGTAGAGCAGAGTTTCATAGACCTGGCGAGATTGTTAGAATCTGATGAGAGAGAGAGATGGATCGTGAGTTACTAACCTCTTGGAAGACGAAGATCTTTGCGCCAATCTCCCACCAGCCAAGCTTCCAGCTACCGAAGATGTAGGCCATGTTGTAGTACATTCCGTTAACGAAGAAGAAATTCCAGCGCTTGAAGCGTTGTGAGAAGATGGTCATCTCTCCGAAACCACCACGGGAGCCACCACCAGAGATGAAGACAGCAGTGGGTGTTTCAGTCTCGACAAAGACTTGCGAGCACATCTTGATGCGACATCCGAGTTTGCGGGCAACGTGGCCGAAGAACCAATCTTCAGACACACTGAAGCCTGGGTGTTCGTGGAAAGTCTTGACGAGGAGTTCGCGGTCCCAAAGAGAGATGGCGCCGTGGGGGAAGGTGGCAGAACCAATCTTACCAGCAAACTCACGCTGGATACCACTGAGCTTGTATTCGAGATCCTGGGCTTGTTGGCAAAGGTTGCCCTTTGAGCCGTTTGGTCCGACGGATTTGATGGTGTATCCAATGCACATGACCTTGCCAGTCAGGCGCTCAGTAACAACCGGGAAGTTATCGGGCAGTGCGCAGTCGTCGTCAATCAGCAGTACGTTCTTGAAAGCCTTTGCGGCATAGCAACCGACGAATTGAGCAACAATCTTCGATCCGATGGGCGACCAGATGTGATTAACACCGTATGGGCGGCACACCTCCTCCGTGTTGTCTAGGGGTGTCGGGCTGTTACCGTTGGCGATGACGAAAATGTGGGATGGAGGGAAGATCTTCAAGGCGGCCTCGAGTGTGTTGGCGATGAGTCCAGCAGACTTGTAGCATGGGATCATGAGGCAGGTGTCTGAAACATTGGACTGAATCTTGGTTTCTGTAGTGTAGTCGGCAGGGGGCGGGTCCTTCTCGAAGAGGATGAGCAGCGGAGCGAATGCGTAGCTGGAGCATGTTAGTCAAAGAAGAGATGACGATACAACTGCATCAACTCACAATAGTGCTATTCCAAGCACGATACCGAAACCACCAGCGATGACAAACTTTGTGGCCACGACCCAGTAGAGCCACCACACAGCACCTTTCCATAGCGGGAGTCCGATCAGGACGAAGTAGACGAAGAGAATCAGAAAGAGGTAGATGGCGTACTCGAAGGTGTACTGCACCCACTGCTTTCGCTGTATCTCTTGGCCCTTTTGCTTCGCCTTCTCGTAAGTGCCAAACATCTCACTCTTCTTGAAGTAGGACGCGTTGGTCATCTTCCGCTGGAGAGCGTTGGGAACCATGGCATCAACAACAGATTCTAGAGTCCCTTTACGGGGCCGACCACCCTGGTGTGCAGCTTCAGGTTCTTGTGGCAATGAGTCTGTTGAATTCCGGTAAGAGTTGTTCTGCGTTGCAAAAGGGTTGCTTTTGATCGAGTTGGGCCTCGTCGCGAAAGGATCTTCGTTAGACCACTTGGACGACGCAGTCGTAGTCCTATTGAGGGAATTTGGCGATGGTGCACGACTGCCCCGAGGAGTGAGAGCTAGAACATCCGTTGACCCGGGGACGTAGGAAAGGGTCCTGAAGGGCCTGATGTTTTCCTCAGTCGGTGATGGTAGTACCCCGCTTTGCTGCGACATCCTTTTGGGACCAGTATTACTGAACCAAGAGAATCGATTACTCCTCCTGCGTTCGCCCTGCGTCTCTGTGCGTTCGAGGTTGGTAGAGCGTTGGGTGCCATTTCGGTGTAGGCCTGAGTCCTGAGTTGGTCGACGGCGTATGCTTCCTATGCCGTTGGGATCGAGGAAAGGGTTCTCTGCTTGAGGCTCCCATGTTCCATGTGAGGTATACGTCTTGTCGCGTTTGGATCCAAGGTTGCCAGTAGCCCGAAGTAGATGCGCGGGGACAGTGACATCCTGTACGATCTCACTGGACTTTCGTCCATGTGCGTAGGTCATGTCTGCCAACTGATGTTCTGCAGGAGTATCGGAAGGAAGACCGGAGGGAGGGGTCATGTTGTATTAATGATGAACCAGATGAAGGTCCCGGGGTAGTTGTGTCTGTAGAATTACGGACGGGGGTACCCCATTAATACTCGGGAGCCATCTCCAGACCTTGTACGATGTCCAACCTCTAGTCGGGTAGTCGGACAGCCACATCGGGCGATCCGACTATGAAATCTCCTCCTATGTGCTATTACCGATCCACTTAGTGAGTGTGGGTACAACCCGGCGTCGATCACCATGGAGGGCAGCATGCACGTGTGGGAGGCATGTTGAATGATGCGCCACAGATGCGGTTGACAGTGACGTTTAGAGCGAGGGCTAGATCTGGAAAGTTACCACGCCACTGAGTCGCAACGGAGCCTTACTAGTTCCCGTCCATTTCTACTCCGAGTAGCTCCAAATGGATTTGCGTTTCTGATGACCCTGTTCGGAGCACAGGGCTTGAGGCCTCAGGCCGTGGATTCGTGGTCGTGTTGCATCACTATGGTGTATGGCGATGTGAGTTTGAGATGTCTTCCAAGGCCATCTTCCGGTGTACGATGGAAGGCAAGGAACACGCATTCGTATAAGCGTGGCCAAAGAAATGACATCTCAGTACCTTGAGGTGGGTTGTAGCATAACCCCTGCAAGTCTCGCCCACGTACCTGTCCATGGACCAAGCAGCTGAAAAGATGGATTCTGACAGCATCGCCGACATAGAAAGAGCCCGTGCACTGCCATTGTTTGAGCTAATACAGTGGGCGCCGTGAATTGGAACGGCTACTAAACGACCTCTTCGGGTTTGACAAGTAGTTCGAGGCGTAGACTGAGGCTGTGGCCAAGAACAGCCGTCTGGACATGACTCCGATTTCTAATGTGCAGTAGGTCATCTTAGACTGATCGAAGAAAGAGTTTGCATCTCGATACCGTTTACCGGTGTTGCGCGCAATGATATCATAGTCATTGCGGCTATGGAAGTCGTGTTCGAATTCTACGCCCCGGTTCTTAGGCCGTATACATGCTTCTTGAATCTGTCCGGAAGCAGCGCCCGAAGAGATTTTTCATCTCGCATTCGTTTATGGTGGGTTGGGTCTCCTACTTCCACGGCATCATCCGTGCTGCTGACAACGCAGGCCCCTGCGTTGCAGCCTCGGAGAAAGCTTCACCGCGCTTGCGCAGGTACTCAGGGTAATTGTCGTGTTGTTGAAGCCGAGGACGAAGTAGGTAAGGCGACATGGGAGCCTTGCAGAAAGAGTTCAAGGATGCTTCACTATTACGCAACTTTGCAGGGCATCCCGCTGGAAGTCGGCGTTTCTTTTGAACGGTTGGCGCTACTATAGTCTAAAATGTCAGTGCCGTTCGGGTACCACAGCCTGGGAGGCTTCGAGGCTCTCAGTGTGGCGATGCCAAATCATCATGACAGGGGCACAATCTAGCCATCTGTTCAGTTGCCAGGAGTTTCGCGATCGGGAATCTGCAAGAGATGTGTGAGTGAGTGTTGCTGACAACTCGACGATGAAGTCGAAATTGCAGAACGCCGTTCCCGCCCGGCCCGCTGCCAAGGCCGGATGTCATTCGTTACGTCAGGCCCGCAATATGAAAGCAGTCTTTTGCTGGACGTTTGACCATTCGTAAGAATAGCCAACTTGAACCCTTGATCCCACCCCACCAATACAACACGAGATGAGTTCCTACGTGTCCCAATACCCGCCGGCTGTTGAGTTCGACCCTGCATACAAGAAATTCTTCGAGGACTTCTACGCTACGTCCGATGCAGCAGAAGCGCATGATGAATACGTCCAGTACTTCACTAAGGATGCAACCCTCGTCATGGCTTCCAAGAGGGTGGTGGGCCGGGAAGGTTTGTCGCATTGCTTTTTGTTTCCAGCCTTGCAAACGGCTCCCTGGGCTTCCATCGGCCTTCCATAATCTACCGGGCTAATTCTTTGCCTTAGAGATCTTAGCCCTGCGCAAAAGCATGTGGGAGAAAGTTTCAACGAGAGCGCACAGGCCACTTCAAGTGTTTCCGTTCGGTCCGAAGTCAGACGAGGTTATGCTGTACGGGACGGTCGAGTACGGCTTCAAGGCAGGCGGAGAATCCAGCAAAGATTGGGCTGCAAGGGCGCACCTAGTCAAGGACGATGATGGCAAGGTGAAGATGAACTTCTACCAAGTCTACCTGGTGCGACACTCACCTCCTGTTCGCGTTCGTATATGTGGACTTGAAGCTAACCACAATGCTCAGGATACCGGAGCTTAGAATACGCTTAGACCATGCAGGTAGATCTTATGTAGATCTACGATCCGTTATAGGGGCTTCTCCGGTGCATGCAGTGTTTAAAACAACCGGCATACCGAGGTGACGTTCACCAATGTACTGTGAGCACTACTTCAGTGCTTACTTTGGTACGCTTTCAAACGAAGCGGTCTTCAGGAAAGGCCTCATATTCGGATCCGGCGGCGCAAGTAACGGGTCCACTTCACTCTGAAACACGCGCTGCGAAACCCCTCAGAACTATACAAAACTGTAATATGAACTGGAGATTAACGCATGGGGCTCTTTTCTACTATACGGATGTGAGGGCCGCCATCAAGTAGACGATGTATCCCGGTCAGTCACTTGGTTGTCATAAAACCTTACGACTCACGTAGTCATATAACCCGAGATGCCCAGATGCGAAAGTTGTAAATTTCCTGTCGGTACCCCAGCACTCCTCATCTCAAAAACATCATGCAAATTATCTCGAGCGCTGCGATGAATCAGGGTCCTGCAGGGCCAAGTGTTGCTTTTTCCAACGTTGTGTTGCTCCCAGAAGAATTCCAGTTACATGTACAGTGGTTCTGCCCCTGGAACTACCGTTACGGAACTCGAGAATTGCTTTTTCGTGTTCGTACCTGTTCCAACGCCTTGGGACTTTTTACGACCTAAGGACCGACCTCAGCCACAAGTACGTCAGCATGGGTGGGAATAGTTTGGTACTGCCGCAGTCTCGGCATGGCAACGCCACTCTGGGCGCAATGCTACGAACGTGGCCCAGATGCATCTAATGGATGGAGTCTCATGGACGAGTGCCGCGTAACGGTCTTCGAGAGCCCAGTCGGAGGCATAAGCAACGCAAACGGGGCACCTCGTATGGTGGACCTACGCCTCGTGTCATCTGGAGCCAGCACTGCATGCTGGACCTAGGCGCGCCTGCAACGACAGGTTTCGCGACCTCCGTAACGTCGCCCAAAAAAAATACCCCTCAATCGCAGCATATTCAAATACAAGTCTCATCCGGTGATGCGAGCAGGCCAGACTCCTTAGCTTTGCAGTCTGTATGATGGATGTGGCTTCGTGAAGCTGCTTCGATCGTTGAAATCGCCCGGATTTGCAACGCAAGGAAGCGGGTGTATCGCAGATGCTTGCGCCCCTTTCCCCATCTCATGTCATTGGCCGTACTCGTATTTGCATTCGTGTTGCCTCCTCACTGAGCTGACGCTAGATCTTTTCTGAAGGTTTCGAGTTGTCATTACTGTGTGTGTGTTCAGTGGTAGCGAAGGCGTGACGGCTGGAGACGACATCATCCATTGATCTTGCTCTGTGGCTCGCTAAAAGTTTCGGGCATCTCGGGCCATAATTAACCCAACAGCAAGTTTCTTGTCAGGAGGCATCAAAACGTGATGTAATTGATCACTAGAGATCTTAGGCTAGTAAAGGGATGAAGCGCATTCATTTGCAACCGTCTGTGTCGAAATCTGACTATGAAGTGCGGAGTTGCAGGAATGTAAAGTTCGTGGGGCGGGGAAATTGAAAAGTCAAAATTCGCGGACGCAGGCGGCTCCCAGCACAACGCCCCGCATTCCCGGGAATCCTGTTCGACTAAGCTTTGCAACAGCATTCTGTATATTTTCTAAGTATCTAAATGACAAAACTGTCTTTTTCTCCATCAACAGGCTACAAACCAGCCCGGCTAGCTCAATCGGTAGAGCGTGAGACTCTTAGTCTTTCACGGTCTAACAGACACGATTACTCAGTACATCTCAAGGTTGTGGGTTCGACCCCCACGTCGGGCTTGAGAAGCTTTCTTTTTTTTTCCCTCGCGTTGTGGGTGGCAGAATGGTGGTCGTTGTGTTGGTGGAGTGGACATGGCGATTTTTTTTTTGGCAGTGCCTCACCATGCATCAATGTACCGCCTAACAACATCATTAGACACACAATCTTTCTGCTAACAGCCCGTTAATCGTAAACATTCATTCCAGAACTGTCCTACAACATTGTTTTTTGGATGCACATCGAGCTATCAGCAAATCCTTCCTTGCAAGAAGACCAGGCCGCAGTCTGAGCTAGAGACGCACTCTATTGTTGTTGCACATGCTAAGCAAAGTCTACCGTACAGAGCACCCTATGCAGGAAAAATCAAAACAACTAGGTGCTAGAACTCTACGTTTTTCCAGCGTTATGTTGATGTAGATGGCAGCGCATCTGCTCACTTTCTTCCTCGCAAGGGGTCAGAACAAGCCATGTCGTACGCAAGTGACTTGGAAACACCAGCAACAAAGAACAATAGTATCAAGTTCAAGATTCCATGAGTTTGCCAATATAACGGAGTTGAATTCGAAGATTGGTCGAACAAGAAGTTACGACCATAGTAATAGGTAAAGCCACGTAGCATCCAGAATGCCGCACTGATCACGTTCGATATGCCTTCACAACTCACCACGCAAATAAACAAAACAATCAATGACATTCCCCTCAAGTAACCCCTCCAGCTATACACTACCTTCAAGTACTTTCCTCTGCCCTCCTTCCTCTTGAGTCATACAACTACTATCGTCCTTCTCCCCCGTCAAAACAGGAATCGTCAACATCTCGCCCGCAAGAATCAAATTCGGATCGTGGATGTTATTCGCTTTGGCGATGTCGCACATTCCGACTGCGTTCGCCGCTGCAATCTTCTCTAGCGTGTCGCTGGGGGCTATGGTGATTTGTTTACTGGTGCTGGAGCTGGGGTCTGGGTTTGTGGAGGAGGGGGTGGGTGGGGTGGAGACTGAGGCGGAGGCAGCTGGTGGTGATGCTACGGGTGGTGAAGCTGAGGCGGCTGGTGGAGGTGCAGAAGATGCTGGTGGAGCAACAGAGGCAGAAGCAGATACAGAGGTTACAAGTGTCGTTGGTGCTGGAGCAGGAGGAGCGTTTGATACGCTGCTGCTAGGTGCGCAGCGGCCGTGCCTGCGATGGATATGTGGGTGGACTGCAGCGGCTGTGCATGACAACACGAGGGTTGATAGCGTGAGAAGGATTGCTAAGGTCTTCATGGTGGCTGGTATGTTGGTGTCGACTGAAGTTTGTAGGATGTTTCGAGATGCGGTATGTAAATTGTATGTGTGGTATGTGTGGTATCAAACAACGAGAGCTTCTCAGCAGAGTTTATGTTTCCTAGGTTCCGTCTTTCTTGAATGTGTGGCGAGTTTCTGTGAACTTGTATTATCTTCAATAGGCCCACACCTACATATGTATCATGGTCGCTTCCCTACGGCCTGAGGCAAGAAACATTTGCGCTCGAAAACGTGGACGAACGCTTCATTCACGAATGCGACAACGGCTCCAGAACAATGGAATAACCGCCTTCCGTCAATGCCGGCATCCCGTCATTCCCATGAAGAGGTGTCAATGGAACGTTTTCTGTCACAGTGTGTTGGTGCTTAGCTGTCATTGTTTTGGTGGTCAGGTCCTGTTCCATTCTGTGAAATTGTATTGATTGAACAATGATGGTACGATGCATCGCGAGATGCTGGTTCTTCCACAGCTTAACTCCGTATGTCAAGTGACGTGGAGTGTGAGGTCGATGCTACGAAGAACAATGGTGCGGTGTCGAGGAGCTGTATTGAAGATACAGAGATGTGCTGACAAGTGAAGCGAACCGTGATGGCCTGACGTGTAACAGCTGTCAGTTGTCAGAGAAGACGCGAGCCACGCGTAACAAAGCACCACCGAGTGTCTAGAGCCTGAAGGTTTGGGAAGAAGACCATGAGATCAGAAAACATCGACTTTCAATGTATTGTGCGATTAGGATATGCTAGAGGGCTAATGTAATGTACAGCGAAAGAACGAAATGCGCTCGCTAAAATGATGCGGTAAACAAACAATAACTAAAAGTGGCTCAAAGTGAGCTCACTGACTTGCAGAAACATCCAAAGATAACAGAATGAAAACAACAGGTCTTCAAGTGCCCAGCGCGATAAGCCTGCTCTTGATGTCCGTGGGCCTCATCATCTGGTTGATGACAACACTAGAAATACTGCCCATGCTGACGACTGACACGTATCCTGGGGCGACTTCGCTAGCCAGAACCTCAACACACTTCATTGCCTCGTCTTTCGAAATCGGAGATCGGATAGAGCCTTGAATTGCTTGCAGGAGGGTGGTTGTGGAGAAGGAAACGCGCGATCCGGGTCTGTTCGCGCACAGTAGGGAAAGGACGCCAATGACCTCTGGAGTGCGTTGTAGAGCTGCCTTTCGCTGGAGTTCGGCAGGAGTCGGCGCTGCGGGACCAGCCTTTGCAGCTTCTTGCTTTGCGAGAATACGGTCGAGCAGGTTCGTCTTACGGACGGCAGCGAATTCGGTAATCTTGGGCTGGGCGAGTTGAGCTTGTTGGTTCTGGCCTAAGGGCGTCTCGTTCTCCTTTCCGACAGAGGGTCTCGTCTTCTTCTGTGCACGGCCTTGCTGTACACTCTCCTTGAACTCCCTTAACCTCTTGCGTCCCTTCTCTTGTGCTGGCGCGAGTGCGGTGAGGGACTCGCATGTGGTGACTTCGGCGAGAGGAAGCTGGCTCAGGAACTTAGACATGGAAGCGTCGTCGAGAAACGTGTCCATGCATGCTTGCTTGACATCGGCCTTTTTTGGGCGTCCCCGTCCACGCTTGGGTACCGCAATTGGTCGAGTCATCATCTTCTGCGACGTGCACCATTGCGTCCATAGAGTGTCTAAGCCTTCTTTGAACATGTCTTGCAATCCCTCTTCGTTCATATGTGTCATGCCGTTCATCATCGGACTGCTGTCCTTGATCTCGATGCAGACCTTGCCGCGGCCATAATCTGACAGGTAGTAGGGGTTGTTGTTGCCGGAAGGGCCATGGTCGAGGATGCCGATGAGCAGTCGGATGTCATCGTACGTGACTTTGCGTTGCCGCCAGACCAATGTCGTTGATGCAATCAGGTCTCGAAGATCGGCAGGCGTTGAAGTGCCATTGTGGGCGTAGTGCAGCGACAGCGCGGTCAGGAAGGAAGAGTGTAACGCGAGGAGGTTGACGAGCTCAGCCGGGAGCTGACCGGGAGCGATAGGCGACATTATTGATGAAGATACTGAAATTGATGCGACGATGAAATATCTGGAACAATGTCGATAAGTGATGTGTCGTGTGGGTGCGAGGTCGAGGTCCGAGGAGTGTTTATGGGCCGAGGGGGCTGCAAAACAGGGAAGGCACGTTCGACGCGCTTTACGCTTCTGCGCGTTCGCGTCGCGTTTCCGCCCCACTTTAATGAAACTTGAACGTGTCGTTGCCCCACGCATCCGGCGTATTTTCAACCCTTATTTGGCATTAGTATCATTTCCATTCTACTCATGACGCAGCGCGTGCAAAAGATGTCTTGTCGTTGAAAGAGTGGATTACGCAAAAGCAATACCGGCGCGGCGCGTACCGCCGCCAGAGCTTCTCACGTCTGTGCAACGAATGGAGGGCAACTGTGAGTATCGTATCATATTGGGATGAGAAGATCTGCGCCTATATACTCCAATGCTCATGCAAGATCCTCAATAACAAGCTCCAGCTTCTCTTTTCGCATTATTATTACATTATTAGTCCTCTAGACGTGGAGCTTACTTTCCACCAAACAGTCCACCGAGCCATGATTGAGTCTTTGCGGCTTTCTCCTCGACAACGGCATCGAACTTGTTGGCGGCAGCGTTGACCTGCTTGCCTGCCTCGTGCATCTCGCGCTCAGCGCGGACCTTGGCCTCCTCGTACTGCTTCTTCGCATCGGCGCTGTAGGCATCGAACTTCTGCTCCGCCCTCTTCGCTTCCGCCTTGGCTTGGTCGGCCTAGCAGTGGTCAGCATACTGTCATAAGTAATATCGAGTCGCATGGGACATACGTATTGCTGTGCGCTGGCGCGTACTGCCTCGTAACCCTCCTGGCCGGCCTTCTTAGCTTCCTTGTCCTGGCCAGGGTAGTCGCCTCTCAGCTTGCGTGCGGCAGTCGCAGCGTCGTCTATAAACATCAGTCAAAATACTATGGAAGTTGGATACGCTCAGTACGTACGTTCAGCCTTCCTCTCGGCAAGCTTCGGGTCGCCTCCAGCGCTGTAGAGGTAGTAGGTCACGCCACCAACAGCAGCGAGACCACCGTATGTAGCGAAACGACGAGACATGGTTGATGTGATGGGGGGGTTTTGTGAGGTGGTATTGATTGGACTTGAAGTAAGATCAGGCTATGTGAGATTCGAATTGGAGATGTAGAATGAGAGCTGTGCGAGGGAGGGGAACCTTGGAAGGCGTCTTTCAAACAAGCGCATGTGTGACGTAATGGCAGACAGCTGCAGCACGGGCTTTTCAGTGCCGTGCGAACCAGATCACAAAACTAGGACTCTACCGAGAGCGACAAGCCGGATCCACATTGCATACACTCGTTGCTTTCGCTTCTACATCTTAATTATAATGTTATTATAGTATCTCTCTTTATCGCATTATCGTCGCACCTCGATCGTGCCTTCCCAGCGTGCCATCTCTTGTGCGCGCCCCTTAAACCGTTCACCACAACAAGCCAGCCTCGAGCGACTGCCTTAGCGACTACCGCGCAGCGTGCCGCGCCTGCCCAACATCGCGACCTCATGTATCCACGATAGCAACGGCATTTGCCTCTTACTCTCCTTGACACCTGCACCACGCTTTGTAGCATGGCGGACCAACAGATACACCTCGTCGACCATACCGACGGCGACAACACACCAACCTCGGTTACACAACCCGAACAGCGGTCAACCACATCGGACTCGCACATCGACATCCTCTACGAGAACCAACGCGGTTGGTTCGTCTTCGGAATACCCCTCTTCTCGTCGAAAGCGCTATGGAACCTGCGAATCGACCCTGCGCCCTGGCAGGATGCCAAGTTCAAGCCTTCGGCAGTAAACATCACAAATGCGCAAGTCCCAGACCCAAGTTGGGTATGGGATTGGAAGAGCTGGTACGTCGACATGAGTCTGGATGTCGATGAAGAGGGTTGGCAGTACAGCTTGCTTTTCAAGGGCTCAGCCTGGCATGGCAACCACCCTTGGTTCCACAGCTTCGTTCGGCGGCGACGCTGGCTACGGAGGCGGGTCAAGCAGAGGCTACCGCCCAAGACCAAGAAGAATGCGAAGGAGCGTATGTTCGGCGAGACATTCAGCATCGGCACGACACTAGCTAGATCAGCGACGTTTGGCACTGGCAGTGGTCTGTTGGACGACAGCGCACAGACGAGCCTAGACGAGGAGATTAGGGATATTGCGACGTTGATGAGGAAACTCAAAGCAGCTGCCATCGATCGCGAGAAGATCATCTACATACACAAGTTCATCGATGATGGAGGCGAGGAGCTGCACTACCTCCCAGAACAGGTATGCATATTGTATTCTTATGCAAACACAGCTAACAAGCTTAGATACCGTCCATCATGTCGATGCTCATCTTCCAGAATTCGCGCCGCCAACTCCTCTCCACACTTATGGACCGCTTCGAGGCCGCCAAAGACCACCGCGAGCAACACAAGAAGGACCACAAGCCTGAAGGCGACGCCGAGGAACGCAGAATCAACAACCTGCTCAAGGCTATTGAAGCCGCGGATAACGAGTGTAAGAAGCTGGAGTATTGGAGCGATATCAAGAATCTTACAGAAGAGGGCAAGGCGGGGAATGCAACAGATCCCAGCATGGGGTGGGACGAAGAGAAGTGGCAGGGACTCGATGCGAGTGGCGCCAAGCATCCTGATACCCAAGTTTGAGGAGTTAAGAAGGTTTGGATGCATGCATATATTGGAGTTTGTCAGAATTCATGGGCTGTGGCTCTTCAAGGTCAGCACATCGGGTCAATTGGAACGACTAATCAGTTTTCGTATTGTATCGCAGCCATGCATGCTATCGTCAGCAAGAGCATCCAGTCATTCGCTGGAGCTCTATCAGACTTTGACATTCCTCACTCTTATCGGTCCTCTGATATCCGCCAAATTCTCCACATCCAGGACTGCGCCCTTCTGCATTACTTCGACCTCTCCAACCTCTCTCCTCTCCCACACCATCTGTCGTACATCATTCATGGTGTCCCTCCACTCTGACGCGTCCAGTGCACGCAGCTCCTCTTGTGATAATGCGCGGGCAATTTCGGAAGGACAGATCGTCTTGGGCCAAGCCCTTGAGCTCAACAGATGGACGGCATGGCGCGATAGGATGATCCTCTTGGCATCGTCAAGAACCATATTGTTTGTGCAGCTGCCGAATGCCGTGTACCAGCTAACGGAGTCGATGTGCCGGTAATGCTTGGGTTGTTTCGCGATATTGGTGAGGCTGCGCCGTCTCGATGGTGTCACCCAGATCTGGTTGCTAGACCCATCGCCCGCTGATCGACAACAGGGGTCCAAAGATCCTTAGCCAATCCTTTGACGTCAGAGCGCCCAATCGGCGCGCAGCAGAAGCAAAATAATTCGAGCATTTCAGCGTCGCGTCCCCTCCCTTCTAAAACCGAAACTGCCCGCAGCACTGGGATTGGCGTTCTGCCTTTGCGCGTCGTTTTTTCTTGTCTTGTCATGCCGCACCGGTTACCCCACGCTCTCCGAGAGCTAGTTGCAGCGGGGCAGTCCTTCGCTCCCGCCTCTCGTCTCTTATCAAGCTCAACACCGCTACTGCATACTTCTTCTCCGATATCTTCTCTACTCCATCAGACTTCCCTGCGAACCTGTCATACCGGACGGGCAGCACCGCTTTTACAAGCCTCCAAAGCCTCCAATCCACAGACAACTACCGCCAAAAGAAACTTCTCGTGGCCCAGAATGACTGGAAAGGAAGAGCCAAAGGAGGTGCGCAAGTACTTGCAGCAGAGCCATGACCGCATCTTTGAAAACAACAAGAAATGGGCCGACGAGATGAGGAACAAGAACCCAGGCTTCTTCAAGGATTTGAGTGCAGGACAAGCACCCGAGTATCTATGGATTGGTGAGTTGCATCTTACTGTACTGGAATGACTCAATCGCATTAGAACACTTTACCCCGTTACACTATCCGCCACCCAGGAACTTGCTAACCCAATGCCCACAGGCTGCTCCGACTCCCGTATCCCCGCCGAAGCCATTACCGGTCTCGAGCCCGGCGAGATGTTCATCCACCGCAACATTGCCAACCTCGTCAACAATATCGACCTCAACGTCATGTCCGTTGTAAACTACGCGGTCCGCCACCTCAAGGTTAAGCATATTGTCGTGTGCGGCCACTACGGCTGCGGTGGTGTCAAGGCCGCCATGACACCAAAGGACATGGGTCTGCTGAACCCCTGGCTCCGGAACATCCGCGACGTCTACAGACTGCACCAGAAGGAGCTCGACGATGTTATGGCCAACGGCGGCACAGAGGAGGAAAAGTACGACAAGCTCGTTGAGCTCAATGTCTATGAGCAGTGCCGGAATGTGGTCAAGACGGCGGCTGTGCAGCAATGTTGGGCTGAGAACGAGTTCCCTGTCGTGCACGGCTGGGTCTTTGGATTCGGAGACGGATTGCTGAAGGATCTCAAGTTTGACCACGAGGGCGAGCTCAAGGAGATTCAGAAGATTTACGATTTGACAAAGGACATGTAGATGGGGAGTTGGTAGATGTGCGGTGTATGAGTAGTTGTGGCATTTAGCGAGGTGTTGATGGTGTAGAGGACGTGGAAGAGATGGTCTGGCTTAGATGCTAACGTAGAGCTAGTTACCTCAATCTCCCTAGTACTCGTCTGGGTAACACATGGGTTTACACACTAGTCTTGCAGAATTATGCGAATGCCTCCACATTTCGTCACCGTAATCGAAGTCCAGCGCCTTGCATGAACGAGAATGAGTAAACGAGTACGACTTGGGACATCTCGCTTACGACGCCGTTCATGCATACTCTAAGAGAGAACAGCATAACACGTCCCAGATCTACATCGACCGTTCTCTTGAATGATTTCACTGAGCTCTGCCGCTTATCCCAACCTGTTCGTAACACCACTCTAGAATCTCATTCCACCGGCCATCACAGCCCTCAAGCTGGTAAGATAATTCCTTCACAATTCTCCTCCCAGAATACTGCATCCACCACATATTCTCAAGAACACAATTAAGCGCACCCCAACAAACTAGTATAATCAGCGCAGGCACTTGTCCCATATCTACCTTCTGAAAGAACTTAGGCTCCACCGTACCCAGCCAAGAAACGACCGAGTGCCCATTACTATCCGTATATGCCTTCTCCAGTTTCTCCAGCGTACTACGAAAAAACGGCGTAGCAGCATCATCAAGATCCATATTTTCGAGTATAGCATCAGTCAACGCGCGTAGCTTGTCCGACGTGAACGCGGCACCTTCCTCTTCTTCCAACACAGCAGGACCTTCGAGTATCTGCTTCAACTCTCCACTATCAGCCCACACACTATGCGCATCTACAATCTCCTTCATACCCAGCGTATACCTCCTCACACGCATCAGTACCTTCGCAACAGATTCCAACGTCTCATCCGGCGTGGCCGGAATCAGACTCGCCACAAGCGCAACGACTGCATGAAGAGCAGTCATAAGACAAACGGGATCAAGACTCTCTTTTGAAATGCAAACAAGCGACTCCTGCTCGTTAAACTCGGATATACTCTTATTCTGGTAATGCAGCGCGGCGGCGACATGATCGTGGGAAGCGGTGGTGGATGAGGCGAGACTGGCGCTGTGTAAGGATGTAAAGGCGAGGAGTATGTCCATCAGGTAGGTGTGTTGGAGCGCTTTGGTTACGGCGTAGTCGCGGAAGATGGGCGCGTTGCAGTGCACGGAGGTGAGGTAGGTGGTTGTGGACCATTGGTGCATGAGGCGTAGTTCGAGGGTTCGAGTCGCACTGTAAGTGGCTAGGCGGGAGGATGGGCCACTGTAGGCATCGTATAGAGAGTGCCAGTGGTATTTTATCGGTACAGGTGGTGATGTTTGTGATGAGCTCGTCGTTGTCAAGGCCGTCTTCGCTACTCGTTTAGACCCAGTCGAAGCATTCTGTGGTGGGTAGGAACATGATTCCTGTCGTAGAGCACAAGCTCCGCATTTCGGTGTGGCTTCATCGCATTTGACGCGTCGTCGCTTGCACGTGTCGCATCCAGCCCGCGACTTCCTGTGGTATCGTTTTACTGCCATTCGGGCTGACTCTCGGCACTCGCATTTTCGTTCCCCCTATCGATGAGGCTGGCTTCGTTTGTAAGCTTTTTTGAGCCTGACATCCTTCGCAGGGAGACAGGCATGGCTTAGACGTGCTGTTGGGGGCGGAGACTTGATGGTCGCAGAAGCCTAATTCGGTAGGGTGACGCTAAGGATGCCGATCAAAGAAGTACTTTGTTGACTCGTTTACTCGTTTACCGGTTCAGCACCGGAAGATTGACATCCGCCTTGCCGAAGGAGGGGAAGTAGTTACCTATATTTCGGAAGGGCAAGGCAGAATTACTAGCAAATACATTGCGCAGCTCCCCTAATGCACGCAAAAGTAAGCATGTAGCTTTCTGCGTCATTGTTCGCGTGACTTGTTTATCCGTTCACTCGTTTGTCCTGATGGACAACCATTTCGCGAGTTCGGCTACGCTGACATCGTGATCGAAGGCAACCTGGCAAGGCGTCCGTTAAGCCTTTCCATTGCAGGTAACTGACATTTTGTATATAAGTCATATTGCCGCAGCTATCATCTGGGTGTGTACACTTCAAATCGAGCTACAGTCGGTTGAGAGTACGAAACATACATTTCGCACGAACCGTATCTCTCCTCGAACACAATGTATTCGGCTTTAGGTATGTTAGCTCCAGTTTCCTGACCGTAACCCATTAGATATGTTTTCATTTTCTAACAGCCCCGACAGCGCACGGATTGGCTTGTTCAAGCCTTGCACAACCCTACCTCAACGGCACGGCGATCACGAGTTTCACTGCGGAGCCCAAGACACAATGGACACCAGAAGGGTCGCCTATCCCAGCCGAACAACTTGTGCCGCTTCTTGGCTTCTCAACGTACAACATCTCCTACTGCCGTGTAGAGATGGCCTACACCCATCCAGGTCAGAACGACACAGTCAACCTCCAGATATGGCTGCCGGAGCAGTGGAACGGACGCTTCAATGGTGTGGGAGGCGGTGGTTGGCGCGCTGGTGTTTTTGATCAGAGCTTACTCCCTGCCATCATCGAGGGATATGCGGCAGCTTCCACTGACGGTGGCCATAATGCAACTGAAGTCTCCGCTCTTCCTTGGGCGCTCAAATCCCCGGGCAATGTTGATTTGGTTGCTTTGCAGAACTTCGGTTCTGTTACTTTGAACGAGCTTGTTATATTCGGGAAAATGGTTACCGAGAGCTTCTATCAGAAGGCTCCCGCTTACTCTTAGTATGTATGACCCTGTAATTACGATTTTACTCGCGGTCAACGCTTCATTGCGTATCTGGGACGAACAGTGACTAACAACCGACATAGCTGGACTGGATGTTCCCAGGGTGGTAGACAGGGCATGATGCTGGCTCAACGCTACCCTGAAGCGTTTGACGGTATTATCGCTGCAGCACCCGCACTGAACATCATCCCGCTCTTGGCAAGCTTGTTTCATGCTCAAGCTGTAATGAATACACTCGGTGAATACCCGCCAAGTTGCGAGTTTGAAGCGATCACGGCAGCAGCAATTGCCGCTTGCGATAAATTGGATGGCGTCGAGGACTCGATAATATCCATCCCAGAGTTGTGCTCTTTCGACCCATTCACTGTCGTTGGTCAGCCCGCCAGCTGCGACAACAGCAGCTCGAATTCGATCTCCGAAGCAGCAGCAATTGTAGCCAACGCTACGTGGTATGGTGTCTCGAACAAACGGGGAGAAAAGATCTATCCAGGATACTCGCTAGATGCACCTCTCAAGGCAACGACCGACACGGACTGCCACAGCACAGATACCTGCTCCACCACTGCTGCTTGGTCACTCGGCGCACAGTTCTTCCAGCTTTTCGTCGAGAAGAACGCTACGTTTGACGTTTCCACAATCACCGCAGAACGTCTACCGGACTACACGTACGCCGGCTACCAACAGTGGGAATCGTTCATCGGCACCAACGATGCAGATCTCTCAGACTTTAAGGAAGCAGGAGGGAAGTTGATCACCTGGCACGGCATCGCAGATGACCTGATTCCTCCGGGTGGGTCAACACAGTACTATGACCGTGTGGCCGCGCTGGATACCGACGTGGATCAGTACTACAAGTTGTTCCTTGCGCCGGGCCTTCATCATTGCGCAGGTGGCCCCGGAGCATACCCTGTCAATGGTGCGCTGCAGCAGCTCGTCGAGTGGGTAGAGAATGGGACAGCTCCAGACACCCTACCGGCAGTTGGAACGCAACCTGTCAACGGAACAGTGCTGTCGAGGGACCTTTGCCCTTATCCGCTTGTATCTGTTTATCAGGGTGGTGCTGCGACTAATGCCTCATCATACAGCTGTGTTGATGCGGAGAATGTGTAAGGATTGGGTGGGTATATGTACGTTGTAGCGTGCCGTGGAGGTGGATGTGTTGGAGGCCTGATATAATTATCTTTAGGCAGAGGTGCCTAAATAGCTTGTTGGCACATTCTAGGACATTTTGTGCCATCTTGAATATAGTATCGAATGGTTCTTGCAGGATGTAAGCAGGCATATTTGAATACGTATTCTTGTGAAAACCCATGTTGCAGATAACGTACATTTCCTGTGTAGTGAACAGAGAGTGCTCTTTAACGCAGATTTGAAGTTTCCCCGAACGGGGTCATGTCGCGAGGCACAGCCGGATACCCGGTCGCTTTGTCCAGCACACACGACCGCGTAATCGCGGCATTCCAAAGCTAATGCGAGCTGCGATCCTTCGCGCTAGGGGTGATGTTGTTGCGACGATGGACAGGAAGAGTAGGCATCAGTGGCTGGCCAACGCGCCTGCCGCGGATTGCGTGGCGAGATCACCGAAAACACCGAGAACCCCGAGCCGCTCCAAAGAACACCGACGGCTGCCTGACCCTCTACCAGCAACCATGTTAGAATCTTTGAATGCTGTATACGACTCGTACTACGCAGTCAAGATAACTGCGATCGTTTTCCTTGTATTAGTGAGCCAAAATGGTTGAACAACCTACCATCCAATCCGCAGACACAGATGGCAATGGACCAGCGAAACGTCGACGAAGACCAGCACTATCATGCGTCGAATGTCGCATGCGCAAGGTGAAATGCGACCGAGGAAAACCTTGTGGTGCATGCACTAGGATCAAATCAGCGACATGCACATTTAGACCTCCACGTCCGGGGATTCGGCCGGAGAACCAAAGATCACCTGAAGACGATGCCTCCACAGGTCACAGCAACGACCACGACCACGACCAAAATCCGGCTCGGTCTTCTCCTGAGGTGCCCGGGCTTCCCAGTCAGTTTGATGCAATCATCAATCGTTATGTGGCACCCGGGCTTCTTGGAGAATGCGACGGCCAGCCGAAGCCTCTGCCAGCCGATAGACCGTCGTTCAGCTTGAACTCGCACTCGGAATCTGCCCATACTTCTATCATCAATAGCTTGTTAGATCGGATTCAGGGTCTGGAAGAGAGACTGGCGAGCGCTACTCTTAATGAGGACCCAAGAAGTAGTACGTCGCCGAGACGGGAAAGCGCAAGTGATACAAGCGCCCAGTTTGTGAAGGCAAAGTACTATGGTCAGAGTCATTGGATGAACGCTATCGACCCTGTAAGTAAAGGATACTGATGGTTCCTTGTGTGGGTCTTCCTGTTCGAAGGGAACTTAGCTGACGGACAACAGTATGACGCTCTCGGTGATACAAATACTACAACGAACCACAATACAAACAGGAAAGAAGTGTATGTCATTATTTCAGTCTTACTTTAAAGACAATAAATCTGATTCCAGCATAAAGGAACAAATCGACTGAACTGTATGCTACTGTCTCAGAGGTCAAGCGAATGGCTCGCATCATCAAGGCCTCTCGCATGTCGCAGCCTTCCATCTCTCCAGAACTGCAGGCGTGCATTCCTCCGAAAGAAATCAGCGACGCACTGGTCGACTGCTACCTCCGTACATTCGAAGGTGTATTTCGCGTATTGCACGTACCTTCCTTCAGAAAAGTCTACGATGCATACTGGCTCGGCTCCACGCCTGCAAAGCCGTCGATTATTCATAAATTTCTGCTGGTATGCGCAATTGCCGTGCCGTTCTACACCGGACCCGACCAAGCCAAGCTTCGCGTCTCAGCTGCAAAATGGATCCAAGCTGCAGCGGAATGGCAGTGTGCACCTCATGCAAAGTCGCGGCTCAACATGATAGGATTGCAGATACAGATATTGATTCTGATTGCACGTCAAGTATGTGGCATCGATGGTGATCATATCTGGATACCTGCAGGTACGATGTTGCGGACGGCGATGCATCTGGGCTTACATCGCGACCCGTCTCACTTTCCCAAAATCAGTGTTTATCATGGCGAGATGCGACGCAGACTTTGGGCGACTGTTCTGGAAATCACTGCGCAAAGCAGCCTAGATATGGGCATGCCGCCTATGATATCGGTCAACGACTACGATACGAAGCCACCGTCCAACATCAACGACGAAGATATGGGAAACGGCATAGACACCCCACTCGATGTGAAGCCAGCAACCGTATTCACAGACAGCAGCATACAGATCGCTTTCACCCAGACGCTTCCTACGCGGCTAGAGATTATTAGGGTAATCAACAACCTGCGCTTCGACCTATCCTACGACGACGTACTGCGTATCGGCACCAAGCTCATCAGCGTTTGTCGTGAGAAAACGAGATTCTTCAAATCAGCATTAGCAGCAGGACAAAACATCACGCCGTTCCAGATCAAGATGTCCGATACCCTAGTCCGACGCTTCGTCCTCTGCCTCCACCGCCCCTACTTCTCCAAAGCAAGCGAGAACCCACGCTACCATTACTCAAGGAAAATATGTCTCGATACGTCGCTAGCGATCTACGCTCCAGCAACTGAGCTGGAACCAGGAGAAGAGGATGACTGGACGCGCATGACAAATCGATGCGTGGGGTTCTTCAAGTCGTTCTTCCTCTACGCCATGTCAACCGTATATTACGAACTCAACTCTCAGATCAACGAGAGGAAAGAAGATTTAGCGCTATTTGCTCCTCTTGTGTCCACACGCCCAACCACAACGTCTCCTTCTACAGGGTTGACATCCTTGCCACCTCAATATCAACCTCTACGTCAAGTCCTGGAATCATCCCGACACACAGCAGTAGCCCGCATCCAAAATGGCGAAACAAATGGAAAAGGTGTTGTATTCATCAATTGCGCACTAGCACGCATCGACGCTTTGATCGCCGGCACCGATCCCGAAGCAGCTGTACTCGAAGCAGCGAAAACATCCACCAAAGAGATGAGTAAGATACTAGCAGCCGTATACCGCGAAGAGCACGGCGAAGACATCGACCTCAGTCCCTCCAGCGGCAGCTTCGCAGGAAGAGAGCATGGTCGAGGCGAGGGCGCTGATGATGTTACCGGGAAGCATTTACCTACTGGTACGGGTACCCAGAGCGGCTGCAGCAATGGCATAGATTTCCCTTCTTTCGACGGCACGATGGATGGGCTGAGTATGCTGGATGGCGATCTGGGTGATGTAAATATGGGGTTGGATATCGATATCAATACGTATATGCAGGGTTTACCCATGGATTCGGGGAATGGTTTTCATTTTGGAAGAAGTCCGGAGTGGTTTTACGATCTGAATGGATGGGCTTCGGGTGGTAGTTTCGGTAACCCTGGATATGGTGTTTGAGGCGCATGTTGGCTGCGCGTCAATTGTACCTGCATTACCTGTTCCCATGTGTACACGACTGTAGACACCAATCCCGTCTGTGGACAGCAAATTGTAAGTACCCTCAGAAAGTGGATCACAATCCAAGACTTCGCGAGCCAGGAGATATCCGCGCCCACACACGTGGGCGCTAAGAAGCGGCACGCCTTGCCTTAGCGGGGTTGGTGCGCATGCCTTGGAAAGCTACCTTTCTCGCTGCACCATCTCAAACATCAACGAACCATCTTTTTAACCATCGTCGATACTATTAATACGTCAATCCCCGTCAAAATGTCACCCATATCGCGCATGGCGCGCCTCCTCCTCATCCTCCACTCCATCGTCAACATAGCCCTTGGCGTTTACCCCTTCATCAACCCAGAGGAGTACTCCGCAATCACGGGTATGGAAGGTCCGGAAAAAACGTTACAATCGATCGGTACGTCGAACATCGGTCTCTACCTGTATCCAAGTCAAACTAACAAGATGCAAAAAAGGTCTCGGCGCAATAGCAGTAGGCTGGTACCAACTCATCTTTACCTTCCAAGGCAACCGCCGGATGATGGCTTCTACGATCCCGCTGAGATTGGGGTTCGCGGCTGTCATGTATGGGTGGGAGAGACAGCCTGTTATGATTTACGAGTTGATTGTTGTGTGGTTTTGTTTACTGGGGGTGTTTGCTTAGCAATGGGGAAAGGAGGCCGGAGGTGGGGGGAAGAGGAGAGGGGAAGAATTTTGTAGGACGGTCATGGAGAGTCGTGGCCGAATACCTCCCGTTGAGAAAAAAAAGTAGCAATAGTACTCGAATGGTGAGATTGGCAGTAGATGTACTGGGACTACACTATCCCACATACATACAAGTATACATATGGCACCGTATACCTCAACTCAACTCACCCGACTAACTCCACTTAACACTCCCCCCTGCCTTCCCCTCCAACCCCCACCCGCCATACGTATCCACAAACCCCTCTCTAGTAAGATACTCCTTATGCTCCTCGCTCCTCCACGCCAGCGCAGTTCCCAACTTCCAACTCGTATCCATTTTATCCAGCACAAGTTCCACGAGCTGCACATTCTGCGGGTTTTGCAACTGGGGTTTGGAGAGGATGGAGGAGAGCTCTGAGATGGTGGTTGCGCGGTGGAAGGAAGATGAAGGATCTGGGTGACGGTAGAGGGGTAGGAGGTGCGAGTAGTTGTGCGGGACGATGTCGTTATATGCTGTAGACGTCGGTGGTTAGCTGTGTACCGTTCAATGTGGAGAAGAGAAGACTTACGTTGTTGAGCACCCCAGATCAACCTCTCAACCGTATACCCATCGTTATTAATGACGAAAACAATCGCCTTACACTTCGCCTTGATCATAGTGCCAATCTCCTGGATCGTCAAAGCCATGCTTCCATCTCCCGTCATAAGAATAGTCCGTCCCTCTCCTTTCTTGTCTAGCTCCCTCCGCGCGATATCTACACCCAGCGTCGCAGCAGTAGCAAACCCAATACTGCCGTAGTAGATCTGCGTAACGAGCCTGATATCAGCTGGGAAATCAATGTCGCAGAGACCGAAATTCGAGGTTCCGGTTTCGCTGACGAGAGCGTCGCCCGGGCGGATGAAGGATTGGATGGCGGGCCAGAGTTGTGATTGCGTTAGGTGGGCTGATTTGGCGTCGAGGGGTGTGCGGGGTGGTGGGAGCTGTGGTTTGGTAATCTTGTGTTGGGAGGTTGATGGTAGGGCGGTGGTTAGAGCTGCAATGATGGCTTTGATGGGTGTGTTTGGGTAGGATTTGCCTTTGACCTGCGGGGTTTGTCAGGAATGAACATCAGGTGAGGTATGCGAGGAACTTACGACGACATCATGTGGGTTGATGTGAATCGTGTTAGTCTCGTCCAGTGGCCTCGAGAAACCAGCCGAGTTTGTGTCGGCAGGTATGTACCCCAGAGTCACCACCAGATCTGCCTGTTTCGCTGCTTCTTTAACACCCGGAGAACTGACTTCGCCGTTCCATACTCCAACAAAGTTCTCTTCTGTCTCATCGACAACGCCCTTGCCCATCGTTGCTGAGAAGAAAGGGACGTTGAGTTTGCGGACTAGCTGTGCAGCTTCCTGGGCAGCATTGAAGCGATGGACGAGAGCGTCTACCAGTATCGTTGGCTGTTTAGCTTCAGCGACTGCAGCCACAATAGCTTTGACCGCTTCATCCCGCGCCTTATCATCCACATGCGGCGCAAGATCAATCGGAGTTTCCAACAACCCAGCATCCACCATTTCCGCACTCAAATCCAGCGGTAGGAAGATATATACCGGCCCACTCTTGATAACACACTCCCGTAGCACCCTATCGATCTCCTTCGGCGCATCCGCAATATCCCAGAGTTCCGCAGCCGCAAACCTCAGACCCTCGCTAGCCTTGTTGTACGCTTGATGGTTCGGCTTGTTTCCAATACTGTGATGGATCATCATGTTGTTCTTCTGCATCGCCCGCGTAGTCTGCCCCACGACGTGGACAACTTTAACATGTTCACTCATGCTACCTGCGATGCCGTTCAAAGCCGAGAGCTCACCTACACCATGCGTGGTCACGAGACATCCGGGCGTGTTCTTGATGCGGGCGTACCCATCGGCAGCGTAGGCGGCGTTTAGTTCGTTTTGGTTGGTGACAAAGGTTAGGCCTGGGGTGAGATAGATGGAATCGAGGAACTGCAAGTTGAAGTCGCCTGGTACACCGAAGATTGTGTCGACGCCGATTTGGTGGATACGTTCCCACATGTAGCGGCCGAGGGTTATCTTGCTGTTGTCTGCCATGGCGGGCTGTCCTCGAGCTCTCTCTCCTTTCGAGTATTGCAGGTCTCAAGTGACTAAATAACACTTTTGTTTTCTACGTCTATTAGTTGTGTAGTTCGCATGTGTTGTAACGCTTGCGAAGATATAGTCGCGACAAGCTTACCGTGTGCTGTGCCGAGGATTCCGAATGAGGCAGATACGTAAGCAAGATTTGCAAGAAGAGCAGGAACAACACGGAACATGAACGCTAGACATCATAACATTCACATGATGTTAGCCTCTGTCTAGGGCGTGCACGTAAGGCGTTGTATGACAACCGCGGTTCGGTTGGAGACGGTTAGCTGAGTGGTACAGTGCGGGGAGATCGGCCTAACATCGGAATGATATCGGAAACAGACAGCTGCGATTAGAACATGATAACTAGAGCTTCAAATGGTATACAACTCGTAAATGATGCTGAAGTTCCTTAATGGTTTGAAGCTCTACCGATCACGCGCTTTCTTCTGTAGTCCCTGCGACGGAATGCTTCTTCGCATCTTCGAAGCTCGCCATCTTGAAATCGTACGGAAGCTCAAAGTCTGCTTTCGGATCTCCCTCGAAAGGATTGAAATCTACAATAAGGGAATCTTTGACTGCGAAAACCGCGTCGTCGTCGATATACTTGCTCTTTCTGTCAAAGATCTGGGTAACGATAGGTTTGTAGCCCGGTGCAGTGAGCTAAGACAAGTTAGCACATCAGGCCTGTAGGTCGGTTATAGGCCTCACATACTAAAAAGTGTATATGCGCCGGTCGCATCGGATGCCTATCCAGCGCTGTCAAGATCTTGCCTGCCGGCCCATCGAACGGGATAGGATAAGGCACCGGCCTCAAGCAGTAGAAGCTATACTTCCCGTCCTTGCCCGTCGTGAACCTACCTCTGAGGTTCATCTCTGGCTGGTCTGGATCTTGTTGTTCGTATAGGCCATTAGGTGCCGTATGCCATACGTCCACCACTGCGCCCTCGATAGGCTGCCCAGTTCTGAAGTCTGTGACTGTGCCGTGCATCCATGTACGATCGCCTTGCTCGTTTATCTCTTTGGAGACGATGCAGGAGCCCATAGGCAGTTTCGGGGCGTCATGGCGGTAAAAGGGGCCTAGAATGGCAGTCGCGGTGGGTTCGTCGGCAGCGGTCGAGGCGAGCTTGTAAGTGATCTCGTCGACGAGCGATTCGAGGCCGAGGATGTCGCAGAGCAGTTGGCCTTCGTTGCGTTTAGCGTCTGACATGCGACCTGCTGCGTTCATCTGCCCATAGTTTAGTATGCCGAATTACCTTCTCACAATATCAAACATAGAAACCTCGCTTACATACCAGCTTGACTCCTGTCATCCACTCATCGACCGTGAGTTCATTCTCCCTCGCAAAGTCATGAAGATGCCGTATTAATCCCGCTGTAAGCTGTCTGACCCTAGGCGTAGCTTTAGGACCCGTCGCATTAATTACCGCCTGAGTGAAATTCGGATTGAACTTGTGCTCCTTGCTATCCGATACCGCGGAAGGGTGTTGAGCTTGTGAAGCTTGTGATTCTTCCGGCATGATGATGTTTCTGATGAGGAGTTTCTGAAGATACACTTAGGTTTATTAAAGAACAGAGCTATCTTTCCCTCTGTGCGATTGCGATTGAACCTAAAGTACTGCGCAGGAAGTATGGTTCGGATGTTAGCAAACAGCGAACGATTAGCAGTACGATCGAGATCCGACAGCCGGCAGCATGTCGGCCAGTCAAGCACACCAGCGCAAGGCGCATAGCTTCAGGGTTTACCGTTGGCTTGCACTTTCGTGCGACATAGCATGGCGGGGCTGTGGAGCGAAAGTGTGTATGGCGTGGATGGTGGACGGAAGCTGTTGTCGGTGCGGCATTCCGACGAAGGTGCGCCTTCCGAGACTGGGATCCTTGGGACTTGACCAATGGAGCGTTGACGGGTAGTAAGCATATACGATGACTGTCGGTAGGTGTGATAACACAATCGCGCAGGCTATCGTGACCAGGAACGCCCAACTATATATGGTGAGTTCTGTATTAAGAAGATTGAGCCAGATCAATGATGACCATTTTGATCGCGGTAAATGCTACAGTATTGCACTAGCAACTCGAGCTATGCAAAAAGACCCAAACGCCAATAACTATGTCTTGGTAATGCTAAAAGACGTTCAATCACTGTCATCCTCGACCCTGGCGCGCTTGGCTGATCTGCCCTCCGGCTCCTGGATGCCGTAACGCTTCTCCCCCGTCTTCTCGCCCTTTTCACCACGAACTTCGTCAATCATCTGGTTGATGTTGAACGGATCGTCAGTATCCTTCTCAAATTGAACTGGTCCGTCCCGGGCTTCTTGCAGATCTGCTCCCTTGAAGCCCTCCTTGGCCTTTCCGAGGACTTCGAACTTGCTCGACTTGGTGATCCGGTCGTAGGTCTGTCCCTCGTCCTCTCCGTCATCCTGCTGTACGCTCGGGCGGTAGATGCTGCTTATGGCATCCTGAGCTGCGAACAGAGGCTTGTCGTAGTGGTTGTCCTCGTTAAAACCAGCGTTGAATCCACTAGACTGGTTGAATAGTCGCGAGTCGTACATTGACTCTCCGCTCTGTGTCGGCTTTGCCAGACCGAGTGCGACCTTTTCGGAAATATCACGATTCTGCTCCCGAGCCAGCATCTGAATCTTGCGCTCGGTACCCATTCGCGACTGCCGAAGTTCGCGCTGGAAGTCCTCCCGTCGCTCCTTGCGAGCGTCCATTCGCTTCCGCACTGCCTCTTCTTCCGAATCGGTGTCCGAATCGCTCTGTGATCGTCTTCGGGAGGTGTTGGCGCGCTGTTCTCGTGCCTCTCTCGCCAGGTTTCGCAGGTGCTCCTCCTTTTGTAGCTTCTCCTTCTCCGCCAATCTTTGCTGCATGATCGCACGCTGCTTAACCTCCTCTCGTGCATGTCTGTCGGCTGCCTGCAGCGCTTCGCCGAATTGAGCAAACTTGTCGTTGATCGTGATGTCCTGCAAGCCCCGACCATCGGCTGCTAGACGCTTGTCTAGTGGCACTGTGTATCCCTTGGGGTTCTTCCAGTTACTGATTGGGGGTGGGATTTTCCAAAGTTCTTGGTCTTCGGCGGTCAGCTTTCGCGGCGGCGAGTGTAGGACGGGTGGGGGAGGCGATGGCGGTCCGCGAGGAATGCGCTTGTGCTTGAATTTGGGTGGCTCCATGGGATCGATCTGTCTTTGCTGGATCTTGATGATGCGCGTCTGGCCCTGGGCCTGGCCATGCTGAGCTGTGGGTGTATATCTGACGAAGGTCGGCTCGTCGTTCTTTCTGCCCTGTACATTCTTGGGCCGTTGCGCGGCAGTTTGCCCTTGAACCAGTGCCATGAGGGCCTGCTCAGTCTTCTCCTTGGTTGCTTGGACAACCTCCGCAGAAGGACGCGACAAGTCCAGCTCGCCAGCGTCTGCCTGTTGGCGCAAAGGGATAAGGTCCTTGAAGCTGGCTTGCACAATCCTCGAATCGCCGTGTCCGCGTCGCGCGATCTCGTCGTACTTGGTCTTGCCCTCGCCGTCGACTCTTCTCACGAGAGCATTCGATGTGGATGGCTGGCCCTTCTTTCCCATGTCAAGCGGGTACTGCGCGACCAGTACTTCCGGAAATGCGCCTCCATCGCCAAAGTCTGGAGATGATGTCAGTGCATCTCCCACGTGTTGTTCATACGTGTTTTGCTTACCTTCAGGCGCGCGGGGCCTCCAGTGCTGCCTCTGGCCATAGGGCGGCGGGCCCTTCTTCGCGACTACTTGCGCTTCGTATTGCTCTGCGGTTAGCACGCGCGTGCTGTTGGTGAGCTCCTCTTCTTCGCCCGAGTATTTTGGCTTTGGTAGCGACTTGGATAAAGCTGCGATGGACATGGTCGGTCTAGGCGCGAGGGCAGTTCGCGATGTTATGAGGGTTGGGTATCGCGATTGGCAATGATCGTGGTGGTGATGATGTTGCTGGGCAAGATTTCATCAGACCCTCGGCGTTCTGGTTCAGCCACCGCCGAGGTCACGTGCGCATAGCTGCCTCACAACCCAGCACCTGTCTACATAGTTTTCCCTTTACAATGCAACAGCCAATCAATGAGACGAAGCGCGCAGTTCCGTTTGTAATTATGTGGCTTTCACCATGGATATAGAATCTGAGCCAGCGAACCTTGTATTGCGGGCGAGATTACAGTGTCTGCGACAGGAGAGAAGGGTGTCTGGCCTTAATTTTCACGACTCAGGCAACGGTGCCTCTTACCTGCGACTGACATGGATAAAAGTCCCGTCCGTGGTTGCTACTCGCTTACAAGCCGCCGTTGACCAGGATAGCGAATGCAGGAACAGAGTCAGTCAGCACAATGTTTTTGCAATCACAATCGTGATCTGTCATCTCGACGGGAGAAGCTTGGAAGTGGTTCCTGCTAACGGCCAAGCGGCGGTGTGCGTTCACCGGACGAAATGAGAGCCAGCATGCTTTTTGGGCCAGATGCCCACACTGGCGAGGTAATAATCGCGCAGGTAAAGGTCAGCTTACAGGGAAAGTTAATCGGGTAGAGGCATCTTTGACACGCTGGTAGTCGAGAGAGGCGAGCGAGTGATGTGCGATATAGTGTCCGATATAGGTGCTAGGTCAAAGCATTCTAGTCGCTGCACATCATGCCGTTGCTAAGAGACGGTTTCGAAGGCCGCCATTCGTTCCAGAAAGGACTGTGACATCTCGTGCAGAGTGGCCCGGGACCCTAGACGCAACGGGCCAAGGTCAAGATGCTAGGGATCCCCAGCGTCGCAGCATCAACCTCTGAACTTTGAAGAGTGAATTGGCAATATTCGACGGCTTGCGCGCGGACTGTGGGTCGCAAAAGCAGCCATGACGGGCTGAGTATTCTGAAACGTTGTCCATCATCCCTGTCTGGTGTGCCAGCGCAGGCCTGCAGCTATGCCGACCCATTCTCGGAAATCGTCTGGAGGAGCATCACAACACCACACCACCCAGCGGCGCAACTCTTTGTCGCAGAGCACGCCCCCCAGCAAGCCCACCCACGCCCGCACCAACACGGCCCCGGAGCCGCCTACGCTCTTGCGCCTGCCGTCTGTCAGCTCCACCGCCGCCCGCCGACCCCCAGCCTCGCACAGCGGCCATGGCATAGACAACTCGCGCGGCCCTCCTGTCACCCTCGTTACACGCAGCCGCAGCTCGCAGAACCCCGCCGACTTTGCCTATGCGCAGCAGCAGTTCCTCCATTCCGGCCTGGTTTCCCCCACTAGCTCCCACCAAGGAACATCCGCCAGTGAAGCCCCGCGACCACCACCACAACAAACGAGTACTACAGACCCGGCCACCCGCCCCAGACCCCACCCCCGACGAGCCTCTACCAGCAGTGCGAGGCCCCCACCGCGACGAATGGCGAGCTCCACCGACGAGTCGTCCGAATACGACTCTGGTCCCCGCAGCCGCATGGAGGACTACCACGCGGCGCATAGCGGAAGGGGAGCGCCTGCGCCGGCGACGCCAGGAACAGACGGCGACAAGGAGGACCTGTTTCTGAACATCGCCGCCGACAGTGCGCCCAAGCCGCCGCGCCCAGAAAACTCGACAGCGCGCGCCCAGTTGAAGGTGAGCACCCAGTGGAACTGCGGCCTGCGCATGCATGGTAGCTAACTACCACAGTCACGAGTCGCCCGCGTCAACAACCGGCAGTCGCTGCCATCCGCCCTGCAGTCGCCCTCGCCCGTCCAGGTCCAGTCGAGCTCAGTCACACCAACCACGAGCCGGATACCCTCCAGCGCCGCACTCGAAGCCAGGTCCAGCGGCATACGCCGGTCATCACTCCTACCCACCCCCTCCAGATACGAGCGGTCGCCAAACTCGCCTGCACCCGAAGCCATACGCACCCGCGACCTCAACCACAAAGCCTCCTTCAGCTCCGTACGACGCGACTCGGAGCTCTCACCGCGCGACTTCCTAGCCCAGTTCTCAAACTCATCGAGACGAGGATCTCAGCCTGAGGTGCAGCAAACCCCGCCCAGTCGCACCCCGGTTCACCCCTACAGGCCGTCAAACCTCTCACACGAGCCACGCACGCCACAGGTGGAGACATCTTTCGAAGCTGGCTCGCGCGCCGACGGTACCGAATCACATGGCTCTACAGGGCCGGCCGCATCTGTGTGGGACGAGCTAGACGAGCTCAAATCCAGGATACGGAAGATCGAGATGGGCGGCAAGATCCCTTCGACATCGGGTGCCATTGTAAATCAAGCATCGGCTGAGCGCCCGCGGACGGCCAACACCTCAGCTACGACAGTCTCTTCTTCACCGAATCAGCAGCGAAAGTCGAATCCATCGCCTGCCGAGTCGACAGTAGGCACTTACACTCCCAATAACAACAAAACTCATCCTCTGTTGCGCGAAGCTCTCGGTAAAGCTAGACAGTACGTCTCCCCAACTATCTACCGCAACCTGGAAGCGACTGCAACCGAAGCACTTGCGCTGGCAGAGATGAGCGGCAGTGCAGGACCGCAGGGCACCCTCCATTCTGCTAGCTCCATCATCAATGGCTCTGTCGTCTCAGACCGCCAGGTTCGTCGCAAAGCCGACAACCTCTGTCGCAGTCTCACCGAGCTCTGCATAGCTCTGTGCGACACCAAGACTGGTCTTGCTAGTCCAGCCTTCCGATCAAACACAGCTACGTTATCACGTCGGCCGAGCGTACAGATCAATGGCGATTCGCCGACTATCCGACAGAGCATCGAACCCGAAAGCAACACATTATCTGGCGTCAGTCCCAGTAGAGCCATGTCACGCATCGAGGCTCGGAGAACCAGCATGCTTATCGATGACTCCGGCCGCAGCCAAAGAGGAGGCAGCCAGGAACCTTACGACGATAGACACACTCCGTCACGCATGCAACGAGCAGGCACCAGTCTCCACCAGACACGCAACAGTGTGGACGAAGAAGACGAAGATCCAATCTTCCGTGCGCCTTCCCGTGCGATGACTTCAATCGACTTTAGAGCCCGTCACGGTGGTCAGTCAGATCAAAAACGGTTCACCGGTGGCAGACAATACACCTCCCGCGAACCAATGCCCGATCTACAACCATCACCAGCTCTTCAAACCACTGCCAGTCTCCGTCGACCCAGTGTCTCAAGTAGTACGCCCTCTAACGAGCATAGCCTATTGTTCCGGGACGGCCAGAGCCGCTACGGTCACAATCTAGGTCGCGAGGGCTCGCCAGCCAACTACGAGAAGACCTTGACGGGAGGTCTACGACCGAGAGCGCAATTGAGCGTTGCCCGGAATCCAAACAACAGACACTCGGTCGGTGGAGTTTCGGACATTGGACGCAGCGTGAGCCTGGGCAGAAGACTAAGGGGAACAAGTATCGGAGAGTGAGCAAAGCAAAGCTCTCGCATTACTTTGAGCTTGCGTTAACGTTTGACGTTACCCTCATAGTATGCCCAGTCTCCTCTTCGGTCCACGCGCAATGAACCCGCGCCTCTCATACTTGAGACCGGATTCGCCATGGGCACACCAACAGAGGCGCGCCGTATAATACGGTGCCACTACTGAGAGTTAGACACGGACGCACATGGGAATATGTTAGAAGCAAGCATCTGCGTCATCCAGCCTTGCGAGGCATAAGAAGTCTGTGCAATTTACCACGAAGGAGTTTCTACAAAACATTGTGAGAGAAAGAGCGTTTCTCACGACTTTGCATCTTTTTGCCATCAGCTACGGAGCATTTGTTTATCAGCGTTTCTTGCACGTAAGGGAACAAGCGTGTGGGCGCAGGATCGATTCACCGTCATCTCATGATCTTTTTGTCTTTTTTTCCGTTTTCCATTTCATTTTAGTTTCATATACCAACACCAGATCGTGTTTCTCCTTGCTATTTCTTCTCTAAAACATGAGTATTGAAACTTCGTGTACATATCATATATCCAAACCGCCTTTTCCTCTGTGAATATATACATTAGTTACGGACCCTTTTGGACACCTATGGTATGAAGGCTGACACATTGCTCAAGGTCACGGCTTCGCCATCGCGGGCCGCCCTCTAGGAAAGATATGCGCACACTTTCACTGCTTCGACGCGTCTGATATGGCAAGGCTTCTGTGACCTGATGGTCCTTTTCGGTAACTCTCACGAGTATAATGAAGAACGCCTCTTGTCAGCTACGAATCGGACCATCGCAGCATTGTTCATTGCCGGCTTCCAACTAGATGAGGCGTCGCTCGTCGACAATGCTGACCATTTACAAAGACCTTGTGGTTGATTGCAAGATATATGTGGGCTGCTCCCCCATATTCTTCGCGTGACCCAGACCTAGACCTAGGCAATCATGGAACGAATATGCGGTACACACCGAGATGTCTGAATCGCATGGTACTCATCTGAGTTCAATACCCCTTCTTCTGTTCACCGCTGTCCTCACCTGCTTTGAATGCCCTGACATCCCTGAAACCGTGCTGTGAAACAAGAACGCTCTTTGCGCTGGAGCAAACAGTCTTTAACAGCGTACCGACCCGTATTCACCTCCGATGGACTTTTTCTGTTGTGGCCATATGACGCAGCGGCGCTCGCGCCGTTCTTCAAGTTCTTCTACTGCGACGCTCGACCACGACACCACCACCACAGCCAATACGCCTTTTGGTCAGCCCGCGATTCGCAATCCGCACACAACCGACGCAAACTTACACTCTGCTTTGGACTCAACTGCAGCAAGCTCGCCATCAAGCGCAACCGCGACCGCTTTAGTGCCTGAGCCAGCAGTGTTTGTCAACTCGCAGGCCTTCGCAAACGCTCACGTTACGCAAATCCCCACCACCTTCAAGCGCGCACACTCCCCATCATCAAGTGGTAACACCCCGCCCAGGAAACATCACTGCGGCCCTGTTGCGATGTCAGACGAAATGTCTGAAGAGCGCGCACCTGCCCAGGTCGTTGCGCAGGCCGCGCCTACCGCTTCGGACGAGGCGGACACACTGACAGACTCGTCATCCACAGTGCAGGGAGACACCATCAGGACCTCATCACCAGCCGTAGTGGAACCTCTTTGTTCGAATATGGTGACTGCATCTAACAGCGATGGTAATTCTCATTCAAGCGTAGATTCACCTGGGGTCGGCGTCACAACACACATCGAGACGCAAGATCTGGTATCCTCGCCACCACACAGCGATGACACTATGGCTTCGCAATCTCAGCAGAATGCGCCTGGTGAAGTGCAGTCACAGGAGGGAGAGCACGTCGACAACATCAATCCTGCTATCCCTCGCTCCGGCCAGAACCACGGCGACGAGATGTCCACGACGCTGCCAGCCACGCCGCCCATGAACGAAGAACCACAATCAGCAAGTTCATCCGCATCGTCAGATTGGTGGACTGAATGGGGTGTTCCACCGCCCCTACCGAAACCCGATACAGCCATGTTGTTGCCTGATCAAGCGGTCTCTTTCATAGATATCTCCGAGTCACTCGCTGAGCGCAACATGCAAAGCAACATCTTCTCAAAGACGCGTGAGTCGATAAAATACCAAGGGGCCAGGGTTTTAATCATCTCTTCTCGCGGTTTCCAACGTGAACATTTGCCTACGAAGCAGACAAGGCCCCCTTTGCTGAAGCGCCGTTACAGTGTGGATGTCAATACTACCACCGACTGGGAGCGAGAGACTGATCACTGGGAATTTGTACTATCTCAGGTAAATAGTTACCAGAAGCCTTACTTTAGTGGGCACTTCACTGACGTTACACAGACATATGACATCCCCGAGCTACCATCAAAGGAAGTGGATCCTCTACCCGCTCTTACACATGGGTTACAGCTTCCTCACCCTGCCCGGTACACTGCTTTCGCCTCGGCCTTTGACCATCAGCCTCCCCACAACGAAGGAGTGTTCCTTGAGCTGGGAGATGTGACCCTTCACAACGACGCCTTTAACTATATCGGCGCTACCAACAGTCAGATATATCGTCAGGAAGTATGGATGCGTGACGAGAGTCTAGACATGGCTCTCGAAGTGCTTCGCCGCGATTACGACTGTGACGCTGACAAAATCGGCATCGCCAACTCCACCGTGGCCCAGATTTGCTATTTTGCCCGAATGTCAGGAGAATATTCTGCAGAATACGAACAGTACAGGTCACGTTACGCCGATAAGAATTGGATCTTCATCGTCATCAACGATGCCATCGGCGGCGTCGAAAACGATGGCCACAGTGGATCACATTGGTCGCTCGCCGTTCTAGATCGGATTTCCAAGACATGCTATTACTTCGATTCGCTTTACATTAATTTAAGATTCTACCAGGGCCTGGGTCAAGATATGTCCATGGGTATGCTCCACATCCTTGGCGAAAGCCCTGACGATTGGAGATACCGCATACAATTCAACAGTCCCAATCAATACGACAACAACAGGTTCAAAGAAGATGGAGGTGCATGCGGACCATTTGTATACAAGATGAGTCAGATGTTGATCAATGCAATCAAGCTTTGTCAACTGGCAGGGCGAGAGCACAACTGCGATCTTACACTCAAGCACTGGTTCCCTGAACAATTCGAGTCGGAGTTCCATTCGGAGCAGGTTCGATATGAGATCAAGGACAAGATTGCTCGCTGGGCACGCAAACAGTGGTCTTCAAGATTGGTGGACAACTGGGACACCGCGCTGATCCAGGGCACAGATGCAGTCCTAGACGACGGTCCAGTCGTTACATTCGAGGTCCCGGGAAGGTCCTCCAGGACACATGCGTCGGGACGGAATGTCCCCAGCGGAAATAGTTACCAATCCCCCATCACCTTGGACGAAGACGATGAGAATTACGTTGTCCACGGGAATAGGAGGGATAGCTTTGACAGCAACGTTGCGTCCGCGGGTGGTGATACGGCGGTCGTCGACCTGGGTGAGGACTCCGATGATACCTGGGTGGTGTCAGACGACGACATGAACCTGGATGAGGACGACGAGGAGACCGCAGAGGTCGTCCTCGACGGCCAAATCCAGATTGACGACTACCCTGTGCATGGAGAGGAGAAAGACGCCTAGGCATCTTGGGGCGGGGAAGCGACGTTGGCTTGGTTTTATTTTGATAAGGGCGTTAAATGGGCTTGTCATTGTCAAGATACCCCTTCCCTTCAATTGTACGATAGCGAAGGAGTTTTGGTTTTTGCATAGTTTTGTTTCGCGAGGAAAATGTACTTCAAAAATAGCGAAAAACGGCTGTAAAGCCTGAACAAAACTCCTAATTTGCAATATCATGATACTCCTTGATAAAATTGCTAGACTCGACGTCGCACCTTCCAAGTTCCTCCAGCAAACCCAAAAACCATCCATCACGTGTCGCGTCATTTCCGTACTAGCGCAATCCCAACGCCCATCGCCATCGCAATCCAGCATCGGCATTACCAACATTACCAACTTCCACAACAATCCTGTTTTTCTTTCCGCCCAGCCTCCCAACCTCTCCCAACCACCGCAGATCCAAGATTGCGGCTGAACTCGCCATCGCAAGCTGCGCAAGAAATGGTGGCGGTGGCAAAATATGCACAGCACCGCAGGTCAAGCGAGCCGAGGTGCGGCGAACGATGAAACCGGGGAGGCGACAGATGTCGTGCGTTCTGCTGCGGATGTACCTGTCTATCCTGTCGCATCACTAGAGGGAACTAAGGGGCTAGAGGCCGGGGCAATTGTTGATCACCGGCGAATATGAGAAAAAGCAAATGCTGCGCTGCTGCCTTTGCCTTCCAGGGTCGGTATGCGGTACGGAGAGTTTGGAACGGATGGGGTCTGGACCTAGAAGGTTGAGATGATGGGGAATGACGTAACCGCGTGATTGCGATAGCTGAACTAACTCCACCAAACCTTCTTTCCACGGCTCTTTGCATTGCATGATGACTGGAAGTTTTTATGTGGGTGTGCTGAGGTTAGCTTGGATCGTGGTGTTGGGCATTGTTCTACTGTGCAGGTGTACCTGATCGATCACACGATACTCACTACCACCACGATCACTACTACGAACTAGCACATGTGTGTGCACGAACCTACGCATGTCGGCACGGCGCAAAACGCGTTTGGTGTGTATATCGGATACGCATAATCAGACGCCGAAGTTACCGGCTGGCGATGTCTTGATCCACGCGGGTGACTTGACGAATCAGGGGAGTTATGCGGAGCTCAAGAGGACGGTGGAGTGGCTTGAACGGCAGGAGTTTGAGGCCAAGATTGTGGTTGCTGGTACTGGAAGCCCTTGGTCATGTTCAAAAGGTACAGACAATGGATACGAGAGATGCTGATGATGTGACAGGGAATCACGACATCACACTCGATCCTCCATTCTTTCGAGAAAACGAAGACTCGTGGAAATGGCCTGCGCCCCAAGATACAGAAGAGTGTAGAAGACTTTTGACGGAATCCAAATCGATCATCTACCTTGAAAATGACTGTACGGAGATACGACTAAAAGAACGGGGAACGTGCTTTACCATCTTCGGGAGTCCGTGTACGCCCAAGCAGCAACTTGCGAGTTGGGCTTTTCAGTACAAACCCGACGAAGCAGAGGAGTTGTGGAACAAGATTCCAAATGCAGTGGATATTGTAGTTACTCATACACCGCCAAAGGGGCGATGCGATGGAGTAGTAGCAGCGCCGGGTGGGCAGAAAGACAGAATAAGGGAAGGATGCCCAGCGTTGTTAAGAAGATTAGAGCAAGTCAGGCCGATCTTGAATATCTGCGGACACATACACAACGGACGAGGCGTGGAGACGATACGATGGAGAGAAAGACATGCATTACTACATCACCAAACCACGCCCATGGATATCGGTACCCTAGTACCAAGCGTGCAGTTCTGGAACGACCCAGGAGCCTCCAACAAGAAACTTTCTCTAGTTGATTTGACGACGGGCATGCAGGTGAGAAGAGGGCGTGGTTCGGGCTGCGACCACCATGCGAGCTTGACACGTCAATTGCAGCCTGACTCGCGAGGGGACCGTCCGGAAGGCCAGCCTGATGCGTCGTCTGCACCGGATCAGACAGGGCGTCAGCCCCCGTCCGGTGGTGGTGAGAAGCTTATCCCGACGGCACCAGCGAGCCTCACTGATGTTGCCCTGCGGGACAGTGAGGCGTTGTGGAGAGGGATTAGTGGAGGAAGACGGCGAGGGGGCGATGCAGATGAGCATCAAGATGAGAGCGATACCGGACATGGGTGTCCTGACGAGGCTACTCAGCGTCTCGCAGAACGACAGAGGGGTATGCCTCCACTGGGGACGGAAGAACGCAGCCAGACCACGGTGATCAACGCAGCGTATCTGGGTCCGAGGGTTGCTGGCAAAACGTCGGTTGCCTACAACAAGCCGATAGTCGTCGATATGGAGCTGCCTGTATGGGGCTCTTGGGACAACGATAATGCTAGCTAATGTGGGATGACGGATCAACTGCAGCGTACCTGTCCCAAATGATCTCATTCCTAGCCAGCAAAGCACACTTGTCGAGCCAACACCTACATCATACTGCTGCTTGTCTATAGCATATCGTGTCCTACTCACTTTGGAGCGTGCAATGGAGGAGGACCACGTAGGAGGACGTGCTTCGTGGGCTTTGTGAGCTGACCATGTCACGATTGGGTGTGACATGCAGAAGTGCCCCGCCTTACCCCCGCATAAGCGTATCTTATCGTCCTATCAAGCCACGGGCTAACGTCTGCCATCGGGACGGATCGAGTGGCAGCAAATCTATACCCTCTCACATGGCTTGGGACGGAGAGCAAAATATTGTCTGACGGGCGACGCAACCGCCGTGCCCTGACCTGAGTTGCGACGGGCCACAGGGATGCCCCTCAACATGCCTCGAGTGATGTGCGGAGGATGTGCATTGATGGGTGCCGAAGGCCCGGTGACTGCTACCGTCTGAGTTGGGGAACACATGTGTCTCGGAAGCTGCAGAGGATGGTTTGTCTGGGTGGATCTCGAATGTGACGAGTCGCCTGTCGGTGCTGGCTTTGTGCTTCACCTGTACCCTTATGCTGCAGCTGGATTCGTCATGTCTTGCAAATGTTCATGGTGGGGTTGGTGAGCATTTCACGATTGGACAGCAGGTGTGGTCACATCGTGCTTCCACGCTTCTGGCATGGCTTCTTGGGGCTTCGGCGGTCATGCAGGCCCTCTGCTTGTTGGGCCTATCAGAAGCGGTTCGCGAGGCAGTCTCGAAACGGGCCATGTGGAGGGTGTTGGGCGTGATTGGACTGTGTGTTTTGCAGCCGCCGTGGCCGACGACGAGACCTGCAGCGGTGCTCATGTGAAGCAGCGGCTTGCGCGATGCGATGCGATGGGCGTGGAGCGGGGACTAGTCAGAGTCGAGTCGAGGCTGTGACGCTCTTTTCAGCCGGCGACGAGTTTGGTAGGCGAGCGCTGAATAGCGCAGCCAGCAGCAAAGCAGACAAGTGCAAGGCACAGGGATGCCCTCGACGGCTGTCGAAGCCCTGGAGCCCTTGTGCATGAGAGCCTGATATAGTCACAACTGCACCCCCAAAGCGTGCAGGCTGACTGCTCTCAGAATCCATATTACCCGTTGCACACAGCATTCTATTCTTCGAAGCCGCCCTCTTATTCTTCTCCCGCGATTCTCCCCTTCCAGACTACGCGGTGCGATCCCGACTATTGCCAGCCGGATCCTATTGGCATTTTTTGGCACGGTTGACGGTGACGTCGCAAAGCCATCCACACCGCAAGTTACGGCCTGCAAGCAGATCCATCGCTGCCGGGCAACGAGCAGCAAAGTCGAGAGCACAACACAGCCTCACTCTTGTCCCTGACCGCCGGCCGAGCATTACAATTTCTTTGTCCAGAGTCTTTGATCCGAGTTTTTTTGTCTCTTCGCCACGTTTCCGCCATCTTCGATCCGCGCTGTCTGTGTCCCTGAGCGACCCACTATTCCTTAGGTCAGCCGATTTCAAGCAAGCCATCCTCGTCACCCCGTGCAGGAACACCCGCACGCTCCGTCCGCTCTGCTCCCACCACGGCACATACTGCACCCGACTCTCCTTATAGGGCTCCTACACCGACCCATCGCCCAAAGCCCATCGCTCTTGCCCTTGCTTTTGCTGCGGCCTGCCAGACATCCGCCCAACACCGCCACAGGCTCGCTTGCTCATCCACTCGCTGCATTGCCCGGATCCGCATGTGTCAGGCCTGAGTCGCAAGCAGTCATTGCTGTCACACTATAAGAGAGATCCCACACCCCACAACCGACTAGCAAACCTCTCCCCACACCGCCATGGACGACCCCCTACCCGATCACTACAAGGCCCTGGGCGTCGCCAACACGGTCGACGCCGCCGTCATCAAGGCCACCTACCGCAAACTCGTCCTCAAGTGCCATCCCGACAAGGTCACCGACCCCGCGTTGAAGGAGCAGAAACAGGAGGAGTTTCACAACATCCAGCAGGCCTACGAGTGCCTCATTGACGACGAGAAGAGGAGCAAGTACGACGCGCAGGTCACGCTCGACAAGCTGCGCAAGGAGAAGGCGGCGCGAGGAGCTGTGCCACGCGACAGGACTGCACGCTTCGATGTCCCCACATCAGGCGGTGCATCCTTTGCCGCAAACGGCCCTTCGCGATACACCACCGAGTACCGCGCACCCACAGCACGCGAGGAAGACGACCGCTACCACGCACGCTACCACACTCAACCGTCAAAAACCACAACGTCCTCGAGATCCACTCGCGAGAAGGAGTCCAAGAGCTCGCGACACGTCAAAGAAGACAGATCACGCTCAGATCGCGAGAAAACGCGTGCCAAGGAGACCCGAAGCGACCGCAAGTTCACCCAGGTTGACAGTGAGTCATCGGGTGATGAGAAGGCGCGCTACGAGGCAGCCTTCAAGGCTCGCACCGAAGAGGATGCTCGGCGCAAGGCAGAAGAGCGCCGGACCTACGAAGACAACCGATATGCCGGCGCCACTCACACTGTCCCTGCTGCACGCAAAATGAGCGTCCAGGAACAAGAGGCACTCCGCTACCAGCACAAGTCGCGCGCGCAGGTCGAGGAGGAGATGATCTCTTCTCGTCCATCGCCCGCCAGGGCCTCCTCGCGCGATTACTACAACCCTGAACCACCTCGGATGGTTCGACGCGACAGTGCTCGACCTGAGCCCGTCCGCAGGTCATCTGCTCGCCCAAGCAAGGAAAGACCTTCTTTGTCCCGTCGTGACACCGACCGTACCGATCGCAGTATCCCCGAGGTTGTCGAGTGGGCTGATGAGCCCCGGCGTGAGGAGAGACGGGTACCCAGCTTCAAGCAAACGACCTCATCACCTGCTGAGCTCGCCCGTGGAATGCCTCAGCGCTCGTACACCGACAGCAGGCCCAGCAGATATGCCGAGAACACGCCTCCAGCACCTTCGCTGAGTCGATCATCGACCATGCCTAGCATCCCGAATACGTCCTCGCGTAGAAAGGACGCCACTGTTCCCCGCCCGTCTGGTCTCCGTGAGACCATGACTCCTGAGCAATACAGCAGTCCCGACAAGTACAGCAGTCCTGAGAAGTATGCTAGTCCCGAGCGAGACGCTTTCCCCAGCGTACCACAGTCGTCGACTGTCAAGACATATTACTACCCCGTCTCCGGAGCTGGCGCATCCCAAGATCCGCCAACCCCCACTCCTCGCCACGTTGTCCGCGAACCCCAACGCCAACACCGTTCAAAGTCGCCGATTGGCAAGCCCCCGATCGGTCCCAACCGTCCAGCAGAACCCACCGGTTCATACAAGACTGTCCCACGGCCGTCCATGCCAAGTCGCACGGAGTCGAGTCGCAACATTTCGCCTGTCCGCGAAGAACGCGGCCGCTCAGGTAGACTGTACGGCGAAATCGGTAGCGAACCCCGACACAGGGTGCGCCAAACAAGCATTGACCCCAACGAAGTGCAATACAGCCGTAGATACGGTCCCGAGGACGTCAGATGGGCACCAAGATCTGGTGAATCCGACAGGGCTGACAGAGGCTATGCCAGCAAACCTACTCTCGGAAGGACTGCTACGTATGTTTACTAGTAGTCTCACCATACACACTTAGAAACGCGAACCATATACACGCGCACACACCGACACAGGCATCAAATTGCCCATAGGATACCCCCAACTCCCGGCTATCGGATGAAACACCGGGATCACATTTTGCAATTCTTCACAGGCGTTTGACGGTTTTTTTCCATTACCATCTCCCATCTCATTGATGTTCAGTTCTACGACCAACTACACGCAAGTGCTGCGTTTGGCGTTTTAAGAGGAACTCTCTCTGTCTACTTGTCTGTCAAGTTTCACATTCGTCATCTCTGTACAATTGCACATCCATCGAAATTGAAATATATTTCGATGAAGCTTTCCGTTCGCTTTTCTGTCCTTGAGCAAGACGTGTATGTACGTCTTGCATTACTTTCGTTGTATTGTATTGACACTGCGCCGGGCTAGACCTGGACACATTCGCTTTATCTGCATGGTATTTGGATACATATACTACGCTCGCTTGGTACGAGATGAGATGAGATGAGATGATGAGCCTGATTGGCATGGTTTCTGCTTCTGTTTTTCGTAGACGTGGAGTTCTCTTTTGGGACATGCACACAATATCATCACACATAGTATATATTTTAAAGTAGTAACCCGAATGGATTATCAAGCCAACCTAAGACTTCTTCTAGCATGTGATTTCTGTATGCCACGGAAATGTGTCTACAATTGATTAGACTCGCATTCATTAGTACGAGCAAATACGACGACTTCATGGTAATTCCCTCACTCATGTTCCACAGAGCTGCAATCTCAAACCGCGAGCTGCCCTTCTCACACCGCAACTACCTCTGCCCAACCACAATTCGTGTTACCAGTTCAACCCTTCCTTGTCTCCTTGCAACCCGAGAACGGCGATCTGCACAACCCTTATCTCGCTGACATAGGCCAGATCTACATTTGTACCACCGAATAATGTAGAAGTAATGCAGGTGAGATGTATGTAAGCCTTTGGTGTGTTTGAGTGATTAGGTTAGTGGACGGGCGGATTAGTAAGACGAAGGATGCTACTTCAACTGTTCGCATGTTTTGTCAGCAAACGAAAAAATAGTCTTCGGTTGGACTTGCCCTGCCAGTTCATTTGCTCATAGGGGGTACGCTTGATCAGGAAGACTGCCTGGTTCGATGAGAGGCCGTATCGCCAACAAAGGGTCAGTTACGCGATGAAGACACATATATGCAGGTGGACGACTCAGTGTTGAAATATGTGTTCCATTCATTTACATAGCCTTTTCCACCAGAAACCCTTAGATGAATCCAGAGAGGGAAAAGGAAAATCAAGGAAATGCCCAAGGATATGATCAATCCATCTGTCAAGATCGTTCTCTCCCTCTCTCTCTCTCCCAAGAACGCCTTTCGCTGGCTGAACTCGCCACGCGAACCAAGATACAAAGAAACCAAAACACAAAACCAAGGACGCAACCCAAGACGCAACTGGGTGCTTTCTGCCAGAAGACAGTCGCTTTGCATGGCTCGTAACATCGATACTGAGTGTGTAAAGTAAGGAGATGAGATAGATATACAAAGGGGCAGCGAATGTAGTAATGGGTTTGTCGAGAGAGGAAAAGTTGTTGTAGTAGTGTTGTGAAAGGAGTGTGAGTATGTCGAGGGGATGGCGGTACTAGGGTACTAGAAACTAGAACATTACTCTGCGTAATTCAACGCGCATTAGCCCCCAACATGCGAATATGGAAAGCCGTAAGCTGTACGGACTTGCAAAGAAACGAAATATTTGAACACAAAGGAGATGGATGGTGATAAGGGAATACGAGATGGAAACTGCCGGACCGTTGGAATGCATCGGCATGCCAAGGGTAACGGAGATGCTGCGCATCTAACGTCGACTCTCCAAGGTGGGTCAATGTGACATGCAGCTGTCAGGAGTCCAAACGCTCAGTGTTGGTGGCGTCGCGAGCTCTTGTTGGCGAAGGACGATCCTTCGGAGAGAAGTCGCGTAATTTCCGACAAGGCGGCCGAAGCTACCAAATCTTGTGCGCGCGGCGTCTTCTCCGGAAGCTTCTAGGTTGAGCAAGTCCACTCCGCATATTTTGAGTTTGCGTTTCGGTCTGTTTGTGCCTTTGCTCACAGTACGTCCCAGATGTTGCGAACAATGGGGTTACTGCCAGTTTGGACAGGGCTTCGGGGGTCAACGGTGGCCTTTTCAGGCGTCCATTGCCGGGGTGGTGGTTCTTCCCATGCGGTGTGGCCGTTTCGTCCGTCCTTGATCGTCTCATTGGAAGATACCGGACTCGTGTCGTCGCCAGAGGACTGCAGTTCGAAATGGAAGGGATTCCTTGTGAACTCCTCGGCACGCGGTGACATGAGAGCGTCGATGTCATCAGCAGCATGTTGAGGAGCAGAAGGTTTCGGCAGCTTTGACTGAATCTCCGTTTGTAGCTTGTGTAACTTTCGTTGTTCGCGCATGTTCGGTGATGAGAACCTAGTGCGAATGGCCTTGGCGGGAGTTGAAAGGAATGTTTGGCTAGGCGATCGGGGCGTATCCGGCGCCTTGGGGAACGCTACAGGAACAGGTTCAGCCGGGTCGATAGGGGTCAAGGCTTGTTTTTCGGGTGAATTGCTAAGGCTGTCGATGCGTGGTCCGGCGTCTTGGCTATGTTTTGGGAAGGACATGGAAAGCAAGCTGGGGGCCTGGAACATGGGGTTCGTTTGCGCCGTACCGTCCAGCGATGCAAAGCCGTTGAAAGTCTGATGTGCAGGCGGTAGGATGGCTTGGAATGACGGCCGGCGATCCTCAGCTTCAGAGTCCTTGATAGCCGCTATGCTAGGCCTGTCGAATGGATTGAAGTCTGCTCTTGTCGGCGATGTCAAGCCAAATGGATCCTCATCTGCTACCCTCGGCTTTAGTGGAGTCATGTGGAATTCTGTGGCACGTGGCGACTTCAGGTCATCTTCTAGGCTTGCGTCTGTGCGACCAAAGATATCCTTGGGAAATTGTGTAGCGACTGGCGAAGTAATCTCAGGCGCGGAAGGTTCGTTATCCAGATCATAGCCTGCCGGCCATGGGTTGTCAAACGAAGTCTTGATTGGCGACATGACCTCGGAATCGGATGCATCGTAGGAGCTAAAGGAAGGTATGTTGAAACTCGCCACAGCTGGAGATCGAAGTGGCTCAAATCCTGATGGTTGCAGAGGCGCTAGATGTCTCTCTCCTGCTCCGAATGAATCGCCCTCATCGTTGCTCAGGCCCAACCGTAATGGAAGTTGACGTGAGAAGTTGGGCACAGAGGCAAGTTTGAGAGTAGGCTCGGAAGATTCTTCGCTGTCGGAAACGTCTTGAGTCTGAATGGTCGGCAGGTCGTCGCTGTTTATCGAGACCACGGGCACAACGTGACCCGTAGGATCAACGTACGGTGTCGTCGTCGTTGTCGGAGAGGGCTCAGAGGGGACATCAAAATGCGCTGGGCTTGAGTCCCAGGACCGACGGAAACAGGCTGAGAAGGCTCCAGTAGGTGCCGATAGGGGACCGGGAGATATAGCCATCATATTGCCTGTGCTGGCCCGCTGCATGCTAATGTCGCTGTCGGGTGGAAGCGGTGCTGTTCGTGGAGTGCGCGATCCCGAACCTGAATCCCTATCGTACGAAGAGTACTTGTTGTTTCCCGTGGAGCGGGTAGAAGGAAGGCCGGCGGATCGGCGTCCATATCCTTGGTTGTGATATGAGCGGCTTTCGTTCTGTCTTAACAAGCTGTTGCGGAACTCCTGCAGTTGCATGATGAGGTTCATGTTCGGCCCGATCCACTTGCTTCGCTTCTTCGCCTTGTCGTACGCTTCTTGCACACTCATCTGCGGGTCCTTGTACAAGCCGTAGGCGACGATCAAACTGGCAGAACGACTGACACCACACTGGCAATGGATGAGTACACGCTTTCCACGCTGAACCCTCTCGTCTATCATCCTGACCAATTTGTGAAGGTCGGGAACGATGTCTGTGTTGTGCTCCCAGGGCATATGGATGTACTCTGGTGTCTTGTATGTCTTGCCCTCGATCACAACCTCGCGCGGCTGTATGGTTTGCATGACCGGGGTGGCTTTGGGTGTGGTTGGCGAGCCATCTTCCATACCAAACGATTGCTTTGGTCGCTGTGAAAGGGTAGCAAAATCGACATTCTCCGCCGGTGGGCCATCTATGCGCCTGGCATCAATGTCTTTTTGTGATTCCACCGTTGGCGTAGTGAATGGGTTCTTTACTTCGCTCGCGACGTTGATTATGACATCGAAAGTGGTGGCCTGGATAGCGGTTGGCTCGAAGTAGAGGAACACGCCAGACTCATAGATGCAGATGGGGCCGTTGGGATAGGCAGCCGGCTTTTCCTCTCGCGACTGGGGAACATCGAAGTTCGGTTCCTGGTCCTCTTCCTCTTCCATTTCAAAAGGGACTTCGCTGAGGCCACTTTGCTTGGGTGCAACAGGTCGTAGGGGAGGCAACTGCATACCACCCATTGGATTCGTACTTGGTGAACATAATGGTAGCGAAGGAGATGACTGGAAGTGGCGAAGCGGCGGACGATTGAAGGACGGAGTTGAGGGTATGAGCAATCGTACTGGCTTGCTCTCGTTGCTACCAGGCGTAGAAATGGTTAAGCTCAAGTTGGACGGTCGGCGCTTCGGCGGTGTCGGCGGTTTGATAAACAGTGGTGATGGCGGTGCCGAGCTGTTCTTCTCTTTAGGAGCTACTGCTATGGGAGCTGGAGTGTGTGCGCGCAAGTTGCTGAGCGAAGACGCTGTGTTGATACCAAGGTTCTTGAGATTCCGAGGCTTCTTTGCGGGTGTTGTGGGACGCTGCAATTCGAAGAATGGGCCGGCTGACGGTTCCCCGACAGGCGCTTCTGCTCGTCTAGACCTGAAGTCGGCAACGAAAGACGAGGGCGTAATTGTCTTTGCGAGGGGCGATTCGGGAGACACGCCTGGAGAGGGGTCTGTCACCGAGGACGAGTCCATGGTTGATATGGTTGTGGTCGGGGAGTTGTCGGAAGAGCCCGTCGATGTGCTGTCGCGACTTTCGCTGTGGATGTGGAAGGAGGAGAAGGGTGTGCCCGAGTTGGTGTTGGGGCTCGTGGCAGGGCGTGCTACATTCCCGCCATTTTGGCCCTTGCTGTGGTGATCTCCTCCAAATACGGCGCCGAATGATGGCATGGGCATGAATGAGCGCGCGCTCGTCTGAACCATGCTGGGACTTGTGTGCGTTGCCAAGCGTGGGCAGTGGTTGCGGGTGGTACTGGGCCAACGTGGAGGTCGTGGTGGGTTGAAGGGTGGTGCAGTGCAGTGGGTGAAGGACTGCTCGAGTTTCTTAGAAGGGAAAGAAGAATTAGGTGTAGAGAAAGCCCTTTTCAGAGTCGGAGTGTCAGCATCATGGGATATTGTGGGCGAGGCAGACATGGCAGGCGCATGTGTTTCGAAACGAGGGCTGCGGGACGGGGGAGTGGGGAATGGAGGCTGAAGACAGGTTGAGAAGCTGTTTCCCGACTCGAAGATTGGTGGTAGAGTGCACATGGTCAAGCAGGTAACGGTTGACAGGTGACAGGTGCCCGTACACTGCCTCGACTACAGTCATGCTCGCTCAGACAGACAACGGGGCACAGGAATGTGGAGTTGGGACATGAAAAGAAGATGCGGCTTACCTGGGTGCCAATAGCAGTGGGGAGGGGCGCTGGCGTGGTGAATTGGAGCGAGAATACCAGATCCTCTACTAAGCGCCTGGGGGAAGGAGCGACTGGGCCGGCGATGCGCCTATGCCTGAGGAGATGCGGCGTAGTGGGTAGAAAGGGCAAGAGCGTGCGACGCAGCGGGTGCGGGTGGTGCGAGCGGCGGTGGTGAGGAAGGCGCGGTCGAGGGTGGGTGCCGCGCTCACGATGAGGGTCTGTTGCGACGCACTCTGGACGATGGGGAGGGTCGAGGGCAGAGTGGTGACCAGCTTGGGTAGTGCGGACGAGGGAAGCCGGTCGATCGCAGAGCCGCTGCCGCCTGAATGTGGGAGGAGGGGGTCGTGGTAGGCGAGGCGAGCACGCTGTGTGTCGTGATTGAGGCGGCGTGAATGCGTCTTGTCGATGGATGGGGGAGACGAACTGCGAGCTGCGCTAGTGGCTCTGTGGAAGCGCCGACGTTCCAGGAATAGCAACCGCCGCCGGTGCGCTACGAGGCAGCTGCGACCACTAGGACACTAGCATGTCAGACCCATGAGTGTCTTGGGACCATACTACACAAACGCGCCAGTCCACTCAACCACCGCGCCTTACAGCCTGTCTACCGTACTGCTGGCGATCTTGGTTCGCAGCGTACGCGTAGTCGTCACTTCCCTCGCCTAGCAAACAAATACTCGTCGCCTCCGCTCCACAGGAGACTGCCCTCGACAAACTGCCCTTCTGCCCTTGTTCCCCGGACCTGGCGAACCTGGCCAGCCTAGAGTAGGCCCCTGGAGGCCGCATCCTGAAGACGGGAAGGCCCAGACGAGATACCTCGGAAAGAGGTCGGGGTCCGTCCATATTGCAGCCACCCCAGACAGTATGTAATCCGTCCCGTCTCCGGCCGCGACGCGCACGAGATGAATTACTCGTCGTCCAGGTCGTCGTTGTTGTCAGCGCTCACCATCGCCGGGACACCCTGGCCTCGCTTCGCATGCCACAGCCATCGTTTCGACTCTCACTGCGTGCAAGACTGCGACTGCGACTGACTTCATCGCGGCCTTCTGAGGCACAAAACAGTCGGAGCAAATATCTGCAACGTGAAACGCACCGTGGGAACTTATCGACCCACCTGTTGGCGGGGTGAGTTTTTGCGTCTCCGTCATGTGAGGACTACCACACGTTTCATGTCTCTGCCGTCAGTTTCGCAATCCCAAACGCTCCCACAGCATTTGTGGACCTCTTTCCGTATGACTGCCAGCCAGAGCCGCAGTCCTTGCAGTACCTGCCGAAACGTATTTCCACCTCTGCCGCTGCCTGTGCCCTGAATGTTGGTAATTTGTTCTTTCTGTTACGCAAAGCCCCGATTCGGCGAGCCCACACCAAATGCGTTTCAGCATCTTTTAACACCGGCAGAATTCGTCCTAAAAAGCAACGCGACACTGATTCGGGTACCCATGCGAAGATCCAACGACTCAGGACAGTCCGCCTCATCCTCCTGGGCACGTGCTCTTGAGATCGGGATAGGTTGACTGAGCGACTCATTGGTAGTTTCCATACTTATCAACTTGCAACGTGGAGATCAGAGCCCAACTTTTCGCTACCAGCTAGATGGTATTCCCGACTGAGTCGTCCTTGGAAAGTGTTCTGGCCTCCTAACACAAGGCCTCAATAAGGCCCGAGTCTATTTGCCAGCCTTTGCCAGCCCTGACGCTACACGCAGTGAGTCGTAGCAACTGTGACAGAACAGCCTGGTTCTCCCGCTATTAGGGCGGTTTGGACCAAGCAGCATTCTTTGCGAGATAAAAAAGATAAGGGGTGATGTATCACGGGCCTCAGTAAGGTTCAAATGTTTGCGATCGTGCTTGCGGTCCGAGAACCTAATCCTCTGCGACGACCTCGACCAGCAAGCAGGGACGTGCTCTGTCCATTTCATGGTCGACTTGATCATAGGTTTGGTTGTGCGTGAAGTCTCAACATACTCAAATGAGGTTCATGCGCCCCTGTGGCCTATGTGCCGTGGTACCTGTATTGTAGCACGTCACCACGACACACTTCGCGCATGTCATAGCTTTCTCGGACTTACGTCCGACTCCATAATACAATATGCTATGCGCGTTCTCAGAAACGGGGAGTGTACTTTTTTGTTCATCTGTAGTCATACCTTTGACATGTGCGCTTTGCACATACCAGCTAAATCAGCACGCTGCCAGAGACGTGTCGAACGAGTTGTGTGTGCTGCATGGAACAGAATGTGACTATGTCAGGAACCACAAGCAGCTGTTCATTCTTACCAAGTCACGCTGTTACCTAAGCATACGTGAAGGTATGACAGAAGGACAATGCGCTCATCTGTAGATGTGGTTAGACTACACTCTATGACAAGAAACTTCGATGTATTCGTATTGGAAATTTACTCATCCTAGGGACTGTTAGTCCATTCACGGGAAGACAAGCTCTGCGTTACTGTCAGCCTCTATGTATGTACAAGATAAGATATCACGTCTGGCCTAGTTATAGTCAGTAGCTAGATACCTAACATGGCCGTAGTGAGGGTAAAACCAGCATGTCCACGGTTGCCCTCAACCACGAAGAAAGCGAATTTGCAACTTCACGGTCGTCAATACTCTTACTCTACAGTACAACTCCAGGCCCAGAAGATCTGGATACCCCTCGAAAACTTTAGACAAAAGTGCATGTTGCGTTATCTAGTGCGTAGGTGTTGTAGATGCTCTGCGCTCATCCACCAGCAACGCCAAGCCAAAGCGGGCTAGCGCCGCCCACCATGCGAAATTCAAGCGAGCCCGAAGAACTCGAAAGTCGAGAGCCTCTTCTTTTCGCGACAACTAACCACCAGGTCAATACACAACAGCCACCATGTCGAGGCCAACCGTCACCGTCGTCTCCGCCAAGGGCGAGGCCACCAAGGACACCGTCCCCGTGCCCAATGTCTTCAAGGTCAGTTCCGCCGCAATTCGAACTTCGCGATACGATGCAAACCACAATCGGAGGGACTGAGGGGGCTGCAACGGCAGCTGGAGGAGTGCAGACATGGGAAGAACACTGAAAGAGCGGGGACACAAGTGGCAGCGGGAGAATGCTCGCATCGAGCTGGACTACGCAGAGTTCTTCCCATGATGCACTCTCGTGAAAGTGTAGCGAAAGCCGCATTTTCTGGCTTGTCTGCTTCTCTCAGTCTCTCGGATACGGCTCTACAATGCACTTGGACGCAAACCAGGGGCTTTGACCAATGCTAACAACTCTCCTAGGCCCCCATCCGCCCTGACATCGTCCACGCGGTGCACACTGGCATGAACAAGAACCGCCGCCAGCCATACGCTGTGTAAGCCTACCTCGCGCGCTACACAATCACCCGATCTAACAACAAGCAGCTCCGAGAAGGCTGGTCACCAAACTTCTGCCGAGTCCTGGGGTACCGGTCGCGCTGTGGCCCGTATTCCCCGTGTCTCTGGTGGAGGTACTCACCGTGCCGGTCAGGCTGCGTTCGGTAACATGTGCCGCTCCGGTCGCATGTTCGCTCCCACCAAGGTCTGGCGCAAGTGGCACCAGAAGATCAACCTGAACCAGAAGCGTTTCGCTACCGCGTCTGCGCTCGCTGCTTCAGGAAGCCCTGCTCTTCTCCTTGCCCGCGGTCACGCCATCAGCACCGTCCCTGAGGTTCCTCTCGTCATCTCATCGACTGCTTTCGCCGATGCCGCCATCAAGAAGACCTCCGCTGCCGTCGCTCTGCTGAAGGCTGTCGGTGCTGGTGCCGACGTCGAGAAGGCCCGCAACACACGCAAGGTCCGCGCTGGTAAGGGTAAGCTCCGTGGCCGCCGTCACACTCAGCGCCGCGGACCCCTCGTCATCTACAACCCCGAGGAGGATGGCAAGGAGCTCGTCCTTGCTTTCCGCAACATCCCAGGTGTCGAGACCTCATCCGTCTACTCCCTGAACCTCCTCCAGCTCGCCCCCGGTGGCCACCTCGGTCGCTTCATCGTCTGGACCTCATCCGCTTTCAGCGCTCTCGACAAGGTCTACGGATCCACCGCTGAGCCCTCAGCGCTCAAGAAGGACTACCTCCTGCCCTCCACCATGATGAGCCAACCCGACCTCAGCAAGATCATCAACTCCAGCGACGTCCAGAAGGTCCTCCGCCCCGTCCGTGGCGGAGCCGTCTCCAAGCGTGGTGTCGTACAAAAGAAGAACCCGCTCAAGAACTTCCAGGTGCAGCTCCGCCTCAACCCCTACGCTGCTACCTTCTCCAAGGAGAAGCTTGGCCAGAAGAAGGTCGAGGCCGGCAAGCCCGAGTATGCCGCCGACACCTTCCACGAGCTCATGCACGAGAACTAGATGGTTGTTGGTTAGCGTTATGATTTCCTAAGGTGTTCTCTCTTCGGCTGGGATGGACTGGAATGATGAATAGCTATGACAAATGTAGCTCTTCACAAAATGCCTCTGAGAAGGTTTCACTTCCACTCCTACCTATGACTATATGACTCAGGCGTTGCATTGATGAAGTTCGTCCACATGTTGCGGATAGATGTTCGTAGTAGTGTGGTATTGCATGATCGTCAGCGTTCCACTGACTTTGAGATCTCTACCAAGTGTACTCTCATGCTAGCAATACATGTCCCAAACGCCGTCGCTATGCTTCAAAGTTGCCCTCATCGCGAGTATAAGACCTCACTTGAACAGCCTCCTTCCACCCGTCCTGCCCATAGTCCTCTCCACACCCTCCAAACTCATACCCGCAAACCCAGCACCCCCGCCATCCCGATCCCTCTTATACCTCCTCAATGCCTCTCTCAAATGCGCCGGCGTAAGCGGTCCCTTATCACACGCCTTCAGCCTGTCCTGCAAACTAGCATCCTTCTCCACCTCCTTCCATAAACTCTCTGTACGATCAACCTGCGTAGGATACCAGCCCGCACTCGTGATATCTGAATTGGTCGGCCGATTCCTATCATCCTTGATATGAGCACTAGGTCGAACCAGACTCTGACTGAGGATGGGGCCTGGTAGGTTGGGGTTGGGAAGGTGCGTGCGTACGGCGGACCATTCGTCACGGACGGTGAGGGCGCGGTCGATGAGTTCGCCGATGAAGGTTTTGGAGTAGGATGTTACGGCGATGATGATGGGTTGGGGTACGGATTGGGAGAGGGTTTGGTTGACGAGCTTGCGGACGGTTTCCCGCTTAAGGCGGATGCGGCGGTAGGTTGCGTAGCGGTCCATTTGGGCTGGGGTCATGAAGTCTTCTAGCATGCTGTTGGAGCACAGTACATTAGCAAACGGGCTCTAGAAGGACACAACAGAGAGTATAGAGAAGGGACGTACCGTTCGTATTCTTTTTCTTGCTTCCTGCGTGCTTCGACACTCATGCCGCCTTCAATTTCCATGCCCATTTCCTCGCCCATCTCGTCGTCGTCATCGTCTTCTGCTTCTTCTCCGCCGTCGCCATCTTCGTCTTCACCCCCTATTGCGCTTCGCCCGTCGGCACCTTTGCCACCTCTTGCGCTTGAGCCTGCGACACTGCCTCCGTCTCCGCCCTTCTTCCGTCGCTTTTTCCCTCCTATGCCGTTGACGACTGAAGTGGTGATGTTACTTTCCACGGACGGAGAACGCGAGTATTGGCGCGGAGAGCCGCCGACTGATTCGGCATCTGGGGAGAAGGCGTTGCGTAGGTTGGAGGGTTTGCGCTTTTTGGTGGGCGCGCCGGAGTGTGAGGATATGCTGCCGCGCTTGCGACTGCCGGGGACGTTGAGCTGTGGGATATGCGGTGGTGAGGCCATGGTCGCACGATCACCAAAAGTACCGGACTCTGATACTGGCGTCGCGGTAATGGGAGGTGGTTGTCGTAGGAAGGCTAACTTCTGCGGGTTGGACAATGGATTGAGCCCTGGGGAAGTCGCGATCTCCGCCAAGCAAAACGATGGAGCGTCGACTAGCGCGTTTTCTGCTCGGAAAGCGCGACCGGGATTGATTTCGTCATCGACACTCGGGTGATGGATGCTCGCGCCTATTGCACTCACTGAGCGTTGCTCTAGACTTTCACCATGTAAAATCACATATCAGAAGGCGATCTGCCATTAGAACCAATTTACAGCCATTACGTTTAGCAACTCCACTTTGCGTCGCATACCCGCATCCAGCCCAGAGCGCCTCAAAGATGCCATCCTACGAAGAATCCTACGGCCAGCAAGCCGCTCAAGCAGCAGGCACAGGCGCAACCGACACCGATGGCGCCGTGCAAGCACCGCCCGATGCGAGATCTACGTCTGACCTCCCACCTGCCGCCCTCGACCTTGCAGCGCGCCTCTTCGACCTTGCCCGCAGCGGGGACACATCGACCCTTCAGCAATACGTCAGCGCCGGCATTCCCAAGAACCTCACCAACGCATCCGGCGACACACTTCTCATGTTGGCGTCCTACCACGGGAAAGCCGAGACTGCGAAGATGCTGTTGGATAGCGGCGCGGATGCGAATGTGCTGAATGGGAGGGGTCAGAGTCCTATTGCGGGGGCTGTGTTTAAAGGATACGATGATGTTGTGAGAGTCTTGTATGAGGGGGGAGCAGATGTAGAAAAGGGACAGCCAAATGCGGTGGATTGCGCGAGGATGTTCAAGAGAGGGAATTGCTTGAAGTTGTTTGGTGTGGAGGAGGGAGAAGGGACTGTGGTGGATGTTGATGCACATGCTGTGTCGTAGTGGAGACCCCGCAGTGTTAATGATACGGATTAGACTTGCTCACTCGTTTAGAACTGGCACAACAACAGCTATAGGGTAGAAGTGTACTACTTCAGAAGTCGAATGCTAAACTCATACTATCCCGCGCAACACAAAGTCTGGCAGTCTAATCCTCCCGGAAGAACCTTCCTACAAATTATGGTATCATATCATCGTCCGTCAGCCGCCAACTCCCTACTTCTTCTCTTCTTTTCCCTTGTCTCCACCAAACATGCCTCCAACGTATCCACCGGCACTCTTTGCGCCTCCTGCAAGGCTGCTCGCACCTCCCTTCACACCATCCGCAGCACTCTGTCCATAACCACCCAGTGGTCCTTGACTCTCAATAGGGTTTCCCTTGTCGTCCTTGCCACCGCGCTCAGCACGGTTGATACCCTCTTTGGAGACGGCATCACCGAGGGGCTGTGCGAGTCCTCCTTTACCGACTTGGCCGCCGACGAGGTTGTTTACGCCGTCTTGGAGGTTGTCGACTTGGTCAATGCCTGTGACCTTGGTCTGGTCGAGTTGTTCTGTGGGGAGGAGTGTTAGGGATCTATAGTTTAGGGATAATTCAGAGTAGTAAGAGACGTACGTTTGGTAGCATAAGATGCCTTGTTGTCCTTGGTGAACCACTTCAGGTACTGGTCCTCGATCCATGGCATCCATGTCTCGTACTTTTGGTTGTAGTACTCTCCCGCGGACTCCCTGTAGGTCTTTTGTGATCCCTTGTTTTGGTCTGTCATCTTGGGCAGTATAGATACTGTTAACTAATCTGGCTGAAGTGTATGGATAGTGAGAGGGGATATTTGTGAGGTTGTGTGTGTTTGCATGTGAAGCCACAACTCGCGGATCAGGCAGCCAGCCATATATACTCCACCCGCAGATTCGCGCCTTCCCGTGTGTACGCCATCTGCGCCAGCGGTGATCTCATCTTCGATCACTTGCACCGTGCTTGTTACAAGTTTGTGGCCCGCTGTGGTAGCATCGAGACAGGGGTTGGTGGGTAGATGGGTTGCGCTATACGTCATCTGAACCAGAAACCCAGACCAACTGATCGTCCCGCGTGGAAACCTGCATCTCAGACAGCATCTCTTGGCTGGGCAGCCGCCATTCAAGTTATCTACGCGGGGCCAAGGGCGCCTGGACTCTAGGGCTGGGTGTCTGTTGGGCTCAGCTTGATTGGTTCGTGGAGGAGCAGATTGTGTAGGTTGGCTTTGGTGGGTGCGATGACTGGACGCTAGCAGCTGGCTGCGCAGATGAACGTCTTCAACCACCTGCATGCGAGGGCGGCGCATTTTTACGTGTGAGTAGTGGCGCACAAATGCTGATGAACAGCTAACAAGAGAATGTGCAAGCTGGTCAGCTCTGCAGCATTGTTCGAGGCGATGCAAGCGCGTCACGACATGACTACTTAGGTACGTTCTCCTCCGCAACCACAGATACGAAAGCTTGCAAATCATATCGCGGTACGCCGTCATCTCATCTCACTCGCATTCCCTTGGTTAGTCGTTGTTCTCGCTTGAAAGAGATGGATATTCATTGTCTAGTATTTGTTTGTGGATCTGTCAGCTCAGCCGAACAAAATTGAACGGGGAAGTGAAGAGCATGAACCCAATCCAACAATACTCCAAGGTGGATACGACGCATTGGACACGAAACAGATAACCTCCATTAGCACGTGATCCTCTTGCAAGTCATCACAAACAGGCGCAGTCTCGATCCAGGTTGGAGGTGTAAAAAATCGTCGAATAGATTTTGTCACTCCTGGAAGTATACAATGCATTCTATGTGGAAGATAGGATAGGTAGAACACACCGAATACCTCCACGGTACAGTTTAGAATACCTTTTGACATCCATGGGTCGCGAGAAAACCGTCCGTGGGTGAGCCGGATTAGGCCATGGTTCCAGTCGCACTTTCCTCACTCACTGCGCTCCTTCACTTGCTAGGTCTTGGCGCTTTTCTTTCTTAAAGTCTCCGATCGCACATGAATTCCCTGCAACACCATCGTTCATTCACAATATTCCCGCCACCGGCGCCGTCCAAACGCTCCATGCGATAAATAGACTTACTACCGCCGAGATGTCTGACACCGACGCCACCGATTCTGCAGCCGTCCACCCGTCGCTATACGAACAACTACGACGCCTCAGGCGCCAGACTCATCGGAATCGCAACCGCAACCGCAACCTGGCTCTTGACCTGAACAGTCTAATCCAACTACCTCAGAATCCCACGAGCGACCTAATTATCGATATCGATATCAATCAGCTACGTCAGGACTTGACAGGACTTGAACGTTCTGTACCCAACATCACATCTGCCCAGCGTCGATTCCTTAGGCGAATGGATCTAAACATGGCGCGTAGCTTACGTACACGAGGTAGGGCTACCGAAGCTACAGGCGAGAGCACTGCTGCTCCAGCGCCCGCGGCCGCACCCCAAGCTCAAGCCGCTCTCAAGCCTGCCACGACGCTCGTATCGATGCTGCCAAAGACCCCCTACAATGAGATGAAGGAGGCAGAGGGGATTGTGAACACCCCCGCGTATACCAAAATGCAACTCGCGCTCCTGGAGTGGCTGGGCAAGTAAGTAGTATCCGTGTACAGACTGATGTGAGAGATGTACTGATCTCCTCCAGGAACCCCTCTGCGAAGCTCACTGTCCGGCAAGCTCATCGCTGGACTGAGAGCATTGCAGAGAACAAGCGTCTGAACGCAAAGGACGCTCTGCGCCTCTGCTACTACATGCGCTCGCAGGGCTTCGACACGTACGCCAACATTCGCAATAGCTCTATTAGCTTATATCTTTTCAATCAGGTAAGTTTAGTGTCTACAAAATGTAACCAAGGCGTATACTTACCCCTTCGTAGGCGCCTGAACGTGGCGAACACAAGGCCCTGCTGTATTGGAAGCAGAATTACACGACCAACGCCATCGAGCACACGATCTCTGAGGAACACATACCAGCCCGTCCGGCGCGATACAACGATTTCATACCCTCGGTAGTCTCCGAGCATCAACTTCTGGATGCTCTCTTGGTCGGGCCAGACCCACGTATCCCTCAACATGCAGGTGGCCCTGCCCCTCGGGTACCAGAGGGCGACGAAGCACAGGAAGAAGACGTTGAACCGACCGAGCATAACGTCGCTACGCTCCTCGCCGTCGCTCAGGCAGACTTGGAGGCTCAGTTCTTGTCTGATACCTCGGATACAGAGTACGTTCTGTTCCCCTTCATACAATGAGATTCTCTGCTAATGATCATTTAGTCGCGTTGAAGCTATGCTCGCCCAGATTGAGCAGCTCCATAGCCAAGGACAAGAGGACTAGGTGGTGCGCAGAGATGTGGGATGGAGCACTTCGAGGACTACATGGGTTTTGAACAGGCACTTTTGTGACATTTTCGTGCCTTGTAGGCTCCAGGATGTACTTTGGTGTGACTGCTAGGTTAGAATACAACTCTGTTTGGCACTGGGATCTTGGCAACGGCCATGCTCTTGAGTACTTAACTCTCTTATTCTTTGAATCCCTTCCTTCTTCGTCCTCATAGCACATTACAAAATACTAAAATGAACCAGAACAACATTTATATGGCTTCTGGCTGCCGAAAACCACACCACAGTTGGCCATGTGGTAGAAGATGTTCTCAGCTCGACGGGAATAGCTGTCATTATTATGTATCAAAAAACCGACCTCTTTGTCAAGATATGGACCAGTGCGATAGTTCTTCGTAGAACATCAAATGGAAAAAATGGAAAAGGGCGAGAGATGTATCGTGTCATGTTCTGGACGACGAGAGACTGCTGAACTGCTGAAAAACACAGAAGAGTGTGCTGTATTTCTCCGTCCTGGGCTCTCTGGCGTGTGGATATAGAAGCCATCCACTCCTACTTTCCTTCTCGCTTTCTCACATAGTCTACGTGCAACCTAAATCGAGCTTCACAACATCCCAAGCAATTAGACGATCGCCCGAAGGTGAGAGTGCGCTTCCAAGAACAGCGGACGACAAAGCCATGTTCTTCAGTCTCTGCGTGCGGAAAAAAAGTAGATTGATTGGGCGATCTAAGTCCCATCGCCAAATGCCTGTCGTGTTAAAATGTTGTTTCGAAAGTCCTCAGGGTGTTAGTCATGTGCGAGGCATGCGTGCATCAGAGGCTAATATTAAGACTGTGCGATGGGGCAACATTTACACGCACCTCGAGAGTGATACAGTGCTTGGCGAAATCGATTTCTCCTCCCACGCAGTTGTAACGAAGTATGTGCTGTGCCACATTGCAAGCAGGGATTAATGTGCCCCATACCCCGCAGCAGCACCGGCCTCAACTCACAACAACAACAGCAACAACAACTACGATAAGCGGGCCGATTTCTGTCAGTAAGTACGTACCCGATAGAGTTTGGTTGTCAAACAGAGTACTGATTCCTTGGCTTCGCGCAGGCCGGAACGCGTTCGCTCCATCTGTCAACGCCGCAGTTAGAACGGCTCTTTGGTCGTCGAACATGGTTTCTCAGGAGCCTGATCAGCCCGATACTACATCCATCTCAGAATTAGATGATTCTAGCATCTATACACCTACTACGACCACCGAAAACGTTACTTCAGACCTGAAAGATCACGCCTCGACGAGTTGGGTGCCTTCACATGGATCTACCGTCATCATTCGCTCTACCTCTTGCGGCAATGTGCTTACATTGCTTGATGGGCACATCGTACTAGCCCCGCCTAGCGGTCGTGGATCCATCCTATGGGAGTGTGTAGAAACTGGAGGCTGGTTTGGATTCCGAAACTGCGTCTCGGGCAAGTTCATATGCCATGGTCGGGATGCGAGACTGAAGTGCTCGGCAGAGCAGCATCATAGTTTGAGACACTTTACTATTACGCCAGTACCAAAAGGGGGTTACATTATGCAAATGCTGGACTGGTGGACTCTTCGTCCTATAGTGATCAATGCCCAGAACGGGCTACGAATGCTGGGGAGGACTGGAAACAAGCTGTCTGAAGGGATTGTGTGGAACTTTTTGGAGAGTGGGGCCGGTAATGCTGACCTCCAGGACTTCTAAGTAGGTCAGTGTCCTCATAGCAAGGCAAACCATTTTTGGCCGCCCTCCAACACTGTATCACAACGTGCGGTCTCACAAAACGAAAATCGTGATGTATCACTTGGAAGGCGCGCGTTCCTGACTCTGCCTCGACGAAGCGGTCCAGGCGTTGCGCTAAAGCTTCACGGGTCGTTCACGAAATGGAATAGTGGTCAGGCACGGACGTGTCGCGGACCGCTATCTGCAGTCTGCAGCCACAGGCGCGGTACCAGATAGAGGGTAGCACGAAGCGTTGACCGGCGTTTGCTGGACTCCACCTCGAGATTACATGTCCAACGCGCAAGCGATGCGGGGAAAACGTCGCATTCCCATGGGAGGGCGCTGAGGCCTGTAGACAGGAAAATCAATAGGAAAAAGAAGACGTGTAGACGAACGATATCCCCAGAAGACATGTCGATGCAGGCATGCGCTAGTGCAGCGCCTTATGTAGATCAATCCAAGCGAGAGGTTGGGTCCGGTACATCCGCCCTGCCACGGCTACTGGATATATACAGATTTCGCGTTTGATACCCATCGAGTAGGGCAGAGGGTGTCGCGGAAAGGGCTGCACTGTTTGCGGCTGGTGCGATGACCGAGAAGTGGTCAAGGGCTTACCGGTAGGCAGCCTTGCAAGCCACCAGGGCACCGGAGCGCTTTGGCTGGCTGTCAGAAATGAAGATGGTAGCCTAGCCTAGTGACAACAAGACGCGTTGATAACGATGAGGCTGGGGGTTGTGCGACTGTAGTGAGTAGGTGAATAAGTGCGAGTGCTGTCGCGAGAATGTCGCGACCTAAATGCGATCATCGTATATGATTACGACTAGGTGGGGTGGAGATGTTGGAAGTTGGTCTTTGAGCAGGCGCGTTGATGAGCGGTGATGGATCCGGCTAGCGTGCAGAGGCCACATCTCTGTCAAAGGAAGTCGCGACCGGTTCATCGCACCGCGCACGACCAGCATCGAAAATACATCGGGCACGATATATCGCCTTCGCAGTAAGAGAAGCCAGTCTGAATGCACCTGCGTTACTCTGGCCGGCGCCGTTGATGTTGCAAAAATTTCCCTCTGCTCCCTGAAACGGGACGCACGGGCCACACCACTAGCCCGTTCCTGGTGGTGATCCAGCCTACTTAATGACCTGTTCATTCTCTTAGATAGGCCCGCAGCCCACCTTCTCCGACGCGCTCCCGGCACCGCATCGAGTTACCACCCCATCACGTGACTCACTTCCACAACTCTGACTACTCAGCCCAAACACTTCTGCCGTGCCCAGTGCTTCCATGGCTACGCCTGCGGGCGCCTAGTAATTTCTAATTCTTTTGGCTGCGCTCCGCCTGCGAGCCGGACTGTCAAAAGTGCAGCGCGAAGATGAGGTTTGTCGCATATCGCATCGATGCATGCATGACGCGCTAACGCTTTGGTAGTGCCACCAGATTGGATCGTCTCGTAACGTGAGTATACCCGGCCGCATGTCCTGCATATCTTTCACTGCTTGATCAAACTTGGTCGCAGTCTTCTGCGACAAGTCAATCACGCTTGAACAGCCTTGCTTCTTTTATCTCTGTTGACTTTTGCTAACCCGCGCCAAGGCTCCTCGAGACTGGCAGCACAGCATTAATCCGAAACACAGCAGCCGACCAGCTAGCCGACGTCCAAAAACAACATCCTGATGAGCTTTTCAACCTTCTTACTCGAGTTATACCCTATCTGCGATCAAAAAGCTGGGAAACTCGAGTTGCCGCTGCCAAGGCAATAGGTGGCATCGCTGCCAATGCCGACAAGTTCGATCCCAATGCCGACGACCAAGATGAGCCCATCAAGCCAGAAGCCCAATCAGATTCCAACGGCGATGTCAAGTCGGAAGACAGCAATGGCGTCAAGAAAGAAGAAAATGGCGATAGCACCCTCCCACCGCTCGCCGATGGGCTCGATCTTGCTACGCTGGACCTGCCTTACATCCTCAAGTTCGGAAAGGTTCTGGCTTCTCTCGGCACAAAGGAGCATGACTACAAGCTTGCAGCCATGGACCCTGCTGAACGACTAGAGTACCAAAAGAGCACCCTACTCAAGCGACTTGGCTTTGAAGGCGCATGGGTTGAGGACCTTACACCACCCCAGGAGATGATGCCACAAACACCCGCCCCAAAGACGCCTGGCATGCACCGTATCGATACCAACGTCTCGCGACCAGAGAGCATGAACCATGGTAGTTCTCCTACTGCAGGCACACCTGATGGCAAAGGACTGAGCAAACGTCAGCAGAATGCTCTAAGGCGCAAAAATAAGAGACAGGCTGCCGGAGGTGCTAGCAAAGTCCAAGTCGTTGACTTCAATTCAACTGCAAGAAAAGACTCACAAGCTGATCTCATCGAGACCCCCGTTCGCCCACATCCCACCGCCCTGAAGTTTGAGAAGTCAGAGAACGGAGACGAGGACGAACCCATGAACGACTACTTCTCACTTGATCGCAACGGCGGAGATGACGATGCGAAGTTTGTGAAGGAGTTCAAGGGCGCGCCGGTAGCAGAAAAGTCGTCTTTCCAAACAGAGGCTGAAGAAGCCGGGCTAGAATGGCCGTTCGAGCGTGTCTGTGCATACCTTGCCGTCGAACTTTTCGACTACACCTGGGAGGTGCGCCATGGTGCTGCCATGGGACTCCGAGAAATTCTCCGTATCCACGGCGGTGGTGCTGGTAGGCGGAAGGGGCTTAGCCGGGCTGAGAACGATCGGCTGAATCAGCGATGGCTGAACGATCTTGCATGTCGCATGGTCTGCATCTTTATGCTCGATCGCTTTGCAGATTTTACCGGCGATAATGCTATTGCGCCCATACGAGAGACGGCCGGACAAGCGCTTGGTTCTTTGCTCCAATACATGTCTCGCGACAACGTCCTTGCAACCTTTCAAGTTCTCAACCGCCTTATCATCAACCATAACCTTCCTCTCGACACCAACCCTCTGAGCGCACCCTGGGCCCTGTGTCAAGGTGGCATGATCGGATTACGGTACCTTGTTGCTGTACGAAACGACCTACTCCTCGAAGACGGTACATTACTGGATGGAGTTCTCGCCGCAGTCATCAGCGGCCTGAGTAACTCCGACGACGATGTTCGAGCGATCAGTGCAGCGACCCTTATCCCGGTCGCGAAAGAATTCATCGAGATGCGCCCAAAATCACTTGAGCACCTGATGAACGTAGTCTGGTCTTGTCTTTCCAGCTTACAGGATGACCTGAGTGCAAGTACTGGTTTCATCATGGATCTTTTGGCCAAGCTTTGTGGCTTTCCTCAAGTTTTGGAAGCGATGCAAGCCAACGCACGACAAGATCCGACCCAATCATTCCACGAACTGGTGCCACGACTCTTCCCTTTCCTCCGCCATACCATCACTAGTGTCCGTGCGGCAGTGCTGCGTGCGCTGATTACTTTCCTCAACATCCAAAGCGAAGGTTCGGACGGCTGGGTAGATAGCAGGGCATTGCAACTCATATTCCAGAACATCCTGCTCGAACGCAACGAAGGTGTCTTGAAGCTCTCTCTTCAGCTTTGGAATGCTATTGTCGCGGCCTTGAGTAGTCAACTGGCCCCTCTCATGGAACCCATATTAGATGCCGTTATTCCTCTCACCCTCACACCTATTGGAGTATCACGTCACCCGATATCCTTGAATAAGTCACTACTCATCAAACCTTCCGGACAAGCCATGGGCCCGCCACCAGATTCTGAGCCGAGCCGTAAGTCGTCTCCACCAGATGGCGGTGAGCCAGCGCAGAAGAGAAGAAAGAAGTCTCGCCATGGCAAGGACGAAACGTCAACACCTACTCCAGCCTCCCAATCTCATAACGTCGATGGACACATGATCACCGGTGATCTCGAACTGATTGGAGCGGACGTGATGATCCGCTCCAGGACTTCTGCTGCACAGGCCCTCGGCAAAGCGATGGGAGCTTGGCCCGAAGAATCGAGGCTCGCGACCTTCAAATCTAGGCTGCTGGCTCCGTTATCCTCCCAGAACTCGTCAACCCAACTGACAGCTGCGATCATCATTGAGGAATTTGGAAAGAACGTGGCAACCAAGGACGCCTTGGCCGAGTCTTTCGTTCAGGCCCTGCTGCCTATGGTTGAGGGCGAGAGACCTGCCGCCTACGAGGATCTTGTGCCCAAGCTGCAAATTGTTCGAACTCAGTGCCACTCTTTGTTGAGCATCTTCCACGACGCTCATGTCCAAAGTCTGCCACAGATCGCTGCTCTTGTTCAGGGCATGCCGAATGCAAACCACTATGCCTTCGGCGTCGCAGATGCTGAGAAGCTGCTCAACGTGCAGTTTGAGAAGCTAAAGAAGGCTATGACGCCGTCCGCTCGCATGGTCGCTGGAGCAAATCTGGACACGGCACGTAAGGAAGTAGAGACGAGCATCCAAGAAGCCAAGGATATCAAGGAAGAACGCGACGTCCGCATCAAGGCCGCTGCAGCCGGTGCGCTTGTAGCGCTCAACTCACCGCCGAAGAAGCCATCGCCGCCGATCAAGGCTATGATGGACAGCGTCAAGAAAGAAGAGAACGTTGAATTACAGAGACGCTCGGCAGCCGCAGTTGCTGGTTACATTGTGTTCCTTGTTAACGCTAAGAGATCTGGTGTGGTCAACAAGGTTGTCGGCAATTTGGTCAAGTTCTACTGCATGGAGACAGCTGAAACACCCGAGTTTGCCGGACAGTCACACATCGAAACAGGCATTCTTACGCTCAAGAAAGATGAAGATGTGCGCGATCATCCAGATGCTGCTCGATTCGCAGAAGAGTCGCGGGCGGCCAGAATCACCAAGCGTGGTGCACGAGAGGGTCTCGAGAAGGTCGTCGAGAGTTTCGGCGCTGAGATTTTCGAGAAGGTGCCTATCCTGAAGGACCTAATTGAACGACCCATCAAGGACGCCTTCACCGAAGCCACACTTCCCGCGCAAATCTTCAACGAGGACGGCGTCTTTGGTCAAGAAGTTGTTGATGCCCTGTCGACTCTACGTGCTCTGGCCGGCAGCTTCCACCCAAGCGTTAGAGGCTTCGTCAAGGACCTGCTTCCACTCATTGCCAAGGCCCTCCAAAGCAAGTTGTACGTTTTGCGATATGCGGCGGCCAAGTGTTTCGCAACTATCTGCAGTGTCATGTCTGTCGAAGGTGTTACAATGCTTGTCGAAAGCGTGCTTCCAACCATCAGCGACGGTGGAAATGTGTACGCCCGCCAGGGAGCTATCGAGTGCATCTACCATCTCATCCATGTTATGGAGGACGCCATTTTACCATATGTCATCTTCCTCATCACGCCGGTTCTTGGTCGTATGAGCGACTCTGACAACGATGTCCGACTACTAGCTACGACCAGCTTTGCCACACTTGTGAAGCTCGTACCACTTGAGTCTGGAATCCCCGACCCGCCAGGCCTTCCTGATACCCTCCTCAAGGGCCGAGACCGAGAGCGCAAGTTCGTCGCCCAGATGCTGGATGCGAAGAAAGTGGAGCCTTTCGAAATTCCCGTCGGTATCAAGGCGACGCTCCGTTCATACCAACAAGAGGGTGTCAACTGGCTGGCGTTCCTCAACCGGTACAATCTTCACGGCATTCTTTGTGACGACATGGGTCTTGGTAAAACGCTGCAAACGCTCTGCATGGTCGCTAGTGATCATCATATGCGCGCAGACGAGTTTGCCAAATCCGGCGATCCAAACTTCCGACGTCTGCCCTCGCTCATTGTATGCCCGCCTACGCTGTCTGGTCATTGGCAGCAAGAGATCCGCCAGTATGCACCCTTCCTTAGCTGTGTAGCCTATGTCGGCTCGCCACCTATCCGCGGCCAGCACAGGAATCAGCTCGACAAAGTGGACATTGTCATTACTTCGTACGATATCTGCAGGAACGACGCCGACATTCTCAAGCCCATCACCTGGAACTACTGCGTACTTGACGAGGGTCACTTGATCAAGAACTCCAAGTCCAAGACTAGCCAAGCAGTCAAGCAATTCCAGTCGAATCACCGCCTCATCCTCTCCGGTACACCTATTCAAAACAACGTGCTCGAGCTATGGTCGCTGTTCGACTTCCTCATGCCTGGTTTCCTTGGTACGGAGAAGGTCTTCCAGGAACGTTTCGCGAAGCCTATCGCTGCCTCCCGTTTCGCCAAGAGCTCGTCGAAGGAGCAAGAACGGGGTGCACTGGCGATCGAAGCTCTGCACAAGCAGGTGCTTCCATTCCTCCTTCGTCGTCTCAAGGAGGAGGTCCTGGATGACTTGCCACCCAAGATCCTGCAAAACTACTACTGCGATCTATCAGAGTTGCAACGCAACCTTTTCGACGACTTCACCAAGCGCCAAGGCAAGGAGATTCAGTCCAAGGCCGGCAACGCCGACCGCGAAAGCAAACAACATATCTTCCAAGCTCTTCAGTACATGAAGAAGCTATGCAACTCACCTTCACTCGTTGTCAAGGGTCCCACCAACAAGGCATACGAACCGACTCAGCAATATCTCAAGAAGCACAACACCACGATCGACGACATCGCGCATGCGCCCAAGCTCGGCGCTCTCAAGGATCTGCTTGTGGACTGTGGTATCGGCGCATCCGACGTTGTCAGCGATAAGTCTGCCGCCGCTAACGGCGACCTACCAGAAGCCGTCTCGCAGCATCGTGCTCTTGTCTTCTGTCAAATGAAGGAGATGCTCGACATGGTTCAGCACAACGTGCTCGAGAAGCTGCTTCCATCCGTGCAGTTCATGCGCCTGGATGGTGGTGTCGAAGCTACCAAGCGCCAGGAGATTGTCAACAAGTTCAACACTGATCCTTCATACGATGTCTTGCTCCTGACAACCAGTGTCGGTGGTCTGGGTCTCAACTTGACTGGTGCCGATACCGTCATCTTTGTTGAGCACGACTGGAACCCGCAAAAGGACATCCAAGCCATGGACCGCGCGCATCGTATCGGTCAGAAGAAGGTTGTCAACGTGTACCGAATCGTCACGCGCGGTACCTTGGAAGAGAAGATCTTGAAGTAAGTATCCCATATCCTTCCACTTTTAACTCCTCGCTAACAAACCTCTCCAGTCTCCAGAGGTTCAAGATCGATATCGCTTCCACCGTCGTCAATCAACAAAACGCCGGTCTCCAGTCCATGCAAACAGACCAGATTCTCGACCTCTTCAACGTCTCAGCCGATTCGAACGATCCTGCTGCATTACCAGCGCCACCCAGCAACGCCAAAGACGATCGCACGGGCATCGATGAGAATGACGCCGTCGATGCGACCGGTGCGCTGAGGGAGAAGGGCAAGAAGGGCTTCTTGGACGAACTAGGCGATCTCTGGGACGAGAAGCAGTACGAAGAAGAGTTCGATCTCGATGGCTTCCTCGGCAAGATGAAGGCTTAAGGCAGCACGTGAGCACACGAGTGATTCTGAGTCCCTTGCACTCTCTACTACTACCTTGCGCCTGCCTACCAGGCCAAGACATATCATCTTTGGGGGCAACAGGCGTACACTGGCGTTTTTCCTTTCCACTACGGGCATGACATGACATGCATATGGTATCAATGTCTCCATTGATCGGGTCGGTATGATGTTTTGCATTCTCACAGGCTAGGTACTATGGAAATGTGTGTATTAGCATGGCGTTGGATCAGGGCTTTTTGTCTTTTTTGTTTTTGTATCCTTTGCTCCGACTGTTGAGGGAGTGGGGAAGGTGGTCATGTATGTCTAGCCTGTGTGAGTAGAGTATGATGTATGCTGAGAGAGTTGTTACGAGGGTTTTGTTGTGTGGTATCCTGTGAATGTGACTGGTGAAGTGATGGAGGCTACTCAGCAGTGAGTTGATGACCGTAAGATAGCACAAAGTGATGGAGGCTACTCAGCAGTGAGTTGATGACCGTAAGATAGCACAAAGTGATAAAGCACTTTTAAGGTATGCTATGAAATTCATGCTAAGCCGATGACCATGGCGACCAGTCATTGTTATGTGCTCCATAATCCTTCCAATGCAACGAGTGAATCAAGACGTCGCTGTTCACTTGACTATCACCTCCATGTGCCACCACCACACGAGCTATAATCGATGAACGCGAAGAGCGGGAGGATGACCCCCATCAAACTGCTTCCACGGGATTGTTAATTTCCTGCATTGAAAAGAAGGACCGGATCAAGCTCTTGCACGCACTAGCGAATGAAGGCTGGCCAAGGCGACTGCGGTCGCTGCATAATTACCGTGCTGTGGTGGGGATGGAGACGTTTGGGCGGTGGGCGGAGGAGAATGAAAATGCGCCGAGGGTGGTTGTGCAGCTTTGAAGGGCACGAGGTATTTGCCTGGGTGTGGAGGCGTAGGTGTATATGGGGCTACGAAGGCGTTTCTATTTATTGGCGATCTGAGGTGGACGATGTTAAGGGGGTTGTGGAAGGGTATTGGGGCATGTTTGAACGGAGACGGCAACGATGAGTGGGATACATGCTGGCTAGATATTTTAGTTTATGAAGTGCCAATTTGTACAACTGATAAGCTGCTAGGGGTTTCTCAGTCTTCACTACTATTTATTCGGGAGCCATTCCTCCCTCCACTCCTTCTCCATCATAGGCTCTCGTCGTCTCACCACTCTACCAACTCCATCCGGGACAAATTTATCCGCGTTACGATATCTCGGCGAGGTGATCAGAGCGTTTTCCCTTAGCAAAGGCTGCTGGCCTTTGTTTGTTGGGACGTAGCCACCGAGTTTGATATCGACGCCGAAGTCGTAGCACTTGGAGCGGAAATCACCACTCGGAACAGTGAAGGCCATGCTAAAGTCCCTCACGCACCACTCCCAAAGTGGGAGGATGAGAGCGCGCGTGGCGATTGCCTCGCGATCCCAGGTACGTACGAACTTGATGGTGGGGTTGCTGAGCGCAGGGCGGGATAGGCGCTTGATGTAGTGGTAGAGGAGCTGTATCGAGGTCGCGGTGATGAAAGTGCTTGTTGTACGTTTTGCAGCTTCGCCAACCACGTCGTGTCGTAAAGAGGGCAAAACCCTACTCATGCTGCCGGGTAGGAATACATTGGCGGGACTAAAAGGCAAATCTGACATATCCCATTTTGCCGTGGTTTTGCGAGCTTCAGCAAGGTGCTTGAAGAACTTGCACGTTTTGCTCTCGTATTCGACAAGCCTCTCTGGGGCAGCGTGTTGGCCATATTGGAGTGAGATCAAGTCTCAAGCGGAGGTGATCAAAATCTTGTGCTGCAGCTCTTACAATCGGTGTCAGGAGGCCGGCGTGGGTGTAATAATCAAGGCCGCCTGCAATCTTGGGCGATGCCTCAAGGATAAAATCGCGGATTGTCTTGTGAACGAGCGGTGCTGCCTCGTCGTAAATTTCCTTGCAGACACAGAGGATAGAAGTATTAGTGCTGCGGTGGATGAGAGTGAAAGATAGCGTTGGTTGAGAAGGCGGGTAGTTGTAGGGCAGGGGATCGATTGTCGCGTTACTAATAGTCCGAGGAAGATTTTCGTATACAATGAATCGCACCTCCTTGCGAAGGTCAAGGAAGCGGAAGGGTTGATCGAGCACTCGTGGGTATGCCATATTGCGTAGAAGTTGAGGTTGTGGATGGTGTGAGAAAAGAGAATGCAGGTGCAAAACTTTCTGGATTCAGATGCAGAATTAATCATAAAAATACGTGTGTGGAGTGCGAGCCTGAGAGATTCCGTGGTTGCATGTAATGCAACGTTTGTTCAGTCATGGGCGTTGCTGCCGTCGTGACCTTGGTCGCTGATTTGATGGTTCCAGACTTTGCAGTAGCGCGTCGCATCCTGAATGCATCTCACCTTTACCTTGTTGAGTACAGCAGTTGTATCACGAAATCCGACAGCGTATCTTTCGAACAAACTCGCATTACACCTTCTTCGTACCCGCTGAGCAGTCCTGTTCAGCTTTTCACTCAACCGAGCCAATGACTGGGCAAGCGTGTCACACGAGAAGGATTGGTATAGGCGTCCGGGCGACGTTGTTATCAACCGCTGGAAATCGGTGGCTTCGGAAATGGACTGGCGTTCACCATGGCTTCCTCCGCTCAGGTCTCAGGCAGAGCTCGCGAGTATACATTGCATATGGTCTATAAGTGTCTCCTCCAGTATCTGAACGAGCAAGCAATCCCATCTCCAGTTCCCTGCAGGTAGGGCGATGTGGATGAGCAGAAAAATTATGGCCTGGGTCACGTCCCTCGGGTGAAGATCCAGCACTGCCTTGGTTGTTTGGAATGGCAACAGAGCTGCTGGCATAAACCGAGCTGGAGCTACATCCACAGGTGGAAATCCTAGGCATGATGGAGGTGCTGGTGGCATATTCCAGTGGCGGTGTGACGGGTACAGGTGGTCCTTCGAGAGGCCGGAAAGTGGTCAACATAGGCCGGGGTCTCCATGTAGCCGAGGGTGGCACTTCCACAGATTCGGGCAGACACAGCTGGCAGTGGCTATGAGAGCCATACAGTCGGGGCAGAACAGTCGCTTTGGGGAACAACGATGCAACGCAAGAAAGTTTACACAAGAAGAACAGAAACTTTGCGCACTGTGAGGTGTGCATCGAATGCTTCGCGACCAAGTCAAATGCCGACAGTTATTCAGGCGTCCGTGTGGGTCACGAGCTAGTGCCAGAGACACCGATGTGCACCAATCACAAGCTGCTCACACGCACCTCCGTTCTCCATGTCGAATGATCTGACCGCCTTATCTCGCTACGACGAAGCTGCTCCATCACGAGCCAGCTGTGCGCCTAGGATAACTATATGATCGGCATTGATTATGTGGCAGCGGAGAAAGCGATTAGAAGGGTCTCCTGGCAGTTGTCGCCGATGCCCACCGGAGCGTTTTCCGGCTGAATGCAGGTGTGCGGCACATGCAAATGAATGCGAGGCGGTCAACATGCATCGCAGTCGAAACGAGCGGCGCCATGTTGCTGCCACAGCTACGGAAGCTGAAGCGCGGAAAAAGAGTAATTCGACTAACAAAGTATAGCAGCAACTATGACGGAATATGGAGATCGGATCGTGAAGAACCGCCGGCGTAAAGGCGCTGGACTTGAGGCCGAAATGAAGGTCGACTGCACAGGGCGTGGTGGAGACGAAAGGGGACAGCGCAGAAAGCAGCTAGGCCGTGTTGGTAAGCGACTAATGCTTAATCTCCACCCTCGGCAAAGTGGGCTGGCCAATGTCATTATCGATTCTGGAGCCACGGCGCCTCACACAAAGGACCGTTCGGTCGTGCAACGCCGGCACCGGCGCGAAAACAACAAAGGACAAGTGACGTCTTCCATAAGCAGAAGGCCGAAGGTGTTGTTTGGTTCTCACAGGCTCGAGCGTGCGTGAACGGCGCGGTGAGATGTTTGCAAAACTAAACATACGCTGACGCACCCTGCAGATTCTGCAACACTGACATCGTAAAGACGCTATTTCAGGAAAATGATCTCCAGAGGCTTTGCTGGGAGGCCCAAGTGCCGGTGGAGAACCTCTGTTCAACGGGCAACACGATAAGGGCCGCCCCTGAAGATACCCTGACGAGATCGCCACCTAGAGGCTCAGCTTGCACAGAGCAGAGGCCGTGAGGACAAACGTGCCTCGCGATGTTCTCGAAATGGAAATGCTGCGTTCCTCCGCCTATAGCGCGTAATTAGAACAACAGCCGCCGGCCTGGGGATGGCGGCCTGTGTGCAGCAAGACGACAACAACACAGTCTGGACTGAACGACCAACACAGGCCGTTCATTTCTGCAACACGAGAAGCCACCGCGAGCCTCCACAGCCAACCTGCCGATCTAGTCTTAGCACCAGGCACGCACGGCCTGCGAGTGGCCAGCGGGGCGGCAGGCCAGCTTGGTTCCTGCATTAGCCCTGACATCCGCCAGACCACTTGCAGCGCCCAGATGCTTTGGCCCCTGTCGCCCGTCCTGTTTCCCCCTTTCAGTGGCCACTTGTTTCCGGTCCGCGCTACCGTGCTGTAATCTCCTGACGGTATATATCAGGGCAGCGAGGTCGCCTTGCTGTTGTTTTTCACTTCACAGCCAAACTTTCGAGCTTCAAGTCCTTTGACCTTCGGTCGTCCATTCGTTGTTACCAACTAATACTATCATTAATAATACACACTCGCCAACTCTCTCCCACCACCTCCACCACCACCAACCAACACTTCCAACTTCACCGTTTCAAGTTCTAATACCCAACAATCAACATGCGTTACTCCCTCGCCATCGCTGCCTTCGCCGGCCTTGCCGCTGCCGTTCCCCAATACGGCGCATACCCCGCCGCCCCGGCCAGCACCCCCGCTGCCCCGGCCTACCCAGCTTACCCTGCTGAGCCCAGCAAGCCCGCCTACCCTGAGGTCCCTGCTGAGAGCTCCAAGGCTCCTGAGTACCCAGCCTACCCCGCTGAGACTCCCTCCGCCCCTGCTCCTGAGTACCCCGCCTCCAAGATCCCCGAGGTTCCCGAGCACGAGTCCTCCGCTATGCCTACTCCTTCGGCCTCCAAGCCTGTTGAGTACCCCATGGAGACTCCTTCCAAGCCCGCTGAGTACCCCGTCGAGTCCACCAAGACTCCCGAGGTTCCCGAGCACGCCACCTCTGAGGTTCCCTCTTACCCTGCCTCCTCCAAGACCCCTGAGGTCCCCGAGGCCGAGACCACCTCTTGCCTCAGCTCCACCACTATCACCGTCACCGTCCCCTACCCCACCGGTACTCCCGTCGTTCCTGGTGCTGGCAAGCCCTCCGGCTACCCCATGGTTCCCGGTGCTGGCAAGCCTTCCGGCTCTGCTCCTTACCCATCTGCCCCTGCCGGCGGTGCTCCCTACCCCTCTGTCCCCGCTGGCACTGGTGCTCCCCCTGCTGCCGGCACTGGCTACCCCACCAAGACCGGTGGCTACGTCAAGCCCTCCACCCCTGCTGAGTTCACTGGTGCTGCCTCTGCTCTCAACGTCGGTGGCTTCGTTGCCGGTGTTGGTGCTTTCGCTGCTTTCTTCTTGTAAATGTCATAACTTTCAATTGAGCTTGTCTACGGGCAGGCTATGACTTTACACGATACATTGCACTGAGGATTGGTCTTCACTTCAGAGTAGATATCCTTGGTGTCGGAAAGGGTAATTGTAATTAGTCCGGGGATGGTGTGGTTGAATAAGAACTTGGAAAATACTTTTTGGTGCCTTCGTTGATCGTGATGCTTTCAGTGCTGTGAAGTCGAATATCAATACACGGTGCTATATTGGCCTTTGCTCTCCATGATCTTAGGATACGTACTGCCTGTCCTGAGACAGGGCTCGTGATTCGGCAACCTCGGCCGATGCTGAATCAACTTGGTTTCTGTAGTTATCCGACTGTAGTCAACACCCGTTGTAGTACTTACACATTCGCCTGCTTGCAATCGAGCTTTTGGCTACCAAAGTGGCGCAGGTCTGTACACACGGCACCGTGGTCGCAAACAATCACACAACATAACTCTACAAGCACGTTTTCTTCGCTAATGCCCTTCCGAATGTGCCTGCTTCTTTCGGTACTACGAAGTCAAGGATGGCACTGCATGCGCCGCATGCGACGCGATGACGCAAACTGCAAACTCGTTGAGAACACCGGAACTGCATCCTACGTCCTCTTTCACGCCGACTTCAACGACCACCCCATCACGGACGGTGATGGCCCTGCGTCGCGATAATGGTTCGAAGCGTAGCTTGGAAGCTATGTTTCGGCTGCGAACTAAATTTCGATAGCCGTGGTCGTTTCATCAGGCCTGCACCGTCGCCGCGCTGCGAACGTCACCCTCTACACTCTTCAAACTTTGCGCTAGACCGGCGCGCACCAGGGACACCTAGCATAGTTTTCCTTCTACTGGTGCTCCGTTTGTTGGTACGGATCTGGTATCTGGACGCAGGTGCTGCAATACGACCATGGAAACACAGGACGCTAATTGCGGCATGCCGAATGACCCCGACAAATGCCCTCGTCCAGCTTGAGCAGACTTGCCCAGCTCTCAAAAGGTACATGTCAATATTGAGCTGCATACCAGACAACTGCATTAGCCGTGAGAGTGCTTAGTCAATACCTGCGTCAACGGGTAAAAGGTGGGGTTCCGGTATCCTCTGTTGCCTGAAACGGCCAACCACCAATAGTACTCAAAAACACCTTCTAGACGTCTGACTTACAGAAATGAGCGCAGGGCCACGATATTGCTGTCCGAATACAGAGCTTACTTAGCTAGCCACGTCTCACCTGAAAGCCTACCGGCTCATGCCTGGCGTTGTTGGCAAATGGTATGAATTGGAGGCGTGAGTGGGGATGCCATTTTTGGAGTCAAGAGTTATTTGCTTGTAAGCTTACTTTTAGATGATAGGCCTTTTGTTTCGAATGTGTAGGCGAGGATACGATTCGGTACGCGATCGTTGGACGATCGTTGCCAATGTGCAAGCCAGCCTCACGGATCTGAGCTGAAAGGATGGTATCAACAGAACCAAAGGTATAAAGTAAGACGGTAAACTTCTCCAAGTGGACCACGCGTTCGTTCTAATTTCTATACCACCCATCTTGTTTGATCAGTCTTTCAAAGCTATCGATCAAAATCACACATCTCATCATGAAGACTTTCACGCTTTTCTCGGCATTCCTTGCTACAGCCATCGCTGCCCCAGCCACACTTGCACCAAGCGATATCACACCACGCACATTGAGCGTCCTCAAGAACCTTGCCAAATGCCCTGCCAACCCAGCCCAACCCGACGGCAAATTACCCAAGGGAAGCATCTCAACTTCAGCCCTAGTGCCCATCAGTGCGAAGAACCCCGACAAGGCCTACCCAGCTACAGAATGGGCGACTGTCACGCCCAAAGACAAATGCACAATCTTCAACCTCGAGCTCGATTCCGACGCCACCCAAGGCAAAATCTGCAACCTCGTCTTCGACTTCCCTTCTCTCGTCCAAGCACCCGGTCTCTTCGTCTTCAAGGGACCCGGTCATTTCACATTCACCGGTTATGCTATCAATGCTGGTGCAGAGCCTGGCGTTACTACATACAACAAGCAACCGGCTCCAGGTCCTAGCCCACCGAACCCACCACCAGTCCTGAAGCCTGGCAACAGCTACGTTATCAACGGTTCGCCGTGTGGAATCCCGCCTGGTATCGGAAAGGTGACTGTCAGTGGAGCTCTGTGTTCAGACGACACCACTTTGACGTTCAAGCAAAGCGATTTGATCTGTCCGTTGGGCTTCTACGTTGTGCTTACTGATGACCCTAATGCGGCAGGGTATGCAACTCCTCACTAGACGTTGGTGTTGCCTTGACGGTTATGAGGAGCATGAAGAGCATGAGTCGTTATTTAGCGTAGAACTCTGAATCCATGTCTGCAAATTTCAACTTTGACATTCTCTCGCGCCTTCCGTGTGAAGAAGCGGGGCTACATGTAGCGCTGCCGGGTTCGCTCTTTCCCTACCGTCAGTTTGCATTGATGCAACTCCATCATCGCCCGATCAACATCGTCAATACCGGTATCATAAGTGTGAAAAGACATGCTATCTTGAGTATCGCAGCGATATGGAAACGCATCGACGTGCATCGGACGTCTCCGACACCCGGTCGCTCTTGCGTGCTTGCGACGTTGCGCGGGGAAGCATACTAACCCTATCAATCTCTACAGCGTCAAGAACTCGACTTGCTTTACATCGATCAACAAAACCCTTCTATTTGTACCATCGCGATACAAAATCTTTGTTTCGTGTATCAGTTTCGGGATTCAGATGCGCATCTTCGTCCCATGTCAAGGTCATCCAACTACCTAGAAACTCAAGATGCAAGCCCACAACAGCGCGACGGATGAACGTCTCAAGAACGCGACCTGGTATTTCTTCGATCTCGACGACACTCTCCACGAATTTCGCAAGGCATCTTCCGCCGCAGTAGACGCGGCACTCCGCCTCATCCTAGAAAATCACGCTCACCATGAACGTTCTTCCGGTGAGCCGCCCACAGTCGCCGAGCTAAAAGAGCAATACGTCAAAATCCTCAAGACAAATACTTCTGCGGCATTCGTAGATGGCAAGATAAGCCACAAGTACCGCGCCGAGCGCTTTCAGGCTGTTATGAACACTTTTGGTATCGACTGTACGGAGCAGCAGATGCAGGTATTACTCGACACGTATGAAACTGCGATTACACAGAATCTGCAACTCAAAGAAGGCGCTCTTTCACTTCTAAAAGTACTCAAACAACAAGGGAAGAGCATAGCGATCATCACCGAAGGCCCTCAAGATTCGCAGGAACGTACCGTTGCTGCCTTGGGCTTGGAGCCACATTTTGACAGGCTGATTACTACGAATAAGCTTGGTCTGGCAAAGATTGACGGTCTTTTTGGCAAGGCGTTGGAGATGATTGGTGTGAAGAGCGAGGAGGTGGTTATGGTGGGTGATAGTTGGGATAGGGATGTTGTTCCTGCGGTGGAAGTGGGGATGGAGTGTGTGTGGTTTGCTGAGACAGAGGAGGGAGGTGAGAGGATTGTAGCTGTTGGAGGAGAAGAGAGGAGAGTCATGGTAGTGGATTCGTTGACTCGGCTACAGAGCATTATAGAGACAGCGGACTGATCGGATTCATCGTCGAAAAGTCTACAGCGCATGCTACATAGATGCAAAGCAGAGTAAGGGCATGCAATAAGTCGTAGCATCCGCTCAATCATCCCCGACCAATTCTGTGGACCACTCCGGAATGCGATTTCCGTCCCCGTCGATGAGATTTCCCTCCCCGTCAATACGAGCTCCGTCTTCGTCGACGAGATTTCCATCCTTGTCGATATGCTGTCCGTCCTCGTTGATGATATTTCCATTCTTGTCGAGAACATTTCCGTCTTGATCTTTGATTGGTATAGAGATGGCTTCGGCAACTCGGAGGGAGCCATCTTTCGGGCGCTGAATGTGCTTCAATTTCTAATTCCTTCAGTCAGCCATGATGAACCCTCAGGAGACGCGTCCACGTTGTGTTGTCACAAAACCAACCCCCAAAAAGGTTACTTACATTGCTCCAAAATTTTCTGCTTGGTCTGAACAGCATGCCACTGAAAGAAACGGCGTGTCCGCCAGGCTCCTACTAGTTGTTAGTCATGAGGATTCCTGTGAGATAGGAAGAGATCTGCCTACGTTGAACACTCTGTGCTCATCAATGTCAGTCTGGACCTCGTGTGAACTGTTGACCCCAAGTTTGCCGATATTCGTCGCCCCGATTTCGGCACCGGTGTTGATCTTACTGCCCGTCTTGTTCCACATGGTAATACTGCACTTCTCCGTGGCCCATGTGGCTGTAATGACCCAGACGCCGAACTGAAGAATATATGCCATATATGCATCTGTTAACTGCTTCATGTTGTCCATCATCCAACCCTCCACGATCTTGCGGGCATCAATATTAAACTTCCTGTGCACCACGTTTGGGGACACAACTACGCCAGCGCCAGCTTTTGCAGTGCTTCCTACTGCGAAATTGGCTCCAACGTCCACGGGTGCTTGGGCAGCGATTCCGGACACCTCCGCTTTGGCACCGAAACCACGACCTTCGTTCTTCTCGACAACCTTCTTATCCCATGTGCACGTCGCGGGCTTGGTCAGAACGAGGTCCTTCTTAGGGACTTTGTATTGGTTGGGGTTGGATTCCTTGAGTTCAGTAAGATCGGTAATGATTCGCCACACTCCATTCTCGTCGAAGAAGCCGCAAGAGCCGGGATGGAAGATGTTGGTAGGGGGCGGTGTATACAAGTAGGTGCCTTCGGTGCACTTGCTCATAATTTGGGCATATGCCGTCTCCATTTTGCCGTCGTGTGTGCTGAAGAATATGAAAGGTTTTAGATGAAATGCAGATAGAGTGACTGAAGTCTGGTCTTTCAACACTTGAGAAAAGCCCTCTTTATATCGTCGCGCAAGTCGCTTACTACGATAAAAAAGAAACAAACGCTATGAGCTCAGAGCTGAGAGTTCCTATCTGCAGCTTGTCGAGCCATACCCCTAGTACTCTGGAGTAGCTAGGTTGACACCAATAGTCATCGCCGAACAGAGGATACAGCTGTGACGTTGTGAGCAAATAAAGGGCTGCGCAAATATATTGCATGTCAAACGTCAATGGACGGCTCCGCAGATCGTGGAACATAGCGAGGCTATCGAAGATCACTTCCTCGTTTTCTTGTTGATCGATAGGGCATAGCGAGAGTATCGAAAATCATTCCCACACCTCTATGTCGATTGATAGGGTGGCACAGTGAGAATACGGAAAATCATCTCCACACATCTGTAGTGATCGCTGGGGCGGCCCGCGCGCCGTCGGTGGTTCCGAAGACACACAGTTTGTACGTGGCCCGCAAAGACCGACGCTGTCATGTACCGTCGTCCTAATACACAATGTGTACTAGAGCTTTGCGCTTGTGACTTTGCGCTTGATTACGAAGCTGATCAGTTGCTTGTACTTGTAACATTCAGAGCGAAGATGCCGGTCGTTTTCTCTAGTGGTTGAGGATTCTGCGAATTTCGGTATGCCAACGCGTGTCCGAACTTCGATTCTGATCGCACCTGCGTCATTGAAAGTTTATGTTCTGGACTTTCGACTAGAGTGCTGGATATGGAGATGGTCGAAGCTTCCTATGATGTTGTTGTGTCGTCAGAAAGCTGCCATAACTGGTGTATCTAAGCGAGGTGGGCCTACTGTCATCGCATTCGTCGCGGGCTTCTGCAGGTTTGACTCGATCGAGTGGTCGGGAAGCTGTTTGGCAGCCGCCATCAGCGTGTCAGTGGACAGAGTACTTTGATGTACATGAGAACGCGTCGTTAGCGCACACGTCGCGAGAGCTGTCAGTACCTGTGTGCTCCGTGCGCAATCTCGGTATTCGCTCCCGAGGTCCACAGGTCTTGCCGACGCCTCTACGGCTCAAGCGCGCAGGTAAGGAATCAGCCTTAGCATCAGAAACTCTGCGTGGATGTATCATCTCAAGATGATGGCAGAATCATAACATGTTCTAGATGACCTACTGCCACACTGGAAACGATAGCCAAGCCCGATAACCTACCCAGCAATCTGTACCTCCCTCTCAATCTCGCCATCACACTCCATTCCGTCCGTCCCGACTTACATACCACATAGCCTCATGACCATCACACCTCACCGTCCCCCGCGCCGCCACTTTCCCGCCATGCAAATGCGCAAACCGCTTAACCGCCTCATCAATAATATCGGCCATATCCTGGTTATTCATATCGAACGAAAACTCATGTGGCGTGTTGGCTATAGCTCCTATACTGAAACCACAAGGGTATTGGTGCATATACTGTTGATAACCTTCTGGTTTGCCTTTGAAATGCCGGTGTTAGTGGGATCGTGAATGGAGGCACGGAGTGGACTCACCTTCTAACTGGACGATCCATTCGCCGGCGTCTCCAAAGATGCTAAAACATGACTCCTGGCATTCTGTTTCGTTAGGTGGGTTTGTTGCTTCGAGGGTGGTGTCTTCGTAGGTGAGCGTGTCGCAGTGGCCCAATGTGCTCTTGTCACCTTCGCAATAGTTGATGTTTGGGGAGAGTTGGGCTGCTGTGAGAGTAGCAGCGAGGAGGCTGAGAAAGAGAGATGGTGTTGGGTACATATTGATGGATTGATCTGGTGAGTTGAGTGTGATGGTGTGGAGAGAGAAATGGTTGCGGGGGAACATGAGGTCGTCTTGTATGTGTTGACATGATTCTTCGCCTTATACATACATACGAGGTACATCGTAGCGGAAGATGGCTATTGGATGGAACATGGGATGATGTGAGACGTGCAGCGGTGATGCGAGGTAAGTCATATACCCGCGGGGATCTTCAGATGAAGTGACGAATCAAATTGACGACAGCATGTTCATCGACGAACAACAGACTCTGATCTACATACCCGCCACTACGGCGTAGCCCATTCACACACCATAAGCTGCATGCGCGCGTAACACTCCAGACCAGCGCGTCGACATACATCGGTTATACCACCCCTGTATGTATCTGACACACTGAAACTGTGCCTATTCGACGCTTCGATCCTTTCCTTCGTCGCGCTTCTTAATCGGCTACTGAGAGTATTCCAGATGCTACAACTCAAACTGTCTGCTCTTACGATCCTCGTCAGTCTTCTTGCGACCTTCCCTAGCTCGCTTTTATACTTGCGCTAATTCAACTTTTGAAAGTCCATCGTCCTTGTCTGCTCCGTCCACACCAGAAGATCTTAACCGCTTGGCAACACCGTCAGAAACCAAAAAAACTTCCGTATCCAGCTCAACGACCAAAGTGTGCTTCTCTTTCACTTGTTCCTTCTCTTTCTTCTTTTCAAGCATCTCGCCACCCCGGAAGATAAACGCGCGGTCAGCAATTCGCATCCACAACTTGCCGAGTGGACTCAACGCTTCATAGAACTTGTCCGACTTGTTCCCAGTACGGGACTTGGAAGAGATGTGCACCAAGCCGTCGTCAGAGCCCAACAGGGGACTACTATGGATGTGTTTCATCTGCTTAGCAAAATCCTGCCACAGCGCGTTAAGCTCTGCTTGAATAGCCTCGGGCATATCGTCAAAATTGGAGTACTCGGCGTAAATAGCGCTGATTCGATCCGTCGACTCTTTAAGCTTACGTGTAGGCGTGTTCTGGTTGATACGCGGTGTCTCCTTGTCATTCTTCATACGTTTAGAACCAAACAGCTTAATAAGGCCTTCCACACTGACGATGGACCGATCGATTCGTCGGCTCAGCGTGCTGACATATGCGTTGAATTCCTCTTTTACAGCTGGATCGATTTCGAGGGACTTAGTAGCGGCTTGAATTTCGTCTGTGAACGTGGACATGGCCTGGCTGGCGTCATCGAGAGCGAGAATGGCACGGTTGCCAGCAGTGGCGATGCTCGTTTGTATGGAGGCTTTTGGCTGGGCGAAGGCAGACACTAGGCTTGCTAGGCTAGCGAAGAGGGTGATGGTGGTCGTAGAGAGCCTCATTTTTTCGTGACGGGTAACTTTGGGTGCAAGGTTGAGGGACTGGGAGGTGGTGGATGGGAGGGGGTCAGAAGTTTGACTAGTGGTACCATATATACATCGAGGGAAGAAGCGCAAGGGTGATTCACGCGCAGACTGTGCTGTGAGAAGGCGAGTGAGCTGCCTATTGATGATGTGCTTTCACTATCTACGGGGGACTATTGTCGTTTTAATGGTAAGATTAACTTTAGCGGTGGCTTTCACGCGCTGTCTTATGCAGGTGAGACAAACTGGAGCAACCTTAGATAAATGTAGCAAACAATGTGGGGTATCCTAACACATCCAAACCAACTGAACCAACCCACCCAAGCAGAGACGCCGCGCAATGCTTCTCGAAATATGCAACAAAATCATCTTCTCGCTTTATTCATAGTCCTCCCATTTGACTAACCTCTCCAAACCCCACCCTCGCTCTACCACCTCTCCCTCTACTCTTCCTCATCGCACTTGTACTCCCACTTCCACCAACAGCAACACTCCCCCCAAACCCACCTTCCCTCAACCTCCTCTCAAAGCTCGTCACACCACCAACAGCCAACCTCGCATCCCTCGCACTCTGAACAGGCGGCGCACTCATAGTCCCCAATCTACCCCTTCCCTCCCTCTCCAGAAATGAAGAACCCAGCGGCCTTCTTACAGGAGAAAGAACACGTGCTTTCTCGGGGCTAGGCGGAAGTTCAGGCCGTTTAGCACGAACAACACTGCGTTTACTGGGTGTTTTGAGGTAGCCTGGTTTACTACTTGTAGTAGGAGGAGGGGGTAAGGGCGTTCCGGACCAAAAAGTAGATTGAGCGGCGTCGCCGAAGGAGAGGTCGGATTCGTCGTCTTCGGGAATGGTGGCAGGAGGGGGGCGCGCGGCGGATTGGGGTTGTGGGTAGGTGTTTGGGCGGCGGAGGATGGAGCCTGGGGGGCGGGTTGTTGATGCGGGGGATGGGATGGGAGCGTAGGGGTTGGGGGTAAAGGTTGGATGGCGGGGTGGCTGTTCTGGGGTGAGGGATAGGGAGAGGTCGAGGTCGTTGTTTAGACCTAGAGCGGTCTCGTCGAAGGCTGTCCAGGACTCGAGGCGTTGGGTTTCGTCACCGGATTGCTGGAGGCCTCCTGGTCCGGCAGTGTTATTGCCGTCATTGTAGTCATCGAAGTCTCCATCATTTCCGTGACCGTCATAGTCATCCCCATCGTCTTGTCTTCGTCTTCTCGACCTACTAGGAGGCGATGGACTCGCAGCCCGTTGGCCACGCCGCTCGGTAGCACGCTCGGCCCAGAAGCGAACCATGGCTCTAACATGCTTTTCAAAGTTTCTCTCAAATAACGCTCTCGCGTTCTCCTCTTGCCTCTGGAAGTTCCAGAGACGCCAGCCCATCTTCTTCAGAGCGCCGGTAGCAGCGATCTCCGTGCTTTCCTGCCGCAGAGCGACAGCTTGCCCTTCGAGTGTACGTACAAGGTCCATACGTTGGGACCAGATGGCGAAGTAACGGGTGGACAGTTTGAAGGCGTAGAGGCTCTCGGCTTGAGCATGCTGCTGGCGAAGTATGAGTGTGCGGTCGTGCCATTGATGTACAATTGCTGCACTGCTTTGGAAAGTGCGGTTGTCGAGTACGTCGTTCGCCCTTTGCGTCAGCACTGCAATGTGATTTGCCTTGTCCCGCCAGTGCTCAAAGACTCTGCGCACCAGATTCGTCTTGACCATTCTACGGACCTGCGAATAGGTATCGCGTCTGCGATTACGGCGCGCATGTTGGGTGGCTTGGCTCCATGTGTTCAGTGTATGTTTGCTGAGAACGTAGAAGCGCGCATCGGCCGACCATTGGTTCAACTCTTGAAAGTGCGCTTGCCTCTCCTTGAGCTTGTCGAATATGCGCTGCTTGAGCTTTTGCTGATATTGGGATATAATAGCGAACTGCTCCCTTCGTCTCTCCGTAGTGATAGCTTCCATCTTGCGCAAGCATGTCCGCATCAATTGACCGCGCTTAAATTGGGCGAATCGGACTTCCGCAGTATCAAGAGTGTTGACGCGCTGGTTGGTCTTGGTGACCCAGGATAGGAATGTTGACTGTTTGAGCTGTCGATCGTGGACACGCTGGAAGAGGGATACTCGGGATGCCAAGGTCCATTTGTACAAGCATTCAACAATGATGCGGTCGTTGATCCGATCCTCGAGAGCTTTGATGCGCAATCTGTCATTCCAGGCAGTGTAGGCATTGCGTAGGACGCGCATGCGATCAACATTGTGTGCTTGACGGGATAGCTGAGCGTCTTTGCGCCAATCCTGGAACTTTGCACGAAGCAAACGACCGTTGGTGCGTGCTTGGACCTGGCGCAGTAGTGGCTCGAGCTGTGCCTGCCTCTGGAGTGTCTGGACCATCGTTCGAAGGAGGGAAGTCTGTCGGAATTGGTCCGCCTGGAATTGCAGAGTCTTTACTGCCACTGTCTTCTGCTGCCACGTCCGGAACGTCTTGCGCATGAGTGTTCCATCGCGCCGATCCGTGGCCCACATGTTCCGCTCCCTCATGATCTCTGTGATCTCGCGCCATTTCTGCAATGTCATTCTTGCTGTTCGTGTATCATGCCAGTTTGCTGCACCTCTGTTAAGGTACTCATTGTTGAGAGCATTCCACGACTTCCTGACAATCTTCTGTTCGTAGTATGATTCAGCGAAGTCATCGCGATCCCGCACCTTTGCTGCGCGTGCTCGCCATATAGAGAGGAACTTTGCAAGAGCAAAGTGCTGGATCTTCAGCTCGTTGACTGCCGTGATATCGCGCCAGCCATTGAAGAAGCGTGTGCGTAGAATATGCCGTCGCGCAACCGATGTTCGTTGAACCTCGTCCTCCGCGCACTTTGCCCAGTGCGTAAAGGCTTTTGTGAGCAGGAATAGACTGCGAGCCTTGTCTGCACGGGTTTCCAGCCGATCGAAGAAGCGATTCGTCTCTCGACCAGAACGCCTCACAAGCGCGGTGTCCCGTAGCTGCAAGAGGGAGGCCCTGAGTAAGACACGACGATCGAAGGCGACAGCTGCTCTCTCCATATCGTCGCGCAGATTCATGCGCTCTTGCGCGCGGTTCCGCCATATCCGTATACACTCTCTCGTCACTCGGTGTAGCCGTTGTTCTTCAAAAGTTTCCGCATCGTCCATCAATCGGGTATCGGAGGGTCGAAACGGTTCGGGGACATATTGTTGGTGTTGGATCTGCCGTGATTGTTGAAGGCGGCGCTGGTGCGGGGAATCGTACGGATCGTTCGGTATCGGCGCGTTCACTCCTGGTATTTGGATGGAAGAGAGGTCGAGGCTAGCCGTATGGTCGGTGAAATCGCTCTCGTCTGCATCGTGAGTTCCAGTTCTGTATGTCGATGTAGGATTTCTTCGAATTCGCAGGCTGCCGTAACTTGAGACAGAAGCGCTGCGCTTGTGAACTGGCGGCTGCTGTCCTGAACTTGACCTCCGAGGCGCGGTGCCATTCACTTTGGGGTGACTGGGAAGTTGCACTGGCCGGTACGAATGCGCTTCGGTGTCTGACGTCGCTCGACGGTGATTGCGCGCTTTGTTGGCATAGCCATCAGGAGCATTCTGCTGTGATGCTCTCCTCGGGCGCACAGCCAAATTACCATAGTCGGTGCCGGCAACCTTGTCTGCAGTCCCATCAAGGAACGAGTCGAAGCTCCCAGTTCTCGTATACCGCCCTAAGCTCGCCTGCGCCCCTCTACGTGTCGCGTCAATGTTATTCGGGACTTCAACGACCTCTTCGTCGCCGAGTTCTCCATTGAGACCGAAATGCTCCTTCACCACGCGCAGAACCAGCGACATCAAGTCTTCGCCTTCCCGGCCATATTCCTGCATGCGCAACAGGAAACTGTAGTAAAGAGCGGCATCGATAGGCGAAGGATGCTGCTCTTTGACATATTCATCATATGCGACGAAGAGGGCGTCAATGGATCCATCGTGGGAGTCTTGCGCGCGAAGGACGATATTGTGAATGGCATCGGAGACTATGGCGGTGTAAGTACATTTATTCATCAATCTTTTTCTTAGACGTTTTACCTTCGTCCCGACAGAGATCATCAGCTGTTATAGCCCTCGCATCATCTCCATTCAGCCTCATGGAGGATAGCATTCGTGCACGCGACTCGTTCGTCTCCGGCGCGTTCGCGACAACATGGAAGGGACCGGCGGGAATGATTCGAACAGCGACCAAAAAGCAGCGGCATGCGAGAAAGTCGTCGTGAGTTCGTCGCGCAACAATTAAGCATTACAAATCCAAAAGAAGAAGAGAGGAGTGAGGAAGGGGTGTTGTTGCGCCCGCGTTTTGGCGTTGCAGCGACGCGCTTTGTTGTTGGAGTGGTTGGCCGCCCGCGTTCGTGGATGCGAGAGTGCCAAGGCTTTAGTTAAGTGGGCCCTGTTCGTTGACCTCATCGAGGTGGGAGAGCGTGGGTTCGCCATGTCCAGAGAACTTCACATACCTTAAAGGGCTACTGCTTAGTAACAATTCTACTCATACTACTCGAGAGAGATACACAATACTGCTCGAGATGCCCGGTCGAACACGTCCCATCGACAAACTCGCCACAGCGGCTGCGAAATGCTCGACGGAGGTATGATACGCCCCTCAATGTGAGTAGTAAGATTTGATACGATGCTGACAAACTCCAGAGCGCAGTATACGGCAAATGCATATTCTCAGACTACAACAATGTACGAAAAGACATGTGCGTCAATGAGTTCATGAAACTGAAGGAGTGCTATCTGGTAATATCTCCTCACAGCATCAAAAGGCAACACAACTAACCCCACGCACAGAAGGCGTATAAGCAGCGGTGACGGCACTCGTAGCGACCCATCATTCTCTTTGAAGCACACAGCATACGAAGGCGTTCACTGTAAACATAGAAATTTTAATTTCATTCCATCAACAAGTCATGCGCGCCACTATACTATCGAACCGCTCTAGGAAGCTACTATAGCTTGATCAATCGCAACATGAAAGTCGCCTTGTGGAGCTCTTGCTCCTCCTCTGCAATGACCTTCTCGTTACTGTTCTCCGGGATCTTGCCCTCAACCTCAGTGATGACGTGCTTGTCTACAGGTCTTCGCAAAGCCTTCTCAAACAACGGGCCTTGGTTCTCAAACGCCTTCTCCAGTCCTACACTTTCCGGATCGCTCAGCACTCGGTACTCCATGCCTACGTCGTCGGTCGGCACTAGGCCGGCCTTCTTGCGTAGATCTTGCACGCGGCGGATGACTTCACGTGCGAGTCCTTCTTGCTCAAGCTCTGGATATGAGGCAACGTCGAGGAGGATGAGGACGTCGTTGTCTGTGTTGAACTCTTGGTCCTTGTTGCTGGAGTCCTTTGCAAGACCGCGCTTGACCATCAAGTCTTCAGCCTCAAGCTTGATGCCGTCTACGACAATCTCGCCACTCTTCAGGTAATCTTTGATTTCTTGGCTCTTGAGGTTTGGTAGCGCCTTCTTGACCTTGATGGCATCCTTCTTCAACTTCTTACCGAGAACAGAGAAGTCGGCCGTAGCTGAGTACTGGACGTTGTACTTCTCCTCATCGCTAGAGAGCACAATATCGCGGACGTTCAGCTCCTCCAGGATGTAGTTCTCCAATGACTTGATGTCGTCAAGATATTGTTGTTCTGGGTGGATGACCACCAGAGTCTTCAGCGGGATCTTCAAGCCCTTGTTGGCACGGTCACGGCAGATACGGCCAAGCTCAATGACTGACTGCATGCGCTTGACTTGGCGTTCAACGCCCTCGTCAAACAGCTCTTCTCGCACTTCTGGGAAAGGAAGGAAGTGGATACTGCGGTTGTCTTCTGCGTGCAGTTCCTTGGGAATGTGAGGTAGTAATCGCAGGTAAATGTTGTCTGTGATGAATGGTGTGAAGGGCGCGAGACCGCGGCAGAGTGTGTAGAGAACTTCGAAGAGCGTGTTGAGGGCGTGTTTGGTGTCCTCGAGGCCGTGCTCGCCTTTTAACCGGCGACGGTTGAAACGAATGTACCAGTTTGTTGTATTGTCAATGAGCTCCAATAACCGCGGAACCACGGTGTACAGCCTGTACGCTGCCATCTCCTCATTCACGAACTTCAGCAGCGACTGGGTGGACGCGAGAATCCATCGATCGAGCACGTTCTTGTTAGTCTTTCCAGCTGCTGGGTCGAATACAAAGTCTAGACTCTCAACCTTCTTCAACAGTGACACCTGTTGCTCGAAGAACTGGTAGCTGTTCCAGAGAGGTAGAAGGACCTTGGAAACGATCTCCTTGACACCTGCTTCCTTGAACCGAAGTGTCTCGGCACGGACGACGGGTGAGTTGATGAGGTATAACCGCAGCGCATCGGAACCGTAGTTGGTCATGATCAAGTTGGGGTCGGGGTAGTTCTTGAGACGCTTTGACATCTTCTTGCCATCTTCCGCAAGTACGATACCGTTGACGACGCAATTCTTGAAAGGCAGCTTTCCGAAAAGATGTGTTCCAAGGACAGTGAGTGTGTAGAACCAACCACGAGTTTGGTCAAGACCTTCCGCAATAAAGTCACCGGGGAAAGACTTCTCGAACTGCTCCACGTTCTCGAATGGGTAATGCGCGCTGGCGTAGGGCATGGAACCAGACTCGAACCAGCAGTCAAAGACCTCGTCTGTTCTTCGGAGCACACCCTTGCCGTCTTTGCTGGGAATGGTAATGTGGTCGATCTTATCCCGGTGAATGTCGGTTAGCTCGCCCTCGTACCCGCTGAGCTTCTTCAGCTCCTCCACGCTACCAATGCAGACCACCTCTTTGCCGTCATCGCTGACCCAAATCGGAAGTGGCGTACCCCAGAAACGGTTTCGTGAAACAGCCCAGTCAGGTGAGTTGGTGATCCAGTTGGCGAAGCGCTTCTCCTTGACGAAAGAAGGAACCCAGTGCGAACCAGCAATGTTTTCCAGCATTTGCGGCACGATATCCTGAATCTTGATAAACCATGAGGGAACTGTTCGGTAGATCAAGGGTGTGTCAGACCGCCAGCAGAAGGGATAGCTATGGAGAAGTTGTGAGTCTACGATCAAGCGACCGGTGCCTTTCAGATGCTTGATGATGCCCTTGTCTGCTGCCTTGACGTGTTGGCCTTCGAAGTCGCGGACAACCGCGGTGAAGCGACCCTGATCATCGACTGGGTTGGGTGGCGGTCGAGTGTCAGAGATGACACCGTGGGCCTTGCCAACGCGGTAATCGTCCTCTCCGTATGCGGGGGCTTGGTGGACGATACCCACACCACTGTCTGCTGTGACGTAGGCGTCGTTCAAGACCTTGAAGCCGTAGTCCTTGAATTCGTCGTAGAGGTAGTCGAACAGAGGCTCGTATTTCCAGCCCAACATATCCTTGCCCTTCAGCTTCTCCACAACCTTGAACTTGGCCTTCTTCGGGTCCTTGTATAGTGTGCGTAGTAGCGCTTCGAGTAGGATGTAGTGTTTGCCGGACGCTTCATCGAGAATCTTGACGTATTCGAAATCGGGATGCGCGCAGAGACCGGTGTTGGATGGAAGTGTCCATGGGGTAGTGGTCCTGTTCGGGCTGGGTCAGCGCAGGCCAGTGGGACTAAATGAGAGTAAGTAGCTTACCATGCCAACAAACACGTGTTTGGGTCGTCGAGCAGCGGGAATGTGACGACTACCGCTGGGTCCTGAACGTCCTTGTAGTTCTGTGAGGCCTCGAAGTTGCTGAGAGGCGTCGCCAATGCTGTGCTGTAGGGCATAACCTTGTAGCCCCGGTATACGGCGCCCTTGTCGAAGAGACGCTTGAAGACCCACCATTCCGACTCCATGAAGCTGGTGTCCATGGTCTTGTAGTCGTTGTCGAAGTCGATCCAGCGACCCAGACGGTCGATAGTCGCCCTCCATTCGGTCGCATATCGCATGACAATCGCGCGGCACTTCTTGTTGTACTCGGCGATTCCGATTTCGCGTACAGCGTCGCGTCCCGACATGCCCAATTCCTTGTCGATCTCATACTCGATAGGCACACCATGAGTATCCCAGCCGAACCGTCGCTCGACATAGCGGCCCTTCATGGACCAATAGCGGGGGATGATATCTTTAATGGTCGAGGCCAGGAGATGGCCATAGTGCGGCATTCCTGTCGCGAAAGGCGGTCCATCGTAGAACGTGTATGGTTGCTTTCCTTTCGACTATGGCAAGTTAGCAAGTGCCAACCACACGTGCTTGGGTTCAAGAGGCTGTAGCATAGTCACGTACTAGCTCGACTTGTCTCTGGAAGGCGTCAATCTCCTTCCAGCGCGCGAGGATGCGCTCCTCCTCGCTCGGAAAGTTCATAGACATGGTGGCGGCGTGAGTATGCTGAGAGAGAGCCGTGGCGGGGAATCTTTTTCTAGAGCCTAGAGTTGACTCCTCCGATCCCCGCCATTAGCGTGACTCAGCCCCTTATCGATAGGACCCCGCCATACGAAGCATTGACGACCGTTGACTCCTGCAACTAACAGTATCTCCTGGCCATAGCGGAGCTCGTCTCGCTACATGAACATCTTGCATCCAAATGAGCCATTCATTCGTGTGCTCACCAGCTAGATGCGTCCTGGCACCGAGACCCTAATCATCAAGGCCGCTAATCATCGTAACTGGAACCGTTAGAGCATACTCACCATGAAACGTCGCATACCTATATCTTTGTTGCGGCTCTGCGGCAACAGAGAAGGGATTGAAACAGTGACAGCTTTAACCGATAACGATGAAAACTCCAAGTCGCCACCTCTCATCTTCGCCTAAGCATTCTTTTCACATATTTCCGATTGACAATGCGTTTTCCCATCTTCCTTATCACTTCATTCTTCGCGCTGGTAGCAGCCTCGAATGTTCCATCCAATGATCTATCTGATCAGCCTCTACAGGGTAGCGACACTTTCACTAGCCCCAGGGATGCCGACATCGACAAGACATGTAGACGCCTACGTACGTTGACACAGCTTAACAAGATCGCACATAACGAGACCCTCCTGGACACGATAGACATCCGCGACAAGCTCACTCAACAGCGTATCGACTGGATCAAAAGTAACAGTGCCGACATCACGGCCAAACTAAATGAGCTAACATCCAACTCAACACTCGCGGCGGAATGCGACACTATCAATGCGCAGCGCGAGACAGCTCGTCAATGCAAGATATTGCAGATGTTGGAAAGACTGGTAAATTCAACAAACGGCCAGGATGGTGTCGATCGGGGACCTGCTGCCGACCTTTTTAGCGATGAGCAGAAGCAGAACCTACAACAAAAGTTCGAGAAAGCGGAACTCAAGCTGCAGCAACTTAGGAGCAATGCCACGTTGATACGTCTCTGTCAAGGCGATGTTGGGTTCCAGCAAAGTGGCGCCATTGGAAGTCGTAAGTATCTTTTCTAGGGTGCAAAATGAAGACGTACTAACTTGCACACAGAATTGGTGGACAACAGCGGCGCTATCAGCATGACGAAAAGTACTGCAAGCAGTCAGGTGCGCGAACTGAGAACAGCTTCATCACTATTGACTCTGGTGGTTCCGATGATAGTGCTGATGCTGTAAATACCCCCTTGCATTATGTAGGAAACAATAACCGGGTAAATCGCGTCACTTCGTCGCTTTTCGCGGTTACATGCATAAGAGCTTGGGGCACGTGGCAAGGTGCTCGATGACATGCACGATGTGGCGTGGTTGAAGAGACGTGCGAACTCAGTTCCAAGTCATGGTCGTCGCGTCAATATTTACATTGGTCAATGCAATTCTTTGTGGCACAGCTCCACTTGCATAACAGAAACGATAGAGCATCGGTGTAGAAGACATCGAGATGATCATGACGAGCAACATCGAATGCGCATCCGTGCATGATACTCCCGTGCGTTGTACGCCACAAGGGATACCCTTATTTGTTCCAACGATAACTACACCACGTCTTCCATCAAAAAGCCCCGTTTATATGATGGTTACCCCGTTCACCCACTCTTTCGGGCGTACTCCTGTCTTCTGAGTTGCCGCTGAAGATACCTAGTGGTATGGCAACATTCAACTTCGGCGACCCACCCCCGGGCCTTAACCTTAGCGAGTCACGGACAGTCGGAAACAGCGTTGTCGCAATCATCTTGTTTGTTCTTTCTGGTGCCTTCGTCGCACTGAGGCTGTTTACGCGCACAAAGTTGAAACGGGAACAGCTGGGATGTGATGACTACTTAATCGTTGCCGGGTTGGCATTGAACGCGGGAAATCTTGCGTGCTGCATTGCTGGTTGGTGGCCGATTGCTGGGCAAATTCCTATCTTACTAACTCCGTAAAAGGCGGTTTCTTTGGTCTGGGCCGACATATCTGGTCGCTGGGGCCAGAGCAAATGCGACATATCACTATCGTGCGCTTACATGTCTAGGCATACTTTTGCCGGACTAACATCTGGCAGATCACCTTCGCATACGTCTTTGTCTACGCTTGGAGTGTCTGCGTTATCAAACTCTCCATCCTCGCTTTGTACCGACGCATCTTTGGTATAAACATGCTGGGCTGGTTCTGTGTTGGTATGACGGCTGCCTACCTGATCACGAACCACGTCGTCCTGCCATTGTACACCCGACCGTTGAGCTACTACTGGGACCAATGGAACGGGGCTCAAGGAGAGATTCTCGTCAATGAAGCGAAGGTGCGTCCCAGGTGCCTCCACTCCGAATGTAGGTGCCTGCTTATACAATCGCAGTTCTACCTTGGCGCCGGCATCTTCAATCTCCTCGGTGATGTATGCATACTCTGTATACCAATATCTCACGTTGTCAAGTTGCAAATGGAAAAAACACAAAAAGTGGCCATCTGCTTTATCTTCCTGCTCGGCAGCTTGTAAGCATCCCAAATTGAGGGACCTGTGTTATCACTAACAGTCGTAGTGTGTGCTTTGCTTCGCTCTATCGTATTATCACGATCGTCCGATTGATGGCAGCGCAAGACATCAGCTGGAAGAAGAGTGATGTCTTCATATGGTCGTCCGTTGAGCCTTCTATTGGTATCATCTCCGGGTGTCTCCCAACGCTTCAGCCTTTTTTCATTCGTACGACGCACGCGTTGGCAGGCGCATTCGGCGCTACACCAAGCCATGTTCCGGAGCAGGAGGGCATAGAGAGTCGTGAGACGGCGTCGAGAACCGTGAACGCTTGGACGGAACGCTGGGGGAGGACTCGTCCAGCCGAAGAGGATTTGTGTTTGACTACGACAACAGTGTGTGGATCTGCGAACGAGTGCGATGGTATCACCTGGCAAGACTTCATCCTGGGACCTCAGGTTGAGAGGAGGATAACTATGACGCATGAGTTTGTGATGAACGAGAGCATTCGAAGCCGCGGTAGCTAGGGATAAGACTAAGTGTTCGCAAATTGGTATGTAAAGACTTTTGAAGCCTGGACAGAAGAGCGGCTGTGGCAGCTGAAGCGACTGGCATGATTTTGAGGCGCATGCTAGAGAAGGAAGGTGGCCCTGTTGGTAGCGACTGAAGGGTCGCGCTGCTGCAGATATCCCACCTGAAGGGCGAGAAGAATTTACTTCCAACAGGCATCATCCACGGCTCCTGCGGTGGTCATGTTGTTTGAGTTGTCGACTTCGGAAGTCCGTCGCACCTGTCGGGTGCATGCAAGCTAGCGTGAAAGGGCCCCCAGGTCACATGTCTCCCCCAGGGCTCGGCGCGACCGCCGAAACCCCGCAATACTACTTGGTCTCCTTCCTCCACCACTGAACTAACGCCTTCGCAACCGCGATTTATCCGTCGAATATGTACAATGTATGTGAGGCGTCCGGACATAAGCCCCCAATCTGTTTCCTGGCCGATGCAAGGTGTGACACGGCGTACAAGCCTTGAGTTCGCGATGTCAGATTCTTGGCCATACCACCCGAGAAGGAACTTTAATGGAAGATCCACAACTCATTGTCCCATTGACATTGCGTTCGGCCCGTATATTATGATTGCAAGAGAACTGAGAGGATCGAGGTGGATCATTCACTTCTTCAGTCATTGAAGAATGTCCGGGTAGGAAGCCGGTCTCCGCATTTCGCACCCCGCATCTTGCTGGAGGTGGCTTTTCAAGTCTACCGTGTTTTTCGCACTGAGTATAAAGACTGCTTGTCGACAAATTCCCATGATGATCGGTTGCCAAGTCTTTCTTCCCCGTCGATATGTTTCCTACATCATTGGTGCTGCTTGTCTCGCACCTCGCGCTGACTGGATTTGCTGCTGCATCGTCTGGATTTGAGAAAAGGTGTCTCGCATTCGAGCCCGAAAGATACATCAAAGGCGCAACCCGCAATGTTCTCCAACATGTTCCGGCAGGAACTAATTTAACGTTCCCGGACAACGACGCGACATGTGGGCGTGCTAGCCAGATTGTCTCAGTAGATCTTTGTCGTATGACACTAGAGATCAAGACGACCAGAACTTCGAAGATCTCTTTCGAAGCATGGTTTCCGGAGGTCTGGTCTGGTCGATTTCTGGCAACGGGGAACGGAGGCATTGACGGCTGTAGGTGTTGGATGAATAGGATGCCGTGCTAAGCATAGCGGGCGCTGACCTTTACAACAGGCATCAAGTATGAGGATATCGCATATGGAGCATCAAGTGGTTTCGCTACCGTCGGCGCAAATAATGGCCACAATGGTACTACAGGAGTCGCCTATCTCAACAACCCCGAAATGGTAGTCGATTTTGCCTGGCGATCGTAAGCATACCCCTACTACTCACGGCGCACATGCTCACTGACCATACAGACTTCATAACAGTGTTGAAACTGGCAAGGCCTTGGCCAGAGAGTTTTACGGAAAGTGTCATACCAAATCTTACTACTTAGGTTGTTCTCTCGGTGGACGTCAAGGCGTCAAGAGCGCAGAGAAATTTCCAAACGACTTTGATGGCATAGTTGCCGGCGCTCCAGGCGTCGATTTCAACAACCTCATCTCCTGGCGCGCACGTTTTTACACCATCACCGGCCCCATCAAAGGCTCAGACTTCATCTCGAAGACAGCATGGCAGACTTGGATCCACGACGAGGTGTTACGCCAATGCGATACCATCGACAAAGTCAAGGACGGCATCATCGAAGACCCAACCTTATGCAAGTTCGATCCCACTACCTTACTCTGCGGTCGCAACACCAAAAATACAACAAACTGCCTAAACGCCAACCAAGTCCAGCAACTCCAAACCATCTTCAGCGACTATCGCTTTCCAAACGGCGAGCTAATTTACCCCGCTATGCAACCCGGCAGCGAAATCAACGCTGTCGATAAACTCTACGCTGGCGCACCCTTTGCGTACTCAGATGACTGGTTCAAATACGTCGTCTACAACGATCCAACTTGGAACGCATCGGAATACGGCTATGATGATGCACAAGCGGCACAGGATCTCAATCCAGGAGATGTTCGCACCTATCCTTCCTCACTACCTGGCTTCAAACAGAACGGCGGGAAACTGCTGATGTACCATGGCCAGCAAGACAACCAGATCACGTCTTTCAACACGAACCGATTCTACGAGCACCTTCGCGGTAACAACACGTACGCAGAGATGGACGAATGGACGCGTTTCTTCCGTATCTCGGGTATGTTCCATTGCAGCACAGGGCCAGGGGCGTGGGTGTTGGGTCAGGGCGGGAATGCGGCGCAGGCGGGTATCCCGTTTGATGCGCAACACAACGTTCTTGCGGCGATGGTTGCATGGGTAGAGAACGGTGTTGCGCCGGAGTTTATCGAGGGCATGAAGTTTGTGAATGATACTGTAAAGAGTGGAGTGGACTTTACGAGGAGGCATTGCAAGTATCCAACGAGGAACACGTTTGTCGGGGGCGATTATAAGAAGTCTGGTAGTTGGGAGTGTAGGTTATAGAGCAGAACGTACTCTGATTCTTTAGCATCCATGAAAATTTGGCTCGTCCTGAATTCAGAATGCAATCGATACGCCGAATTCGTGAGGCCAATAGAGACTACAGGTGCGAGAACATGTGTGCTACGCTAACAGACTTAGGTCTAATCAATCAGGAACGTGAGCCATCATCAGACAAGGTCAATTCAAGTGGGATTACATAGAACCTGATTCGCAAGCGTATTTTACTGTCGCTACGTGGCACTGTATCTTCCAATGCTGAGTAGCGACTAAGAGCTCGGGGACACGTGCATATATTATACGAAAGAATTTGTAACAGAGCAGTGCTGCAAGTTGAAGGATAAGGGGTCTGCATGTATAATCTGTGATATATCCTATACGAAGGGCCTGTTTTTTCGTGAATTCAACTCGTGTGAGAAAGCCTTAAAGCTCTGGAAATCGCGTAGTTTCCAAGTTCATCCTATACGAATGTGACGAGCCGCATGTGCTCAAAGATATCATGCCAATATAAACCATGAGTTCCCTCGCGAAGACTGTCGAACTGTTCTTTTTCACTATCCCAGAAGTTGGGAGGAAGCCGGCTGCGGTAATGACCCCCCTTAGTCTGGTGAGTAACTGGATATCCTCTTCTATGTAATTGTTCAGGCAGTTTCACAATGCCAACCCGCTCGCAAACGTTAGAGAGTGAGGTGCTTTCTGCGATTACTATCATGAAAGCCTCAAGTGATGCTCCTGCTACACCATACACCAAAGCGCCCTTCAAACGTTTTCCCAATAGTAACTCGGGCTCGGTATCCCAGTACACTGGAAGCCCGACTTGAAAGTAGTTTTTTAGTATGAGCGCAACAAGGAATTCATTCTCATCGTAATATCCCTTCATTGTTGTTGTATGAAACATTTCTAGATGCACAGTTCTAGCGGCAAATTCAAGCCTTGGTGGTGTCTTGATGAAGCTATTGTCGCGTGTCGGCACGAAACTGGCCAATTCGTAGATTGCATGTGCGAAGCGTAGCTTGGCCTTAGGTAAGTGTGCGAGAAAAGTCCGAGGGTCACACCTCGTGTCTTCGCGATACCAGTGAATGAATCCCGACCATGCTAGGGAGGACCAACTAGGAAACTGCAATCGTCGGCGGCACGGTTCTGCATGATACCACAGCAACGCCATCTCGTCACGTTGTATGCGCTGTGAGCCCAGTATCTGACTATCCCAAGGTACAAGGTTGTCGATTTCCCAGAGCATACTCGCAAGCTCACACTCAAGGCTGCTGTCATCTGTGTTTGCCTTTCGGACCAGAATCGATTCGCGCATAAGCTTTCCTTCCCAGTGCTTCTCACTAGATAAGCTAATTGATATCATGGAGTTGGATGTACACGGGAATTCATAGGTACGATGAAAAGCAGCGCCCCAGATATGGTAAGTAGATGCTTGTGCAAGTGGATCCAGAGCTCCTGCAATAGCATCTAGTGCGTCGGTGTCGTACGTCAAATGACGCTTGCTGTATGCCTCCAGATATCCTGCGGCGCGATCCATCGTGGCTGTCCAGCTGTGGTCCCTGTTTCCTACCGCTGCACATTGAGGTAGCCATTGCTGGAGCCAATAGCTGTCAGATTCCTCGCCTTCTTCGCCCCATATATCGCGCGGCAGCGCCGTCTCGTATCTTATTCCACTGTTGCAGACGAAAATCGCTTCGCCTTCAGTAAAGATTAAGCGTCTTCTGGAGCGATGGAATTCCTGGAACGTCCAAGCTCGGGACGCCCATTGTGACCGAGCTACTTCTGCTAACGTAGTAGGACGTTGTACAGGCATGAGCAATGCATTCCCGATCCTCTCAGATTGCGGTATAGCTCGAGAAGATGTAGAGACGCCGGGTAGCCCAAAATCTGGGTCGCTCCCCGCTGCGGCAATCAGGGTAACCTGTGCTGCAGCATATATGTCGCCCATTTGTATGATCTGCGTGTGCTTGTGGGATGGATTATTCTGATTGATACACTAGGAATGTAAACATCACGAATTTCCGCCACAGGAGTATACACTTACATATCTATCAACCCAGAGGTATCGATAACCCAGCTGCTGTGCAAAGTATATGCTGCGTGCAATAGTCTTTGGTGGATGGAGCAACCCTTGGGATGTATGTTTCTGTTTACCCCAAACATAGGACAGGGCTACGTATAGGCATCCTGCTGGCGCAGGTATAACAGTGTTCCGCTCGCAGTCGATCACGTGCAATTGACGTAGTGCTCCTTGTATTGCAGTGTCCAATGCACAATCTTGTTTGTGTTTTGTATCGCACTCCAGCAACCATTCCTTGATCTGAACTGGGTCCACTCCGCGCGGACGGACGAGATGGTGCGTGGACGGCTCAATGTCAGTGTCGAAGCTGGCCACTACGAAATGCGCAGCCCATCTCAACTGATTCGACCAACGGAAGGGTACGAGATTGAGTAGATGTGCTTGCTGTTGTGTATTCGCTCGAGCCAATTGAGAAAGACCCGAGTCTTTACATCTCTTTAGAACATAGTGCCCGTCTGGCAGGCCTTTGTTCGCAACCATCCAAGATAACATGCGGCAGATACGGCACGAAGGTTGAGCCGGTAGAATCTTGCTTTCGCCAACCCTCAGCAAACGCTCATATGGCGTCCCTGGCTGCTCCAGTAGGAGTTTCCAGGGGATATAGAGACACCGCTGACAAACACTAACATTACTGCTCTGTTCAATCTTGTAGGGAGGTACCCGAACGTGGGTGGCAGGGCTGGTATGTTCGGAAGGGTTCCTGGGTGTTCCAGTCGGCCCATCGTCGTCGTTTATGTCTTCCTGTGCACCATCGGGCGTCTTATCGTGTTCGTCCATCGCCAGGTAAGGAGACCCAAGGCCTGATAGGAAAGATCCCACACCAAGATAAAAGGGAAGATGTCGCTGCCTGATTGCTGAGAGGGGTTTGGGGCTACTGCTTTTGATTGATTGGCCACAAGCGGCTTGTACCAATGAGCGGAACGTCCAAGCAGCTACATCAGGCTGAGGCCAAGGAAGGCGTCACCGGTGAGCTACGCGAGGCACCTACCGTGGAGGACAAAATATACCTTATATTAAATACGTTAAGCGCAACAGCGCAGAACAAAATGTCTAGTCCTGTATACCCAATACTCATACACCCACTCAATCCCATGATCTAATCCAGAACGATAGAAACGCCATCGCAATGCCCAACAATCCCGCACTCATCCTCAAAACAAATACTCTTACAACGAACATCTACAACCTCACCCTCCCCTCATCCCCCCTCCCACCAAACAAGCCCAAAAACCCACTTCCGCGCTCCCCATCACCTCTATCTAATTGCGTTCTTCTGCTACTACGTCCAGCCTCAACCTCATCGTCATCGCCACCCAGCCACTTCGGTCTTGGGAAGGAGAAATCGTTTGTTTCAAATGTGTTTTTGACTCTTGAAGCGAAGTTTTCGAAGAAATTGCCTTCCTCTTCTTCGTCGTCGAGTTGTGGGCGGCGGCGGTCGGGGCGCGTTGTGCTTGGGCCGCTAGTGGCTGCCGCTGCAGTGGATGTAGGGGGATTCGACGATGACGATGGTGCTGGGTTATCTGTGTAGCGTTCGTTCGGCGGGCTGGTGGAGCTTCGTTGAGAAAGACCGAGGACGTTTCCACTTGCGCCTTGGATTTCGCGGTCGATCAATGCGCGGCCTTCGCGCCAGGAACCGGTGCCGGCGTAGTTTCCTGCTGAATCCTCTTCGTCGTCGAGAAGGTCGCCGAAGCCACAGATGTTCTTTACTTTGCCATAGAGACCGAAGGCTGTGGCGAAGACGGGGACGAGGATGAAGATGGGGAAGAAGGCGCTGAAGCCTTCGCCGAGGGGTGTGAGGACGATGAGGCGACCAAGGAACTTGTAGAACATGGTGCCTTTCCATATGTTCTTGTCTGTCATGGTGAGGAAGTTGTAGCTTAGGGGGACTGTAAGTTTGGCGACTTGCAGACCGTACCAGGTCGCGGACTCTTGGTATGTGTTCCTTCGTACAAGTGCTCGGTTGCCCCAGATCTTGACTTCGGTAAGACTGTAGAAGGCACAAATACACATGTAGCATAGCCAGGCAGCGGCAATGATCTGGCTGTTGAAGCCAACTGATGACCGACCGTTGTCGTGGCGGTGTACCACAGTCCAGCCGATGATGGAAAGTTTGGGCCCACCAAAGTCCTGGGCTTCGCGCACGCATTCCGACCAGACGATGGAGACAGATGCGAGGATGGTGATAGCCCAAGAGACGTATGCCAGAGCGGGGATGACGTGAACGTGTAGATGGTAGCGCGTAAGTGGCGTGAGGATAGTTATGCGATCGAACAGTCCTCTCGAGGTTGGCAACGCGGCACCTTTGAACTCGAGATGTTTGCTGGCTTTCGAATCGAGGATGGCCTGTGTCCTTACTGCCCTCCGCACAACATGATCCCATTCGTTCTCGAACCGGCATTTCGCATGGCGCGCTCGCTTTAGCTTCCTCGTGAGGTCTGCCAGATATCTTTCCGTGATGACTGGAGGCACCGTCGCCGTACCCATACGTCCAACGACACCCGCCCTGTTCTCCGGAAGGTTGCCCTTCTCCGCCAGCTCATCAATCCACTCTTGAAACTCCCGCGCCGTGCCGTTCTTCCTCTGCTTGAGCTGCACCACCTGGTATTCATACTGATCCAGCTTCTCCAGCGCCTCAGTCAACCTCTCGTGGACCTTTGGCGCCGAACTCTGTATCCTCTTCAACCTCTCACTAACACTCGCGTACCGAAACAGGCTCCTGGGGAATGCGACAAGTCCATGGCCCATGAGGTAGATACCCAGTATCAGACCCCAAGTATACGCCAGCGCCATAACCAAACTCTTAAACGTATCCGCCTCGAACCCGTTCCAGATAACCAGATAGATTGAGCCAACGATACTGCATCCAGCCACAATGAGCCAGTAGCGCCCATTACTCCGAAGCGCATACTGCAACCTTGCCTTGGGCTCTCTGTACCCACTATCGCAGTACTCGCCCAGCATAGGCAGGATCGCCCAAGTAAGCGCGAACGTGAGCCAGTAGATAATGCGCCATGCCTTGTACACAACCGTGTCATTCAGCCAGATGCCCCTCGCGCCATCCGTTGTATCCAACCCAGCACTACTCGCGAGATCGATCGGCAGGAGCACAACAATGCTGGCCGGCAGCGCTATTGCCAAGAAGACGGGTACGACGACGTATGCGGGTGTGGTGCGGAGCGGGAGGTAGTAGCGGAGGAGCAGCAGGACGGCGCCGCATATGGAGAGGAGGGAGAGGATGAAGAAGGCGGTTGAGCCGGCCGCTGAGGACGTCATCGTGGTGTGTGGTACGGGGTGCGCATAGAAAAGGTTGGGGTTGTGGCGGTGATGGCGGAGATTATGGCTATGTGTGGTGACGGTGAAAGGAAGCCTGGGTGGCTGGCCCAAAGGTAGTTTGACAGTTGTCGCGACGGATGGCGTGGAAGCGTCGGAACGCTGCTCAATCTCGGAATGCGGAAGGTTCGCAAGCCGGTCTGTCTGACTTGTTTCTATATTCTATTCTTCCATCTTTTCATTCAAAACTTCATAATTACTTTTACTGCGGTTTCCGTACCTGTCTCACTTGGCATATGCTCCAAAACATGCGTGCAAGCTAGGTCCCTACTCTCGTCCGCGTCGCAATCTGAGCCGCACGCGTCATGACGAGTCCGCGTCCCAACCCCTGTTCGCCTTCTAGTCTTTGTAAGCACGTCACGTTGCATCGCCGATCCATCTCCGACGGCAGTTAGCGGCAGTACTTCACGAGTGATTGCATCATTTGCCATCGAGAACGTTTGCTACTGCGGGGGGCAGCTGCACACTAATCCACTACTTGTATACAGTACACACCTAACATCAAGCTCATAAACCTACGACCATCAACTGACAAATCTCGACTTCACGCATAAGTACGTCACTCCATCCACCCCTCCAACACCACAACACAGTACTCATAATCCTCCAGCCTATCTCCCAAAACAACCGCCAAAATTTCCTTCCTGCGTCACTTCTTCACGCGCGCCCCCTCGCCCGCCACAATGTCCGCCACAAAGACCAAGGTCCAGTCCATCATCGACGAGAACCCCGTCGCCGTCTTCTCAAAGTCGTACTGTCCATACTGCCGCCAGGCCAAGCAGCTGCTGAGCGACAGTGGCGCAAAGTTCTACGCTATCGAGTTGGACCAAGTCGGTACGTGGATATAGCTGTGAAATGCTGTGTAGAGAGACAGCAGCTAACGCGCGCGCATAGATGATGGCTCAGCCATTCAGTCCACACTTGGCGAAATGACCGGCCAGACCACCGTCCCCAACATCTTCATCGCTCAGAAGCACATTGGTGGAAACAGCGATTTGCAGGCCAAGAAGAGCCAGCTCAACAACCTGCTCAAGGATGCTGGTGCCGTCTAAATACCCACAACAAAAGGGAAGCCGTAGCTACTGCACGATAGCTTGTCACATAATAAATGAATGATCGACATCACACATTCTGCACCTGATAATAACGCCAAAGTATGCATTGAAAGTCTGCCAGGAATGATTCTAACTGGGTAATCTTTGTGGTTTATTGCTAGTGAGCCCAACTACTAGCCTCACTCAAGTCTCGTAAAACAAAGTCGAAGCTACACCTACAGGGCTTGCGGCTTGGATTCTTCTTTCGTCCCCAGACTGTTGTCCTGCAGTCTTTCCAGATCATTAACCATCGTTGATGCTATTCATGATGTCATTCTCCACATTCAAGAACACGGGCGAAGCTGGACCTTCTAAGTCTGCATCGCGTCCGTGAAACTTTGTGCTGCCGTCGTCGCAAAGTATCGTACATCTACATCGTCGTCTTGCTGAAGCTTCTCGAGGTTCGGCAGAATGCTCTTTGTGATGACATCTGTAGCCTTCTGGCAGCCCTGGCCTGGTGTGCCAGCCTTCTCTAGGGCGATGACGGTGCCCTGCTCAGGCAGCTGCTTGAGGGTGTTGATGAGCTGGCCATATGACTTTGCGACGTTGAAGCGGATGTTGGGGATATCGTCGTTGACCAGCTTGTCCATCATCGGGATGATGGATTGTTCGATAACATCCAGACTGAGAGCGGGCGCGAGTGTTGAGACAGCGAAGCAAGTCGTCATTCGGTAGAGGTAGTTAGGGTGCTGGCCCATAGCCATGACCTTGGGAACAATAGCGTCGTTGGCCCACTCTACACCGAAGACCTCCGTAAGCTTCTTCAGGTTCTGAGTGGATGCCTCACGAATTGAGAAGACCGTGTCGCCCAACCAGCTCATGCACAGGCTGCTGAGCTTCTCGTCGAAGAATTGCACACCAAGTTGTGAGGCGAGGAGGGGAACGTATTCGATGATGGCAAGACGTACGCGCCATTGCTTGTCCTCGGCGAGTTGGACGATCGCTGGGAGGAGGGACTGCGAGAGGAGCTCGATGCCGATGACGTTGTTGACAGACTCGAGCTTGGAAATGATGTTTAGGCGGACGTCGGGGAACTCATCCTTGAGCATCTGGAGGAACATGGGAAGGAGATGCGAAATGGTCCTGACTCGTGTTAGTAGGCAAGCACGTGGTTACGCGCAGTCGCAACTTACTCTTCCTTTCCAAGAATGGGAGCGAGCCCACTGATCTGGGTGCCAAGTGCGGCGCGCACATGCTGTGACTGATCGGAGACCAGCTCCTCTATGCTGGGCATGACCTCGTGCAGGAGGGTTTCACGCTCCAGTAGCGCACAGAAGCCTAGTAATGATCAGCCTGAGTGTCGCGCTGTTGCGGCATAGCAACCTACCTGGAATCTGTCCCGCGATGGCGCTGCGGACCTCAGCCTCGGTATCCTTGAGGAGCTTGACGAATGCAGGTACAAGGTCTCGGTTGACAACCTCGTCGTCGACGGCTTTTGCAATCTAAAACCGTTAGCGCATACCCTCTCTCGCTGCAAGCCAGACGCACCTTCTCAAATCGGTCTGCCACCATGTATCGCACCCTCCAGCTCTTGTCTTCAAACAGGCTTCGCAGCGCAGTCAGCAGGACACCGTGGCTTGACTGCTGCTCCTTGGGTACTGCCTCGGCGATGGCGATGAGGATGTCGACAGTCAGGAGGCGGACGCTGTCCTGGTCATCGGCGGCGAGGTGCTGAAAGAGGGGAATCATTTCTTCGATGACGATAGATGGCGGCATCGCCTTGATAAACTTGGCGAGGTTGTTGGCCGCCTGTCTCCGTACCATGGGGGTATCATCGTGCACTAGCTGGCCGTAGTGCTGCCTGAGGGCTTCTTGTGAGGGTGGTGTAGCGCGAGTGTAGGGGGTCTGGTAGAGTCCAGTCGCGGAGATCTTCGACGTGAACCAGTCGGCTTTTGATAGGCGCAGGACGAGGGGTATGAAGTTCTCTTCGATCTGCTGCTGCGACAGCTCTTCGCAGATCTTGTTGAGCGATTCGACAGCCTGCACGTGTTAGCTGGCGGCCGAGCTGAGGCAATTGTTGCGCGCACCTTCTCCCTGACCAGAGGCTCTTCTATGGCTGCAAGGTTCTCAAGAGGCGACAGGAGCACGTGTGCATGCTCTGGGCCACCTACGTACTCGACAAACTTGCCAAGTTCCTCGCTCAATGCTGTGAGAACCTCGTCCTCATCCTCGACCGACTCTGGATACTGCCGTTAGCCAGTCCACACGTGACGCAAGCGCCAGCCAGGCTCTTACCATCGAGAAAGGGTATGAGTTCCTCTCGTGTCCGCTCGGCGCCGAGGGCGAGGGCAATTGTGTTTAGTCGGTGGATGGCGTTGAGGCGGAGGATAACGTCGTCGTGCTTCAGCTCGTCGATGAGCACGGCGATGGGGTAAAGCTCGTCGTTTTGATTTGCGTCCATGGTTCAGAGTCTGAGGCGGGTTAAGTTTATGAGGGCGCAGTAGGGAGCTCGAAACGCGGGCGTGGTGTTGACGTACCTGGTTGTTGGCGAGGAAGCGAAGAGGGGTGTCAGGGCGCTGAAGGACCAGTCCGAGCTTTTCAGCCACAGCGCCACACTTGCAGATGGGACGGTGTTGTATATAGAGATGAAACCTACCTCTAATGGAATCGTGCCATTAACTTTTGATTGAAAATCCAACCAGTGTATTTGAACAGCTGCTATCGTTTCACTTGGAATCGAGAGCGTGACCTGATATCTGCGTTCTTTCCAGGTTGGGTTGCGCCACACCTCGTTCATGCGCCACACCATCTGAGGAAAGCACGATGCCGTGACCACAGAACTCTTAGCGACATCCACCAGTCCAACTTTCGATGTACTCGGTTACCCACTTTATAAAACCCGTCAGCCCTGGAGAGCTCGCGCATATCTAGGTACACACAGAGCCGCAATAGCGCGTGCGGAATGTCTTGTGACATCGTCTAGCGTCTTCTGCTCGCCAAGGCCCTCAAAAGGACCGTTCTACTAGCAAAACGGTTCGCAGCAGTCTTGTCTCTTCAACTCTCGGAGGAGAACTTTGGTTCGCTTCACGATGGACGACGCACACTCACGGAGGCGTATTGAGGACCAAGACGCCACCAAACCGAACGCCAGCGAGGAGGAACCACTGCTTGGCCAATCTTCATCCTCATCACGAGCGTCTCAGCAACTACCGAAGCAGCTCACTACACGTCACGCATTCGCCGTTCTTGTCACCCTTCAAATTGGCTCGGGAATCTTTGCGTCGCCAGCTCAGGTCGATAGCAACGTGCCATCACCGGGGGCTGCTCTCCTGGTGTGGGTCCTTGGCGGGCTACTATCATGGGCAGGAGCAGCATCCTTCGCTGAACTTGGTGCCGCGCTGCCCTTGAACGGCGGGATGCAGGAGTACCTGCGCCATATTTTCGGTGATACTGCCGCCTTCCTCATGGCGTGGGTGTACATCCTGGGTGTGAAGCCGTCGTCCATGGCTATTCAAAGCATTGTCATTGCCGAATCCATAGGCTCCGTCACGTCCAACACTGGCGACTTACCCGACGCGAAGACACTCAAGCTCATCGCTGCCATAGCTTTTGTCTCCATGGTGTTGCTAAATTCCATCAACACCAGGTTCACAATGCGACTGAGCGAGTCATTCACAGTCTTCAAGCTGTCCACAGTCGGGCTCATCGTCTTGAGCGGTATGGTAGCTGTGGCTGCACATCTGATCAATCCGGAGTCTTCGTTTTCTGGGCCGTCGGACTGGTACTCCCGCAACTGGTTCCAGACTAGATCGACAGTGTCGGATGGCCAGACCATCGATTGGTTTTCCATGGGGACCTGGGACCGTTACGGCCACTACTGCGCTGCGATTTATGGAGGACTCTGGGCCTACGATGGGTGGGATAACGTGAGTGTAAATCCTTACCGTGTCAACAGTATGGTCTGACAGCGTGTTCTAGGCCAACGTCGTTGCAAGCGAAATCCGCGATCCAGGCCGTGCACTGCCAAAAGCGATCAAGGCTGCGATGATCGTAGTTCTCAGTTCATTCGAGCTTGTAAATGTCGCTTACTACATCCTTGTACCATGGGATAAGCTGAGCAGCAACAACGCAGTAGCTGTTGCTGCTGCCACTTCTCTCTTGGGCAGGCCTGCAGGTATTCTTGTCACGACCCTTGTTGCCATATCTTGCGCAGGGTCCATCACAAGCAACGTCTTCTCAGTGGGCAGGCTAACAATCGCTGCATCGCAACGTCATGTACGTGTTTCTGTACAAAATGCGAGTGAGAGATATACTAACGTTCTACACCGCTATGCAGTACCTACCTGCAGTGTTCAGCAAGCGAGGACTACCGATGACGCAAAGGGCTGAAGCAGACAGCAATACTTTATCCAGTTTTGACGCCCCAATGTAAGCCACTCGGGACCCAATGTCTGCCAAGACGCACTGACACGAGTTACAGCTATGCCAACGCTTTAGCCCTTGTCGTAACCCTTGCCTACATACTGACAGGTAGTTTTCGGGCACTTTTGACTTTCGTTGGGATGGCTGAATGGGTTTTCTACGTAAGCACAGTGGCTGGGCTGCTTATACTTCGTCGCCGAGAACCGGAGTTGGACCGACCCTATCGTCCCTTCGTCGTCCTTCCCATCATCTTCGTCATTGTCGGTACTCTGGTGATCCTGCGGTCTGCTCTATTTGCGCCAGTGCAGAGTGGAGTCTTGGTAGGACTTCTCGTAGCCGGCGCTCTAATCAGCCGATTACGGAGCACTCAAAGCTCATAAAGATCGACCGACGAATCTGGCATCTACAAAGTATGCACCCGCAGGATTCCGCGCCCGGTTTCCAATGACATTGAACGGTGTTGCACCTGCAGCATGGTTCTCTCGCTCAGCTGTCTAGGTATAGCCAGACCAATCTCTCTGGTCTAGAAGGTGGCAAAGCAGAGAGTTTGACTGATCCACCAGCCCTGAACGCTCGGGTAAGATGAATGTGGAGCTTAGATATGGAACCGATGCGCTAAGCAAGGTTTAATTACCTAGCCCAACGGCAAGCTACCTTCCCCGCAACTTAATTTTGACTTCGCTGCCGGCATCAAGCATGATCGATCCACATGCTGTCAATTTCACTCTGGTAACTTTGTTTGTGCCTGCCAATCACTCACCCAACACTATATCCGGTGCCGCATTCCGACAATTTGGTAGTACTACCTCGAGTTGCCTTGGCCCCGGGTTATGCGGGTCACCCAATCAGACACATATGGCTAATACGGTGCCATATACGTACAACGGTCGATGTCCGCCTTTGCCGGACATCAGCACTATGACGAAGCCTCATGGCCACCAGATAAACTTTTCGTAACGAGGCATAATCCCAAGACCCACGAGGCGAAAAGACACAACCGCACGCTTGTGTTGTGACAGCAAGCAATACTGTACCTTGCAGGATGTCTCCCAGCTCCCAAGATCGGGCTCTCGATTGATTCTTGATGCGGAGGTCTGTCTTCCTTATTCAACACACGCGCAACCCGTATTCCTGCATCTGCTACAAGGAGACGCTATATGATGAGCAAAGACTGATCACTCATTCTATCCACTCGCCGTTTGTAAGCAAGGAAATTTCCCAAACTAGTGATGTGACATATGTCACGAACTTAGTTTCGGGTCACGATGCTGCAATCACATTAGCTAGTGGGTCGACAACGTGAGGGCGTTCAAGACACGCTCGCGCCTAAACGCATCGATCCCTTGTCGATAACACTGTTCGCTCTCCGTAAAGCGTCCATCATGATTCAGGGCGTCCAGAGTACGAGCAGGCGACATCATTTGGAGTTGCGGGGAAGCCCTTGGACATCGCGTAGCTGCACGTCTTACAGCACATGCAAAGAATGTATGGCACTTCCAAGGACGATCAAGGAAAACCTTACCTCCTCGGGCCACTGGGTAAAGAACCTTTATCGATTTTATTGAGGAATGCAGAGCCTCGCCGTCGGCATTGGTGGAGGTCCAGAGTTTTCTTATTGCTCTGCAGATGGATTGGGGAGGCGACGAGCCGAGACGGGACTCGGAGTGTCGTACAGCGTCATGCTGCGTCCTTGCAAGGTACATTCCACGTTCAATGAACCGGGGACGAGAACAACCGCAATTTAGGATACGAGAAGACGGACGGAGATACTCCTCGGCACTACTCAGCCCGCCGAGCGCCCTGGCCATGGAGTAATGTCAACAACGAAGTATAAAGAAGGCAGACTCTGGACTTCAAGTTGAGCATCCACAGCATCAAGCATCATCTCAGCTTCTTACCTTCACTTCCACGAAAAGTTCATTCTCTACGAACCAAAAAACCTCCAACCATCAACATGCGCTACTCCATCCTCGCCTTCATTGCCAGCGCCGCCGCCGCTCCCTTCACTTCCACCGGAGGAGCAGCTCTCTGCCCCACTGGCCTCTACAGCAACCCCCAGTGCTGCGCCACCGATGTTCTTGGTGTTGTCGGCTTGAACTGCGCAGTTCGTAGGTCTTCCCTTCTATGCCTTGCGCTCACGCAAAAGTACATGCTAACGATGCCATCTAGCCGCCACCACTCCCACCAGCACCACAGACTTCATCGCCGGTTGCGCTGCCAGCGGCCAGCAAGCCAAGTGCTGCGTCATCCCCGTTGCCGACCAGGACGTTTTGTGCCAGGACGTCAGCCCTGGTGCTGGCGGATCTCCCGGCTCCCCTGGCACCACTCCCTCTCCTTCTCCTGCTCCTCCTGCCGAGAGCCCTGCTCCTGAGGAGCCTTCCGGTTGCCCCCATTACTAGATCAAGAAATTGATGGGAGTTAACATTTGAATTGGGGGATCGATCGTCGAGGCGAGTAAACATGGAGCCAAAGTGGAAGACAAAGGGGATAGTACACATATAGCTGTAGTCATCGTCAATACAATCTGCAGTTGTACCACCAGTCTTACATCCCAATTTTTGCATTTTTGATTGATTCGATATTACATGGTACTGCTGCATCGTAACGCAGCTTGTACTATGGTGGTTGATGGTTGTCGTGGAATGCGGGGAAGTGGAGATCGCGCTGGGCGGGTGAATCCATGGATCTCCCGGCGCACTGCGACCGTTGCGAAAGGGGAAAGTGGGACCCTAGCGCGGGTCAATGTGGCCAAACTGATCGCGATTTTGCGCTCTCGTCCGTCCTTCTACCAGCGTGCTGCTCTCTGTTTAGATCCCCTAGTGCGTCGCGCTCACGCTATGCCAGAGCTGTTATGAAATAATTTCAAGGCGTGCACACCAAAGCACGGCATTCTTGCTGCAATTTCTCCAAGATGCAACCTCGCTAGCCTCACCAAACCTAGCAGCAATGTTTTGTCCAAACCATCCGAGCGTCGACGCCGTTCACAAACACAGTTTGTTCATTCCAGAATGTCACATGGAAGGGCTTCAGCGGGAGCTATGGGCTACGTAGCGCACGTTGGTGGCTGCTGACGTGGATGCGTGCCTCGTGTTGTCTTCTCGCCCTTGGGATCCGTGCATCGCGCTTGATTGGTTGACACAGTAGCTGAAGCTGTCCATGCCCCGCTCTGGCATGGACTTGCATTCAGCTCACAAAGACGTTCCGACCTAGCAATGTTTCTGAACCATGGCCTACAAGGTGCTTCTAGTCTCTTTGCCATTGACAGGCTCAGCTTTGTATCTTGCGTATTTACACTTAACTCTCTCCCGAAAGGTGCAATGTCAGACAACGCCTTACCTACAAGACGAGACGATCATCATTCCTAGCATCGTTAGAACGAGCCCGGAACACTTCATCATTCATCATGAGTGTGCGCGCAAGAAGATCGCTAAAGAGTCTCTTGGAGGTTCAAAACCAGAAGAACTGCTGGTGCCGTTCCTCCGACACACGATGACTATATTCTCCATGCGTCCTCCTGCGTGGGGTATCTGGTACATGATCAAACACGCTAGAGACAGAGGAACCTTTGACGCAGCATACATTCGGTCTCTCCGATTCTCACCTGGTGACCGCGTCTGCGGAGTTTACGCGGTGACTTCTCGAGAGCAGGAGCGCATTACCTTGACTCTGGATGCGCCTGCAAGTTACAAAGGACCGCCGGTGGAGGGTGTGCTAGTAGTTGAAGTCAAAGAAGAAGGAGATCGCGTTGCTTTCATTAATCATACGGTTATGTGGCGGGAGAGGGGGAAGGGGAGCGCTGTGGTTTTGGAAGGGAAGATCGGAAGGTGGATGCATGCTTTGATGGTAAGAGGGCTTGTGGAGGGAGGCATACGGCGGCTGTGTAGAGAGTTTTGAGGAGAAAAAGGGAGTTTGAGAAGTGTCAACTCACACGAAATGACGTGCGGCCATGCCGAAGGAAGGATGCGAGGTCGCCTTTACAGGGCATGACAGCCTTTTGATTCGACCACACCCTCGAAGTCAAGGCAGCTATGTTACCTGGAATACAATCAAAGCTGTCCCGATACGGATACATCGGGAGTGTGTGGCAGGGGCCATGCACCATTGATAGGCTGTGAGCTGCTTCGCCCCAACACACGTGGGTAAGCTGCATCAGCCGCCCCCATTCGGTTCCTGATACAGTCGCACCTACCTGAAATGATACACAACCTGACAGCTCTTTAGTGGACCTTTCTTTACCCTCAAATTCGGGGTCATGCCTGATACCAATACCCATCAAATCGCCCGTCATGTCAGGTAGCCTCGAGGTCGCGGCGGGGATCTTCGCCATCATCGGCGTAGCTGATGTTGTTGTGCGAATGGGTCGGGAGGTTCACGGTTTCCTACGCGACATTGCCGGTGCGCCGGAAGAGATTGACAGACTCTGTACTACCGTCAAAGAGACAGCCCTACTTGCCGAGAACGTGAAGCAGCTGCTCGATACTCTGGCTTGCCGGAAACAAGCCGACGCGACAGATCAGATGATAGCTCTATTCGAGTCGGCGCTGAAGAGCTTGCAACGCGAATTGCAGAACCTAAGGATACTCAGTGCGAGATTCAGAGGTGGGGGCAAGACTTGGAGTAGAGTGAAGTATGTCTTGGACGAGCGCAAGATCAGCAAGATATTCAACAATCTGGAACGATCGAAGAGTCTATTAGCAAACTCTCTACAGGTTGCAAGCAGGTACGCATCTCGCCATGTCATTTGGGGAAGCTATTCTGACGAAGCTTCCAGACAAAGATCAGACCATCAACACCAGGAGCTACTGCAAAGGCACGACACAGACCGGGCCACGTTGATTCAAGGACAAGAACTTCTCGGACGTCTTTCGGTTCACCACTACCAGGAAACAAAACGGGCTTCGAAGATCATGGCAATCACCCACCAAGAGCAAGTCAGCGAGCACCAAAAGACTCGCGAGGTTTTGTCTGCAAAGATTGGCGACGCTATTGCCGCCGAGTTTGAGAAGTATCGCACACCTCGCGCTGGGAGATGGATGAGAAACGTCTTCTTCTTCGGGGAACGTCGCGACATGATTATGGCTTATTTACTTCTCGTCAAGCCCCACCTAGAAGCCGCATTCAGAAACCTGCTGACCGATGGAATTGATCGGTTTCCGCCACACTATGTCGATTGGTTACGAAACGAATTCGATCACCTCGTAGCATCAGCGGCGCAGGAAGAAGCGACAAGACACCGAGGATCGTCTGCAAGCACTTTTGACCGTTGGCATTACTCTGAGGAAACAATGCCACATCACTCTGCGGTATCCAGGCGTGCTATAAAAGAATCAGACAGCAAGCCTAATACACCAGAAGCAGACTACGCGAACCTCTATCTCAGCGCGCCGGTAATCGCCGGTCAACGGGCGTATACACAAACCACTCCTTTTGGAAGTCTACGCATACAGTCTCCTCGTCGAGCGTTCAAGACTAAGTTCAAACGTCCAAACAATGAGGCTAGTTTCACATTCACTTGTGGTATTGGCCAGTCAGTCCACGCCATTCACGCCCACTTCCTACGTAACGCAGCGAATGCGTCGAATCCGGGGCTCTGCGCCCAGCTCAGTGTATTCACATTGGCGGAGTCTGAGACGCATTACAACCAGCTCTTTGCATCTGCTGGTGTCGAAGAGATTGACGACGCATTACGGAGAGGCGTTATCTCTCCATACGAGATTAACCGAGAAGGAAGAAATCTATGTCTATATGTAAGGCCTCACCTAACGCTCTCCAACAGAACGAAAGTGAAGCTGACTGGAATGATTCAGTATGCAGCAGAAAACACACGCATAGATCTGCTCGACTACTTGGCAGGCCAAGGAATTGGTGTATCGAATCTAAAGTAAGTCAAGTCTGATATCCTATAAAATCATCTTCCTGACGCATAGCAGCCACGATGTCAGTCTAGTAGCAGGTCTCTTCGTGCGCTCGATAGTCGACGATGACCGCGCACCATTCGAGAGAGCTGTCGACTATATCATCCCTCAGGTCTACGAGTCATCTTCATTCCTCTTCGAGACAACAATGAACATGCTGCTCTGGGATTACTACCAAGGAAGACCGCGTTCTCTACTACGACAACAGATACAAAGATTGCAGCAAGAGGGTCTCATCTCCGACTCTGTAGTTATGAATGACGACCCTTGGGACTGGCCTTCAGTATCGAGCATTATGGCTCCACTCTTCGAAGTCGACGCTGCGTACATCAACACGATTGGTAGTCTTGGCCGCAACAGGATACAGCGTTGCTACCGCGTTATCGATCATGGAAGTAGTCCAGGAGACCCGGTCGCTATCGAAGAAATTGCCAATGCGTTGATAAGAGCAGGTGTCGATGTCCATCACCGCGACCATGACGGTCTGACCCCGAGCATGTACGCCAGACGCTGTGGCGCATGGGACGGATGGTGCAGCGCGCTTGCGAAGAATGGGCTGCGCATTGAAGATGTAGTGAGAGAAGAAGAAGCGGAGTGGCTTTTGCACGAGGGTTGGAGGGACGTCATGAAGGAAAAGCATGGGGAGCTGGCGGTCACGGGGTAGCGGGGTACTGATTATCGCCTCTCAATCCTAAGGAAATGGTATCGCAACGACGACATCTAGTAGGCAGGTTCCCAGAGTTGTCAGTCGCATGTCTGAAGTGAAGAAAGCTTCTAGCATGGATGTTATACAGCGCATGAAGTGATGCAAAGACAGACCAAAGATAGAATAGCCTTTTGCATTTCTTCAAAGCTCCATGTGGGCAGTCAAACATGCCGCCTGTGTCTCAGCGCAACATAGCCTTTCCACACTTCCCGTTAGATACATAGAAGGGGTCATTGTCAAATTCGGGTGAGAAGAAGAGGCTAACCGCCACATCATTCGGGCTACACATCCTCCCGTCTTCGAACGTGAACAGATAGCACCCGACTGAGTAGAAAATCGAAGTGCCACAGTTCGTACTTGTTAGGCATGCGACGCAGCAGTCGTAGGCTGTGCTTGCGCTGGCCAAGTTGTATATCGCGCCCACTCCACTTTGGCCGTTGGTGACCTTACGTCCGTTTGTTTCGCTCACGATATTGTTTGCGGAGCAGGCGGCGTAGGTGGTCGGGCCGGGGACTTCGGCGACGACAGTGGTAAATGAGGTGACTGTGGTGAAGACCAATATTATGGAGGTGGAGGTCACTTCCGTAACAGATGTGACAGTGTTGGTGACAACTGCGTCAGCAACGAAGTCGGTGATGGTTGCTATTGCAGTGCAGGTGACGCTGTTGCCAGCAATGGGTTTTTTGAATGGTCCATGGCCACGCCGTGACAACGAAGAGTTGAGGTGACAGCTACATGGAGGATGGGTAGGAACCAAGAAAGGAAAATATGGGGAAACGTGGGAGGATGGTGAGCGCACGTCTGTGCTGGCGCAGGGGAGATATACATGATGTCATCACTTCTCTCCGCTTGCGGCTAGTGGTAAACTTCGTCTTGAATGTTCAAACCATGAACTCTCATCCATGATACGCACTTTTACGCGATGACAAAGTCCTGCACTCTCTGTTCCAGACCGCGCGACGTTCTCGTGCGCTGCCAGATAGACGAGTCGCAAAAATGGCATTTCGTTTGCCCAGGTGCATGCTGGAAATCGGTTTCTGGTGGCGTTGAAGACGCAAAAGGAATGCAAGATGAATACCCATATTACCGGTATGGGGGCATGGTGAGTTGCTGAAAGATTCTGGGAGAAAGAGAGGCGGCTAATGTGGCAATGCGGATAGTGGAAGGATAGAAGTGCCGATGGGCCGGTTAGCGCGAAGAAACCGAGGAAAGTCAAGGAGAGGCAGAAAGAAGAGATGAAAGCCCGGGAAGGAGGTGCTGAGGTTCAGAGTGAAACATGAATATCATGGCAGGTAGGCAAAGATGCTCGTTCTTTGATCAGATCGATCAAGGTATGGTAACACGCTAACAATGGCAGCATTATGATGGTGTATCCAATGCCGACGTCAAACTTATATACTATACCGGAACTTCCTGTTATGGAAGTCGGTGGTATCCTCAATGGCATCCACGTCGCTTGAATCAATGCCTTGCGCAAACGAGCTCTCGGCTTCTTCGCGATCGCGCTGCGCGTTCCGCCGTACGAGCAGGGCTCGCAGGCAAAGCGCTAGCACAACCTGTGAGACTGCGCATCCCAAGATCATCCTTACACCGGTCTCGTATTTGGGCGCTTCCTTCGCCAGGAAAGCTTGTGGCCCTGAAATAGGTGATGTTAGTAACCGCGGTGTTGAGATGGGGTTTGACAGTGTTGTGAAGCTTACCGATGATGTTACCAACACAATAACCTAGGAAGACGAAAGCTGTGCTAGTAGTACGCTTGGTGTAGCCGCCTACGTTTGATGCCGGAAATTGAAGCGCAATCACCAGAGAGCCAACGAATGCGCCAATCTATGCTTGTTAGCAACATCGCTGCAAAACGCCAGATGAAGAAGACGAACCATATAATAGCCCGCTAAACACCCAGCCAGATTAGTGCGCGGCAACTGCCAGATCAGACATGCGCCGATAATCGTGGGACAGAGATAAAGAGCCATGATGTATGTGCGCGCGTTCGGTAGCCTAGAGGCGAGAAAAGGGCCCGTGAAAACCCAGAACACTTGAGCGAAACCCTGCGGGATACCATACAACGTTGTCTTGAGCGGATCACCTCCCGCTGCGTCCTTGACAATGAGCTTGCCGAAATTTGCAGTGCCACCGTTGATCATTTCGTTGAGCGTGACAAACAGAAAGAGTATCCAGATTTGCGGGTCAATCAAGGCCTCCCAGACCTGAGGCAGCTTGATCTTGCGATTATACACTCCAGTGCGATTGCTGGCGGCGCGAGCGATCAGGAGAGCCTTCTCTTCGATAGTGAAGCTCTTTGCTGTCATGATGTTGTTCGGCAATCTGAAGAAGAGGACTACAGACCATAAGACGGTCATACCTCCACAGATGATGTATATGATCTTCCAGACGACGAAGCTCTTCGCATATCCGGCGCCATAGAAGAGGATGCCTCCGATGGCACTACCGAGGCCGTTGAAGCAGTAGAACATACCCGCTCTTGCGGGCTGTTGTTTCCCTACGTACCACATTCCAACGATCTGCAATAGTAAAGAAACGACGTCAGCGTGTGTGCGGCATGCAATCTAGAAGAACAAGACTCACCATCATGAATGCGGGCGTCACAACACTCTCGAAGACACCCAAGAGGAAGCGCATGACAGCGAAGCCCGCGAAGTTGTGCGTAGCAGCTGTAAGCAGCATAATTGAGCCCCAACAGAAGCAGAAGAGTGACACCACTCGGCCTGTTGGAAAGTGCTGCGCAAGGTATGCGGATGGCCATTCAGCGAACAAATAGGCAAAGTAAAAGATCGATGCCAGCCAGGAGTACTGATCACCGGTGATACCAGTAGTCTCGAAAAGATCGAAGACGGCGGAGTAGCCCATTGCTTGCTTGTCGATGTACTGGAGGAAGAAGGTTCCACATAATAGTGGTAACAGTAACAGATCGACTTTTCGGGAAACGCGCTTATTGGCTATGTTATCCTCGAGGAGCTCAGCCATGTACTCCGGCGTGATGTTGTGTTGCCTGAGGAACAGGTTCGCTTCGTCGAGGTCTTCCACTTCGCCTTCGATAGCGCTCTCTTGCTTCTTGAGGGAGATGCCATCCGTACTGCTGAGCTGGACCTCCATATCTTTTGACATGGTCGGCGTTTTCTTGTCATCTTTAGTGGTATTTGGCTCGGTCGACATGACTGAGAACGAAGGTGAGTTATCTATGTGTCGAGGACCGGTGCAGTCATAGGAGAAAGCATACGCTTGAGCTTTAACATAAGTTCGGATGTGCTACTCGCATCGAACTACCCCGCTACATGGATTATTCGTTGCATATGAACAGAACCCATGTGGGATTCGATAAGAGCGTGTGATAGCAGAAGACAGGGGGCTGGTCACATTGCCCAGAGGACATATCCGGGACTCGTTACCACCTTGTTATCAGAGTGGGCCAGTATTCGCCTGCAAGCTGGAATCAATCCAGGATAAGGATTGAGGAAGTGGATCACCGCCCTGGTAAGTGACCTTAGAAGGATGCAGCAGATTTGTGAACATGCCAACCTCCCGACGGCAATACTTCGGCAGTGATAAGGGAGCCGCATGGCAGATATGAGATACCGGTAGCGCCCCGCGGCATTCGTAAAGTGGTGGTCGCAAGCTGGGGTAGCATCCTAGTGACTACCAGTAGCCGTTAGCGGCTCCGCCATACCTGCATTGATTGTACGAGAGCTCCGAAGACGGCATCACCAATGCTGATACCATGCGCAACATTGAGCGATATGTCGCTGCGACTAGGTAGCTACCTGGTTTAATCATTTGATCATCGTTGGCACAGGTCAAAGGAAGGCTTCGTCAAAACGGAGTGATGAGCTTTTGACTTCCGGTTTCAATCCTGAGCGCGGACACGAAGAGTTTTTCTCCAGACTGCACGAAAGCCATGTCTAGTCGTTCATCGCAGCCTGGAAACGGACTTCTCTTGGAATATGGATATATTTTGAATGCAGATCCGCTTCTCCCAGCTTTCGTTGTTCGATGTCCGTGAGGTATGTGAAGATGGCACGATGACCATGAGGACAGGAGGATTCGGTGGACGGTGTAGCTGCAGCCGAGGTCTTCCCCCAATCGAGCTGCACTGTCTTATCGATAAGCATGGACACCGCGAACTCCAAAGAAATCACACTCTCTGCTCCATGCAATGCGATAAACATGAATGGTGAACATACTCAAGCCTTCCAGTTAACAACTATCAGTAGCTTTGAGTTCCCCGGCGGAGAACTCGCGGCTCGGGCTTGGCATCGATGCTGCATATCCGACCCGACTACTTAAGCCAGGCGAGCCTAGTGAATGCTTGTGCGCCACAAGAAAGCGTCCCATTCCTCCCTGAACCCTGAGAAGAAGATATTCGCCTTCGAAATATTCACATAAAGCTGGCAAGATCGCAGCTAGAAGATGCCTAACATCATCGTGATCGGGTACGCTTCGTTCCATTTCTCGACAGCTGCCAGCTTCGTCATACTAACATTTCTCGGTGTAAAGAGCAGGCGTCTCCGGACTGACCTCAGCCTATCTTCTCTCCAAAGACCCAAGTAACAGAATTGCGGTCGTAGCCAAGCATATGCCCGGCGACTCCGACATCGAATATGCATCACCATGGGCCGGCGCAAACTTCATGCCGTAAGCTCATACCTTGGAACCGAGTATGCTACGGAATCAGCTAACTCAGACTGAACAGGATGTCTGCAGAACCATCAAGTCGCTATGAACGCAGAACATGGCCACAACTCAAAAGACTAGCAACCGAAGTCCCAGAAGCTGGTATCCATCTACAGAGTAAGCAAATTATATCGCAACTTTGACACAACAACATGCTCAAGCAAAACCAGAATGTCGTATCTACCGCCGAAAGCAAGACATGAAGAAGCTACAAAGCGGCGGTGCCACATCCTTCAACAACGTCTTCGCCGAAAATCCCTGGTGGCGCTCTCTAGTCGACGACTACCGCGCCCTCCCCTCCTCCGAGTTGCCATCAGGAATGGCATCAGGCAGCGAATTCGGCTCTGTGTGCATCAACCCTGCTCTTTACCTTCCCTGGCTCGTAGGCCAATGTCGTGCAAACGGAGTGGAGTTCCATCGTAAAGTCGTATCGCACATATCTGATCTACGTTCTTTCGGAATCGGAAACTTCAAACCGGATATCATCGTCAACGCTACTGGATTATCAGCCGGGAAATTAGGCGGCGTTGAAGACAAGACCTGTTACCCTATTCGAGGTCAGGTCGTTGTAGTAAGAGATGTAGCACCAGCCATGGTCTTCGTATCTGGCACAGACGACAGCGACGACGAGGCTTGCTACATGATGACGCGAGCAGTTGGCGGCGGAACAGTTCTAGGCGGTACCATGCAAAGCGGAAACTGGGAGAGTCAACCAGATCCCAATATTGCTAGTCGTATCATGAAGAGGGCTGTTAGCATATCGCCTGAGCTGACGGATGGAAAAGGGCCGGAGTACCTTGATGTAATTCGGCATGGCGTTGGGTTGAGGCCGGGGAGAGAGGCTGGAGTGAGGTTGGAGAAGGAGAGGGTTGATGGGGTTTGGGTTGTGCATAACTATGGACATGCGGGGTGGGGGTATCAGGGGTCCTTTGGGTGTGCGGAGGAGGTTGTGGATCTTGTTGGGGAGATTGCATTGCAGGCTAAACTATGAAAAAGATGCTAGTAGCGGAGACATCAGAACTACTGCTGAGACAGTTCGACCTTAGACCACCAGAAGTCACTCTCCTCCTTCGCATACGTATCCTCGACCATAATAGCCGGCTCACCGATAGTCTGCCCACCAATAAACTCCTCATTGTCTTTTCCAAAGATCATGACATTCGGATCCGCTCTATCATAGCTCTTCCACTCCGTTCTGTTCTTATACGAGCCTTCAAGCCCATTCGGCGTGCCAGTACAGATGAAGCTAGTAATATACGCATGCAGGACACCCGACAATTCGTCCTGACTCTTGGATTTTGAAATGAACCTAGGGTCTCTCATTTCATAGAACATGTTGTCTGCGTGACGGGCTCCATCGACGATATCGCGTCTCATTGCCCAGTGGTAGAGATAGACAGGAGCATCTTGGCTGGCGAAGAAAGCTGTCTGGCGGACTGGAGCTACGTACGCGTAGTGTGCGTAAGCCGCCTCGATACGCTTGTACATAGGGCCGACACCATGCTCAAGCCGCGTTTCTTTGTAGATAGAATCAGGCACCTCAGTTGGGTCGGGGTACAACTTGTGTATCGTCTGGATGTCCTCGTCGCTCATCTGTGGCAGCAAGGTCCTCCAGAAATCCAGAAATTCCGAGGAAGTCGACATCTTCTTGTTGACGTACAGCGAGCCTTCGTTGCCTTGAAACCCAGTCATAATGGGCATCTTGTGCCATTTGCCTGTTCGCCAGGCATCGATTGGACGACGACGGATGATTTCGTTGTCGATTACGGGTTGGAACGCCCAGCGTAGACTAGGGTTATACTTTTGAAATACCTTAGTTTGAGCCTTGGCGACTGTAGAGGTGGGAAGTTTGCGGAGGAAGCTGAAGATTTCTGACTCGGGCAGGGATGAAGGACATTGAACTTCTTTCAGAAAGTCATTAAATTGCATTTCGTGGATCTCTGCGTCGGGGTTGCGGACAGCGCGGGATGTTGGCGCACCGGACTCTATGATAACACGGTGGAACTTGGGCTTTACGCCCTCCTCATAGTTCAAGAGGTGGTGGCCTATCTAGGAGATTATTAGTCAGTCTGATCGAGTTGTTCACCAGTTTCAAACATACCGAATGTGCGCCGGCCGAGAGCCCTATGAGCGTTACGTTGTCCTTGTCGCCACCAAAGTGCTCGATATTTTCTTCAACCCAATCAAGCAAGCAAATCTGATCCTTCAAGCCCAAGTTGAGCGCACCTTCTGCAGCACTCAACTTTGATGGTAAAAAGCCTAACGCTCCTATGCGGTAACCGAACGATACTGCGATGAAGGGAAGTTCGGACCATCCAAGCATGGACGCGGTGTCGTGCATCGCGGCGTTTCCACGATTGAAAGCCCCTCCATGGAGATAGACTGCAACTGGCAGCGCGGTCGCTTTGTCGGGTTGAACTTGCCGGAAGACGTTCACTGTGAGACAGTCTTCACTCTCTTCGAGCTTCGGTCCAACTATCATGAGCTGCTGTGCTGGAGCTCTTGGGCCGAAATTCGAAGCATCTATAGTGTCTTGACTAGGTGCTACCTTTTGTGGTGCTCGAAATCGGCGTTCACCTGTTGGTGGTAAAGCATAGGGAACTCCTTTGAAGGCTTCAACCGCTCGTGGATAGTCGCCCTGCAAGGTCGTACCCAAGAGAGTGCCCTGTGTAAGTTTTACTTCCGGTCTCGACATTGGTGTAGAGGCTGTCTCCAGTTTTAGCAAGTTATCAGTATGCGATGAGGCCATGTGAAGTCTGTCGACATACCTGTGAACTGTAAATCGAATGTGCAGTATCTTAAGTGATACCAGTGTTCTGAACTATCTGGACATGTTAGTCTAACGCTGACATGGTACTCAAATGCCGATGTCAATAGATAGCCGTTGGAGTACGAGCACCGGCATCGGCTAATGCCCCACCTAGCTATCTAAGACCCAACTCGCTACGGGTGCTGCAGGCAGCAAGCTTCCGAATGTGGATACCTATCACAGGGACCACCCGTCGGGTTTATTCGGTCAGTTTGAAGCAACACTAGGAGCGGCGCGGTATTGATAAGATTACTAGGTATCTTCACATCGATACTGTTTTATCGCATTGATGGCACCCGACCTGTCCCTACCACCTCAAGCCCCGGAGCTCGGTCTATGCGACGACTTCGACTGGAATCGCGCCGCATTTGCCATCTATACTCTCGTGGACGGAGTGTTACTGCAAGATGTCGCCTCGACTCTTGAGAAGCAGTGGCTAGAGCAGGGCAACAAGGATCATCTCGTTCGACCTGCACCACACACATCAGAGTTTCAGACGCTCCAGGAAGTCTTGCAGACCCACATAGCCTTGGATAAGGGGAGAGACAGCGAAAGAAACGAAATAGAGTGGTGGCCGACCGCGTTCATCGTTGTGGTTCGACAGGACTGGAGAGAACATGGAGGGTTGCTATTCGTGTTTGCAAACGACGAAAACGATTATCAGATGGACAAGTTCTTTTTTAAGCTCGATGATGCGTACATGATGCTTTCGAGTCTGAGCTTCCAGGATGAGACTGAAACTGGAAGTAAGGAGGTATACGCCCAAGGGTACTACAATGACGCAGAGTGGGTGAGCTACTCAGAACTTCCGCAACCTGAACGTCGATAAAATACTCTCACGAATGAGAAATCGAGGTATAGCATACTGCGGAGAAATATGGCCAGATACCTCCTAGTGAATGGGTAGATCAAGCTGATTGCTTTCCCGTATCGTGATCATTCCGCTATTTGACCCGAAGTCGGTGATGTTGTCATTGCCATGAGAGTTTGCGCATGGTCGGTATATATGTACGAAGGCTATGGACAGTCTCCGTAGCAGAAGCATTGCTTGCGCGGACGCCAGAACGCGCCAGGAACTGGGCTCGCCGGAGAATGTACTATTCTTGCGTCGACACCGCTCAGGAATTTGCATGTCCTTTGTAGGGTACCGCCCAGTCATATCATCGCTTTTCGGCGTCCGTCAATAGTGGGTGGAGATGATGATGCGTTTGTTTCCAAGGTTGCGCTTGGGTGGACAGCACCTGCCCAAACCTGGCGCGTTGCCGAGGTCCAGCCAATCCATCCAGGTACCTCTGTGAACGAGCACTATTCCAACAACCAACGACACTAAGTGTTCCGTGAACGTATTCCGCAAGTCGGATATTTTTGCTGCTGTGCTAATGCAGTTTGCGTTTTACCACCTTGAGTATAGGATGCGCAACGGAAGGTATGCCGACAGCTCGTGAACTCGACGAGCTGCAGCTGATATGCAATGGCTATATTGAAAAACCTATTCTTACCTTCTGCACAGCCTACTGACTCAAGCAGAGTAGCTTGGTGAAGTTTTGACGAACTTACAACTTATGTTTAGTCGGAATGGTGATGTTGCTATACTTAGGTCTTCATGCAGCGGCCCTGGGGGGCTCTGCTGGTCGCTCCTCTTGTGGGCCCCACTAGAGCTTCATGCAGTTGCGGATAGCTCCATTGGCGTCGATAGCCAACACAAGCGCCGGCACCCGTGTTGAGATGGCACTTTTCCGAAGATGGGTTGATGCGGCGGTTCTTGGAACGGAGGATGGTGATGGTGATGGTGATGGTGCTAAGATGAGCAGAATTTGAGGTATCAACGGCAAGGTTGTTGGGTGCAGGATGAGTGCCGGGTCGCGTGGACGGCATCTTCAGTGCAGACCACGATGCACCAGGCACGAAGATGTTGGTGGCGGGTGTATGAGTCTCTAGCTCCGATCGCATGTTGCTTGTAGTTCTTGAGCCAGTGGGATAGTCTAACGTCAGCCAAGCTGCGCACCAAACGCCATTGACAGGTTCAATTAGGTGGAGGGGTAGACCCTCAGGGCTTTCCCTCGCGTGCGCACAAGGATGGAGAGTCGAAGGATGTATTCGAGCCTGCATAGCGTCCCCGTCATCAGAATAAGCCCTAGAGGAGTTGTTGTTACCTCGAGAAACTATCGATTTCAAGGGATTCCGCTGCGGTTGGAGCTGTACTCGCATGCGAGCCAACGTCAGTCGAGCAGTCGCCGGCGGCAATGTAGACGCAGACACCAACCAGCGCATAGACTAGGCCGCCCGAATAGGGACCCTTCACATTGGGAGTAGGAGATGAAACATAGCTTGGAGCCAGTCATAAAAAGAGCAACCTCAGCGCTTGCGGAAACACTCAACAACCCGCCTCGCATCCTGTCTCGTGGCATCTTCCCGACCTGAAGGTACGGGCATGGGATCATCGTCTACGCCGCAACACTTTGGCCGCACTCCTCGCATACACGCTGTTGCCGACCTTTGATCGAATCCATTCCACCTGTCATTGGCTTCGCGTCGGTAATTCCTTATTATTAGTCCACGCGTCAAATGAAGGTTGGAGGTGTCAAGGCTGTTTGGAACCGCTGGACAGCGGCCTAGTCCCCTTGTCGGCAAGCCTTGCGCGCACGCGCCTAGCCGCTCTCCACCACCATCCTGAGCCCCTCCAGCACGCTGAGGTCTTGAAACCTAAAGACCCGCTGCCTTTGTCACTCTGGCCGCCCGTCGTCCGCCTGATCTTGGAACAGCTATCTCTTAGCCCCCCGAAACCCGCCCCCTAACAGAGCCCTCCCCACACCACCGAGTCGCGCCTGCCGCCTGTCAAGCCGCACCTGCCTGTGACTCGTGGCCCAACGTCACTCGTGCCTAAACCCGAGCGGCCTCACACTCCACCGTACCTCACATCATCGTATTCCTCCCCCTGAGACGTCGACCACGCGAAAGACCGCCTCTTTGATTCCGGCTTACGGCAGCGACCCACTCTGTTGGGACCGAAGACGATTGACGTGCCACCTCAACACCACTCACTTCCCCTCGTCATCTCCGGGGCCAACATTGGTTCAGACTCTGCGGGAGGAGCCAACGTAGATGCAGTCGTTCAACAACGGGCCTTCGCCTCACCCACAGCCCAACATGTCGTCCCCCGCGCCTCTGCTGCGACCACCCATCCCCGGCGCGCGCCCAGGGAGGAGGGGACCGCCACAACTCGGTCTCTCCATACCACCATCGCCGAACGCACGACCTGTCACCAACGGCGCAGGCGACGGCATACCCACCCTGAACGCGCCTCAGCCCCGTCAGATGCCGAAGCTAAGCGTCGTTACTCCTATGGGTACCAACAATGCACCACACGAAGGACGAAACGCACGAGCTCTGCCGCCACTTGTAATAGGAGGGCCAGGACTGTCAGCATCAGGCTCGAGCGACGCGAGCGCGCACTCAAGATCGGGGAGCTTTGGCGAAGTGCAAGCAAATGGTTCGGCTTCTTCATACCATGCGGCACTGGGTTTCCCGGGGCTACAGAAAGCCACAGATCCCATTTCGGCAATATCACAAGGAGGAAGTGAGGGTGCGCCTTCCATGGAGCGTGCAAACAGCAGCCAGCCACTACCAGATCTAGATGCCATGGCTCTAGAGAAAGGTCGACCATTGGAGGTGGACGATTTAGATGACGCAGCCTGGAGAGCGGCGAGCGCACGAGGAATGATTGAAGAGAAAGGTAGTCTAGGAGAGGGCGCCGGTGGTGCTGTCACAAAATGCATACTAAAGGGTGGAAAGACTACATTCGCATTGAAGGTAGGCATTGTTCCATACAGTGTGTCACGACTCAACTAATTCGCATTTCAGATCATCACAACGAACCCCGATCCCGATGTCAAGAAGCAAATCGTACGAGAACTGTCTTTCAACAAGAACTGCGCCAGTGACCACATCTGCCGCTACTACGGGGCCTTCATGGATGACAGCACAGGGACCATCAGCATCGCTATGGAATTCTGCGAAGGCGGATCGCTCGACGCAGTATACCGCGAGGTCAAGAAACTTGGAGGCCGAACGGGCGAGAAGGTCCTTGGCAAGGTTGCCGAGGGCGTGCTGAATGGACTCACATACCTCCACTCTCATCGCATCATACACCGGGATATCAAGCCGAGCAACATCTTGCTATGCCGCAATGGTCAGGTCAAGCTCTGCGACTTCGGTGTCTCCGGGGAATTTGGAACCAAGGGAGATGCCAACACTTTCATTGGAACATCATACTACATGGCACCAGAGCGCATCACCGGGCAAAGCTATACAATCACTAGTGATGTGTGGAGTTTGGGTGTTACTCTCCTCGAAGTCGCGCAGCATCGCTTCCCGTTCCCTGCCGATGGAACCGAGATGAACCCCCGCGCTGGTCTCATTGATCTACTCACCTACATCGTTCGGCAACCCATTCCCAAGCTCAAAGATGAGCCCGAGAATGGCATCAAGTGGACGGAGAACTTCAAGTACTTCATCGAGTGCTGGTAAGTATTCCCCTTGCATAGTAGTGAATTTCTGCTGACCTCTCCAGTCTTGAGAAAGATTGCCCACGTAGAGCCACCCCATGGCGGATGCTCGAACATCCGTGGATGGTCGAAATGAAATCGAAAAAGGTTAATATGGCACACTTCCTCAAACAAGTGTGGGACTGGAAGGATTAAACGCGCTACGATCCGATTGCCAACTTGGACGCGACTCCCTGTGAGCTTGTCGTCGACCATGACGTGGCATCGTGTTGTGGAACCTACACTTTCTCACCAGCCTCGAGCGGCCCAGATTGTACCTTCTATTCATACACTTGGTCACATGCTGGCCATCGGACCAAGATTGCCTTTATCGAGAACTGCCGTACGCGGACACAAAACTTTGGACTTGTAGCAGGGACTGCAACTATGTCGACAGCCTAGAGAGTTGCTTGGTTGGGCAAGGACTACGCCTAGATAGATAAAGGCGCCTGGTGGACATCAGAGACATTGACGGCGTTTGAGGGGCTCATGTCGTATATAGCGACCTTTGCAGAAACGAGATCTAGGTACCACTGAATGTCGAGAATTGCATATATGAAGACTCTATGCACGATTTCATGCACTCTGTGATCGTGAAGATAGGATGGAAGACTAGGTAAATTCTTAACCACTGATAGGCTGGATAGCCAATCATTCTTTAAGCTCCAAAGAGTGATGCTTCCCGCTGCACGAGATGTTTCCAAAGTTGCTGTCTGCAGGGCGTCGACGCGCATCTAAAAAGGCCTAGCGCCAAGGTCCGGTCCGACGCAGCTCCCGGCGCCGATGGCTGCGCTCGAGGCTTGGAGTCATACCAAATTATTTACGCAGCCGTACCTCTCACTCAGCCGGTCAATTGAGCGACTCAAAGACGAAAGTAACTTCCTGTATTGCGACTACCTTCGTATACGAGTACTGCGACATCTTCCATACCCCGCCAGTCGCTCCTTTCCTCCAACTTACCCCTCCAAATACCCCACCATCGCACACGAACCGCGCCAAACGCCGTAACAGAGCAAACAACCCGCCAACATGCCTACCATCGGCGTGGATAAGGCGGCCCTCTTCAAAGAGCTGGGTCGGGAATACACCTACCAGGAGTTCGACGACCTATGTTTCGAGTTCGGTATCGAGTTGGACGAGGATACAAGCCTGAGCACCAAGCCAGAAGATCAGGCGCAACCACCACAACTTAAGATTGAGATTCCAGCAAATCGCTATGATATGCTATGCTTCGAGGGTATTGCCATGAACTTGAAGGTCTTCCTTGAGAAGCAGAAGCTGCCCAAGTGGACTGTTACTGCGCCCAAGGGAGGAGAGCTTCAGGTGCTAGACATCAAGCCTGAGGTGCGGCTAATTTCTGGAAAGTGGGAGTGGAAGCGCGCTGACTAGTCATTTTACAGACCAAGCAAATACGAGAGCTCTGCTCAGGTGTTATACTACGGGGCATCAACTTCACACAAGAAAGATACGACTCCTTCATCGCGCTACAAGACAAATTACACTCCAACCTGGCGCGTCAAAGGACACTTGTGTCGATCGGAACACACGACTTAGATACAATCCAGGGTCCCTTCTCATACGAGGCATTACCGCCAGAGCAAATCAAGTTTGTGCCCCTGAAGCAGGACAAGGAAATGAACGCGAAGGAGCTCATGGAGTTCTATGAGGTCAGTAAACATTTATCACTTATACAAAACACCACTCTGACCCGGAACAGAAAGACAAACATCTCGGACGCTTCCTACACATTATTCGCGACTCACCCGTCTACCCCGTAATCTACGACGCGAACCGTACGGTCCTCTCCCTTCCGCCCATCATCAACAGCAACCACAGCAAGGTTACACTAGACACAAAGAACGTCTTCATCGAGATTACTGCGACCGACAAGACAAAGGTCGAAATTGTCAACCATATGATGGTCACCATGTTCGCTGGGTATGCAGAGTCGATTGAGCCTATCAAGATCAATTCGCCTCACAACGGAGAGTCAAGAGAGTCGCCAGATCTGTCACCGCGACAGATGCAGGTTGAGGTGGACTACCTGAACCAGGTCACTGGCCTCACCTTATCACCCGAGGAGATCTCGAAACTCTTGTCGCGTATGGGCCATGACGTCTCACCGTCTCAATCCGACAAGAACATCCTCGACGTTTCGGTACCTGTCACAAGAGCGGACATCTTGCATCAAGCGGATATCATGGAAGATTACGCCATCGCATACGGCTTCAACAAGCTGCCGCGAGTATACCCGAACAAGACTGCTGCTGTCTCTGCGCCATTACCCATCAACAAGCTCGGTGATATCGTCCGGATCGAGTCCGCGTCGTCGGGATGGACGGAAGTTATGCCTCTCATCCTCTGCTCGCATGAGGAGAACTTCGAGTGGCTGAACCGGAAAGACGACGGAAAGACAGCAGTGAAGCTTGCGAACCCCAAGACAGCAGAATACCAGCTCGTCCGAACATCGCTACTACCGGGTCTGCTCAAGACAATTAACTCCAACAAGCACCATTCAGTACCGATGAAGATCTTCGAGGTCAGCGACATTGGTCTCGTCGATTTGGAGCAGGAGAGAAAGAGCAGGAATGAGCGCCACTTCGCAGCCGCGTTCATGGGCAAGACAAGTGGCTTCGAGCAAGTACACGGTCTGCTGGACAGGCTGATGCTCATGCTTCGGTCGGCATTCCTTACGCGCGAAGACGGACTAAAGAATGAGCAATTGCAGGGCTACTGGATAGAAGAGGTTGATGGTAAGTACATAATTTGCGCATCAGAGATGGCGCAACCATACTGACTGGTCACAGACCCGACCTTCCTTCCTGGACACTCGGCGGCCATCAAGCTCAACCTCGGCGGCAAGAACCACACCATCGGTGTCTTCGGTATCTTGCACCCAAGCGTGCTGCAGAAGTTCGAGTTGCCGTAAGCTGCTTTTACCTTGTATTAGAATATGCTTTTGATGCTAATTATCGTAAAGATACCCCGTTAGTACACTAGAGTTCAACCTGGAGATCTTCTTGTGAGGCGCCACAGCGAAGACGCCTCGCCACAGGGTTGCCAAAACTGTTCGGCGCAGATAGATACCTACAACGCATACATGAATCAAGATATCATGATGAATCTTCGTCCTTACTACGGTAGTACTATACTGAAGTTATCAGATGGGTTTAACATCCTAGCTTGACCCGTTACCACATTTCTATGATGATACTGATGACAGATTCGCTTCGCTCCCATGCTTCGGCTTGTGGAATGTGAGCCACAGCCGGCCGATTCTGGGGTCTCCGGGAAGAACGCGCATTTATCGGACCCGTGCATCAACGCGCATCCATGCATGGAGCTTGCAGCACATATGCCCTGTTCGAAAGATAAGGCGCGTACTGCTGCCTAGAGTGTCCCTCGTGCGCATTCACATGCGCAGGTATGCACTGTGCCACCCTGCATATCGCGACCAATGACTTGTTTGCTTACCCCGCCATCGAATGTGAGTTATCTCAATATTTCCGTTCTTCGTTCAGGCTGCTGGAAGTTCTGTTATACAAAAGATCATTCTTCGTTCGAAGTTCCTTTACAAGTGGCCCACCCATACCTAGTTGCGACCCTATCATTGGCACGCTCTTAGCGATATCATTTCAACTGCGCCTGTCTTCTGTTGCCGGTGTCATTATGCAACACTGAGCCTCTATCATGACGGGAACCGAATCATATTCTAATGATGGGCATTGCGCAGTGCCTGAACAGTCTAAGAATTCCGAACCAGCTACGGTCGAGGATGCTGCAACAATTCTGCACGGTATTCGTGTCCAAAAAGGGCATGTTGAAGAGAAGTTTCGGCAGGCTTTGGGCGTCCTTTCAGATGAGTACCGCGATAGGACGCTCGATCTTTATCGAGAAAAGCGAGAGCTTGAGGCAGCGTTTACAAAGAGGTTAGTGCTACGGTCAGACTTCTATACACGTGGTAATAACTCATCCAGCATCTCTCAACAGCTCTATTCGTCCAAGTATCGATTTTTGTACGAACTCGTCCAGAACGCCGATGATTCGTTGTACGACGAGGCACGCCACGCATCGAAGCTACCATCCCTTCGATTCGTAATCACGCCAAGCACTTTCATCGTAGAGACGAATGAGGATGGCTTCAAACGAGCCAATATCGAGGCGGTGTGTGCGACTGGCAAAAGCTCGAAAAAAGCGTCAGCTGCAGACGATCACATCGGTGAAAAAGGCTTCGGGTTCAAGTCCGTCTTCTCGGTTGCTGAGGAAGTCCAAATTCAGTCCGGACTCTGGTCATTTAGATTCGAACATCGACGGGGAGACGACGGCCTTGGTATGGTGACGCCTCTGGACGCCGAGCCAGTTATTCTCCCTGAAGGTGTAACTACAAGGATAACCCTTCGCCTCTCGAAGGACACAACCGCAGAGTACCAGAGTCTCCTGAATGCCGTCGCGAGTATGCCGGAAACAACACTCTTCTTCTTGCAGAAACTGCGAAAGTTTCATGTCCGGGTGATAGAGCTGGACGCCGGAGAGGTAGCGACTATGTTTGAGAGATTAGCTCTGGACTCTCCCGTGAATTGTGTCCTGATTAGACGCCAGCAAGAGTCTAATGATGGAACAACGGTCGATGAAAGTTTGTATCGTTGTTTCGCTCACACGGTCGAGAATATGCCAGAACACGAATACCGTAAGTGTCGCAAATCAGCGCGCGTCGAGTTGGCTTTCCCAGTAGACTCTAAAACAAAGCAACCAAAGCTTAACGGGTCTGGGCATCATGTTTTCGCCTATCTACCGTTGCAGCGTTTGCAACAGCTTCAGGTGAGCCAATCCTATGCAGAAGAGAAGCATACTAACTGATTTCGTAAGTTTCTCATACAATCGGATTTTGTCACATCTGCAAGTCGAGAGAGTGTCGTTGACTGTACGTGGAATGACTTCATAATTGATGGCGTGGCGAAAGTCTTCGCCACGGCTGTCGAAGAGTTCACGAAAGACGGTGATCCTCTCAAGTATTCTTGGCTCGATTACCTACCTATCGGACCAAGCGACGATCGATGGAAACCAATGTGTCGACTGATTACAGAAGAGCTGGCAGAGAAGCCCATTCTGCAGAGTTGGCGGCAGCGACGTCTCAGAAGACCAGGAGAACTACGTTTGTTACACGACAATATGCTCTATGACGGCAAACCGATTGTGGAAGATCTTTTAGATGATGTTGACCTTGCCCCCGATTATATTCCTGAATACATCTCTAAAGTTGTATCGCTTGGGGCACGTTGGGCGATCCTACTACGCATGGTGCAGCGACTGGAGGTCGCTCTCAAAACCAGCAATTCGAAATTGAGAACAACGAAACCACATGATGCATGGCATGTTGCATTTGCCTCCCTGTTCTTACAGGCATGGTCCACTACAACCCCCAATGTCGTTGTTCAAAACAAACTCAAGGCACTGGCGCTAATTCCTCTGCAGAATCGTCACCAATGGAAAAGCGCACCAGGGCAAAGCAGCGGTGGTAGTTTGGATCATATTTACTTCTCCGACGTTGAAGGTAATTGTATTCCTAGCTCCATAGGATTGAACCTCCTTGATACACACGCATCTTCAGACCCGACGCGAAAGGCCTTTTACACGGCACTTGGCGTCGAGGAGTGTCCGCATGAGTTGGTCCTTGAGAAGATCAAGCAAGCTCATGACCGCACCGACCAAGCTCCCACTGATACACCGTCGCATATTTGGTACCTTTTCTGCGCGAAGGAGAAACCGTCGTCACTCAAAGAATGGATATGGGTACCGACACTACAAGGACACGTGAAGAACTCTACGAAATTGTACTTCCCGTCAGAAGAAGCCCATCATCTGCGTCATGCTCTTACCGGAGTTGATCCGTCAAGATATGAAGGAATCTTCGAATTCGTTGACAAGTCTTTAGTAGGATTAGGGATGGGCCACGGTAATGCATGGAAAAAATGGTTGGAACAGGCCACTGGTGCCAAAGACAATCCGCCCCTCGTACACGACAATCCAGAGACGTGCTTGGCAGAGCTTTCCCCAGCCTTGAGGGTAGTCTACCAATACAAGCCCACAGCATTCTTGAACATGCTCAGAAAACATTGGCTCGTTTACCAGGAAGACGCTTCACGGATCGAAGCCAATCTCAGGGCCTTACAAGTACCATGCGTTACCATCGTTGGACCTCGGCAGTACGAAAATCTGCAGAATACATATCTGCCTACAGCAGCTATCATCGACCAAGTGCTGGAGTTTGGTTTATCCCCAACAAAGTTTCATGTACTTTCCTTGTCGAAATCTCATCTAGTAGTGGACAAGCTCAGTGCTAGTAGACACCGCAAATGGCGCTTCCTGGAAGAATTTGGCGTGCGTAGCGAAAAGGATCTCGGCTTCTACAAACTCGCTCTGCAGGCTATCAAATCAGAGACGGAAGAGCCCGAATCCGAAATTCTGGAGAAGGTATATAAGGGCATTGCGGAGTTTGCTACGGCAAACGATCACATCGCTCTCTGGTATGTTTAGTCCGCTTCACCCTTTTTGACCCACCCACGGTGCTCATTAAAATAGCGACTTTTTCAACCAGGAATTGCTCTGGATACCCAGCAGCAAAAGCTGGGTAGGGAGAGCTCAATGCAGTTGGCGCGGACCAGATTTCCTGCGATGCAAGAGCGTACTGCATCTGCACTATGGACACAGCCATACGCTGTCAAGGTTCTTCCAAAAAACACTAGATGTAACAGATGCTGTCCTCGAGGATGCTATCGGAGAGCTCATTCAAAGACGGCAATCTTCCGAGCTCACGACTACCCTTTCCGTTGCAGGAGACATCTATTCATACATATGTGACAACAAAGTCAGTGATGAAGCGTGGCAGATGCTAAGGTGAGTCATACTCTTTACACTGGTTTCTGCGGATCGTATCCCGTCGTAGGATCAATTACGTACAGCTCGAGACTGTGCGTAGTTACTAGAGCTTCACTACTCATTGGTAGTACTGCTGCAAGCACTCTACAGCCGCCTGTTTGGATTCGTTATAGTATGTTCTAATCATTCTTAGGAAGGAGTTCGAGAAGAAGGACCTGGTTTTGGGCATGAACAATACGTGGCATACCCTTGAGACGTGTGTGTGGCACAGTCGATTTTTGCTCTCCGGATACGAAGACCTTAGCTCAATCTACCCACAGCTGGAAACCTTTTTCGTGAAACACCTCAAGGTCAAGAAGGTCACCCCAACTATGCTGATCAAGGAGATATCGAAGATAGTTGCGAAAAAACCACCCGAATACGATGATATCCGAAAGCGGCTCATCGATGTCGGCATGATGCTGGCCACAACCAAGCTAGACAAGGCAACTAAAGATGCGCTTTCCGATCTCTCGGAAAGGAAATTTCTGCCCAGAAGACTTCTAGGCGGAGGCACAGTCCTCCTTAGTCGTCACGATACCTTTGCTATCGGGGACCATGCTCGATACGGCAGCGCGTTCGAGGAACATGGTATTTTACTTGACTTCTCCGCTGAGGAGGTTCAGATAATGAACGTCATGTTCACGTATATCGGCCTGAAGAAGTACTATCTGTCGTCTTTGGTGGCCGAGAAATCTACAGTCGAAGATTGTGATGAGGAGGACGATGGCCTTACTCAAAAGCTGCAAGTGAAAGCGTACGCTCTGTATTGGTGAGTCCCTTTTACTTCATCTATATACAAGCACAAGAGAGCTCCATGAAGGCTTAAAACGATGTCTGAGGGCTGCTGTCACTGGGACATATCATTGGAAAGTCACCCACTTATAAAAGCTGAGCTAACTCCAAGAAGCTGTGCTGCGAAGCACAAGAGCGTAGAGGCTCTCTATGGAGACCGTACACTTTTCGAAACTTTATCAGCTGTTCGAATATTCAGAGGCGATCTCGCAACCCATCTAGTCATCGACAACAAAGATCCAGACCTTCATCTCAGTGTCCGCAGCGAGAGATCATACATACACCATGAAAGAGCGGAAGACGGCTTGAGGATTTACGTACCCAAAGGTCCAAAGCAACGTCGAACATGCTATCGATCACAACTTCCGAAGCTGCTCGCCGAAATCATGCATGTTGGCTCAAGCGCATGTCATGACATCTCCGTCATCATCAGCTGCGATCTCAGGACTCTAGACGATATTCTAGCAGAGCAGGATATACCATCCGTGTCGTGGCTGGAGGAGCCAGTTTACGATATATCCGATAACGATGAAGAAGAAGAAGACGACGATAGTGCAGCAAATCCATCTGTATCTGGCTACAATCAGAATGTTGCAACGGCGTCCAGACGAAGATACGTTGCTTTGGATCCAGAAGCGCCACCTCTCCGAGACGACCGTAGCTCAATTCAAAAGAACACTGATCGCCTACATGGTGCTCAGGGCGAAAAGCTTGTAGGGCTTCCTTCGAGACCGTTAATCGTCAAAATATTGACAATTTTTAGGTTTACGATATTCTCTCCACGCTTGAGGCGGCAGGCTTCAATCTCGATAATTGGCAAAGCAACATACGCGGGCACGCCTCACGTGAAGGCGTCGCCGACTGGCCAGGGATCGAAACAGCGGACATTGTTCATACTGACTGCGATGGTATCATGACAGAATGGCTGAAGAAGAGTTGCACCGGTGGCTTTCCTGAGGGCACCGATAATCGTAACTTTGCGAAGCAACCCATTGAGTACTACCTGGAAGTCAAGACCACAACTGGTCCCTGCAAGAAGCAATTCTACTTGAGTACTAAACAGTATAAATTAGTAAGTTGTGATTGCCATAGCCGTGGTAAGAGCGTGTGACTGACGCGCGGGGCAGATGCAGAGCATGGCCGTCCGGGAAAGCCAGGAACCGAACAAGATATACGTCATTATGCGTGTCTTCAACCTTCTGTCGCCAAATCAAGGGTTAGAGGTATTTGTGGACCCTCTACGACTTCAGGGGCGATATCTTGAGTTTGAAGCGGAAGGGTGGACGGGTTGGAAGCTGTGATTGCGCCGGTGAGGAGCTTTGACCCAAATGTAGCGCAGCGCGAAGTACCGTCATCAGAACCCAAACAAGAGAGAGAATATTCTGTCGCGTGTAATGCCGTCTTAGCCGTGTAGCAAGCTCGCGAAAACCGTAGCTCTCTGTGAAACTATGTATAGCGCAGTCTCTATGGCGAAGCTTTTGTTTGTGGGGAAGCCTGCAAATCATTAGTTCACGCGTGCTGACGTCACCCTGTCGGCGTGTAAATCTCGACCAAAGCGGATGTCACGGACGCTTCAACCCGCAAAATCTGGCCCACACTGCATGGACGACGAAAAAGGGCCGTGATATCCAGACGGCGTCTACTGTCCTCTGCGCATCTCAGCGCCAGGCTCTACATAGCCTTCTTGATGTGCCGATTACCCGCAACGCTCGTGTCGTTCCTGACGCGGCCTCAACCACGGATGTCATTATGCATGCGGCGAACCAAGTTTTGAACGAATAGGTGCCCATTGATGCGGTAGTCAGGGTCTGTTCACTGGCTCAGTAAGTGTTTTCGCGCCGTTTGAAGCCCAAGAATCCAAGCAAGCGTGTCCAGGCCGGGATGTGCCAGACGCTAAGAGCCCCAGACCCCGATGGCTGGGCACGTAGTTCTTCTAGAAGGGCTACTAAACTTGCGAGGAACTTGTTTGGAAGCTAGTATACAGCCAGCCATCATCTCAGGAGCACTTCCGACGTGTCTTTGGTGTTGACACGGCTCACCTTCCATGCATGTCGCAGCTGTGCCGACACAGCCTTCTCGTCATTCACTAGCATATATCGTTCTTTGGAGGTTGAGAGTGAGAACGCACCTCGCCACGAGCTCGTGGTTCGATGCGTCTGCTAGCAGATGGCGATGGAAATCGAGGACGGCATGTGCATATATGGCATACCGTTAGTGACGCTACTCTAACTGTACCTCTCGCAGCATATATATCGAGTTTCTCTCCCTGTATTAGTACTGTCATCTCAAAGCCATTCGAGACCTTATATTCTCTACGATTGACTCGACGTACCACTTCCATCGCTTCCCGATACCTATACTTCCTAATCCAATATGGCTCCCCGTGCCGTGCACTTCATCCGCCACGCCGAAGGCTACCACAACGCAGAACACAACGAAAAGATCCCTGACCCAGACCTCACACCAAAAGGCAAACAGCAATGCAAAAACCTCTCGGAAAACTTTCCATTCTTTGATCGCATCGACCTAGTGTGCGCGAGCCCCATCCGCCGCACCATTCAAACGGCACTCATTAGCATGGAGCCGTGGTTGCAATCCGGGAAGCGCAACATCCTCGCTCTCCCCCTAGCCCAAGAAGCTACATCCGAGCCCGCCAACACACCAAGCGACGTAAAACGACTTCAGAAGGAATTCGGCGACGTCTGCGACTTCCACAGATGCCTAGACATCTACACTGACTTCAACACCAAGGAGGGCAGATGGGCACCAGACGGCGGTTCACTCAAGGCACGCGCATTGGAACTCCGCCGCTTCTTGCGCGATCGCGACGAACAGGAGATTGTCGTCGTATCGCACGGCGACTTCCTTCACTACGTATCTGGGGATCTAGACGAGAATGACTGCCAAACACATGGTGATTGGCAGAACACGGAAATGAGAAGCTATCGCTTTTTCCCGGTTGATCATGAGGATGCACTGTTGCAGGAGACAGATGAAAGTGTCAAGCTGAGAAATGCGAGTGCACCTGGCCAGGCAATGGGATCTGCGAAGGAGAACACGCCGTGAGATGCGATTTGATGACGGATCGTAATGGGATTATGCAATTTAGCGAGCTTTTTCTGGAATTAAAAGTTGTTTTCACGTGATGCACTTGATCAGCAATATCACATTGATATGACATGAGTGAACGATTGATGGTAGCATTGTGGTGACAAAGACGCTGTGTTCGTTATACGCGCGACTGCGTCACAGCGCGAAGACGGCGAGACTTGCTAGGTTCAGCGACGCTAACTTCGGAGCCGCCTTCCACGAACGTTTACCATCGCTTTCTTTTGACACAACCCGCCAAATGCTACAAACGTTTTGGTAATATAACATGAAGCCCATCATCTTAGTAGCCATGCGTCGCCTTCCACATGTTCCCAAACATCGCCGACATCCTCGACTCTGCTCCCGTTACACCCCGCACCTCCGCACCTGGTACTCCCGCATCGGAGACCATGGCTAGCGACACGATCACACATATTGTACTCTTCAAATATCGCCCCGATATACCATGGACGGATCTAGAAAGCCACTTCAAGTCTTTCATGGCTCTACAATACAAATCGCTGGATCCCAACTCTGGTAAACCGCTCATACAGTCGCTCAAAGCCGGCAAGAATAGATCATGGGAACCTTTCTCAAAAGGCATGACACACGGTTTTGTGCTCAAGTTTGCGAATCAAGCGGATTTGGACTATTATCTTACCATCGAGCCGGTTCATAAAGCATTCTCCAAAGCCGCGAAGCCGCTAATCGAGGATAGCTTAGTCGTCGACATCAAGGACGGGGTGCTGTTTGGTTCCCCAGCCGAACATCCATCGGCGAAAGGAGATGGAGTCAGAAAGGGCATGTGCCATTGCGAGAGCGTGCACTGGACGGCAAGGCTCGAAAATGCTGAGCACGTGCTTTGTCATTGCTCAACGTGCCAGAAGCTTGGTGGTGGGCCGTACTCGTGCAATCAGATCATACCGAGAGAGGAACTGCAGATCATCTCTGGTGAAGAGAACATCAGGCAGTATCGGTACAAAGGTGCTAGTGGTATGTTGTTCACTTTGTGCTGTTGGCGAAGGAGAAAAGACTGACTGGATGCAGGCAAGTTTGTGCGATGCTATTTTTGCAAAGTTTGCACGAGCCATATCTACCATCATCAAGACGTCATGCCGGACAAGATCATCGTGCGAACTTTGTTACTGGAAGGCGGAGAGAACATGCCAGCCACGGCTGAGATCTTTGGCGAGGGAAGGTTGGCTTGGGTGCAAGAGCTTTCGAAGCAACTATGAGCGGTAATGGTACTCGGCGTGGATGGTTTAGACCGCATAGTATGGAGATTTGAGCGCCAAGAGCGCGGCGCAGCGCGGCGCAGCTGCTACAATATTAGACAGGAAGGCTATACTTTTGAATGAGTTCGCGGATAAGTGAAGCTTTCTCCTAGTAGTATATTGTAATACGTGAAGATTGATTTTAGAGCGCATTGTTGGACACGCTAGCGAAGGCGTTATGCGAGATGTCTTTACTACTTGAACTACCTACGGAGCTTCTCATTGGAATACCATCTTCGTGCTCTTCTCTCGATATAAAGAGAGTCTGCGAGGCATGTCATCAGCTATAAAATGTCGACGTATGCAAAACATTGTCAGATATTTTTACTATGACTAAACGGCATAGATGTCGAACTTATATCGCGTCGTCGACCTCAGCTCCCATACCGCCCACATCGGCTGCTCACCTATCGGGTTTGGGCCTCACTAAGTACCTCGCAATTTTATTATGAGACACTGGAACCAAGTCGACCTCCATACATTCGAGAAGCAATTGGAGTTAGCGAGAACACTTCGACACAACCCCGGATTGGCTGAACATGCACACGAGCTTCGCTGGACCGTTATGCTCAGAAGACTTAGAAGACGAGATTGAGCGTATTCGAGCTGAGCATCATGACTCCAGTCTGAAAACTGACGACGCTGGAGATTATGGTATGTTTTCTGCCCGCATTTGGTGCGCGATGCGTTCTCGTTATGCCAGAATCGCTTTGGCGCATATTTTCCAAGTTTACCAACGTTTCGAATGTGGATGTATGGATTGAGTAGGCTTCCCATATTCTATTGATTCCAGAGAGTTAACGGGAATAGATACGGTGATCACTTATTACTACCACCGCCATGTTTTCCAAAAGCGGCCTCCATGCGACTTAGTGGTTGCATGACACGAGATCTCGTTGAGCGCTTCATGTACAGCTCTACCGGAATACTTGAGCGATTGGAGCTGGACAACCTACTGCAATGCGAAGAGCATGAATTTCCGTTTCCGAAGTTCAACGACGCTCAAACTTTGGAAACATACTTTGAAAACCATGGACCGGACCACTGCACCATCTCGGAAACCCAACGTATGGCAGGCGCACTTGAACCTTTCATCGGAATGTTTGCCACCCTTACGTCTTTGTGTATTGCCACAGTGGGCGAGGCCCAACTCGACTGTCCTTATGAAGAACGAGATGAACAACGGTTCATAGAATGGGCGCGAATGATAAGCTCGGTACGCAATAACCTGCGCTCTTTGTCATTCAAACAGGGACGCAATCGAAACGTCGATGAGTGTCCCAGAGGCTTTCGTCTGGGGAAAATATATGAAGAATATCGACCAATGGATCAACTGTTCCGCCGTACAATCATGCCTGTTCTCCTCGCGGGTCCATGGCCACGTATCAAGCGGATGGAGATCCGTGGTTTGGGCGAACTGTGGGGAGCTGGTGCTCAAGCATCATGCCGGAACAGACTGATCCGGTTGTACCAGGTATCTGCTCTAGATGTTCCCAGGATTTTGGTACATAAGTAGAAGCGTGATCGCGGGTTGCTTGAATCGTAGAAAGCTCAGACACGGCCCAATGCGTGAACACGTTACTCTTGCTTCACTCGCTAAATAGTAGAGACCATACTAAGATGCTGAAAAAAAGCGATTTGTGAATATTTCGTATCAATGGGATATACACGAAAGTTCTAGTGTCAAGCCATAACCCGGTGTTCCTTTGCATGCCATGACTGCAAGCGCAAGTAATGCCCTAGCGTAGGGTTTTTAGCCAGCCACGACGTCTCATAGAATACCACGTGGTATCTGTTCGCCGTTCGTGCTATTTGAGTCCTTATCCTGGCCATTGTCCACCGTCCACGCGACCGTCTTCGTAATCATCATTGCATCTCCACGTTGTGTATTCTTTGTCGACGCTCGTTTGTCTCCGCCCGACATAGCGGTAAGTTCGATCTCATCCATCTCTCTGACTGTATTGTGTGTCTTCGTATTTCTCGTGAAGCGTTTCGAACGAGCATCTCCTTGAGAGCCAACAGTAGGGTAGATGTGTTGGCGATTGCTCGATTCATCTGCGTTCTTGAGCGAAGGGATGCAGTAGCTGAGAAGGAACTTGATCGTTGGGCCGCAGGTTCCGATGATCGCGAGACCAGACTCGATGTTCGAAAGGGTGTAGCCAACTTCGTATGTCGGATCAGGCTTGACTTCTCTCAGGACAAAGACCTTGACGAGGACACTCGTGCGCACCGCACCAATCACGGTAACAAGGACTCCAAAGGACAAGAATGCAATGACCATGAGTTTGCGGCCGAGTGGCATTTTCAGGTCGTGCAGAATCCATGAAGGCATTAGCAGAACCAGAACGTCGGTCGTGAGCACGATCGACGACGTGCTGACCGTGTAGGCACCAGCGTCAACGCATCGCCCTTGTAGACTGGCATCCCAGTATTTGGATATCGGGCTGCATTGGAAAATACAGGCGAGAGGTGCAGCAATGGCGAAGCAACCATTGATGACGAGTGTTCCCCATAGACAACGGTTTATCCACTTGTTCTGCGATCGGAGTTTGATGAGCGTCATCAGGAACGAGACTTTGACTAAAGCAAGAATAGGGTTGTAGATGACCGAGTTTGCGTAGTTCCACTGCAAAGTAGTCAGATTCATGCGCTACATAGCGATCGTATAGTTGATAGAGCATACCTTCATCATCAAGATTGGATCAACTGCACCATCCGGTATATCACGGATATGGTAGCCGTAATAGCTGGTGAGTATGTCTGTAAAGCTATGTTAGCTGTATGTACAGGAATGGCTGCTATCTGTTGTGAGACTTAGGTATACATACAGCCGCATGTCGTGAAAGAGAGGACCAGGTTCAAAAGCTTTGTGACGGCGGATCAATTAGCTGGAGCTACACGGATGTTGTAACTTTGAATACCGTCTTACAGTCGCAATGACTAAGAGTGTATCTTCTGAACAGATTTGTGAGTGATAGCGTGTTACCATCCATCAAATGAACTTACCAACACCCAACTTTCCTCCCTTAAGTCTCACTACGACGCGAACTGACACGATGAAAACGCAACAAATGCTTGGAAAGATAGCCAGAAACAAGTTCACTGGTTGCAAGCCTGTGTTCGCCATGTTTGACTTGTGTATACACAAAGGTCAGGTTTAGGTAAAGTACAAAGATTGTACAACACTGACATCGATTAAGACGACTTCTTGTACAATGAGAGCCCAAATTCCCCATTTCCTAGCTACGTCTCATCACTGTGATCCTGTTTCGCGAGAAAGCAAATGAGCCTCGACTGTAGCCGGTCCTCGGGGAGCCATCCGAGAGGAAGCTCAGTGAAGTCCCTTGTGAACTCGTTGCAGCACCCAATGACGTGTTAATTCAGACTTGGTGGCGTCCGTTGAGTGTTCTATTCCGTGTGCTTTGCTCCGCGGTGAACAGATTGGAATCCTTCGTTCTAGCCAGTCAAGGGTTATCGACGTATGGGAAGCGGCAGGAAAAGCTTCATATTGTTCCCGGGGATTGCACCCTCCATCCAGTATTGTTCCCAATCCACAAATCACAAGTGACTCGCCACAAGTTTGTTGAGGATCCGCGTGGCTAGCCAACAACTTGTCTTACGGCTGATCTCTACTTCCAACATTGTATATTGTCCCGAAGCTCGCGTAGTCACGACTCCGCTGTGGCACAGTCGTGTGGGGCCAGACGCGGCTGAGAACCCTTACCGAAACCCTCTTCGCTTAGAGATGGCCAGTCCATAAATCGCAAAGATTTGCAGAAGCCGAGAACCCGAAGGTACCTTCCATGTTGAGTTCGTGGTTAAATGCGGACCCTTAGCAGCTTGGAAATGATCCCATTCGCGAAGTAATCGGCACCGACAGGGCGGGCCGTAGGGGAAGAGGGAAGTTGTGCGAAAGACGGCAACTACACTCGGACGTCAACTATGAGTAAAGTAGATACAACAACGTGCATGCTGCAAGGACCGCAACGATCCTTCCGATATTTGCCTCTCAATTGTTTGCCATGTGGTTCGATGCCTGGTTCTCGAACGAATCGTCCGGCCTAGCGCCACGTAGGAATCTAGTCATTTATTAGAGACACTTCACGTATAGAGGAGATCCGATTCTCATCATCATCGCTTTCGCTTTTGTTGGATTGCAGTTCTTTCGCTATGTCTGCACGTGGCTCTTTGTTCTTCCTTGCTGCGAACGCCATTGGCACTCTCGGTAGCCCTGTCGCCGTACGCGATGTCGCACCTGCTGCCGCTACCGTTTCCACGGATTCGTCTGGTGGAGTTCCGCTTTTCCCAAAAGAGGCAGTGCAACTCACTGACGCGGCCCTGAAGATGGCTGATAGCCAGACCACTGGGGTCGACGTGGCTGCTATCTTTGGCTTTGACGGTGGTGAGGACGCCACAACTGTAGCAAAGCGTGCAATCAAGAGCGGCCAATGCAAAGCTTTTCCGGGCGACTCGAAGTATCCAAAGGAGTGGATGTGGTCCATCTTCGACCTGTTACTTGGAGGAGCACTCATCAAGACGACGCCCATTGCCGCGCCATGCTATAAGAATTCGGCCTGGAGTGACTATGATGAGGCGAAATGCGCAGACATCTCAGCCAGATTCACCACATCTTCTCTCCAGTAAGTGAAGTTGCCATACATTACTGGATACTGTTCTGACCTTTGTGAAAAGCACGAGTGACCCAACTTCGATGATGTGGCCGCTCTTCCAAGGCCGTACATGCATGCCTACCGACGACCCCAGTGGCACATGTACGCTAGGCGCCTATGCATCCTACTCGATCGACGTCAAGAACGTCGCCCAAGTGCAGCTTGGTGTGAACTTTGCGCGCAACATGAACCTGAGGTTGACCGTTAAGAACACTGGACACGATTACATTGGGAAGTCGTCTGGCGCAGGTGCCCTTAATCTTTGGACGCACAATCTCAAGGAGATCCAGTTCATCAAGCAGTACAAGTCGGCTGAATACAATGGCCCAGCTTTCAAAGCTGGCGCTGGTGTCCAAGGGTTTGAGATCTTGGAAGCTGCTCGCGAACACGATGTGACAGTCATGACTGGTATCTGTGAAGTAAGTCACCATGGTATACAACGTTTTACAGTCGCAATCACTAACCTTTAAATCAGACTGTTGGATGGAGTGGTGGTTATGTCACCGGAGGTGGTCACTCACCTCTCGCATCCATCTACGGCATGGCCGCTGACCAAGTTCTCGCCTTCGAGGTCGTCACCGCAGATGGACGCTTCGTGACCGCGTCTGACTCCAAAAACTCGGACCTCTTCTGGGCTCTTCGCGGAGGAGGTGGTGGAACCTTCGGCGTTGTGACTTCGGTTATTGCTAAAGCTCATCAGAGAATCCACGTTACTAAGTCTGTCTTTTCTTTCCAGGCCCCAGTCAACGACTCTGCCAACTTCTGGAAGGGCATCAACGCTTACATGAAGCGCTTCCCTGAGTTCACCAACGCTGGCACCTATTCGTACTTCTGGATCTGGAACTACGGTACGACACTCGACTTCCAGATGACTCCCTTCTTTGCGCCAAACCACACTATTGAGTCCTTCAATGCGCTTACGAAGGACTTCTTCGCCGACCTCAAGTCTGTCAACATCTCGGTAACTCCCAACACGACCTACCACGACGACTTTTACTCTGCCAACAAAGGCTCATGGGGTGCGGATACGCTCGGTGTGACCACCATTCGTCAAGCTACCCGTCTCTTCCCCAAGAGCCTTTGGGCAACCGAAGAGAAGTTCAACTCTTTCTACACCACTATCAAGGACACAGTGATGAACGGTCATACGGTCGGTGGTTACCACATGGCTCCGGGTAACCCTTTTAAGGTTGACAATGCTGTCAATGAAGCATGGCGTAACACCCAGTCTTTCTTGATCACCGCGAACATGGTTCCTGAGAACGCGACGCCCGCTCAATTGAAGGAAGCATCCGACTACCTTACGTACAACATCATGGACTCGTGGCGCGCAGTCGCTCCAGCGTCCGAGGGTGGCGGTGTCTATCTCAACGAGGCAGATATCCAAGAGCCAAACTGGCAAACCGACTTCTATGGTGCAAAGCATTACCCGAAGCTGCTCGCTATCAAAAAGAAGTGGGATCCGAAGGGCGTCTTCTACGCCACCACTGCTGTCGGCAGTGAGGACTGGGAAGTTAGGGATGGCGAGCAAGGTACTCAAACTCAAAACGGTCGCTTGTGCCGTGTATAAGGCCACAGCGTCTCTTGTCTCGCCAACAAGTCTTGTGGATAATGGCTCGCGTCTGATCTGATGATTTGTTATCCTGAAAACCATAGCGTCTTGAATAGCAAAGTATATTAGTACCAACAACTGTCGAATGCGCGCTCTCGTTCTCGGTCTGGTTCTTAGTCGCCTCTCCAGTAGTCAATCTGTGAGCGCTGACATCGGCTACCAGCCCGTCCGAGGATGCTCATGACACATGAACATGCTGTGCCGAAACTCGTTACGAGGACGGTGTTCTCTCTTCGCCGGCGCAAGGAATCATTTGAGCACGCATCAGAGTGGTGGACGAAGTAAAGCTCTCGAATCCTTCGGGTGCCGCCGCGGAGCAGCCTGGTGAACACATTGACGACCGCATATTAACGTCAGAGTTGACGAGGTCTCGAACGCTCCTTATTTCCGAAGAGACGTATTTGAATAGCCCTGGTGTTGCTCGACGCCCTGAGTTGAGGCCCAATTCTGTGATCTGTCCAAGTGTATTCCTGAAATCGTAGCTTCATAGCTTCGTGAATTACCAGAGATATTAGTCTCAAATCGATAGTTCACCAGGCAAAGCGTATGAAAGATGCTAAACGTTGAGGCTGCCTAGGACTTATCACTCCTATTGCGTACTCGCGCTTCGTGAGCTAGTACGGGAAGGAAAAGGTGGCCGGGTCTTCCGTGTATCTGGCAGCGTTTGCGTTCTTCAAGCAGCGCGAGATGCAGGGCATTAAGACGACTGCGAACAAGAAGGTGGAGAAGAACAAAAGAGATGCGGCGAAGGATAGCGTACCTAGTATCGACGATGTTGAACTAGACCTAGAGAGAGAAGATAAAGTACCAGTATACGGTAAGCTTTTGCACCACCACTGACAATAGAGTCTAGTACTGACGCACTGGTAGATACATGCGATGACGTCCGCAAGAAGATCAACGCGCACCTAAAGAAGCCTGGCGTAACCCAGGCGGCGTTCCTCCGCGCAGCCTCCGCGCAGCCTCCGCGTCGTTCCACAACCCACCCAAGACGCTCAACGCCCGCCAACTGTCCGCTTTCCGCAGCAAGAAAGGCGCTGTAAATGGCAACACATCCGTCATCTTCTATGGTGCGTACGTCTACTTTGAGAAGCTGCGCATCAAAGAGGTAAAGCCTAAGGGCAAGAAAGGCAGGAGGAGATTCATGCCAGGACTGGCGGTATAGACACAAAACATATGCAGGACCGGCTTCTTAACCGGGCATATGGATATTGGCATCATGATGCTTATAGAAGGACCATCCTTAATGGGGAGATTCTTGGGTAGAGGTTGGGTGAATACCCTTCGCCTTGTAATATATGTGTGTTCGATATGTCGCAGTAATAGAGTGGTATGTACAATTGACGTCCAATGTGTGTGGATATCGGATGGACCCAACGCCATAAACGCCGATGCTTGATTGTGTAAAGCCGCCGAAGTAATGTAAAGCGCTCATAGTGTGGCTGCTGCCTCAACAGCTCCAGCCAGCTTGAACGTCTTCGGACTTGAGAAGACGATCTCGACGGGGTATTTCCATTCCATGAACTTGGCCCATCCTGCAAAGCTGTTAGCTACGTGCCATCCGTCCGGTCATCTAACCTTGAAGATGACGTACCCCAGTATGCGGCCTTTCTACCAAAGTATTTCCCCAGGTATGGCACCATAACCATTGTCAACAGCAGCTCCAATTGTTGCAGCGATTCTTTCCATTCCCTATCTGCATCCGACATGTATTCTTCCTCATCGGCTGAGGAACTTGTTGCCGAGGAGGGCAAGGAATCGACCTCGTCGTTGGAGGATGGCTCGATAAAGCTCTCGCTATTGCTCAGGGACATGGCGGCGGTGGTGTTGGATCGTTGACAGGACAGGGTGATGGATGTATGACTCGATCGGCGGACTACCGTAGCAGCATTGGCGAGAATGACGGGATCGCGACGGCTATGGTAGAGGCGCGTTCGGTGAAGGGTGTCGGAGCGCTCCAGCCAATGAGCGGAGGTGGGGCTTAGCGGCAGTCAGCACGTGACGCAAATCTTGGCACTCAGCGTTCGACTCACACATGTGTTGCGGCGAACTTTAGGGTGACCGCCTGCCTAACTCTTCGACTCACCACCCCTACATATCACTACGAACTCCGAATCGATACCAGAACATTACCAGGACTCACGGAAGATCGAAATCGCAAGTGCAACCGCAATCATGGCTGATTCCGTACGTCACAGCCCCACGTTCGCTGTCGAAATATCCTGTACCTGGAAAGTGGGCTTGTTGCATGCCTGCTCTCTAGCTGGGACTTACACCTGTTCTCTACAACAAGCAACATACTAACGGATAACTATACAGGCCGATCTCCCTGACCGCAAACCCCGCAAGTCGGTCCAATTTTCCGAAGGTGCCACGATTGTCGACAGCAACGGCGACGTTACCGAATCACTAGAGATGAACGGCGGTAAGGACTCCGCTGAGGGCCACTCCGCGGGTGCTGGTAAGATGGATTACATACTGGCAATACATCAGTCGCTGACAAGTGGGGCTACAGGCGACGACAAAGAGGTCGAGGAGGTCACCGACATGTTCGCTGATCTAGCAAAGAAGGTGAGGCGCAAAGGCCTGTGCGACCATCAACATCTTTCTGACAATATAACAGAAGAAGAAGAAGTCCTCCAAGAAGAAGGAAGGCGAGGAAGAGGACGGCGCAGAGGGCGACTTCGCCGCGCTAAAGAAGAAGAAGAAGTCCAGCAAGAAGAAGGTCGAGGACGACTTCGAGGCCAAGCTCGCTGCTGCTGGTGGAGACAAGCCCGAAGGCGAGGAGGAGGTCGCTGCTCCCGAACCCGAAGTACAAGAAGGCGACATGATGAAGGGCACCGGTATCTGGGAACACAACTCGACGACCCCCATCTCGTACAACCTCCTCCTGAACCGCTTCTTCACGCTCCTCCACGCACAACATCCCGACCTTGCCAGCTCGGGCACAAAGAGCTACAAGATCCCGCCCCCACAGTGCATGCGCGAAGGAAACAAGAAGACCGTCTTCGCCAACCTTGCCGAGATTTGCAAGCGTATGAAGCGTTCCGACGAGCACGTTGCTCAGTTCCTGTTCGCTGAATTGGGTACGAGCGGTTCATTCGCCGACCAGAAGCGCTTGGTCATCAAGGGTCGTTTCCAGCAGAAGCAACTCGAGAACGTCCTCCGACGATACATTGTCGAATACGTAACCTGCAAGACCTGCCGTTCGCCCGACACCGACCTCTCCAAGGGTGAGAACCGTCTTAACTTCGTCACTTGCAACAGCTGCGGATCGAGACGTTCGGTACAGGCCATCAAGACTGGTTTCTCGGCCCAGATCGGAAAGAGGCGGAGAATGGTGGGTTAGAGGATTTGATGTTATGCGCTTTACGATGTTCAATGTTATGCATGGCTTGGGCTGGGGCTTCTCGATCAGCGGGCGCTACGGCTGTTGCTGTTATGACGCTTTTTGGCGGTATGAACAGTCATGATGATTCAAAGCAATGTCTGTGGAAGGTTCATGTACATTGAGATGAGTCAAAAGATACAGTCTAATAGACGTAGAAGAGAACTTGCTCGGTACGTGCGTAATGGCTGATAGCTACTATACGCGCTGGCAAATAAGATGCAGACTAGCATGTGAGATATCATGGGCGCTTAGGTCGGTCGCAAGTGGACCCTGATAGCTACGGTGCCTCCCGAAGCTGCCCTGCATCGTGGACGCATGCGAACATGTTTGTTTCTGCCGTGCCCAAACTTTCTGATCAAAGATAGCTTCTGGCGCATGAACGACTTTATGCTATTCTCTTACTCACCCGTGGCACGGACTTGGCGCGTAGCCCAGAGCGAGGGGGCGGGGCGCTGATTCGGCGGCTCGAGAGACCCCGCTAGCCAGCAGCTGCGCGCTGGAGGCTGAGCAGCTTGACCAAGGAGACACCAACGGGGCGCGCGGTTAAAACGTCTATACTGCTTATGGTGCTGATGCTTCTGTAGACTAATCTAATCCCTTGTCCGCTCCTCTCCTCTCTCCTACATTGCGCCTGTGATTGCTACTCACCTCCCTTCTCACCTCGTTCCGTGAGTACCAGCTACAGTCGCGTCGACTCGTCGCAATAGGATCGTAAGCTTGAATATGTCGGGATATCAAGGAACTCCACCACCGGGCGGGAACTACTACCCTCGTGAGTCGCGTGTCGCAAAGGATGTGAAAGCAAACTGACGAGAAGTAGCACCGCCAGGTACATCTACACCATCTACATTCCTCTCGTCATATACCGAACGCTCCTTCTCCAGCCTTCCAACACTACAACACGTCTCCTCTTGAACAGCCTTCTAACATATACCAGACCAACAGGGCCAACAGCAGTACTTCGCGCCTCCGCCGGGCGGCCAGTCCTACCCTCCACCACCCACATCCCCTCCCGCACACCAACAGCAACACTACCCACCTCCGCCAGGTGGAAATCCCGCTCCACAACAACACTATGCGCCTCCGCCTGAACAACAGCAATATGCGCCGCCACCCGAACAACAGCACTTCCCGCCCCCAGGCCAAGCGCAATCGCCGCCCCCGCCCTTCCAGCAGCAGCAGCAGCAGCAGCAGCAGCCGCCACAACAGCCACAGCAACCGATGAGCCCCGGCTTTGGTGGATTCCCTGGTGGAAGTCCAAGTGCGACTCCGTCAGGATACCCTGCCGAGAAGGTTGGCCACCCAGGCATGGGCCATCAGTCGCAGATGAGCCAACAGAGCATACCCCAGCAACCGCAATACGTAGGCGCGGGAGCACACACGGCGCCCGCAAGTGCCTCAGCAGACGACGTGGGAACTTTTAATGGAGGAAGCTACCGCGTGAGCCATCGGGATACAAACTCCATTCTCACCGTACAGTTGGCTATTGGATGTCCTTTTACTGCTAAACCTGGTGAGTCTTCCAATACACGATATATGCTTTCATCATATTGGAAATAAAAACATGCGAAGAACGAATATCTAACACAACCCCCAGGCGCAATGATAGCAATGTCCCACACCATGACGTTAAAAGGCAACCTGAAGTTCTCCCTCAAGAAAGCCCTCATGGGCGGCGAAATGTCCAAATCCACGTACACGGGCCCTGGTGAACTTCTGCTTGCCCCTCCCTCTATCGGAGACATTACAATCATCAAGCTTGCTGGAAAGGAGACATGGTCGGTGGGCCGCGACGCTTTCCTGGCTTGTACCCAGGGTATCGTTACAGAGTACAAGAGTCAGGGAATCGGCAAGGCCATGTTCAGTGGTGAGGGATTGTTCGTGTACAAGATTAGCGGTACTGGTGTGCTTTGGGTGACGAGTTTTGGCGCGATTATTAGGAAGGATGTAAGTTTCTCCTTCATCTGTTTCCACGTCAGATTGATGAAATGCTAACGTTACTGATTCTTCTAGCTCGCTGCCAACGAGAAATATATCATCGACAATGGTCACCTCGTCGCGTGGAACTGCAAATACGTTCTCGAACGTGTTGCAAGCGGAGGTATCATCAGCAATATGACGGCGGGTGAGGGTCTTGTATGCAAGTTCACGGGACCGGGGACTGTCTTCATGCAGACGAGAAATGCGGCGGCATTTGGGCAGTGGTTGGCTGCTAATGCTGCTGCGCCGTAGATCACATTTCAAGGTGGATGTACGATGACATAGGATAGCAGACGTCGATCATGAATCAAAACAATTGATACCATCTACCACGACCCCTCATCCAGAGCTACAAGACAAACCAACTATACCTCACTTCGGCGCCTCCAAATTCTGCACCCCCTCCACCCTCTGCACAACCCCAAACCTCTTCCCCCCCTGATCAAAAACCGCATAACCCCCCTTTAACCACGTATCCCCCAGAATATCAAACTCGCTCTTACCCCTCGACTGAATCCCACCATACCGCATCCCACCCCCACACTTCGCGAACCAAAAGTCTTCTTTCTGGACTCCAAACACTTCATCGCCGACCGCTAGGGCTAAGCTGGGTAAATACGTGACTTTAGTTCCCAAGGGAAAAATCCACCCCTGATGCGCTTTATCGAAGACCGCACCGGGAATGGTACTGTAAATCTTCTCGCAGAGCGCGTCATCTAGCAGCGCCAGTATAGTTGCTGTGTCTGCAATCGCCGTGTTTCCAGCTGGCCGTTGAATCGATTCCCCGTTCAGTACGGCGATGGGCGAGGAGAACTGCTAGAACCCCCGCGAGGAGTCGATGGGGACGTACTGCGGTTCTGAGACGCCGCAGCCTGTGAGTACAGACTCGTCGATGTAGCCGAATGTGCAGAAGGATTCTCCGGCGTCGACGTCGGACGTGTCGCGGCAGGAGCCGAGGTAGCAGGTGAAGAGCTCGCTTTCGGAGGGGATGTTGGATTGGTTTATCCTCTGGAGGGATGGTGTTAGCGGTGTGTGGGCTTGGAGAAAAGGAGTAGCAGAAAGATCAAAGAAGGAGAATTGGAAGAGATAGGAAAGATGACTGACTTGCTCAACAGGCGTGGCCACTTTCATCGGTTTAACAGTACTGATGTGTCCGAATCCTAGACCCAGCAGTCCGTCTCCTGCACCGGAAGTAAACTGCGGACTGAGTTTGTTGGCGAGTCCAATCGCTTGGTTTTCGATGCATAGGCCGCCGAGAGGGACGTTGGCTGTGTCGACTATTCCGGATGCTGTTGAGCCTGGATATCAAAGTCAGATAAGAGGTCTCCCATACCTATCCGTCATTGGTGTAGGGCTGGATGGATGGGTAAAGGCAGGAGAAAAGAAGAGATTCACCATCCCCATACCTGATCTTCCAACTCGCTGCCTCAATCTTTTTAAACGTCTCACTAGCCTTTGCATCAAAGACGTTGTGCTTCATCTTCCCCCGGTTTGCCCTTCTCTTCAATTTTCTTCAGAACAGGTTTCATTTCTTTCTTGGCCGCGGGTTTGAAGATGTTTTTTAGGGATTTTGTGGCTACGTCGAGGGCTTGAAAGGGCCCCTCGGTGGTGGGCGCGAAGTCGTATTTGCGAAGGAGGGAGGCGTAGGATTTCAGGCCTGCACGTTCGCAGGACGGGTTAGGAAGGATGGACATGCGTTTTAGGTTTGGCATTCTAGGGGATGGGTGATTGGAAGGCTGGGCTTCTGGATTGTAGGGAGAAACGAGAAATATATGGTAAGAAGGTAGTATATAGGCTGGCCAAGACGGGTCGCTTTCAGGGCGTAACAATATAATTAGGGTTGTTTTGGCGAACGAGGAGTGGATGGAGAAGTGGGTGACGGCAGTTGTAGCCATGCGTGCACCACCTGCCATTCTTAAAATGCGCAGCAAGAACGTGCGGTGAACCACGACCGGCTCATGCTCAAAGTACGTCCTAAACATTCCTTTCCAACTACAGCGTCTATGCTTAATCAAAAGTAGTCTTCTTGCCCTGTGACTCAACGATAGCTTGACTCGCCCTCGGAGTACTCATATGAGCAGCTCCACTCTTGATATTCCTCGGGTCGACCTTTCGCTTGCCACCCCGTCCGCCATTGCTCTCCCCAAAGTCTTGCCTGCCCCCTCTTTGACCTCCTCCTCCCCTGCCAAAGCCCCTCTCGCGGCCTGTATTCTCTCCGTCTGCACCCTCTTTCTCATGGCCAAACCGCTTGTGATACCTGGTATGGTTGTCCTCGGCGAATTCGCGACGCAATTCTCGGCCCATGAGCTTGTTGACTAGCCATTTCCTTTGCTTTAGGGGCTTGGTGGTATCGACTTCCGAATCACTTTCATCCCTGTCCTTCTTGTTCTTGAACGCAGATGGGTCTTTGAAGACAAAGCCCTTGACGGCTGCGGTCGCAGCTTCCACGTCCCGAAAGGTGACCCAAGCAAATCCCTTGCATTTACCAGAGTCTTCAAACGTTGCCATATGTATATTATCGATTCTTCCGCATGGCGCGTAGTGGTTCTTTATATCCTCCTGGGTAACGTCGAAGGAGAGGTTTCCGACGAACACGCGCTTATTGGGAGGGTTCTTTGGTTTCGCATCCTTCACTCCACGTCCGTTATCCTGAGTCTCTTCCGTCTTGGGCTTGTCTGGGCGGCCGTCGAAGCTCTTCGCATTCTTGATCAGCAGCGCGCGGTTGTCCATCTTCATCTCTGTCAAGGCAATCGCCGAATACATCGACAACTCAGTAGAGAAGTCGACGTATGCGAAACCCTTGTTCATCGGCTTTGTAGTCCAACTCGGGGGCGGCGGCCTCGTGGGAGGGGGCATGTGAATGCGTGTGATTTGATCGTCGGGAATTTCGGTATTGTCGGTCAAGAACTTTCGTAGCGACTCCTTCGTGGCAGACCATGGCAAGTTGCCGATCCATACACCATATTCTGAGCGCTTTGCTGCATTCTCCCTGTCTTCAGCTGACTTTCCGTCGACCTTCCCATCTGTCTTCGCGACTGATGCTTCTCCGTCTGCCTCGGCGGCGGGTGTCGGGTTCAATTTGGCTTTCTTAGCTTTACGAGCGGCTTTCTTGGAGGCGGGCTCGGGGAGGTTGACATCGATTTCTAGTTCTTCGGGCAATGCTTCGCGCTTGCGCTTTTTTGCGGGTGTCTCGGCTGCATCGTCGCTATCAGGCTCTGCGACTTCAGCTTTGGACTCGGCCCTCGTGCGCTTCTTTTCTGTATTTTCCTTCTTGTCCTTTTTCTCCTTCTTGTCACGACGCTCCTTCTTAAACACAAGGGCAATCTCTTCCGACGAGGACATTTCTGTATCTGACGACATTGTAGCGTGGGTGGTGTTGCGTATCGATACTTTGCGGCTCGAACTTTTTTCTGGGGCACTTTTCACTAGCATGGCCGCGCTAGGGAGACCCTGGCTTAGTCATGGTCTGCCGGCAAACCATCTAGATCCAGTACATGAGTTACTCTGGTCAATCACAACTTTGCATGCGTCACAGTCTTACGAGAGGCGTATTCAAGAAAACTACCATTGATTTACTACACATATAGAAGACATGAAAGGAAAGATCAAATTGAGCCAAGTAGGAAAGCCGTAACCGAGCCAGACGCAATGAAGCACCCTACTCACATGTCCCGTCGAGGTGTATCGAAGCGCGCTCCAGCGCCTTCTGTGTAGGGAGTGTTGTGTGATTGCGATATCTCCCAGTCCATTCCTTTTGACGCCCCCAGTACCCAGAAATTCGAACGCTTTAGACACCTACCAGGAACACTTTGCCTACCTTTGTGCTCACGAACTATAGCAGCTCTCGCTGACGCCAACTGAACGGTTTAATGCATCTCCTCGTCGCTGGCATCGAGGATGTCGTATTCCTCATCGGTCATGAAGCCATCGTCAGACATAAGGGCGACACTCTCAGCATCCTCAAAGAACTCGTCATCTGAAGCAACGGTGACAGTACGTGCAACGGTGCTCTTCTCAGATGGAGAGGCGGGCTGAGCGGTAGTAGATGACTCATAAGTGCTAGACTCGGGAGACTCCTTGTCTAGCTGAGGGAAGATCATGCCGGAGGCGATGGGCTCAGATGCAGGCTGCTTCTCCTCGACTGGGAGTTCGGCAACTGACTCTTCAGCCTTGACCTTCTCCTTGGGAGCAGCAATCGGCTCCTGCTTGATAGTAGCAAGGGCAGCCTCGTTTTCCTTGCGACGGTTTGCTTCCTCGTGCACCTTGCGGCGACCCTCCATGAGACGCTCCATGGCAGCCTTGCGTACACGCTGAACACGCTCCATCTTCTGTTGGTCCAGTTGTTGCTGCAGAGAGTGGTGCGCATCCTTCATCTTTTGCAGTTGTTGTTGCTGAGTGTGTTGCATTTGCTTCATGCGCTCAGCCCTGGCCTGTAGGAGGCGGTCGTACAGAGGGTTTGACCTAGGAGCCACCTCGAACGTGGTAGCTGAGCCCGAGGTAGGAGTAGGAACCTGGACTGGCATGGGGATAGATGGCTGAGCGGCGACAGGCGAGGGCACAGCAACGACTGCAATGTCGCACCATAGGCGATGGCCGAAGGGCATACCGTCGGGGGTCTTCAGGCGCCAGTAGGAGATGGCAGTGCCCTCGCGCTGGGGTGCCTTCATGAGAACACGGAACTGGGCTTCCTCACCAGCCTCTACAGTGTGGCCAAGCACGTTGCTCTCACTAGCTTCAGCAAGCTCGACGTGGCTCAAAGGACGGGTATTGTCAATGTTGAGCATATTGTCACCACCAACGTGTCGGACGCTGCAGCCTCGCGGCCAGGCGTTGGGACCAGGGTTGCGAAGAGTCCAGACCTGCACGAACTGGTGGCCTGCACAGATCCTGGAGCCATCAATGATGGTGTCCCGGATGAAGTGCGCGTCGAGGCCATCGGTGGCAGTCTCTGACCTTGGGATGGGAATAGCCTCAGTCTTGACCGGTGACTTCACCTGAACGGGTGCGGCAGGCTTCTCTTGCACCGGCTCTACGGAGTCGACGAGGAGATCACGAATCGCAATCTTCTCCTTCTTAGCCTGGGGCTCGGCCGAGGGCTTCACGTCGACAATGGTCTGGACCTGGGTCGCAGCATTGGTGGAAGGAGCGATTGGGGCAGTCTCAGTTGAGGTAGATCGCCTATCACACATGCGGTCGCCGAGTCTAGCCATCGACTTACGCTGCTTGTCGTCGTTTAGTGTAGTAACGCTAACGCTACGCACAGGTGTCTGGAACTTGATAAGCGGGTGAGTGTGGTTGTGCTTATTGCTGGGGTGGGCCTCGCAGTTCTGGCAGAAGTCGGTATCGTGGCAAACAGCACACTTGTAGCGGACGCCGTCAATGTATGACAGGTTCTCCTTGTCCTTGCAGAGGGGACCGTCACAGTAGATACCGTAGTGGCGGTTTGCGCTGTTCAGAGGCTCAGCCAGAGGCTCGTAGATGGGAACAAAGCGATGACGGGGGTGGATGAACTTGGCGTTCTTGAGGCAGTCCGAGCAGTAGTCCCAATCTGGGCAGTTCAAGCACTTGTGGCGGACACCGTAGATGAACTTGTCGCAGCCATCGCAGACGGCGTTGTGACGGACGTTCCTGCCAGAATTGCACAAGAAATCCGCCAGGGTGGGCAGGACAGTCTCGGATGTGGCGGGCTTGAAGGTGTGGCCAGGGTGGTGACCATGCTTGTTGCTAACATGGCAAGTGAGGCAGAGGTCGTAGTCTTCGCAAGGAACACAGGTAACGAATTCCTTTTCGGGGAGGACCTTGACGCAGCAGTTGCAGGTGCGGGTTGGCTCCTCTTCATATGTGACGGACTGCTTCTCATCGGTAAAGGCACCTGGAATCTCCTGTTGTTGTTGTTGAGGTTCCTCGGTCTCGGCCTTAACCTTGGGTGCGATGCGCTGGGTGGTGCTGTTGACGACGCTGCCGTTCTTGACGAAGCGCTTGACCATCCAGTGTCCGCTTCCGGGGCAGTGGATGCCGTTGTCTACGCAGGCTGGGCAGAGATCGTAATCGCCACCATCGCATACACTACAGTGGAAGTGCTCGTCCTCCATGGGCTCGTTGCAGTTGTTGCAGTATACGACCCACGAAGTGCACGCGTTGCTCGGCTTGGGGCGGAATGCTAGACCTGAGTTGTAGTTCGCAGTTGCGAGGTTGTTGAAGAAGCCTGTACATTGCATTAGCCGATTATCGTGCGACATGGACATGTGGATTTGATGCTTACTCTGACGAGTAATGAAGGCCTGCGGTACGGGAGCCTCACCGTCAGCATCTACCGTCGTGGGTGGCGATACAGGGCTGGTACTCTCGCTGGGCTTGGTGTCTGGCGAGCGGGCAATGACTGGAGAGACGGGAGCGCCGCCCTGAGGAGTGAGAGTGTCGGTGCTCATGGGGTGGACAGTGGGCTGGTAGTGTCGGACCACGTTGTCTGGCGCTGGTGTAGGGGCGGGCGCAGCCACGGGCTCTTCGCCGGGGATGGTGGCCCTCAGACGCAACTTGAGCTTCGCCTTTGCGGCGCGGAAAAGCGTCTTGTAGACCTGGGGCTTGTCCGCATCAAGGGTGACATACGAGGCGGCTGAGTCGGAATAGCGCTCGAAGACGACCTGCTCGCCGGATTCAAGCTGAAGAACACTTCGGAGCTAAACATCACATATCATGTCAGCATCGTGATTCTTGAGCGTGTTTGCTCGTACGTCCGAGCGACC